ACGGCACAATCAACCAACTACGTACCCTGCAGTTCGTCTGCAGCTCTCAAGAGTTGGAAGTTCAACAAAACCTTAGTCGGCAAAGTGCGTGGGCATATTGCCGGGAGCTGTGGTGGCAGACCATGGTTGACTTCGCCGCGCTAGCACGCGCCGTCTCGTGGTGACAGCCAAAGAAACCCGCCGCCTGTTATTAAAGAACCCGCTTGACCGCTGTGCGTGTGCATTTTGATCCCATGTTTCATCCACATTGCGAGCGCATTGGGGCGCTGCTGATCACCTCCCCAGGCTAGTGGCGATCCTGGGATGTCTGATGCTCGGTGTTTGCCTATCACATTCGCTCCTCTGTTACGGGAGAGGGAGAGCGAAGGAGGGGCCATGTGAGACGAGAAGTCAGAAAGCAATCACCTCGCCGAACTCTGACTGGTCGCCTGTCAAAAGTACGGCTTATCAACGGTCAAGGAAAAAGAAATCCTGCGCGTTGACAACAAGCAACGGTCACGGGACAGGCGGAGCTCCTCGCCAATGTTAATGTCAGCATTCAATCTTGCTGGAGCGGTGGAACTTCTGTCTCGACGGCCTTTCGCTTATCTTATCCATACAGACACAAAGCTTCGAAGTCCGTGTAACCATGCTCGAGCACAACGGAGAGAGAATTGTCATTTCTACAGAGTAGTATAATAAATAATGGTGTTTCAGTCGATGGGCATGTTAACATGTAAATCCCTTCAAGGACAAAGTATATCTAGCATCTGCTTGCCTTCATACAGGTTATTGTACACCACCCCCAATTGTATTTACTCATCATAATTCGTCAAAGATTTAGAGTGACAGTCATGCTGTTGCTGTGAACAAGCAGGCAGGGAGGCAACCCCTGCCACAACACACTTAAATCACTAAGATAAGACTGACTAGCAGCCTCGTTCTCCGCAGTGCCCTCAAGTGGCGACGGCAGAGTGGTGAAGAGGACAGCAGTGTCCTCGCTGTGCTTCGCCATCAATTCATTCAGTATTAGATGCTGTGCACGGCTCGGAAGGTCATTGAATGACAACGGGACTGATGCTTGGCGCGGATATCCGGAGGCACTTGTCCTGTCCGATAAGTCGGATGGGGAGCGGCGTTTGTAGATTGACTCTGTTTTCTGGGACGACTGCGGAGGCGACATGTTTTGAGCAAACATGATACTTGGTCCTGCGCCTTCGTCCGTGTTAACTCGGGCTTCAGGTATCGGTGAAGAGGTGAACCGGTTGCTCGACGCCGAGCGGCTCATGGTTGGCCGCTTGGGAGTTGCCGGGGCTCGCGAGGAACCTGTTTCGCCGGTTTCAATAATAAGTGGAATGTTAGGCCTCTCAACATCCCCAGAAACAGCCTCCTGTCTTGTCCGGACACCCAGGTCCGAGGCCAGAGGCTGACCTTGTCTTTGTCCGGCTGTTGGACCATGCGTGTCCTCTGTTGTTTCTTCATCGCTCACGGATTCCGAGGAGTCACTATCATCACTGCTGTCACTTGGTGTACTGTCCTCGACAAAGGCATCAAGCAAACGGTGTGTTTGCATACCCAGATTCACGGTCCCCAAGCCTTTGAAGCTAGAAATAGATCGTCGTCGTCTGGAAGACTGCATCAATTTCCTTACCCCGCCGGGCAGTGGATGGCGTGCTGCGTGCCGGTACTCATTGCCTGCGGCATCCAGACGAGACGGCCCTCCCATCCTGTTCATCAAACTAAAAGTTGAGGAGTCATCTGAGTTTCTTCGACCTCGTTGGATATCTTGCCACCAAACTTCATCCTTCAAGACTGCATGGATTCTGTCATCGACATCCTGCGTTTCGGGGAGAGGTTCTCCGTTGACTATGATGCGATAGGTTTTCAGGTCACCACTTGCAAGCCAAAAGACCAGTATTTCCGCTTCGATCCGTAATTTTTCAAGCAAAGCTTCTACCCTTTTTCTCTCGTCCTCGACATCAATCTCGTATTCGACAAACACGGCCACTCTCAGCTTGTATGCCTTTTTCCAGGAAGGCACGGTGTTTAGAATACATCCAAGCTGAAGAATTAGTGTGTATGTGTCGAAGTTCGTAGTCAAGATATTGCGCTTCGTTTCGCTGTTGGCGTTTAGCTCAGCAGACATCTGAATCGGCCAGAGATCAATGTATTTCTTAGACTCTTTTCCATGTTCCCCAGGCAGCTCGAGGTCCTCAAAGCCCTTTGCTACTGCAACGTTAATACGCAGTTGAAACAGGAGATCTTCTAGCACTGTGACGTATGTCTGACAGTTCGTTGGCATGCTTGACAGTTCAGGCTTGGAGGTACCTGGTGATAACATCTGTGGATGACTTTTATGGTGCACTGGTTCGGCAAGCGACTGGCCCTCGCGAAACTGGTTGATGATGACTATATTTGGGCGCATCCCTCCCAATCCGGAATTTAAGACAATATTCCGAATTCCCCATTCGACAGCAGGCGAGATGGCTATGTTCACGAAGGCTTTGACTTTTGAATTTTCCACCAGTTTCGTCCAGGTCGTTTGTTGGCGGCGTGCTTCTGGAACAGCAGACGAGAAATCGTCGGTGACAAGTACGTGACCAAGTACAAACAAGGCTCCCTTCTTGAGTGAATTGCAAAAGGAAACCAGTTTGAATTCTACATCAAGATTGGTAACGAATAAAAGAATTTGGGGTCGCCAGAACTTGACGTGCTCCTGCTTCAGGCGAAGTAGGTACTTGCGCACTTGATGGTAGATCAAACTCTGGCTTACATCACCCCATGGCTTCGGAGGAGAAGTGTAATGTATCAAAAGAAATAGTGTGATCAGGATACCAAAGCAGCCGGTAGCGTAGACTCCATCCACGAAGAACATACTTGCTCCGCAAACCACAGTGCCAGTTGCTGCAGTCTGCCAATTGAAATAGTGGAACGAGGGACGAAAATTGGGGGCGGAGCCAATTTTCAGCAAGAAACAGGCCAAGTTAGTCACTAAGAATGTCATGAGATAAGCCATTGTGACAAAGGACGCGATCTGGTTGATATCAAATAGCATTGTGAGCTGAGCAGCGACAAAAGTGACGATAATCGCGCGCACTGGCTCGTCATTCCGCTTTGTTCCCTTGCTAAACAGATTCAATCCGGGAAGCAGGCTGTCCTTGGCAACAGCCTGGAGAAGTTTTGCAGATCCAATCAAGCCCATCAAAGCAGAGAAGAAACTAGTCGCGAATTCACCAAGAAGAATGACAACCCCTGAGAGGTTTGCCTAGTAGTCGGTTAGATTAGAGTCAACCACCAACGCTTGGAAGCTTACAATTTGAATGATATCCGCATTGTTGTACAGGGAATCCCTTGTCAATGTAGATGCCATTGCAAGAATCACAAGAGTGTAGAGGACAAAGGTCATGGCTAGTCCATAAAGAGTACCCTTTGGGATCGATTTGCTTGGATTCTTCAAATCCCCTGACATGCTTGCACCACTGTTTGAGGTAAGCTTAATATCCAGCAGACTTGAGGCGATTACTCACGCAAAAATTCCTCCAGTTGCAGGGAACAGAATCCCAAAGAGGTCTTGAAATGTCTCTCGCCCTGGGATCTGGCTTCCAGCCGCTCCTTTTGTAAGTCTCGGCTTAAGGTTCTCCAAGAATGTCTTACGGCTAATGCCTGTGAAATGAACGCCTAGCTTCGGAGCGCGAAATGGCTGCATGACAATAGCAGACAGCGGTATACTGAGGGTTGCGAGCAGGAGCGTAACAAGCAGACCATTGCTTGCTCGAGAGAAGAGGGAGCTTCCGGCCAAGCAAATCCCAGTACATAGAATCAAAATGATGGTTCCCCAAAGATACTGCCACCAAAATCCTTCCTCAAGGAAGTTGGACCAGGTGCCACTCTCAGTCCCGAAGTTTTGTGTAAAACAATCGACCAAACCAACGGCATTCATACCCGTGTTCAGCACGGAGCCGAGATAAAATACTATGCCAATCGATCCACCAAATTCGGGACCTAATGAGCGGGATATTAAATAGTAAGCTCCTCCCCCTTTAACTGTACCATTGCTTGCAATGGCTGATAAAGACATGGTCGTTACAAGGTTTATCGTATATGATATCACAAGCAATCCTTTAACAATATAATTAGCAAAATCCTAGGTGTAGATCAAAAGGGCAGGGGGGTTCGTCAGCCTACCTAGTATGCCTAGTATGCCGGCCTGCCCCAGAATGAACCCAAACCGAAGGAACATTAATATGCTCAAAACATTCAAGCTTGTCGGCACAAAAACTCCAGAGAAAGTTGAAAATTTATCTGAGCTGTCCGATGCGTGCGATTTCTCGCCGTTTCCTTCACTACCAGCACTTGTGTCTCTAAGCGGCCTAGCCGCAGAGGAGGTGCTCGGTGGCCCAGCATCGTCGTCCGTTTTATTCCACCAGCTCGAGAAGTATGTGAGGAAATTCGAAGGCGAAGAGTGGTTCCGGGTTAAGGATGTTGGTGTGTGAGGGCTTATCGAACCATAAGACTGACCTGGTCGCCGAGTCAGGAGCCTAGCAGCCTCATCCCGGGAAGCATTTGGAGGTTCGCTTGGGTCCAGTCTGGATTCATCTTCTTGTGCAGTGCGAGTGGAGAAGTTAGGTCTCCTCCGAGACATAGACTCCGAGGTATCGTTCCCTTGTGAACTATTCATCGATTATAGCACCAATCTTCTTGTTATAAGGCTGGCTCACCGCTTCAATGGGATTCGGATTAAGATTAATGGATCACGGCATGGATAGATAGGATATGCCAATCAGAGCAGCAAAGGACCAAGAAAATCCGAATTCTAATATCTTAGAAACGCAATGTTTGATGGAGGTTGTCGGCCCTCAACGGCAATGACGGCTTGGTGTCCAAGAACAAGCCCGCCTTTATGCACTGTTTATCTCTGGAGGATTGACGATGACTTCATTTGCCAAGAGATGGGCGATTCATGCAAACAGTGCAAATCTACCGCCCAGCCACGGGCCGCATACGAAGCTCACCTGCAACATCTCAACTTGTCAATCCTCGACTCTGCTCCTCTCGTACAAAGAGATAAGTTCGTCTTTACAGGTGGAAGACAAAGGAGAGGGCTCTGGAGTCTAAAGTATTTGTTGGCCGCAGTCTTGCCCAAATCACCATTTACCACCCTCCTTCTCGTCATTCTACCTTCTCCACTGAGAGCTTCTAATCGCAGTTCAAATCATTCGGACAATTAGGCCCGTGTATTGCGATTAATGAATACTTTATCGGTTATTCGCTAGGCATATCCTTTATATATACCCGGTGACATGGCGTCTCCAGGAAGGTATGACAACGGGGAGGGTTCGTCATCCCAAAACCCTCGGTCATCTCCGATAGCAACCTCTCTACGTCGCTCAGGGTCTCCCACTCCTGACGCCTCTGTAAGACATGCTTCAATAGCTCGTCTAGCATCTCCTGTACCATCTGCATCCAACTCTGTTTCTGCGAGACAAATACCGGTTCCAGTACCCGCGGACGAAACGCAAGATCTGGGCAAGGTTGATAACCTCTCGTCTCTTCCTGGTCCTGGGCAATCTATGATTGCGTCTGGCCTTCAAGATAGCCTGGGCCGATCACCTCCAAGATTTGGGACCCCACCAAGACATCCTGAGTCCCCTGTTTTTAACCAAAACGTGCAAGTTCGGTCTAATTACGGCTCTTTCGATCAAAAGCCTTGGAAAGAAGGATCAGAATACTCTGCCGCCCCGTATGAGGACCCGGAAATCGTCAAGAGGCATTTAGTGCAGCCCCTGGAGGGTCAACACTCGGGAGATGGCACCAATAATGCGGACGACGAATTCTCCAGTCTACAACTTCAAGGGGGTGATATCACTAGACAAGTGTACAGATGGGCTGAGGAAGCGGAAGAAGGCAGTTCCCTGCGAAAGCATCAGCGCAGCAGGAGTTTCCATTTTAATCGACCTACTCCTGAGGAGGATACTATGAACATCAATAGCATTCGTGTCCCAGGGGGGTTTAGAAGGGATTACTTGCGCCGAACGGCTGGAAGCCCTTATCCGGGAGACCCTGATGCAAGGGACGGGGCGTCTCCTGCTCCGCCTCAGCTTCCGACGACAAGTTTCCTGGAGTTCCTGACCCTCTATGGCCACTTCGCGGGTGAAGAATTAGAAGAAGATGATGAAGTGCTTGGACCTGACGAGTACTTTTCCTCGGACACCTGGGACGAGTCAGAAGAACGAGAACCGGGTGAGGATTCTGCCCTTCTTCGCCCCGAAACACCTGGTAAGAGAAGGCGCAAGCCCCGTGGAGGAACCGGAACGAACACAAGGACTGGAGCAGCACTGCTTCTTCTCAAATCTTTCGTGGGTACTGGAGTTTTATTCCTCCCGAGGGCTTTTCTGAACGGGGGCATGCTTTTCAGCAGTCTCGTGTTACTCGCTGTTTCATTGCTCAGTTTCTACTGCTTCATTCTTCTCGTAAATACGCGATTGAAGATTGATGGTTCATTCGGTGACATTGGAGGCGCACTCTTTGGAAAGCATATGCGCCGGGTTATTCTCTTTTCGATCGTCCTTAGCCAGTTGGGATTTGTGTCCGCATACATCGTTTTTACGGCTGAGAACCTCCAGGCTTTCGTACTTGCTGTCAGCAATTGCAAGTCTTTCATTGACATCAAGTTTATGGTTTTGATGCAATTGGTCATCTTCCTACCCCTCTCACTGATCAGAGACATCAGCAAACTCGGATTCACTGCTCTCATTGCAGATCTGTTTATCCTCCTGGGCCTGGTCTACCTGTTTTACTACGATTTCCTCACAATATCTGCGCAGGGTGGTGTTGCTGATATTATATCATTCAATCCGTCAACTTGGACACTGTTTATTGGAACTGCTATCTTCACCTTCGAGGGTGTTGGCCTTATCATCCCCATTCAAGAGTCGATGAAGCATCCCAAGCAATTTACAGGGGTCTTGGGTGGCGTCATGGTCATCATCACGATCATTTTCCTATCGGCTGGCGCCATCAGCTATGCAGCTTACGGCCCAGCAACGAAGACCGTGATTCTCCTCAACCTCCCACAGGATGACAAACTTGTAAATGCTGTTCAGTTCCTTTACTCTTTGGCTATCCTCCTGAGCACCCCGCTCCAGCTCTTCCCGGCCATCCGAATCATGGAGAATGAGTTATTCACGCGCAGTGGCAAGTATAACCCTGGTATCAAGTGGAAGAAAAACGGCTTTCGGTTCTTCCTCGTAATGATCTGCGCCTTTGTTGCTTGGGGCGGTGCCGATGACCTAGACAAGTTTGTCTCTCTCGTCGGCAGCTTCGCCTGTGTTCCCCTTATCTATGTTTACCCGGTAGGTGTTGCCCCCTACCGCCAAATATACAGCCTTATTCGTCCTATAGCTAGCTAACTTGTATATCTAGCCGCTCCTGCATTACAGGGCTTGTGCGCGATCCAGACGACAGAAGATTGCAGACATTGCGCTTGCTTGCTTCGGAGTCGTCAGTTGCATCTACACTACAGCATTGACACTCAATAACTGGGTTCACGGTGATAATACCAAAGCCCCCGGATATTGTGATACATGATCCATGTACAGCCTTAGCAATTCTCCTTTCTCTGTGCTGTCTATAAAACAACATTGCTAAACGACCGACATGCTACTGATCCAAGCTGTTAATTCAGGCGAGTTTAGCCATCGATAAAACTAACCAGCTCTCTTTTGTTCCTTGGGGGGCCCATTGTTTCTCTCACCTGTACAGTCCCGATTGGTACGTTTATATATCTAGCGATGATATGATTTGATTTAAGTAGCTTGAATAAATTCATCATTCTATAAATTCCAGCCCAATAACAAAGCCTTGCCAGATTATCATAACCATCAAGTTCCGTGTCGTCCCCTCCGGAAAACGCGAGATATAATAAAACACTACACGACTACCTCTTCCCGGAGAAAAACGTACAGTCGACCACGGTCACTTCATCGATTCCTGAATAAGTACAAAGCCGGTCTAGCACTAATATATAGGTAGGTAACACAGAATCCCAAATCATCAGGCGATGAATGCCTCCTTCTTAGGCACCCGCCTCAGGAGCATCTTTGCCCTTCTGCGCTCCCTGCGCAGCAAGTGCAGCTTCACGGCCTCCCCAGCTAAAACAAGTAAAGAAACCCATATTAGCGCCACAATACAATGCAAACAAACCCAAAAATCCACATGCCACATGCAAAACACGGGGAAGGGGGGGTAGGCGGGACATACTTCCAGTAGTTCAGATAGCGGTATCCTTGGGTACACTGAGCGGAAAAGTTGATAGCGTGGCAGGCGAAGAGGAGGTAGTTGGCAGGGGTGACGGCGAGAGCGTAGCGCGCGAAGGTAGCGGAGTAGACAACCAGGGCACCGGTCATTTGGCCAGAGATACTGTTGATATCATATCCGCGTTAGTTTATGCTTATCAGGGAGGAAAAGAGGGACAGAAGCAGCAGAGCACCCCCCTCGGGTGTCAATGGCGCTGCACTTGTTCGTTCTGATTTAGAGACGTACAGTTCCGGATCTTTCTGTGTGTCCATCACAGCCGCAACGGGGATACCGAAGTTGGAGACAGGGCCCCAGAAATCTGGAGAAGAGAATTATAAGTCAATCAATGCTCATCCGAAATTTTTGTTCATAATAAAGAAGCGAATGGTATGTATCTAGAAGCTCGGGTAATGCATGGGTGTATTGATTCCCATATTGTCAAGTTGCATGTCGACCATAGCTCTGAGGCCGATTTCGGGAATCGGTTTGAAGAAGCGCAGAACAGGAATGCAACTTACGGGTCGAGCAGATATAGTCCGCGACCTTGTTGGACCGGATCTTTGCATTGATCGCTTTGATTGCAGCGGCCATCTTGTAGAGCTTGTGTGTTGTTGTATAAGACAGCTGCTGGTCAGGGACGAACTGGAAACAAGACTCGAGAGCAGCCGTTTTGGTCATCACCGAAGCCCGGCGAGTGGCTGCCGGGCGGAGTCTTCGGGGTGGTCACGTGAGTTACCCCAATCCCATACACGTTCCTATGATCAGACAGCGAATGAGAGCGAATTAATTGTTTTTTTATCTATTTTCATGTAGTATTAAGATTCACTATAAAATAGTGTTCGACGCAGACCTAGCATTACATCTCTGCTTCCTAGAGTCCGTGTTTGACCATGTATTTCTCTCGGCATTCCTTGCATCCGCACACGCCGCAACGCCTTTGCCTGGTAAAAATTGAGGTGCTTGTTCCCTAGCCAAGAGAGAACAAATTGATGGGCAGCTCTTTTAGTTTCGCTTAGATCTCCGTTTGTCCTTTGTCGCTGATAGTAACAACGCAGCCACAGTTGTATTGTCAAGCTATCATACCACTCCTTCACTTTTCAAATCACCGCCCTCCAAAACCTGGTGGAGGGTATCCCCGGCCTTGACCCGGAGGCTGGAAGCCAGGTGGAGGCTGGAAACCGCCAGCTAGAGCAGGAAACGTCAGTCCACAATATCGTTGCAATTCCCAAGATAGATACTTACGAGCTGGAGGAGCACCGAATCCTGGTGGAGGAGCGAAACCGGCTAATACTCGTTAGAACGGTGCATATCAAAGGTTAAAGAATGAAACAAAACTTACGGGGTCCAGCTCCAGGGCCCCCACGTCCACCGAAGCCAGGTGGGGGACCGCCTGGGAAACCACCAGGAGGGAATCCAGGGAAACCACCCGGGGGAGGTGGCGGACCACCGACACCAGCAGCAGGTCCTCCAAGTCCAACCGGCAGACCACGTCCACCGGGTTTGCTAATTCCAGGGCCAGCAGCGAGAGTAGCGGCGGCACTGGGAACATTGGGGCCACCAGTTCCAAGTCGTGCTGAGGGGTCGGCGGGAGGAGGTCCATCGACGGAGCAGGAAACAACATGAGTACCGCGCACAATCGTCAGGCCAAGGGTTCGCTTTTCTTCCGCTTCAACGAGGGGCGCGTTGCCGGGGGCCGACTTGGCTTTCCGCTTGACACGACGAAATTCTTCTGTATCGGCGAGGACCAGGTTCATGTGCTGGGGAAAACGTCAGCAACCGCGGATACGCAAAGCATCAATTGCAATTAACACACCTTATCGAATGCGAGCATCTGTCCCGTCATCTGTCGCCCATCGTTCAGGGTAACTCTCATCCGGTAGTTGATCTAGAGTCATTGTTAGATTTTCACGCGTATGGCTCACTGCGCTCAACATCACTTACGAGGTTTTGCTAGAGGAAGATTTAAAAGTCAGCAATCATACCGATGAATTATACGCCATGCAATTGCCAGGAGAATGTAAGCCGAGGTGGAAGGTCTTGGGAAACTCACCATCTTTCCCTGCTTGTTGGCTGCCATATTGCTTGAGAAAAGTGCGCACGAATGCGACTTGAGAGTAGAACCAAAGAATCTGTAGGAGCGAATCAGCAGAAGAAATCTTCTAGCTTGTATTCACTTCAGCACCTGTGCGCTTCCTCGGAAAGTCCAGCCAGGTAAAGAGCTTAGGTATCGACACTGCGACTCTCTAAGGTTAGGTCTGCGGATAGCGGATCCCGTGATCCCGTGATTCTAGGCGCGCGGCTCTGTGAATTAAGCGCCAACCGATTCTGCCAAGCCGCTAAGGGCTCTCGCTTCCCACAGTCACCCACAGTCGAAGTTCACACAACTTTCCCGGATTGACCGATTTCTTGAGATTCTTCCATTCAACGAGTCGACCAGTCCACGCCAAATCAGTCGCCATGGTATGTTCGAATAACTCCTACAACACATTATCGAATCTGCTTTATTTTTTTCGGAAACTAATTATCTACGCCAATGCAGTCGGAAGCCAAGGACAAGAGCACCAACCCCATGCGCGAGCTGCGCGTCCAGAAGCTCGTGCTCAACATCAGTGTCGGCGAGTCTGGTGACAGACTTACCCGTGCTGCTAAGGTGCTCGAGCAGCTGAGCGGTCAGACTCCGGTCTACAGTAAGGAAACCCGATTTTCGATATACCCGGACAAAAGCGCGACGGCGGGGAGGAAATTTTTGTTCGAAGGATAGAAAAAGGATGGAATGGCTGACGAGATGGAAACGTACAATAGGCAAGGCCCGCTACACCGTCCGTACCTTCGGTATCCGCCGTAACGAAAAGATCGCCGTCCACGTCACCGTCCGTGGCCCCAAGGCCGAGGAGATCCTCGAGCGTGGTCTCAAGGTCAAGGAATACGAGTTGAGGAAGCGCAACTTCTCCGAGACCGGTAACTTCGGCTTCGGTATCAGCGAGCACATCGATCTTGGTATCAAGTACGACCCCAACATTGGTATCTACGGCATGGACTTCTACTGCTGCATGTGAGTTGGACTCTACACCTATACTACGGACAAACGTGTTCTGGGAAGGTCATCAGAACTGACTTTGAAAATAGGACCCGCCCCGGTGAGCGTGTTGCCAAGCGCCGCCGCTGCAAGGCCGCCATCGGCGCCAGCCACCGCATCAACCAGAACGAGACCATGAGGTGGTTCAAGCAGCGCTTCGACGGCATTATCCGGTAAATTATTCCATTCAGGGGGACTCTTCAAGCGGTGAACTGCGGTGGTCTGTGTTTATGAATCGATCAAGGAAAAAACTTCTGGCGGGCGTTCTCTCGAATGATTTTCGCTCTGCTTCTACCACGACATGATATAGGCGTGTTAGAATATCAAACTACAAATTTTCAAAAACGCATCCACTTTTCACAATGAAGGCTTCACGAAGGGTGATGATTTCCGCATAACCATTGATGAAAAGTACTACATGATGCTGTGCATGCACACCCGTCGAGGGGCCCATGCCTTGTTTGTTTCTGGCCGTGAGACTCGATCTCTCTAGAGTTTTCGAGTCTTTATCACTGTTTCCTAACGGGAAGTAGTGACATGTAGCTTGTGGCTCCAATCCTGGAGTCTCGCGTATGAGACAACGATGCCCGCCTTATCGTAGCTATGTAGCACTGGGCGATTCTTCAGCAACGACTTGTAGCCTTCATTGAGGGGTAATGCCTATGTTCTCCCAAGCAATCTACACCGTAACCCCCAGTTTGTGCGGCGGAAATTCTGTGTGCTCCGGAGAACATCGTGCCTATGCGCGAGTTAGTTTTACGATAGTTCAACGACGGCGAATATTGGTCTACGACTGCTCGTCGAATTGTTACTCAAGGGTTTCCACGCGGACGAAGCCCAACAGAGAAAGATCAAACGTCAAATTGCCCTATCAGCTCATTTTGACACCCTAATCTGCCTCGGTATCGAAACTCAGATGTTCCACCCCATTCATACTCAAACAAGACATGTAATAACCAACGGGCATTACAAGAAAAGAAATACACACGCCCACAACACTACAATCATCTCCCTCCCCCATAACTCATTTATTACCGCCTGTGTATCCAGACCACCATTTTGAAAAGAAACCGCCAGGCTGTGACTGCTCACTCCAGCTCTGTCTTCGTGCTGCAAGGGAGCCATCATTCGTGTTCCGCTTCTGGCTGGTTAGGCTCTCAAACAACGACGACGGACCATGAGCACTAGATCTCCTCCGTTCCCCGACTGACGGAGGAGGGCTGCGTTCACCTGCGTTGGCGGAGGTATCGGATGCACTGGAGGACTATAAAGTGTCAATTTAAAAGTGATTTATGAAAAGGGGGTGTTCAGAACGATAACGGAATGTATGCTGACTTACCCGCCTTTCACTGGTGGCAAATGCATCGGTAGTTGATGTCGAAGGTCGTGAGGCCATGTAGGATGAGGGAGGACCTCCTACCACCCATACATTGTGATGCTCATAGCGGTTACCAACAGGCCCGTGCCAATGACGGGGCGGAGACTGAGGTTTATCGTTACTCATTGTTCTTGGGTGCGGACTTTCCTTGGTTGAGGTGATTGAGATAACTATTTCACGATTAATGGGCTGAGTGTTTAAGATTAGATAGAAATAGGCCTGCTTTGAAGTAGATCCCAAGGGAGGCAAGTAACACGCGGAAGACTCACTTGGAGGCTAATGCTGACTGATAGATATAAACTCCGTAAACGATGGGTTTCACCATGTATGGACGCAAGAAGCTCTCGGGAGACTTATATAGTGAAAAGAGGGGTAAGCAGGTAACCCTCGATGCTGTGAAACAAACCCTGGATGAGGGAATGCACCACTACCGTGACCCCAGCGGTGGCTCAGAGAGAGCAACGTATGGGATACGCCAATAGCGGATCATGCGGTTTGTTAATCCCAGATCTCGAGACCTTGATTGGAAAATAGCTGCCACGGACCCCAGCCAGGCCAACAGCCTAGATCCACGGGCATCGTCGGACACAGCAAATTAATCATCAAAATACGAGACGTGATGGGATGTCAATGCCGCTTCAATCAGATCATGATGTCGTTGCTTCCAATTGAATCAGAGCTGACGTCAAACGCTTGCCCAAGTGCGGGGGGGCCGTGAAGAAGAGAACTTTGGTCAGGCCAGAACGAGCCATGGGCGATCAGACGTCAGCTGGTCTCACGGACATGGTTAATCCCGCTCGCTCTGCTTCAATAACGTCGAGCTCTTTGGAGCTTGCTTGTCATCTGCCATCTGCATTGACAGTCCTGGCTCAGGGGTACAAACTATGTTGTCCCGGAACGGTTTATTTCTGTGGGGGGGGCAGCGGCTTAAATATAGCGCTGTCAACATACCCTTAGAAAGATTGAGTCAACCCAAGTTGTTTTCACAACGGAAAGATAGCAGAAGCAGCGTCGTTGCAAGAACGGCTGTTTCTCACGTGGCCTGCGGACCCCAATCTAGCGCCTCTCCCCGCATATTCTTATCACCTCCAGCTCCAATTCTCCTCACCCGTTCTGCATAACCGGCTTCCCTCGCTCGCTTTCCGGCTCAGCACCGCCAGACTAGACATCTCCATCTTCCAGGGCCGAGTAGACACCCCAATTTGCTGTGTCGTTGTATATAATTGAAATTGGGCAACTCATTGAGTTCACTGTCATCGAAAAGCAACGTCCGGAAGCTCACGAGACCTGCCCACCCTCAGCGATGGAGACGATACAGAGACCATACTTGAAATCTCTCGGCACTAGAGGTTACATACGAGGATGTACTATCTCAACTAGATCTTCTAACACACCGCTGTGTCATTACTTTGGCGGACTCCGCTATGCTTTGCCTCCAATAAAACGCTGGCGAAAGGCTCAGGAATTGCCCCCGACATATAGTTACGGCACCAAGGACCGCCCCTACCAATGCCCTGGCGCTACACAGAGTTGCCCACAAGCGACCTTTTTTAACCTCTCCAGCACAGCGGCTGGAAATGAGGATTGCTTCCAGTGTAACGTTTGGGTTCCACTTGGAGATCCTCCGGGAAACGGTATGTATTTCAGTGTGTATCGCCTCAATCTCGGGATTCTAACATGAAATTTGTCTCTCACAGGATGGCCTGTGCTCTTCTTCATCCGTACGTAACCCATTGATGTGTACCTTATATCTAACGACGGGGGCTAACGCCCATGGTAGACGGAGGCTTTTTACAATTTGGTTCACCGAACTCCTTCTCTGTCGCGGCTCTCTTAGGCGAGACAGATCTCAATGCCATTACTGTGATGCCAGCCTACCGCCTGAACGTTCTCGGGTTTCTGTATTCCTCGGAATTAGAACAAGATGCCGCCTCTGTGGGTGAGACTGTCGGAAATCATGGATTCTGGGACCAGCGCATGGCCCTTGAATGGACCAACAAGAACATTGGCTTCTTCGGCGGCAACGGTTCTCAAATCACCCTCGCTGGATACTCCGCAGGTACTTGGCTATTCCTATCCCCCCCACTTCAAATCTAAAAATCGTCGGTAACAATACTAAATATCACCAGGCGCATATTCTGCCTGCTACCAACTAACGTATGACCTCAACCTACCGGACTCCCAAGCCCTCGTCAAACGAGCCTGTATCTGGTCAAACTCCTTCACCGTACAACCAAAACCCCCCAGCCTCGCTCAAGCGCAATTCATCCAATTGCTCTCCGCCCTCAACATCCCCATTTCCCTCTCCAGCCAAGAGAAAATAGCCCGCCTCCGCTCCACCCCCGAGCGCACCCTCCTCTCCGCCGCAGCCAGCATCGACCTGCACGAATTCCGCCCAACAACAGATAACACCTTCATCCCAAACAACCTCTTCCACACCCTCGACAACGGCACCCTCGCCTCCAAGCTCGTAGCTCGCAACATCCACATCATCACTGGCGAATGCCGCGATGAACACTTCCTCTACGGCACCTACCGCCGCCCCTTTAAAAACACCTTCGGCTACCTCCGCGCCCGCTTACTAGCAGACTACCCACGGCCGATTGTCGACGCTCTCATGAAAACATACTACCCCAACGGCACGCTCCCGCGCAACTGCAAAGACTGGACCTCCGACGCCTTCGGCCGCATCTACGCCGACATGCAGATCCACGCAATGCAGCGCGGGTTCATCTACGCCCTCACAAACCCCATCACGGGTAACCCCACGGTGGGTGCACAGGTTGATAAGCTTATTCACCGGTACCGCATGGAGTACCGTCTTAAGTGCGCGGACCGCTCCGCGCCGCCCGAGTGGGGGGTCACGCATGCAACGGACCAATATATCTGGTTCTGGGGGAATGGCGACATTGTTCTCCCTAATGAGAAGGCTATTATTAAGAATGCGGTGATCGACCCGTTTATTCGACTTGTTCATGGCGAGCAAGATCTGGGTTGGGGGACCAGCAGTTATAGGGAAATGAGGACGTTGAAGCCTGATGGTTCGGTGGAGATTTGGCGCGATGAGCTTTGGGATGATGCGGTAAGGACTTGGAAGGCGTTGAGGGAGGTTTCGGTGTTTAACGACGATGGCGTGTCTCCGAGGCTTTAGGTGTGGTTAGGGTTGGGGCGAATGCTCTACCCCACTCTGTATAGACTATTACTTGTTGCTTGTAAATAGATGCTGGGATACTGTCCTGATTGTACGATGATACATCTACTACGAGAGTTTCAAAACTCGTCCAATAGGATGAAAAGAATATCGAGATAGTCTGCTGAATCATTGTATGGTTGTTGATCGTAAAATCATAAGTCAACAAAATAGTAACATGCAGTACAAAAAGAGAACCCCTGAAATAATCCCGCCACCAGCCAATCCAGCCATAGACATGGCAGTCGGTATGTATCTTTCTCTAGCCAACACCGAAATATCCCCGACATTCTTTGTGCCAGGTATAGATCTCTCCCATTTCATGGACGCAAATTAGCGCACCGAACGGAGCAGTCATATACAATCCATATTTTTGTGCCTTTTCTATTTATTTATTTTGTTTCTTTTTGGACCCCGTGGGCAATCAAGCCTTGGCAATCTTGCAGACGAGATCCTGGCCATCAACAGAGTCACCCTCCTTAACCTGCAAGCCAGACACTTTTCCGCTGTGGGGAGCAGAGATAACCATTTCCTATAGAAAAAATCATCGTTAGAACTGCGATTACATATACAATCAGAAGCTCAAAAACACATACCATCTTCATAGCGCTAAGAACAGCGATCGGGTCACCCTTCTTGACTTCAGATCCCTCGTGGACTCGAATCTCAACAACAACACCGCTCATCGGAGCGCCCACCTGGCTGCTGTCACCAATGTCGGCCTTAGGGCGGGCAACATTCTCCACGGAAGCCTTCTTGTCATCGACAGCGACTTGACGGACTTCTCCGTTCACTTCGTAGAAGACCTCACGCTGACCGGTCTGTTCCGAAAGAGGACCGATGGCGAGCAATTTGAGAATAAGGACCTTACCCTTCTCGAGCTCAACGTGGAATTCCTCGCCAATCTCAGGCTTGGCCAAGAAGTAGCGGGTAGGAAGAACCGAAAGATCACCGAACTTCTGAACGAACTTCTTGTAGTCCTCGAAGACCTTGGGGTACATGGCGTAGCTGGCCACATCATATTCAGTGGCGCCTCCAAACTTCTCCCGGATATCCGTCTTGATTTTGACGAGGTCCAGGGGCTCCAAGAAGAGCCCAGGGCGCTTGTCAAGCTGGCGGCGTTCGCGAAGTGCCTTGGAGCGCAGAGGCTCGGGGAAACCGCCGTAAGGCTGGCCCATGAGACCTTCCAAGAACTCAAGAACGGATCCAGGGAAATCTAGCTCTCCCGCACGGTTAACAACGTCCTCGGGCGTCAACTTGTTGGAGACAATGAACTGGGCAAGATCACCGACGACCTTGGAAGTCGGCGTGACCTTGACGATATCTCCGAGGAGATCGTTGGCGACTTCATAGGCCTTCTTGGTCTCGGCCCACTGCTGGCCTAGACCAAGCTGACTAGCCTGGAAGATGAGGTTGGTCAGTTGACCACCAGGGATTTCGTGCTCGTAAACTTCGGGGTCAGGGCCAGTGAGACCCGCCTCGAAGGGCGAGTACAGCAGGCGCAGCTGAGCCCAGTAGGTATCAAGAGCCCGCACTTGGGCGCTGTCAAGACCAGGGTCCTGTTCGGTACCCTCGAGAGAAGCCAGGATGGCACCGATGCTGGGCTGGGAGGTCATTCCGGACAGGCTGTCAGTAGCAGCGTCAACGGCATCAGCACCGGCTTGAGCGCAAGCAATCATGGACGCCACACCAGTACCAGCAGAGTCGTGGGTGTGGACGTGGATAGGAAGGTCGGGGTAACGCTCACGGATACCACCGATCAGAAGACGAGCAGCCTGAGGCTTCAGGACACCAGCCATATCCTTGATACCAAGCACATGGGGCTTAAGCGCAACGATCTTGTCAACTAGGTTGAGGTAGTATTCGAGGTTGTATTTCTTCGATGGGTTCAGCATGTCACCGCTGTAGCAGACGGTAGCTTCGACGACACCTCCAGCGGCGTGAACTGCCTTGATACCGACCTCGAGCTGGTCAATGTCGTTGAGGGCATCGAAGATACGGAAGATGTCAACACCGCATCGCTTGGCCTGCTTACAGAAGTGGTAGATGGCATTGTCAGGAAGGGAAGAGTAGGCAACACCGTTGGCACCACGGAGTAGCATCTGGAAAGGAATGTTGGGAACTGCCTTGCGCATCTTACGCAGACGGTCCCAAGGGTCCTCGTACAAGAAGCGCATGGCGACATCGAAAGTCGCGCCACCCCAGCACTCAAGACTGTAGGCATTTGCGAGAGCGTGGCTGGTCTCGTGCGCGATGTTCAGCAGGTCAATGGTACGAACACGGGTAGCGAGCAGAGACTGGTGGGCATCACGCCAGGTGGTGTCCATGATCAAGCAACCCTTGTTGGCCCGCACGGCCTTGGCCCAAGCCTCGGGGCCCTGCTGGTCAAGGATCTGCTTCCAGCCCTTAGTGGCGGGGGAAGAGACATCGAGTGGCTTGCCGGTAGTATCGTGGAGAATAGGCTTGATAACGTCGCCCTTGAGCTTGGGCTCGCCGATCTGGCCCTTGACGCTGCTACCGTTCACAGCGACGTCACCAAGGTAAGCGAGCAGCTTCTGAGCACGGTTCTGGCTGCCGACCAGGGCAAACAATTCGGGGGTATCATCAATAAAAGTGGTCCAGCAGGTGCCATCAGTGAAGGTAGGGTGGCTAAGCAAAGAGGTCAAGAAAGGAATGTTGGTCTTGACACCACGAATACGGAACTCGACCAAGGCACGAACGACCTTGCGGCGAGCAATTTCATAAGTAGATCCACGGCAGGTACACTTGACCAACATGGAGTCGTAGTGAGGGGTGATAATGGCACCAGCGAAACCGTTACCACCATCGAGACGAACACCGTTGCCACCAGCGGAACGGTACACCTCGATCTTCCCAGTATCAGGCGAGAAGCCCTTGGAGGGATCTTCGGTAGTGATACGGCATTGGATGGCAAAACCGCGGGTAGAGATGCGGTCCTGGGTCAAACCGAGCTGCTCCAGAGTAGCACCAGCAGCGATCTGGATTTGAGCGGCAACGATATCGATGCCAGTAATTTCCTCAGTAATGGTGTGCTCGACCTGGATACGGGGGTTGATTTCAATGAAGTAGTAGCGGTTTTGCTGGTCAACCAAGAACTCGGCAGTACCGGCGTTGCGGTAGTTGACGGACTTGGCCAGCTTGACAGCATCAGCAAGGATACGGTCACGGACATCAACAGGCAGATCCTTTGCGGGTGCGATCTCAACGACCTTTTGGTGACGACGCTGAACCGAGCAGTCACGCTCGAAGAGGTGGACAACGTTTCCATGGTTGTCACCCAGCAGCTGGACTTCAATGTGCTTGGGCTTGTCGAGGAAGCGCTCGACGAAGACCGTGCCGTTGCCGAACGCCGAGCGAGCTTCCGAGGTGGCACGCTCGAAAGAGTCCCGCAGATCAGCCTGACTCCGGACAACACGCATACCACGGCCACCACCACCAAAGGCAGCCTTGATAATAATGGGGAAGCCGTATTCGTCAGTGAATGCCTTGACTTCCTCATAGCGTTCGACGGGGCCCTCAGTACCGGGGACAACGGGTACATTGGCCTTGATAGCTAGCCGACGGGCAGAGACCTTGTCACCCAGGCCATCAATGGTGTCGGGAGTAGGGCCAACAAAAACCATGCCCGCCTTCTCGACCTTCCGGGCGAACTCGGCGTTCTCTGACAAGAAACCATATCCGGGATGGATCAGATGCACACCATGTTCCTGGGCAATCTTGACAATCTCATCAATGGCAAGGTATGCACCAACGGGAGTATATTGGCCCCGCTTTCCGATCATGTATGCCTCATCGGCCTTTTGACGGTGCATGGAGAGTCGGTCTTCGTGGGAGAAAATGGCAACTGTTTGAAGTGACAGCTCGTGGGCTGTTCGGAAAATACGAATGGGGATCTCGCCACGGTTGGCAACGAGGATCTTCTGGAACTGCATGATGGCCGAATTGGCCCGCAGACGGTGGTGGACAGAGTCCCTGTGCTGGTGGTGGTGGTCATCGACGAATTGCGTGTCGTCGATAGCCTCCTCGGGCTGGGTCTGAGGGAGAACGGTAGACATAGTGTGTGGTGGTGATGAGGAGGGAGGAGGGCGGAGGCGAGGGGAGGAGGTAAGAAAAAGCTCGGGGGAGAAGGCAATTAAGATTGACAGGAGATAAAAAAGAGATCGAAAGGTTCTGGAAGAGGCCGGAAAGCTACCCGACTTCTTGAAATAGAGTCGGGGCACCAGAAAAAGAGCAGGAATGAGTCACCTGAAGGGGGGGAGGAGCTTCCCGGCGGGAGAAGGGAACAATGGCTATATGGAGGAGGGCAAGAAAAAGGCCCGGTGTCGGACCGGGAAAGAGAGGAAGGCTGCGGGACGATCAATTGGGGGGGGATGCAGGATGAGAGCTGGGAGGAGGAAGAGAATGAGGAGGCAGTACGGCGGAAAACTCGACGGAAAAGGTTGCAGGCTTGCGATGAAGTTGATGATAGATGAGGAGGAACCTTTGGGAGGGGCGGGCAGCAAAACGGCGATGACGACTGAGGAGGATGAGGAGGAGGGGCACAGCAGATCGTCCAGGTCGGGAATGGCTGTCAGATCGAGCAGGTGTTTCCTACAAATAATTTATATTGCAATTATACATAGTAAAAATAATTCTGGCTGCTCACCGGCACACCGGGCATCTCTTGAAGTCAAGTCATTCCTTTTTCTCCCCCCATCCGGCCTTTTGTTCTCCGTCTCCATGATGCAATCTAGTTGACGGTAACTCCTGTCTTTCTCCCCTCAGTCGCAGCCCAGAATCCCTCGTCTCGGCCTACGATAACCGAACGGTCGGGTGCTTCAGGAAGTGAAGCTGTTTCGAACGCCTACCTCGGGTACTCGGGTTAATGCTCCCCATGATTATGATTCTGAAGCATCTGGCTGGTCTGGAAGGTCCCTGTGCAGCGCGTGCTGGAAACGGAAATCCGGCAGGACCACCCAGCCACTGGGAGCACAGGAGTCCTCTGCTCCGGGTTTCGACCGGGCCTCGGTCTGGAGTCGGTCAGACTTGGGCAGAATCATGGATGAAAGATGCCCCAGTTTTGATCCAGTCGCACTAGAGGGGATCAACGATGCATCCAGCCTGGTTCGTGCCTCATGAAAAGGTCTCGTGATTCTGTCCCTTGCTCTGCTTCGTCCCTGTTTACCCACTCGGGCCACTTGAGCTGTCCCTCACCAGGTCACGGGAACCACTGTGTCAAGCTGCTTTTAAAGCCCAGACGGGTCAAGACTCCCTGGACCTTGTCTCGGCGTCTTGGGGTGGGCGGCGTCTCCTTTCCATATCATCACACCGGAGCTGCTTCCAAGCATACTTCATCCACCTATCCACGGATCCCCTCGATGCATTCCCCATCCAAGAAGTTTTTTTTTTTTTTTTCTTGGCTTTGTTTCTTGTCTATCAGATGATTGATTGTCTGTAAATCATGACTATCAGTACTGCACATCCTCTGCGTGCCGTCTCGACTCGATATTAGGCTTTGTTACTCTTACTATTATTACTCCACGTTTTGCGTAGTACACCAATTCGGAAAATGCTATTAACTAGTAACGCAACCTAGGAGGTGGGCCTAGGTCACCAGACAAGTCGAGAGAATCGAGATTCATATCAGAAATACACATGATGAGAAAATAAAGAGAAAATAAAAAAATTTAGCCCTCAAATACAATCAAGACGCGCTTCTAAAAAGGTCGAAATCCCGTGGCCTGCGGCGTTATCCCATTTGCCTGTCCATAGACAGGAGGTGCGGGCGCCGCTGGTCCCTGCGTCAGCATGAGCCTAGAACCGCCCAAGATTGGCGTGTTGTCTTCGTCCTTCTGTTGTGTCACCTCCCGCGACTTCCGCTCCTCGTTATCCTTCTTTAACATCTCAATCGTCCGTGTTTGCTCACAAAGGAAGTTGATCATAAATGGCATTGTGAAGTCTTGAAGGCCATGTCGCCATGACAACTCCAGGATCACATCGGGGCGAATCAGCTCGTAGCATGCATACAGCATGCCAACGTAGCATTCTCGGCTACCAATGTCCACAAACTATCACTGGGTTAGCAAATGTGAGAATAAAAAGGGAATTGAAAAGTAAGGGGCTTACGTAGCGGAGGAGCTCCTCAACCACATCGGACTTGGCAGAGATAGCGGCCGTCTCAATGGCGTCCTTGTAAAGCTTGTCTTGCTTGGAAAGCTCGATTGACTTAGCCCAACGCTTGTTGTTGCGGTAGATGTTCGCCGCAATCTGGCGGAAAAAGATGAGGTCGTGCTTCTCGAGGCGCTGCGCGAGCTCCACGGCGTCGAAGTTATCATGGTTGTCCACTGAATCACGAAGAAGTTTGTAGTCCTCTTCTTCGATCAACAAATCATTAATGGCATCGTTGACCGCCCTCTTGTTCTGTGTCTGGACGTTCAGGAGGAAAGGCTTGATCAGAGGGATGTTGTCCGACGTCTTGAAAATGCGTACAACACGGTTGACGTCGATACGAGGAGTCAACACCTGAAGCAGATCGGTGAGAAGCAGAGGCTGCTCTTGCAGGTAAAAGTTGAGTGCACGGTAGTAAATTTCCAAGTTGGCGACCTTGACGATGATGTCCTTGAAAGAGTGGTGCTCCCAAGCATCGGCAGCACGCTCCATCATAGCAAGAGCAGCGTTGTCCCATTCATCGTAGTGGCAGTACAGGAAAACGAGCTCGGGCCAGAGGGTAGCCTCCTCGCAGGCCCGGATCATCTTAGGGATATTGATGCGGGACCAGAAGAGCTTGAGGTGCTCCATGACACGGTCAGGGTGGTACTTGGAAAGAGCGATGCCCAACTCGGTGAACATTCCCATATGTGCACGCTCCAATCCCAGGCCAGCTTCGAGCACAGCAATGAGCTCATCGAAGTATCCGTTGCGCTCGTACTGTCGGACAAGATCTTGTAACTCCTCGGCGTGTACAATGAGGTTAAGACCACAAATTTGTGCCAGGCGGAACTCCTTCTTGTCCACACATGCCTGGTTGACCTGCTTCCACACCTTAACGCTGTTGGCCTTGCGGGCACACTCGACGGCTGCTTGGTAGTCTTCGAGGTGCACCAGGGTTGTGGCCAATTTGGCCCAGTTGGAGATGCTAGTGAAGAAAATCTTAGCGGCCTGGTGGTAGCCCTCCTCGTAAGCTTTGTCACCGGAAGCCTCGATGTCAGCAACGTTGGTTGATCGCAAGAAGTCTTCAAGCTCTGCAAGCTGATCCAAACGAGCATAGCAAAAGGCGAGACCCGTGTCGATGGCTGGCTCCCGCAGGGTCTTGCGGGCCATCTTCAAGTACTTAACAAGATCCTCATCCTTGCCGGCGTGTGTTGCGGTTTCGATGACCTCGTTGTAGTTGGACGGATCACCGGCATGGATGTAAGACTCAATGGAATCAGAGACACGGAGGCCATCCAACTGGGCCTTCGCAACCTTGCTCCATACATCGGGCAGCTCAACGCGTTCGGCAAACTCTTGTGCGCGGTCAATGCTGACAATGTTCTCAACCAAGACATTAACAGCGGAGCTGTAGTTGTTGACCTTCTTGTAGATTTCGAACGCCTCTTCATACAAGCCAACAGAGATACACATCTCGGCGATCTCGTCGGGGCTGAATTCATTAAGCTGGTGGATATAATCCATAAGGCGACCCTTGTCGGCCTTGGCAGCAGTGAGCATCAGCAAGTTCTGCAGACTGCCATTGTCACTAAAAGGAGATGGCTCAAGGATGATCTTCTCGAGGAGTTCAATGAGATCGCCGGGAAGGTCCGCCTCGAGGAAAGCCTTGACGGCAATAGATACCTTATCAGGTTCGGTAGACTCTGGGACAGCAGTAGCAACAACCTGGTCAACCATGGATCGGCGGTGCATGTTGTTCTCGCTCAGTACGAAAGACCAAATCTCAGGGTCGGCTCTTTCGACAAGGTAGCGGGCCTGGGCCCTGTACATCGCGTTTTCATTTGTGATGTTGATGAGATCCAGGTCATTCTGACCCTTGCGGTAAGAGATGTATGCAAGATTGGGGTCACGTTTCTCACAGTACTTTCCAACAACCAGAGTGTCGTACAGGTCGTTTTCTTTGAGGAACTTCTCTGGGTTGTTGTTGCTGTCAATGTAGATCTTTGCGAGGGCATTGTAGACTGCCTGCTGCTGGTTGCCGGTGGCAAGAGTCGCCTCAAGGAAGGGCAGAAGGAGCTTGAGCCTATTACGGGTTTCGACCTCGGAAACGAGCTCATCAATGGGTATCACAGATGGATCGACGGTAGACAAAAGGTTCTTGATGATGCTCTCGTCACAGTCGACGTCAAGCAGTCCTCCGACAACAGCGGGGGTACGCGAGGGGTTGACACGTTGCACATACACCTCGATTGACTTGTACTGCTGGTTCTGGTAGAGGTACAGGACAAGGTCGTGAACGAAGTTAAAACGGTCGCACACGGTGATGAGTGGCAACTGTTCGGTCAATCGAGCTTCCTTAAGGAAGTTCTTCACCTTCTCCGGGTTGTAGTAGTTGCTCTCACGACAGATTCGCTCAACCTCCGAGATCTGGTTCATTGCAGTGGCGGCTTCAATGTACTTGAAGTGAACCTCGGGATCCTCGGACAGGTTGACAATACTTCCAAGGTAGTAGTAAAGACCCTCGGCGGTGCGGTACTTCTCCAAGAGACTAATCAGACGACTGGGACCAAGAAGGTCTGAGAATTTTGTGCAGATCTGAACGACAGCTTGCAAGTTGTTGCGGATGTTGACCTCCAACATAGTGTCCATGCACTCCAGGGTCTGCTCGACGGAAAGGCGGCCAATGAAGTTCATTAGCCACTCGGTGTTCAGCTGATCCGTGCGAACGATGTTGCGCTTAATGACGGCGGAGTCGTCGGTGTTTTCCAGGGCTCTTTGGATAAGGCCAGCGTTCTCGCAGAGTTGAGAAATGCGGGGACGGTCATAATGCGTGAAAATCTCGTTTCCGAGAATAGCGTCGGCGACTTGGGGTGCGTTCACGAGGTTCATTTCAAGCAACCGGGTCTGGAGGTGGCCATGCTCGGGCTTGTTGTCCTTCAGAGCATCCAAGAGGAAAGACGTAGCCTGCTGGACCATATTCTGGGAAAGGAAAACATCGACAACGCGGTCAAGGTCGATTAAGGCACCAGACTCTTCGTTGGCGAGCTGGGTCGCGAATTCAGCACCTTTCTCGGGGTTCACGCGAACTATGTGCTGAAGGAGCTGGGTGTAGTCTGGTTGGTACCCAACCTGCTTAGAATAGGCAAGGATCTTGTCGAATTGGCCGGTTTCTGCAAAACCCGCGATGACTTTGTTGGCAACATTTGCCTGGAGGTAAATGCTGAGAGCCAGGTTCATGTCATATGGTCTGACAATGTCACCCAACTCCTCAGAGCCTTCCAGCTTGTTCTCACGCATCCACTTCTCCAGCAAGTGTTTCCGGTTTTGCTGTAGGACAGGGCGGACAAGCTCAATACTTTCGTACTTGTTGAGTGTTCCCTTGTCCAGCAGCATACCGAAGTACTGCAGAATGACGGACATTTGCCCAGTTTGGGGAGCGTTCTTGAACTTGTTGATGGTCTCCGGCGTCCGCAAGAACCCTCTTGGGGAGTTGGCAGCGATCTTGGCAGCTTCCGAGTAATTTCCCTGAGCAAGCAGGCTGTCGAACTGCTGCTGATAGAGGTGGTCGGCACCCGGGAGTCCAGCCTTGGAAGCTAGCTTGACGGCTAGACCAGACATCGCTGGGTTTTCCATCAAGTACTGGATGACGTTGCTCTCGTCGACACTGACGGACAAAACTTGACCCTTGCGGTTAACACCAACGAGACCAGCGGAATCGGCATCAGGAGCAGTTGTGAAGATCGTCTCGCTAGATATCCGGTTCATGAAGATGCAGGTACCAGACTCGAGGTCATAGAGGTGAATGAAGCCATACTTGGTGACCAAGTAAACAATGTCATACTTTTCAGAGACTTGCATGGCAACAGGGAAGTCGTTGACTGCCTCCTGGGGGAAGTATACCTCCACAGCCTTCTTCTGAAATCTCGGGTTCGGCTCTTGGTGGTCGATTTCGGCAATCTGCAACTTGGCCCCGGTGGGCGTCCGGACAGCAAAGGAAAAGAGCTTGTGCTCCAGGGGAGAGCCTTCCACACTAATAGAAGCAAAAGCGGCCGCATGTCCTTCAATGAACTGTGAAATCCCGCGTTCCTTGGAATACAGCTGCATTGAACCAACAACACGGCCCTGCTGCTGGCTAATTCCGACAACCACCATCCACTTCTCCTCATCGTTTACGCGGTAGTTGATGATTTGGCAGCCCTACGAACCAAAACACTGTCAGCACTCGGGGTTTCACCCTCTATAGTTTCTCATCGCGGGAATACGTACGCTGAGGTTCGGGAGTCGGTCAAAGACCTTCTGTGGCTGAGACTGGGTGGGATCGAAGACATCCCAGTGGTAAACCGAGGTGTCCGTAACCATACCCAAACTTTGCTCGCTGAACCACTTCCAGTACACAACATCTTCATTCATAACGGCAGACTTGAGCTTCTGCTTGGCTGTGAGATCGAAAATTTGGATCGTTCGACCTTGGGCCTTGAGGGCAATGATGTTCTTGGACCAGTGCATGATAGCACTGTCGGCGTTAATGGGCCGCTTGATGACTTCATTGTTGTTCTTCAAATCAATGATGATGACTTGCGGCTTGTCTTCTTCATTAAGTTTTTGGCGGACACAGACGAAGTGATCCGATTCTAGAGTCTGTATGACGTACAGGGGTTAACGGCGTGGATAAAAAAGCGGCTGCCAATAAACCACAGGCAGCAAATGCAAGATACAACTTACACATGAGTTAAAACCAATCGACGCCGGCTGTCGAAAAATATTATAGTGTTAGCAAGAGGGCGGACATCGCGTATCGCACATTCGAGACAACAGTAGGGACAGGGCGGAAGGAAGGCCACGGAACAAGCGCGCAGGAGCAAAACATACCGCGATTTCGGCATTCGTCAACTGTAAAAAAACTGTCATTAGCTTTTTTTGGTTCTACACACGTAGAAAGCGATCAGGGGGAAAGGGGCTCACATTAATGAGCTCCGTGAATTTGATGGGAAGAGGAGCCATATTTACAAAGGGCCGCAGACGACCTCATCCACCCGAAAACGCCACGCAAATCAATCGGCTGAAAGACAAGTAAGGTGTAAAAAGGACAAATTGAAGGCTGGCAATAAGGGAGAGTAAGAAGAGATAGGAAGAAAAGGAAGTGGAGTGAGGAATGGAGATGAGGAGAGGTGTTGCTTAGCAGGGAAACACTGGGGAAGCGGAAGGCGACCTCAGGAGGCAGCCTGGGCGTCGTTGCTGAGGTGTCGCTTATGCCGTCGTCACGTGCGGCTGCCCGGTGCCTGAGCTAGTCTGCCTGTCAAGCAAACGGTGACCTGAGGCGTTGAATTCAAGGCGAATTACTTCAATTCAACTAAGAGAAGAAATTTTGGGGTAAGAGAAGGGTCAAGTAACTTGAGTCGAGTTTTGAGTGCCAAATAATGGACTTGGTTGCACAACCTGGCAGGAGCTGAGAACTATACCTTAGTAGTTGATAGCTCTGGGCGATTGAAGCAAACGGCGAACCAGAAGTAATCCATTTGATGGGTAAAAAAAAAAAATTGGGTTGTCTTCAAATTAAGGAGATAGGGGAACAAATAGTTTGGATGTGATGGTTGACTGTTCCACTCCCTGCGCTTCCTGGCTGGAAATTCTTGAGGGGCGAGCCAGCGATTATATACACACACCACTTAACTATGAACGATATACGAGGAAACCCCCCAGCCCAGGAAATATAACTTCACTTCTTCTATACGAACTGACGCGTATATTCGACTTGACTAATAGAGATCTAGAATGTCACGAGAGCAGCTCAAAGCTCCTAAAATCTGTTGCCTGAGTGTTTCAGCAATTGACATTCTGCGGCCAAGCAAGGGGCACTCTCCACAACTAAGGTTTCCACCCACGAGTTCAAGTTGGTGGCGGTTCTTGAGTGCAAAATAGAAAAACGAGGTCCATTGAAGTTAAACTCTACCGTATATGCTTATTCCTTATGGTTATTAAGTGCAACAGTCACGAAGATTGAGTGTGTTTATTTTGATTTTGTAGGTCTGGAACTGGGATATAGTGGATACCAGGAGAGTCAAGTTATATAAAGCTCGAGGCACCCGACACACTCCAACCACCAACCTCACTGCGCACTATCCACATAGTAAGTAGCCGAAATACAAAAGCTCACCATGGCAATCAATAAGGCCCACCATGATTATAATACCAATTGGAACAAAAAAAAGCTCTACAAAACGTCACGTGGTAACTCAAACCCGCGGGTATTCTTTTTTTAGTAAACTACCTTGATGCTGCAAACTACGAAGCTGCTCTGAAAATTTAGTGGTGGAAGAGACGAGTCCCCTGCTCAACAAAGGTAATGCCGAGCTTCTCCGCGGTCTCAAAGACAGGACCGTCGTTCTGGCTGCCGCTAGGAGCAGCGATGTACTTGACACCAGAGCGGGCAGCGCGGAAAACGTTGTCGATAAAGGGGAACTATGACACGAAAGTTAGCTATATAACGACGGGCTAAGCGACTGGGTAAACTTACGAAGGCATCTGAAGAGACGGCAACCTCGCTCAACTGCTCGAGCCAGGATTCACGCTCCTCCTGTGTGAATGGCTTAGGAACCTCCTCGAAGACACGCTCGTACTCGGCCTTCTCGACGTCGTTACGAGGGGTCTGGCCGGAGGTGAGTAGGTCAATAGCGTTGCTCTTGTCAGCACGCTTGGTACCGGCCTTCCACTTAATGTCGATTACACGGTCGTGGAAACGCATCCACCAGTTGTCGGTCTTGTCACCTGCCAGCCGGGTACAGTGGATACGGCTCTGTTGACCGGCTCCGAGGCCAACGACCTGGCCGTTAAGAGCATAGCAGACCGAGTTGGACTGAGTGTACTTGAGGGCGATCGTTGCCACGGTGAGATCCCGCAGGGCAGCATCGGGGAGGGCCTTGAGATCCTTGGGGGTGATGATGGTGTTGAAGGTCTTCTGGGGGGAGATCACAACATCGTTGCGGTGCTGGTTCAGCTGAATACCGTAGACAGTACGGGTCTCCTCTCCGGCAGGAACATAGGAGTCATCCATCTGAAGCACGAGGTACTTGCCGCCCTTCTTCTTGGACAGGATCTCAAGAGCTTCCTTCTCGTAACCAGGAGCAATGACACCATCGGAGACCTCCCGAGAGACGATCTTGGCGGTGGTAACATCGACAACGTCACTGAGGGCGAGAACATCGCCAAAGCTGGACATGCGGTCAGCACCGCGGGCACGGGCATAAGCCTGGGCAAGACCGGAGGACTCGATTCCAGCAATATCGTCGACCATGTAAACCTTGCGCTCCTTGTCACTAAGAGGGACTCCTACAGCTGCACCAGCAGGTGACACGTGCTTGAAGCTGGCAGCGGCAGGGTATCCAAGAGCCTGCTTAAGTTCCTTCACAAGAGCCCAGGCGTTCAGAGCATCAAGAAGGTTGACATATCCAGGGGAGCCGTTGAGAGCCTTGAAAGGAAGCTTGCCTTGAGGCATAGCGGCAGACGCAGGCTTCTGGTGAGGGTTGGTTCCGTAACGCAGAGAGAGGTGCTGTTCGCCGTTGCCAGCATATTGCTTGCGGAAGAAAACGGAGATGGCAGAGTCATAGTCCGCAGTGTGTTCGAAAGCCTTAAGGGCGTATGATCTCCGGCTCTTTTCTGTGATTTCACCAGCTTCGAGTTCCTTGAGGAATTCGGGGTAGTCCTCGGGGTCCGAGAGGATAGTAACGCGAGAGTGGTTCTTAGCGGCAGCACGGAGTAGAGTCACTCCACCAATGTCGATTTCCTCAACGGCCTCCTCGATGGTGACGTTGACCTTGTTGACGGTCTCCTTGAATGGGTACAAGTTGCAGACGACAAAGTCGACCTTGGCAATGTTCTGGTCGGCAAGGTCCTTCTCGTCGGATTCGATATCACGGGCAAGGATACCACCATGGACGGCGGGATGGAGGGTCTTCACACGACCACCGAGCATCTCAGGTGCGTGGGTGATAGCTGAAACATCTCTGGTGTCTGTCAGCCCCCGGACAGTGCACATAGGCAATGGTATCCCATCCGCCATAACCTCAATCACAGACACGACGGCAAAAGCCCATGTCGAAAAAGGATGGGTACGCACTCAACTGGGAAACCAGCCTCCCGAATCATCCGCGCAGTACCACCTGAGGCAAGGAGCCGGACATTGTGCTTAGCGAGGCCCTTCGCCAGGTCTAGGAGACCGGTCTTGTCGTAGACGGAAAGGATGGCTAGAGTAAGACATTAGAGTTAGCCAGACTCGTATCTCATTAAACAAAGAAGACACCAGGGATATATGAACTGTGGGGACAGAATTTCGACCCAAGTCCATACTTGGCGGAGGGGAAGGGTGATCCAGATTGTAGATTGTTGAAATCCAATACTCGAAGAAGGAATAAGCAAGTATTCAATGACTTACCAGACTTTTGCTGAGACATCGTGAGACGCTGAGAGATGTTCTGAACCCCAGAGTGAAGAGAAGAAGTCAAGACTCAAAGCCCCAGCCGATTAAGGAAAAAAAGTAAAAAAAGATTGGGAGTCAGAAGCTCCCCACTACCCCTCAATTATACAATTTTTCAACGAGGAGCTTTCTACACAGAACAAAAAATAGTTACGAACGTATTGATAGAAATCAAACCTTCCAATTAATCTTTTCCGCGACTCACACGACGTGAATTACCAATCTCCCTCGCTTTACTCCCATATTCACGTACCGTGGGGGGCCGCCGCTTTCGGAGCCATCCCCAGTATACACACTTTGCATAAATATGTTGACTAATCAACGCGGAGCACAACCACTCAGCAATTAACACGTGATAGTCACATCACATGACACTTACAGCACAGACCACTTGCGCCTAAACAAAACCGAGCGCCAAAATTTCGTCCCCGATTTTTCTTTTTTCTTTTCTTCTCACATGAACAACGCAAATTTAACATTCTTCAAAAAGCGTTCCTACGAGGGATCTACCTTACTAGATAGGTACCTATGAAGTACGGAAATCGTCATACAGAATGGAGACAGACTGCAATTTCTGCAGAGTATCGATCTTGGGTGCAGTGCCTACCTGGTCGAAAGACTTGCTGGGAGGGACTGCAATGATTGGTTCTACACCTTTCTTAATGGAAGTATATTACGCTTCTCGACGTAGGTAGTGCATCGGCTTGTACTTGCTTGGCCAGTGCCTTGTTTCACTCAGATTAGATGGTTGTTGATGACCATCCTGGCATCCTTTTGACTACGGCGAATTTGGATGTATACGAGAAAGAGCAGATGAGATCAGAGAGCCGGGAGTTTTGCTTGGAACGCATGTTCGCTTGTGGTTAGGTTGTAAAAAGGGCAAAAAACAAAAACAAAGACTCCTAGGAAAGTAACGGCCCTAATTAGAGTCACGACTTGAGCGTTTCGCGCCCGGATCCAATGGCAAGCTGCCTGCCGATGTTTCCAAAGCATACGCACGCGCAGAAGAGAACACTAGCAATCCACGTCCGAACCGCCATGCTCTCCTGTGTAATTCCTGCCCCCGGTGCAGATTCTGCCCCGGTACCATTTAGGAAGGGTATAGCGGGAACCGATGACTCTGTTGAGGGAATCAAATCGGGCTTAAGGCCTAGTAGAACTCCCATTCCGCTAATAGCGAGAATCGTCGATAAGATGAAACCGGTCTTGGTGCGGTCAATGAGGTACCACAAAACGGGGTTGACAAGGGCCAGCGTCAGCGAGGCTTGGGTCGTGGACTCCCAAGGGGTGCGGCGCTGTGGGAAACGTATACGTTAGCCTTTGCTTCTGCAACTAGTGTCATATGGGAAGGAAATTTTACCATGGCAAACGCAATCCCCACAAAAGCTCCGACACTGCGAACAACTGCGGGCCAGGAGATAGCAAAGTCTGCAGCATCCTGGTCATTGCGCTGTTTTTCCTGCGCCGTGTGACCGCTGGCGCCGTCCAAGTATGAATCGAACAAAGGAAGCGCATTCCCGATTGCTACTCCAGTGAGGCCCCAGAGTCCTAAATATTCCCATGACCCGTAGAAATGGGTGTACTCCAGCTTCACTGGAGTAATCCAGTGGTTTTCGTGAAGGTGGATGGTGATGATACCGTAAACCACGCCGAATGCAAATAGTAGCACACCCTTGATTGTCTGTGGGAGAATAACACCGCGGAATAGCCCATGGCTAAGGCGCGACCGGGTCCGAAGAACAGCGGCAGACTCTGTTCTTCCCAAACCTGGCTGGGCCGCAGGACTATCCGGGTGTAGAGGTTGTACGTCTGCTTCTGTTCCCCAGGCACTATCCTCATCACGAGTTCCCTCAAAGGCTGTGGGGGAGTAGATCCCGTATAACGTCGGCGACGTCAGGTTCATTATAGAGCCATTGCGACTGATGGCGGCCGAACCGGGTTCTCTGGGTGTCAATGTCCCTAGGTTCGAGGGTTCTGCGGGGGTGGACGACCCAGACGAGTCGTTGACACGGAAGGCTCGTTGAGGGCGTGGACGGAGAAGCGGAACTTCGTCGTCGGACATGATGGATGTGTCGAATGTCAAGCGCTGAAAAAGGAGGTGCAGAATGGGAAGTAGGCGATATTGTGGCAATCAGCGATGCTCAAAAAATCGAGCTCGAATTCTTAGAGCCCGAGTTTGGTATGAGCACGATTTAGCTCCTCTCGCCCTCTATAAAGCAGAATAAAGCTACCTTGAAGGTAAGGACTGCGTGATAATTGCGAACCGATCGCGTTGTAGGGGTTGGAAAGGGAAATGGTAGAGATCCGATCCGGAGGTGGAGTTTGTTGCTTCAGCGGCGGACGGCGGCAGACTGGGATTAATAACAGACGTTGGGAAGTTCCAGGGGACACAAAAAAAACAGCGAGAGTTAGTAATAATGGCCCGGGTTTCTCACAGGGATTGCAGCAACAGCAGAAGAGGAGAGAAGAGGAGAAATAATAAGTCGTGAGTCGCCAATGTGGAGCATTGGACCACACCTGCAGTCTGCAGGAGATTTCGACAGTAGTCGGGGGTGCTTGCGTTGGAGCTGTGAGCGCTCCCCAACTAAACTCCTTCGCAGAGGTTCCGTGGTAGTCGATCGTACCTGAGATTGTTGATTCGGATTTCAGACAGACGAATAGCCATCCAGACAATCTAGCTTATACTACATTTGTTGGGCTCCTCGGTAGTTCCCAGTCGTCTCGAGGTTCAACGGTTGGAGATGGCCGAATCATGTCACTGGTGCACCAACCACGAACTCCGCGAGTCATCTTCACCAACTCAGTTTCTCCGCGCGCCTATCTGCGGAGTTTTCTGTCGTCGATCATCGCTCCTGACTCCAATCCATGGCCTTTCCCAACCTCCAAATCCGCCTGGACGTCATGATGCTTGCGTCTCAACATTAACCTACCGGACTTGGCAATTCATGTGGCAAAGCGGATGGCGTTCAATAGAGTACTTTATATATAGCTACGGAGTATAGATCACGAAATATTTTGCTAAAGGTCTTTATCACAGTGTTTCCATGAACATTTCTGCCATTAACTTCTATTGAACCGCTGGCGGGCTGGATCTGTAAAAAATATAGATAAAGAATTGTGTAGAGAAGTAATAGTAAGAAAAAAACTAGTCTTGGAGAGGCAAGCATAGTTCATGGTAGATGCTACGCACACATCAGGGTCTAGCTTTTTGAAATGGGGGCGAAGAGAAAAAGAAAAAAGAGAAAAAAAGAAAAATCTCGAACTCCATACTCAATCCTGTCGCAACAAAGACATTAAAGTGTTTGTTTTGGTCTTCCCTCCATTCTGGTTACCTAGTAGTCGTTTGCCATGTCGACCCCAGAAGCGTCACTAGCAGCGTATCGCGCTGGACCATCGGGCATGGACGAATTATCGTCTGCCTCGCCCTCGACGTCCATGTCAACATCGCCGTCATCAAGATCCTCGTCTTCTCCATCCTCATCTTCTTCGTCAGAAGACAAAGCGTCGGCGTCTTCGTCAGCATCCCCGCCTAAGAAGCTATCCTCGTACCCTGCCACACCGGCCCCCGAGACCTCGAGTCCACGGGATGGAATATCATCCTCGTCAGCACTACCTTCGCCCAGAAGCTCCCGATCAATATCGTCGAGACCCTCTTCTCCTTCAGGAGCAGGCGACAGTGCCCCCTCCCGGCTTGGAGTGTCCAATCCCGCACTTGCACCAAGGGAGACTGCTGCCGCACCCTTTTGGGCCCTGTTCCGATTGCCTTTCGAACGAGATGCGCTTGTCTTCGAAGCTGCCACCGATGGAATAGTGCCCCCAGCCGCAGCGGCAGCTCGAGCGAGCTTGCGCTTAGCGTTGCGCTGCGCCCGAGCTCTACTTCGAGAAGAAGTCTTCCCGTCGATGTCGTCGTCAAAGACAAGGGCCTCCTCTCTTGCTTTCTGGCGCTCTTCCCGCTCCTTCTTCCGGTCTCTTCTTGGCCCATTCGCATTCTCGTAGTCCCATCGGTCCAAACGTCTGGAAGCTTTCCGGATGACTGACAAGTAATAACTTGCACATTCGCCAAAGTCCTCTTCTTCTTCCGGATTCGGTAGAAGTCCTCCCTTGCCCCAGGACTTATCATCTTCCGTGTCATAACCATCGGGCAGATTCTGCAGTAGACGACCATAGCGGGTAAAAGGCATCTCGTGCGCTCTCTTCGACCGAAGCATACGATATGCGTCACCTTTCCGTTTGGCTAAGATGTATTCAATTCGCTGCCGACGGTTCCTCTCAACAGCCAATTGGTGCTGGGTAAGCGGCCGGGGCCGTCGACTTGAACCCTGATGATGTGGGGAGGCTTCTGTGACAAATCGGTTCAGGACGGGATGGCCAGTTCCCGGGGGTGCGGGGGAGGCATCGGGTGTCTGCTCCGCTTTTGTCCTCAGGACAACGCGAGGCGACGGGCCTTCGATAACGGCACCCTGGTAACCATAATCCTCCTCTCTAGGCATCTTCATCGTAGAGCGGATTGACCCATCAGGGTTTCGCCACTCAATAAGGTCATCTGAGTCTGTCCCAGCCCTGTATGCATCTCCCTTGGCGTTATATTGACGGCCATGAATTTTAGTGCCTTTCAAGGTTTTAGTAAATGAATTCCTCGTAACGGTATATTCATTTGAGATTGACTCACCTGGATCGAGTTGCTTCAAGAACATGAATTCCCAGTATGGCACTGTAAAGCGAGAGCGTTAGGATGAACCCGATAGGTATGATAACATTAGGAGCACTTACATTTTTTAGGGCGCTTCGGTGCTCTTGGAGTTGGCTCCTCCTCCTCTAAGATCCCTGTGGATGAGGTTAGCGCCGATGAGGAGTGAATAAGGATTTCGTGATGACTTACTCTTGCGCTCTAGTCGTTTCTCCTCCCCATACTCAATTTCAGACGGGGTGTCAACGTTCTCCTCGTTCGCCTGCTCTTCGGTGAGGATATCGAAAGAGGGAACTTTAATCGGCAAGCCTCCTGTTCCTTCACCTTCTAGGCCCGGGCCGAAGGGGTTATTGAGGGCAGCCTCATGCGAGAAGTCACTCTCCAGATACCACCACATGAGCCATAGGAAAGCCTTCGCCCGGGTTTGACTGCTCAACGTGGATCGCATGACAAGATCAAAGAAATCTCGGGGAGGGAAGAAGTGCATCTCGGACACTTTTGGTGCGTATTGCGCAAGGACGAATATCAGGTTCACCGGGTTCGTACGGGGGATGTTTTCGCGTTTGATCTTATCGAGAGTATTTGGTTGATCCACATCTTCCGAAGCACCCTTCAGGATGGATTTGAGGCGGGGAGCATCCTGTAGTTGTTTATAGGCGTTGGGATCTTGGTGCGCTTGTAAGGAAGGGATGGAGTGGTAGGTTCGGAGCTGAGCACGCATTTCGGGGAAGACTGTGGTTTGAATAAGGTAAGAATGATCCTGGTCGGAAGAGCGAAAAGCAAATAGAGCAGAGAAACATACAATTGAGCGTTGTGTTCATCCTTCCAAAGTTGACCAGCAGACAAACCATGGCCATGCTGATAGCAGCCTGTTTGTCGCTCTGCAGCTTGTCCTTAAGGATCTTGCTGGTTTTGCTGCTCCTAGCCATAGCATCAATATAGATATCCGCAAAATCCAGGTTTTTCTCTCCATCGGGCCAACGGGTGAAGACCTGCGTCTTGTCTTCAAAGACAAGCTTGAGGAACTGGAACTGAATGTCTTTGCGCCAAAGGGGAATGCCGTCTTCTTTCTTCAAATGTCTGATTTTGTTCCCTGAATAGACCGATCCTATTGTGCCATTTGGTTGGCGTCTCGTGCCGACCGTCATGTTGTGGATTTGCTGTTCATCATGGGTTTCGGATTGCGCGAACGAATCGTCCACGCCGGCGCTTTCGACGTCAGCCATTGCGAATTCGAAGTCGCGGAGGTATCAATTCCAATTGAAATCGATGGGTTGATAGGAATCTAGTGTGAGATAATCACTCTTTAGCGACGTTTTCGACCACGTGCCCCGGGAAGCAAAGCGCACTCGGCAAACGACAGGGCAGAAATGTGAGAAGCTATAATGGCGGAAGAAGTAGATCGAGTCGCTAGATGAATAAATGAAATGAGAATGACAGCGGCGAGTGTAAAGCAGAGGAGAAAGGGAAGGGAAGGAAAAAAGAAAGAGATGTGCGGGATGAGACGGAAGGAGATAAAAGGATGGAAGGGGAACTGAAAAGAGCTTGAAGAAGCGTGAGAGAGCTGGGGTTGCTGCTTGACGCTGGAACGCGATCTCCTCAATCCATTTCCGTAAAGCCAGTACACGCCCCAAATTTGGTGTGAAATCCCACTCTCTGCCACAATCGCCTGTATGTTATTATACACAAGTGGTAATTCTGGTAATTTTCATTCACTGCCGCCGCTTTTGTTATGCGGCACGTGACTTCATACTGGCCACCAACTACCGACTGGGAGTACTTGAGTCCACGCACCGGTCACACGGCTGTTCACTGGTTCTAAGTATTGTTAACTATAAGCGGGACTTGTGGCTTCGGCATTTGTTTCGAGTCCACGGAACTGGAGCGATAACCTATTTCCAAGCGACTTCACGTTGGACAATTTACTTGATCTACACATACAGATGAGCATCAAACTTTTGGGGTTAAATTGTGACTAGCTCCTTCTCGAGACCTAGTCTCCATAAGCAGGGCCGTCTTCGACATATCCCTTTAAACCTGAACTGCTACTGACATGCAAATAGATCCATGATGTAACACGAATACCGCCAGCAACGCAGCTTCCAACCCTCCACTGATCCGAGTAATGATCATAATAAGAGAGATCCCGTTCAATGTCAGCCTCCACAAGACACCTGTGTAAATTTTGGTGGAACTAGCAGCAAGCCAACGCCAGATATAATGCAAAGAATCCCATCTCTCTATCACCCATGCGTCATGATTTCGTGTACCACTGCTTCGTAGACGTAGTGCGAAGAAACCAGTACTCGGCGAGGAAGGCCCGCGGTCTTCTCGTAGAAGAGGAAAACAAAATGAGAAATTAGGAGAAAAATAACATAAGGCCCTGGTTCCGTAGAAATCGACTTCTGTCCCGCAAGCCTTTCATTGCGCCAGAAATGACCTACTTGAACCTGAATAGTAGGCGGAGACCCAGGTCGGAGAAGGAGGTATGGTTTCGAGCAAAGAGAACATGAAAAAGGAACCGAATGCGAGCAAAAGAACACCCCCTTGAGGATACCGAAACTGATAAAGGGAAAAAGAACTCTATGTTGTAAGACACGGTCGATGCAGTTGCTGAGGAAAATCATAAAATGTACTTCGCTTCGAAAAAGCCGGAAAGCCTGCTCGGCACGCGTCGTCAATCTCCATATGGCCGCCTAAGAACAAAATGGGTATCTGGTAAAAGCGGTTGTAGGAGAAAGTCAACGCAGTCTATGATGTTCATGCAACGCCGGCTCGAAAGACTCTTAACCTCGAGTTGGTGTATAGTCAAGAGTAAGACAAAGAGCCCAGACCACATCGAAATCCATGTCTAAAAACAAAACAAAAAGAAAAACGGACATCGACAAAATTTCAAAATGCGTAGGAAAGGAGACAAGAACACCGCATATTGCTCAAGGGGGATCAACAGGAGGGGAAAAAAAATCTAATCGAGTCGTCGCAGTCGTGACAAAGCCGGAGCTGAGAAGTTGTAGAAAGAGAGCAACATCTCAGCGCTTGTTCTGATCGTATCCCATGACCATCAGGTAGGAAGCAATAGATAAAAAAGAAGAAAGGAACCAATCAGACCCGGCCGCCGCGTCAAAACCACAAGCTCTCGTTTACCACCAGGAAGAAGGCCCGGTAGGACCGGAGGGGTTGCCGTAGCCACCACCACCCCCACCGTAGCCGCCGCCGTAGCCGCCACCATAAGAAGGAGCGCCGCCGAAGCCACCACCATAACCGCCAGCAGGGGCGCCGAAGCCACCGCCGCCATAGGAAGGAGGACCGCCCATACCACCACCCACACGACGCATGTCGCGCGTGGCGTTGGCGCCGCGGCCGCGACCTCCCCGGCCTCCACGGCCACCATATCCGCTACCTTCACGAGCGATGCTCTCCAAGAATGAGGGTACTTCCTGATGAGCTTCCTTGAGAAGATCAATCAGGTCACGGACAACACCGCGGTTGCCACGGTTGAAGAAAGCAGTGGCAATACCGGTGTTACCGGCACGACCGGTACGGCCAATGCGGTGGACATAATCGTCAATGTCGGTGGGAAGATCATAGTTGATAACGTGGGTGACGTTCGGGATATCAAGACCACGGGCAGCAACAGCTGTGGCAACAAGGATTGGGTAGCGACCAGAGCGGAACATCTCTAAGGCACGCTCACGCTCACGCTGGGTGCGGTCACCGTGAATTGCAGTGGCAGGGAAACGCTGGTTGATAAGGAAGTCCGACAGGGCATCCGCCATACGCTTGGTCTCAACGAAGATGAGGGTCAGACCAGTGGTGCCGTGAGTGTGAAGAATGTCCAAAAGGACGGAGCGCTTGTCGTGATCCTCAACGTATTCCACCTTCTGGGTGATGTTTTCCGAAGTAGATCCAACACGACCGACAGACAAGAAAACATAGTCCTTTAGGAAGTCACGAGCCAACATCTGGATATCCCGAGGGAAAGTGGCCGAAAACATGAGTGTCTGACGGTCGCTGACACTTGGCATATCTTCACCCTCTACAATACGGCGGATCTGGGGCTCGAAACCCATGTCCAACATGCGGTCAGCTTCGTCAAGAATCAAATACTTGATGTTGACCAGAGAGATACGGCCTCGCTCGATGAGATCGACGAGACGACCGGGTGTAGCAACCAGAAGGTCACAGCCACGCTCAATCTGACGTAGCTGAGAGCCGATATCAGCACCACCGTAAACGACACAAGGGCGAACCCATGAGCGGTAGGCGAATTTCCGGGCCTCATCAAATATTTGAGAAACAAGCTCACGAGTGGGGGCCAGGATCAACGAGGTCGGGTATGCCTTACGCTGGCGGCCATATTGACCAGCCGCTGAAGGAGGGGGAACCGCAGGGCCATTTTGGTAAGCCTGAGACAAAATGGGGAATAGGAAACCACCTGTTTTTCCAGAACCAGTCTGAGCGCAAGCCATAAGATCACGGCCATTCATCACAATGGGAATCGAGTACTTCTGGACGGGCGTGGGAGTCTGGTATCGAGCAAGGCTAATGTTCGAGATCAAGTGGTCATCCAAGGGAGGGTTGGTGAACGTGTTCACCGGTTCAGGGACATCATGGCCGGAAGCCTCAACGGGGATATCATCGTAGTTGGCGAAGTTGATGCCAGTGTTTTGCTTAGAGGGGTCGTTGGGGATACCGAACAGTTCGCGTTCCACACGGGGGTTTGCGGGACCAGGGACATGCTTGCCGTCGCGCCACTGGCCATCTCCGGAGCCGCGGGCAGAGGCTCCAGCGTAGCCGCCTCCGTGACCTGGGTTTCCGTAAGCATTTGGGTTGAAAGATGGGCGACCGCCTTCAGTGGCGCTCCAGCCGGTGTTGGTGTTACCATTGGGACCACGGGGACTGAAATCAGGAGCGTTGGCATTAGCCCAGTTACCACCACGAGGGCCTCCTCTGCGTAGGAATTATAGTCAGTTATGTGGTCGAATCGAGATTTTATGAAATCATCGGGCTAGAAACGGCGTAGGCCGATGGCACACACATACCTAGGGCCGCCCCACGAACCCCCAGCGGGGCCTGGGGGAGGAGCAACGTCCGCTTTTGCACCAACTTGGCGCTGACGGAGGTGTGGAGGGATGTAGGCAGCGCGGCCTCCACCAGAGGGGTTGGGACCTCCAGGAGCGGGCGCATGCTGAGAATCGTTGAGGGTAAGGCTACCCATGTTCAAGCCGTCGGCCATTTTTGCGGTATTTCAGAGACTGATCAAATCCACCACATGTAAGTCAAATGAACCGCAGGAAACGCAGGAAAACCAGTCGGAAGGGACGTACGATGTAGAAGAGGCGGAGAAAAGGTGATTTTCTCAAAAGAAAAAAAAATGCGTATCTGCTCGTGCTTCGAACGAAACGAGAATACTTGAGATACTCGAGGTTCCGTACAAAAACAAACTGTAGAATGCGAGAGCAAAGAAGATTCCCAAGGCTCTATCAGGGAGTAGAACACAGGAATAGAGGAGCACAGCAAGAGAAAGTGTTTAAAAGACAGAGAAACAAGGTTATCTCCTAGACCTAACTTTCTATTAAGTGCAAAAAGGGAGGGGGAAAAAAAGAAAATCGGTAAAAGAAAGAGGTGATTCGGAGGTCGGGTATTGAAAAAAAGGAAAAGACTTTTGAGTATGAGGTCTTGAGAAGAAGGGGTTTAAGGAGGAGGATGGGGAGGAAGAAGAAAAGAGAGTAAGAAGGTTTGTGGGAGGAGGAGAGGAGGCAAGAAAGGCTTAGTCCGCAAGTGTCAAGTCAGGCTCTGAGGGTGTTCAGCAGCGTATTAAATTACTGCCAGTGGGCACTACGCAAAATGGCAGTCCAGTATTACTGTATGGCTATTATTCTTTGCTGGTTTAAATTGCCATCTTGTTACTCCGTACCAAAGCCAGACTTTGGTTATTTCCAGCCAGTGGTTGGGGTCCCTTTTTTTTTTTTTTCCCTTCCCTTTTCCACCGACGTTGTACGGATAAAACGAAGGCAAAAAAAGACACCAAGTAAAATCGCAGTCCACCGCCAAAAGATCGGACTGCCAATCAAAACACCGCTGAAGCGCAAAGGGCTGGCCACTCCCTTTCCAAGGATTTGATCGGACGGTTTCTCCAGGTCTGTTAAAAGTCTTGCAGAGGGGAAGTACCCGGATCCGAAAAAATCTCCATCGTAATCTTGACCAGCCAGGTCTTGCACAGACTATTTCGTTACTACTATGTGCTTGGTGGTGCATGACTGCATGTTATACTGGGGTACAAGATATCCTGGGGGTTGTACGGCCTCTACGAAACCACCCAAACATGGGATCCAAAATTATACGTGTAACAGGGACCCAGCCAAGTCTTTTGCCCGGCAGGATCCATTCTACGGGCGACATCATCGAACGGTTGAACCTGAATTCGTGAATGCGCTCTTAACCTAAACTTGCCACCGCCTGTCATGTGACCGATATTGCCACTCGGGCATCGAGGCTGCGATCCGACTTGAGCCCTGGGCGAAGTACGAGGCTTGGTAAACTATGTATTTGGAGATGATAGTACTCGGAAATAGGGTACTTCATGAATATTGTAGAGAGCGTACGAATTTATGAACAATCCATCTATTCTAGACAATGTTCTTTTCCTCTTCCTTTTTGTAAGCGCCATTAAACTTACTCTTGTTCTTCACTAAAAGCACAACCACACCAATAACAACGACGAGCATTGCGACTCTAGGAAACATGGAAGTGTGGTCGGAAGTGGCCGTCGCATCAGTTGCTTGGGACGGTCCATAGGGTTCAGACGGTTTGCTGCTCGGCATAGCTTTCGATCACACAACCCATCAGCATCGGGGCTTTTTTGATATGGCGGGTACGGAGCCGGGAACTGCTCTATAGCTCTTTGTGGCTACCTTTGCTATCATCCTCCTCCGCGCTGGCATCGGCCTCGAGCTCAAGCTCGCCGCTCTTAACAATCTTGACGTCCTTTGTGGGCTTGTTGCCAGCGCGCGTCGGGACGCTCTCAACCTTCTCGACGATGTCATAGCCCTCTAGAACCTCACCGAAAACGACGTGCTTGCCATCGAGCCAACTGCGCAAGTGGTCAGACTCATGCTCCATAATCAACCAAGTCTAGGATGACTTACGAAGTAATGGCGGTGGTGATAAAGAACTGGGAGCCGTTGGTGTCCTTGCCGGCGTTGGCCATGCTCAGGATTCCCTTCTTAGTATGTCTCAGCTTGAAGTTCTCATCCTTGAACTTCGCACCGTAAATAGACTTTCCTCCGGTGCCTTTTTTTTTTTTATAATAATTAGTGATCACGAATTTTTTATACTTGTATGATCGGGGTTTAAAGCCTTACCATCACCCTTGGTAAAGTCACCACCCTGAATCATGAACTGCGGAATCACACGGTGGAAGGTGGACCCTTCATATCCGAACCCCTTCTCACCAGTAGCGAGGGCACTTGTATATTAAAGTCAGCAATGGAAAACCATAGATATGCGCAGTACTGCTAAGCGCCATACCGGAAGTTCTCTGCTGTCTACAATCACACGTTAGCGGAAGTACCGAGGCGAATAAGAACGGGAGATTACCTCGGGGACGGTCTTGCCGTACAGTCCAAGCACGACTCGGCCCAATTTCTCATCGCCATGCTCAATATCGAGATAGACCTACAGGGGTCAAAGCGTTAACATTGCACCCACAGGCAAGAAGGAGGACCGGAGGTGTAATGGCTCACCTTGCTGGTAATCTTAGGTCCACGAGGCTCACTGGCGTGGACGAGAGCCAGGCCAAGGGCCACGACCAAGAAGAAAGATAAGAAAAGGTTCTTGAAATTCGCCATTGTTTACACAATTTCCCAACTGTTCGAGGAGATAAATTGAGGGGGAAGTCGGAGACCAAGAACTCGAGTGGTGAAGGACAGCTTGCGTTATCAGGAAGCTATAGCATTTGGGGAAATAATTACTGTAATTAAATATCTATCTGGTAATCTATTACATTACTTACCGAAGAACACTAACAAAACATCCTAAGTTAGCAGGAAGACTTATTGAAACTTACAATAACACATACCGGAAGAACGCTATTGCGATACTGATTTTCTCTCCTCACTTAGCATCCGAAGCAACAACCTTACAGCGCTTGAGAGCCGTCCCATCGAGAAATCCAGGAGACAACTGTAGTCAAAATGGTACGTTGGGCTACAATTTCTAGATCTTCACAATTGTCAAACCAAGGGACTAATATTAAACTAGGTTTTCATCCTCGGCGTGAACTTCCCGGAGCGAAATCTCGTCCAGGCAAGCACACCCTCCATCAAATCTCAATACACCAGACCAAGAGTCTAACTGGCCTTCTTTTTATACAGAAATCGCTTCAGAGCTTCTTTGGTGTCGGACCACTAGTCTCATCACGCATATTATCCCGCTTCCACATCCACCCAACATGTCGAGTCGGCGAGCTGGCCAACAAACAGGTCCTTGATCTCACGGCGGCACTCTCAGATATGAAAATCGAAAACGATCTTCGGAGAAAGATTCTTGATGATATCAAACGCCTAAAGGAGACGGGTACATACCGTGGTCGGCGCCATGCGTTGGGATTGCCAGCTAGAGGCCAGAGGACAAGGACACAGGTTGATTTACTCATGCTCTAGTACCAGGATTATGAACGCTAATCTGATCTCCTCTATGTAGACCAAAACCGCGATTAAGCTCAACCGTATGGAGCGACGACTTTGAATATGGCCTTCTGGGTGCTAGCCTTGGTCTGCTTGGATCGCTCTGGTAGCAGGTTTATTGTGTGAGGGCATGGCATGGCGTTGTATTCAAATGTATTTTATTCCAATTTTGATTCCCCTAGGATTCCACTAAATGTACTATATATGAATGGAATAGCTTTCTCTTGTTCTCAAAGAGACCTGTAGCATTGCCTAAATTTTTTTAACTTACACTTCACACGCCAGTTCTATTTAGGTACCCAAAACTAACTAGATGACAACACGCCCTCGCCGCGGTTTATTTGAATCCGCTTGTCTTCACCAGCGCTCACTATACCCACTTCGCGATCCCAACATACACTGAAAACTTTGACACCCTCTCCACCCACGCGCTTGCTGTTTGCCTTACCCTCTTCCTCCAAACTCTTCCGCGAGATGGAATACACACTTTCACCCACAGCCCCGCCTTTGTCTGTTTTCGTAGCACGCAGATCCCAGATTCGGCATGTGCCATCGTGACTGCCACTGATAAGACCATATGAGCTGTTGGGATCCCGTGCGAGAGACACCACAGCATTTGTATGGCCGCGAAGGGTCATGGCGGAGATAGTTGCTGCCGATGCACGCGGGTCTATGAGAGTGATGTGACGGGCAGATGTTCCAGTCGCGAGAAGGTTGTGATCAGGCAGGTGCTGGAGCGAAAGAAGAGAGTGGGACGTTGTTCGTGTATCCACAAGTGCCGCAGTGACAAGATCCCATGTGCGCAGCGAGTGATCCCATGACGCAGAGTAGCCGACCGTAGAGTCATTGGCGTCGAAGATTGCATCTGAGACTGGTGCAGTATGGGAGGATAGAAGCGCCAATGGCCCGCGTTGTGAGACGCTCACAGAAGCGTTCAGCTTCCTCCTCTTGGATGTCCTCGACGCAGCTGATGGGAGAAGGTCTTCAGGGGCGGCCGGTGCCTCGGATTTCTTTGTCGACCAAAACCCGACGCTGTGATCTGCTGAGGCCGAAAGGATGCGATTTGAAGGCGCGTGTACGGCTAACGAGTTGATCCCTGATTTATGCCCGTAAAGCTCGAGTTGTGGAGCAATCTTCCCCGAAAACCCATCTTCACTTTCGGAGTACTTCCAAACGCGCACTGTACGGTCGAGGCCGGCCGACACAATCGAGGTCGGGGTGACGAATTTTGTGGCCTTGATAGATGAGGTATGCCCGCCCTCAGTTGGTGATGGCGATGTTGCGATCACTTGAGAGGACATATTCCACACACGCATGAGGCCATCGTAGCTTCCTGAGAGGATCCGTTCCTGGCCTTGTGATATAGCGCTTGAGCCAGCCGCAGCAGACGATGATACAGAAAGCACATCGACTGAGCTTACCCAGTCATCGTGCTCAAATGAGGCGATATGCAAAGGTGGGATTAAGGCTCGAACATATTCAATCTCCAAGGTAGTTTCCGCTGAGATTCCGTTGGCCGTGAGATATTCATCGATTGAAGTCCGGAGGAATGCTCCGTTTATAAGGAATTCAAATGGGATGGGTTTGTCATTGCTCAAGAGATTATTCACCAATGTCGAGAGAGCGTATCGCTTCAGGCCTAGAAGCATCAAAATTTAGTATTCTTGTCAACCAGAATATATAATACTCGAAGGGGACTCACCGGTAGGAACTAAGATCGGGCCTGTACTGTCGGGCAGTGCGATGTCTTCTTGTTGACTGGTGAGCTGTACACGCACTTGTCTCTGTACGGCCTGCGATGAGTCCGCCGCAGGATTCTGACTGGAATCCATCTTGAATATGGATTCAGGTAAAAGAGGAATATATGATGGCAATGGTGAGGTCTGCGCAATCGCGGGCAGAAACAGAAAAATCTCCGCTTGGCAATAGGAAAAAAATTACGGTGGGCGATGCGGCCATTTGCGCCAAGTGCGGAAGATTCCCCGCATAGTATGTACTCGATCTGGACTCTGGAAGAACAACCCAACACGCTATCAAAGATATACATGCTTCAACGTTCTATATACATTATAGGCCCTTGGAGACCCTTTTGATCTCCGCGATCGCCTTCCGTCTGTAGTCCGACTCTGCAAAAAGTGCCTCAATCAAATCAACAACTTCGCCGGCTGAGAATTCGAGGGACAACTCCCCCTCCACCCACAGAAATTTGATGTCCGCCAGCGAGCTTTCGAGTATATTAATCAGATACTGGAACTTCAGCCAGTTTCTCACGTAAACGGCGGTCATGGGTACCGGCTCAGCGTTGTCCGAAGCCTGAGGCATAAACAGATTTTCTAGCCTTGAGAGTTGATTGCAGAAGGAAACCAGCTTCTGAGACTGCGACTCAGATATATCACCCAAATCCTCGACATCAATGATAATCTTGTCGGTTACGGTAGATACCAGAGACCCAATGGCTTGGAGCAGCGCTGAGTGTGAGAGGATAGGCTGCCACTCTTTGTAAACATCCCGCACCCGATCCACCGTTGCGCTCACAGCGTTTTCACACTCCCCAAGAAAAGGCTGTTCAGAGCACTGAATGAACCCCTGTGCACCATCTAAGAGGTCTGCAAGGATGGTTCGCTGTGTCTGCATTTCTTTGCTATATGCCAATTTGCCAAATTTTTCCAGTGCATCGATGTCGCCATGGAGCCTTGAGAGCTGATGGTCATCGGCGACCTGGCGTACTTGGTCCGAGAGATATAGACTGTCATTATAAAGATACATCTGGCCCGCATTGAGCTTGATACCATAAAATGACGGCGCTGTTGCCTTGAACATAGCAAGTATCAGTGTTGGCAGAGCAAGAAGGCCAGCACCCGAGGACGATACGAGCGTGTTAGAGTGCCTGGTTGGTATGCTGTGTTAGCTAGTTAGGTGCTGACTCAAGGGGTTTAAAAAAAAACATACGGAGGTTTGGATATGGTCTCAGAGTCTGAGATTTGTTGCCGGATAATTCGGATTATAGAATCAGGTACATCGGTAATCGTATAATTCTCCCTCAATGTTATCTCCTTGGGATTGGTCCGGGTTCCTGTTTCATTGTCTTTGACAGGTTGTTCTGCAGTTACTTTCTTCGGCGCGGCTTTTTCTGCTGGAGCTTGATCATCTTCGTCGTCCTCTGCCCACCCCCAAGCATCCCCGGCTTCATCTTCATCAGCATCTGAAATATACGGCTTCGTAGCCTTCGTATCGTCCGTATCGTCGTCCAACCCCCAGGCGCTGACATCTTCGTCGGCGTTATTTGCGGTTTCTTCTTCTTTCTCGTCGTCCCAGCCGGCATCCCAGTCATCTGAGGTTGAATTGTCTAATAATACCTCGTCTGTTTCAGAAACCTGCCTCTTTTCGACTCTTTCTACTTGCCGTGTGTCCCATTTGCTCGCAGCGAGCACCTGTCGAACCTGGTCTAGAGAGTCAACCCTTCGCCTCGTGAGCCACAGACGTGGGGCTTGGTTGGCCCAGGAAACCAGTTCCTCTTGGCCGTGCCAGTCAAGCGACTTTATGGTTTTGGTGAATTGGAGGACGTGGTTTAGGGTGGCTTCAAACTCGTCCAAACCATCGAGTTCCGTAGGTATCGCAGACGACAGCCAGTGAGATATAATCTTTGATGAAACTGCGGGGATGAATGAGTCGGAAAGAGAGGTTAGGATGGAATCAGGTAGAGAGTGGCGAAGGAAGCTAAATATTCTGGCAATATAGTCCAGGACGTCTGAAACCGAGGCAGGCGATGGCTCGGGATTGATAACAATTGATGATTCCTCGACACGGATCCCATGAATGTAGCCACCCATGTTAGGAAGTAATATGGGATCTAGAATGTCGAGAAACAAGTCTTTCTGGAATTTGTCGCTCGCTGCAGACAGCTCATCCAAGCGAGCTAAAGCGGAGATGGTCTCTTCCAGAGCCTCGACTGTCCTTTTTTTTAGTAATGTTGTCCATCGGTTAAGACTGTAAACGACCTACCAGAAATTGTCAGTGTTCCCTGCTTTTGGTCAAGCTCCAAGTGTTTGTTCCAGCGAGTATAGAGCAGGCCCACAATTTCTCGTCGCACCTCCGCAAGGTTTTCCGACAATAAAGTCATTACATTAGCATGCTTGAAACAGCTGTCTAGGTTTATGGAACGTTCGATCGTCTCTAGATTGTCAATCGCAGCCGTAATTTGGCCATTTTGACAAATGGCTCGCGTGGCACCGAGTCGTTGACAGAGGCCCTGAACCTCTACCAGCGTGTCCGTCACAGCCTGGTTGAATACAATTTCTTTTTCGACTAGATCAACCTTTGCAGCTGCATCCTCAACCTTTAACTGTAGCGGCTTCGTGACTTCATGCTGCTTTACAATTTCCCGCGCAGTGAGTCGAGACCGTTCGAGGTCTGCATGAAGCTGTTTGGCCTGCGAAATCCAATCGTCGATAGCAAAATCATTATCCCGACTTAGTGAACTTATTTCTGTCTAATTATCAAGATAGTCAGAAAACTGTTGGCAACTAATACTTGGGTATTCAAGACCAGAGCTGGTCACGTCTCCTACCTTCACCTGGTCTTTGGCCTGCGTAATAAGCTCCAATTCTTTCGAAATCGCCGATGAGGGAAGCTTTGCTGCTACAATATTCTCCGAGTCCGGATATGTGCTCTCAGCGGCGAAATCTAAAATCACATTGCATATCTCATTCTCCGATGGTTGGGTTGCCATGTTGAATCGTGTCTTTTAACGCGGTTTGATTTTGAGAGGGGCCGAGACCACCACATAGAGAGATGGAGGTCAATATGCGCTTTTAGGGACGTCTCCAGCGCAAAGGTATCAGTAAACGACCCGATTTGAGCAAAAATGCCTGCCCAAGTGCTTGGTTGACCAGCATCAAGGTGAGAAGGAAGCAAGCTCTCGAACCATAGCAGCCATGTGACTGCGGAGCTTTGGTGCTGACCGCCTTCCCCCAATTGGGAGCAAACAAAGTGGAATTTGTGCCGCATGGAGGGGTTCTTTCAGCACCGCCGATATTCATTCTCGGAGGCCTCAAAGCACTAATCCTTGGGATATTTTGTTTCCGGGTGATCGAAGGGTCGCCTCAGCTCCGTTGGAACGGTGATCTGGAAGACAAACTAAACCCTCACTGGAATACGCTTCCCTGGGCCGAGAAATATCCCTCCAAGTACAGCAATCGTCCGCAACAACAGAATAGCCAGTTTTATTAATATCAGGGATCATCGTGTTTTCCCGCTTCCTCTCGCAAAGCCTGGCTTGGGCGCTGTTTGCTCGAACCCTGTGAGTCGTGACCCGATACATAGAGGGCGCCCCGCCATTGCCCACATGCATGTTGGATAAGCTCATCTAGAAGCTTGATGTACTTTTCAAATCTTTTCTATTAAGATTTCTTCATCTTTGTTTCGCTTTTACGATCTTGTTGCTCGCTAGTTTAAAATTCGAATCCTATTTTGGCTAATAGATTAAACGACATATCCTCTACTCAAGTAACTAATCTTCTTCTCGTCCAGATTCTCCCTCTCTAAACCGTCTACACCACCTCTAATTCCTTTAAATATTTCAAGTCTCTCAATATTCGCCAAAATGCCTGCGTCTCGGGCAAGCCACTTTAAATTACTCCAAAGGTTCAAACCAGACTACTCACCTAGCGAGTTTGTCCAATATGAATCGCAGAGAACGGGCATGACGGTGGTTGTCATTGACCAAAAAGGACCTAAAGTGAATGGTTATTTTGTTCTGGCGACAGAGATCCATGATGACTCCGGTGCTCCTCATACTCTAGAGCACCTTGTCTTCATGGGATCACGGAACTATAGATACAAGGGATTTCTTGACAAACTTGCCACGCGATTCTACTCGAATACAAATGCCTGGACAGCCACAGACCACACAGCATACACTCTGGACACCGCGGGCTGGGAAGCCTTCTCGCGCATGCTACCCGTCTACTTGGAACATGTGATTGCACCAACCTTGACAGATGAAGGCTGCTACACCGAGGTTCATCATATTGATGGTACTGGTAACGATGCCGGTGTTGTGTATTCGGAAATGCAGGGAGTCCAGAACAATGCTGCCGAGCTTATTGACTTGGAAGCGCGCCGCTTGACCTACCCTGATGGGGTAGGTTTCCGCTACGAGACTGGAGGAATGATGGAGCAGTTGCGAGTCCTCACAGCTGAGAGAATCAGGGCCTTCCACCGTGAAATGTACCAACCCAAGAATCTATGTTTGATTATCACCGGTGAAGCCGATCATGGGGACTTGCTGGAGACACTGGATAACTTCGAGGACACCATTCTTGACGTCATTCCAAGTCCGGATTCTCCGTTCAAACGACCCTGGATTGATTCAAAACAGGCCCCACCGTTGTCCCAGTCAGTAGTCAAGACGGTAGAATTTCCGGAAGAAGACGAGTCCTATGGAGAGATAGAGATTCGTTTTCTGGGACCAGATTGTACCGACCCTGTGCAAAGTAAGTTATCAAATTTTCAAATTATGTTTTGAACGAATGTTGACAACTTCATAGCCGGCGCTGTCAACATTACCCTTCTCTACCTGGCTGGCTCATCCGCGGCTCTCTTGGATAATATCCTCGTCGAAAGAGAACAGCTTGCAACGGGTGTCTACTATGCAACAGACGATCGCCCTAGCCTCGAAATTCGCTTCACTTTGACCAGTGTAGAGACGGAGAAGCTAGCTCAAGTTGAGAAGCGATTTTTTGAAGTCCTAAAAGAGGCGATGAACAAAGATCTTGATATGAATTATCTACAAGAGTGCATTGATCGCCAAAAGAGGACATGGAAGTTTTCCACGGAAAGCTCCGCTTCGTCGTTTGCAGAATATGTCATTTCAGATTTCCTCTTCGGAAAGAAGGATGGCTCGACCTTGCTCGATGTTACTTCCTTGAAGGAGTACGACATTTTGGAAAAATGGACGCAGGACGATTGGCGCCAATTCATTCGAAGGTGGGTCGCCGATGCACCTCATGTCACCATCCTAGGAGTCCCTTCTTCAAAGATGTCCGAGAGTTTGAAGAAGGAGGAGGAAGCTCGTGTTGCGGCGCAAAAAAGCCAGCTCGGCGACGAAGGCTTGAAAAAACTCGCTGAAAAGCTTGAAAAAGCCAAGGCCGATAATGACAAGGAGATCCCAACAGAAATGTTGGAGAGCTTCAAAATACCTGGAATAGAGTCCATTCATTTCGTGGAAACTACAACCGCCAGATCCGGGGCTGCCCTACAACTCGGCCGTCAAGACAACAAAGCTCAGCAAATTGTGGATGCTGATGGGTCAGATTTGCCCGCATTCATTCACTTTGAGCATATTCCTAGCAGCTTTGTTCAACTATCGGTTCTCATCTCGGCGCAGTCTGTGCCAGTGCAGCTACGTCCGCTTTTGTCCGTGTATATGGAGGCCTTCTTTAATCTGCCTGTCGAGCGTGATGGTAAGACCATCGATTTTGAGCAGGTCGTCGTCGAATTGGAACGGGACACTGTCGGGTATACCATAGAGGGTGCTAGAGGCCTTGGTAACTCGGAAATGCTACGCATTTCCTTCCAGGTTGAGCTAGAGCAGTACAACACAGCAATTGGTTGGCTACAGGAGCTTTCCTGGAACTCAATCTTCGACGTCGAAAGGCTCAGAACCATTACAAGCAGACTTCTTTCCGATGTCCCTGATGCTAAACGGAACGGTGATGACATGCTTGCAGCCGTCCATGTCATGGTTCACTATGCGGCCGAGTCCATTGTCCGCGCGCGCAGTACTCTAGTAAAAGCACGATACCTCAAGAGAATCAAGAAGCTGTTGGCAGAGGAACCGGAAACGGTTGTTTCCCGTATGGAGGAGATCAGAAATGCCCTTTTCCAATTCGAAAACATTCGAATCCTCGTCATCGCTGATCTTGAGAAACTATCTCACCCAGTCTCAGCCTGGAACTCGTTTGTTGACCGGCTTGGTGCCAGTAAACCTCTCAAGCCCATCACAGCTAGAAGGTCTCTACTCAGCCCGGCAGGCCAGAAACTAGGCGGCGAAGCGCACGTCGTTCCCATGCCTACTATTGACTCATCCTTTGCCTATGCCACAGCCCGCGGTCTTGACTCGTACGATGATCCCAAACTCCCCGCACTCCTAGTGGCAATTGCGTATATGAATGCCGTGGAGGGCCCTCTCTGGGTTGCCGTCCGCGGCAAGGGACTGGCTTATGGCACAAACTTTGCATACAACATCGACACAGGGTTCGTGAACTTCGACGTTTATCGTTCTCCAAATGCCCACAAGGCATTTGAATCAAGCAAGGAGATCGTAGAGGCCCATCTCTCTGGGGAAACTCCATTTGACCCGTTGATGCTTGAGGGTTCAATCAGCAGCATCGTAGTCAGCTTCGCAAACGAGCAAGTGACCACTGCCTCTGCGGCTCAGGGGAGCTTTATCCGACAAGTTGTGCGGGCTCTGCCCACCGACTACAAAGAGAGAATACTCCGACAAGTACGCGACATTAATGTCGAGGATATCAAGAAGGCGCTGCGCGAGATCATCCTACCCCTTTTCGCTCCGGAAACTGCCAATATCGTGATTACCTGCACGACTGTGCTTGAAGAGGTATGCTATTATGTATAGAAGGCTATAAATGAAAACAACTAACAATATCTATTAGGCTATAGAAAAGGGTCTGAAGGGATCCGGGTTCTCCCCGAAGGTGCAACCGCTAAAAGAATTCGAAGACGACTATGGACTCAAGATTGGAGATGACGAGGATGACGATGACGATGACGATGACGACGACGAGGAGGATGAGTCCGGATCGGAGGAAGACTCTGAAGATGATGACTAGTAATGTTTTATGACTCGGAATGTGGTTGGTTTAGGTTAGTAAGTATTGCTGCTGCCTTCTGTATAGAACAAACCTGTCCTCACAAGTACAATCCTGAAGAAGTTGCTTGTCAAATTCAAATACTGTATGTAATGCTCAGTCCAGCTGTTATAGACGTGCCTTTTGGCATTGCATAGTTAAATCCGGAACTAGACGCCGACAAATCCAATGTACATAGCCGGCCGATATATTCCAGTTCTATCGTACTCTTGATTTGTATATTAAAATATGATACAAAGAGGACAGCAGGCCCTCGTCTTCTTTCGAGCGATCCAACAAACCCATCCCTCACTCATCACACCTTGGTTTCCCAGATGAAGCAGGCGAGTCAAGTCAGACCTCGTCAACAGAAACCGAGCAGTCGATTCAACAGGTAGATATACAATAATCCCATCCCATCCATCCATCTATCCAGTCTAATCCGCAAGCCTGGAACGAAGCAACTAAGAAGAAAGATCACCAACTCATGCTCTTCCGGCCCTTATCGCGCCGCCGCGCAATAATCTTCCTCCCGGACTTAGTCCTCAGCCTCGAAAGAAACCCATGGCGGCGTTTCTGCACCCGGCGCGACGGGTTGTATGTGGAGCGCCTTCCAGCTAGAGAGGAACTAGCAGAGAACGAGCGGGATTGCTGGGCGATTGCGGAGGTGACTGGAGCGAGTGATTGGGGCTGTTGTGATTGACTTGGGAGCGCGGAGAGAGTTGGTCGTGTGGGAGCGATGGTCGATGTTGCGAGGGAGAAGGGTCGGGATTGTGACGCGCGCGAGAGCGAGGTGAGGGGAGAGAGCGCGGGGATAGCTTGTCTGTAAGTCAAGGAATGGGATGTTAGTAGGCTGTTTATTGGTGAGATATACGGGTTGAGGCTGTTGCGGCGTACTTCGTTATCGAGGACGTAGCTGTCCTGAGCGCAGAGGGAGCTGCCCTGCACCGGAGGCAGAGCATGGTGGCTAGTGGTATGTAAGTGGATTAAAAAGGTTAATCAAATCGAGGACCGAAGCAAAGACGACGAGGGAGCCTTCGCTCGTGAGGAGGCGAGTTGTTTACTCCGGACTGGGTTGGCTGTTTCAAGGTTGAAGGGTCAAAATTCGGTGATCAACTCCAGGGCCGGTGCACGTGCCATCTCCGGCATCGAACTTTTTTTCGAAGTCCCCAACCCATGACCCTGCTACCACACGATATCACTCAACTTACACTTACACGCTTTGTGGGATACTCAATTAGAAGCCGCCTTTACTGAAATATCCTCGAATCTACCTCTCATTATCGCATCTCCCCCGAAAGTCTATATCCAAAGCCCTATTCATTATCCCAACTGCCGCATCTACAAAAGTTCAAACCGCCAAACGGCAAACGCCGCAAGAAAAAACTACAGCCGCAAAAGATTTTTTTTTTTTTAAAAAAAAAAAAAATCAAGACAAAATGTCCGCGCAAGATCCTACCCCACTACCGCCCACAACGATTCTCTCATCGAAACCTATCTCCCAGTCAGTCGCACACGACTTCCTGGCCGCATACTTGGACCGCGCAACCACAGACCCAGCGCTACAACCAAATGCCGGAATTAGTGAGCATGGCCCTGTATCACGAACAACAGCTGCAGCGCCGAACATAATCCTACATAATTTGAAGCGCGTGCAGGCCGGGCTTGCGGGGGAGGTGTTGGGTAGGGATTTGGCAATCGCGGAAATGAAGGAGGGTGCGCAGGCTCAAGCTCAGGCACAAAGTGGAAATGGGGAAGGGTCATGGGAGGACAAGAAGCAGTTCGAACAGGAACAGGGAGTTGAAGGAAATGATGTTAACGTCGGAGGTGAGGAGGCAATGGAGTTGGATAATACAGAGGCTGCAGACGAGGGGAATGCAGCGGGGACTCTAGATAAGGAGGAAAGAAAGAAGCTGAAGAAAGAACGGAGGAAAGCTGAGAAGAAAGCGAAACTGAAGGAGGCAGACGAGTAGAACCTTCGTTATGACGGGTTCGATTTACTAGACTAGACTTACTGGGTTCAAAAAGCATGAAGGCGCATATTTGGGCATAGATTTAGGGCTTCAAGGTTAATTCAATCATTTCCTTAATTTATTGGACGGCATCTTTTATCTCATTCAATTTCTTTTACTGATAAGGTAACGTTTGATATCCAAATAAGTTTCCTTGTTGCAAATCTCAACAAGGTGAAACAGATTCAACGTTTCATCAAGCTATCATCTTAGAGCTCTCGGTCGCTAGCCTTGACAGGCTTCTCATCATCTTGGTCCTTGAAGTCCGTGACCTTTCCACCCTCCCAGCCTAGAGCCTTGAGTCTCTCGGGGAGAATGGGGTGAGAGTAGTGGTAGCTGGCATACATCCAGTCTGCATCCATGGTGCTCAGGTTCTGGATCTGAAGCTTGAGGAGGGACTGGGAAAGCTCCTCTGAATATCCAAGGTTCACAGCAAATGCGTCTTTAAAAGGTTAGCATTCAGGATCAGCGAAACTTGATATCTTAAGTACATACCGGCTTCAAATTCAAATTTGCGACTAAGGATGTTCATTAGGAGCTTGACGACAGCATCCATGGGGGCAAGGGCATCAGAAAACAGGAGGAATCCAATCATGATGGGATGCTCATGGTGGAATCCGAAAGACTGGTAAAGTGAACTGTTGTTCACAAAGGCCGAGAAAAGTGCGAAGATGTAGAACATGTGGAACTGAATTAAAAGTCAGCTATGAGCTCTGCAAGTTCGCATAAATTGGTAGTAAAGGTGAAAAAAGCAAACATACTTGAGCAATACCGAAAAGCTTGGTGGTGTGACTAAGGCTCCAATGGCCCAACTCATGGCTCAAAACAGCGACAACTTCCTCGGGCTTGCTCTTCTCAATCAGAGTATCGTAGATAACAATGTGCTTCTTCCAAGGGAGACCATAGAAATATGCGTTGCTGTGTGCGCTCCGCTTGCTTCCATCAATAACGTGCAGTTCCTGGAGCGGGAAGTTCAGCTTCTTGGCCAAGTTTTCAACGCCAGTCTTAATCGCGCCGGGCTCGAGAGGAGATAGCTTGTTGAACAGGGGTAGAATGACAATCGGGTAAATGGTAATGGCGAACACTTGAACGAAGACACCAAACAGCCAGAGGTAGTAGAAGCACGAGTTGCCGGTCTTTTGAACAATCTTGAGCACGGCGCTGATGATGGGCGCGCCAAGAACGATACCCAGCATTTGACCCTTTAGCATGTCGGAGATCCAGAGCTTGACCGTTTGCTTGTTGAAGCCAAACTTCTCCTCAAGCACAAACGTGTTGTAGTAGGAAACCGGGAGAGAAAGAACAGTACTGATCAGGTTGAATCCAAAAATGAATAGCAGAGTCTGCGGGATCTCGCCCTGGAACCGAGCCGGAAGGTATCGTGCCAACAAGAGACCGCTGACCCCCCATATCTTGGGGAGGACATCACCGTAGATAAACGCAAGATTCTGGATTTGACCATATAAACCAGAAAGAAAAGTAAACTTGGCCTTTGCGCGACCGTACGACTAGATTGTGAAACAAACAACGTCAGTCGATATGGGCCGGTTTTTGATGCGAAGCAGTTGAAAGCTTACCTGACTCTGATCATAAACCTTCTGAGAGACTTCGGCCTCAAGGACCTTTGGGGGTTTGGTGCGCTGTAGAACCTTGTATTGACGCAGCGACAGAAGTCCTTCAAGGACAAATTGACCCAGCGAAAAGCCGACGAGAACGTTCTTCCATGGGAAGAGAGGGCGGTCCAGAAGACGCGCCAGTTGCTAGAATAGCCACGATCGTCATTAGGAATTTGCATCAAAACCGCCCACGAAAGGCTTTTCGAATAGACACGGCTGAAGTTTGAATACTTACATCAAGTACCCACATCATGAAACTGGCCGCACAACAGCGGGGGTATTTGCAAGGTGTTGTGTTGAAGGGGACAAAGGACAGCCTGGAGGACACGGACAAGTCGTCAGTGATGCAGCCTTAAATATTAGTCACCCTCCGCTGCAGATCATCACAGCGGAGCGCGGCCGTCTGCAAGACATCTAGGTACGGATATGTTGATTTCTATATCCAGACCAATTAATCAATCATGGCCCTACAACGACATCCATTATTCTCATCTAAGTTCGTTGCATTTCGTAATCCCCTTGAATAGCTCGTCTAACTGTCCATAGAAGTCGAAATCAAGAATGCGATAGGCACAATATAAACAAGTTTTTTCCCACCCCTGAAAACAGAACAGCGTCATAACACTCGTCAAAAGAAGTGGCCGTCTCTACTGCATCCTTCTGCCTGTCTTTTTGATCATCCAATCAACCCGCTATAGATAAGGCGCCCATGTTTCGCGAACCGTTCAACGGGCCGACCTGCATGGAAGAACCCCACGCGTTCTTGTCTTTGAGCTTCCAGCGGGCAGAAGAAGTGACAAGTAGACCTTCAAACGTTCTCTATTCGACATGACGTCTGATGTGCTCATTATAACCACAACGCCTCTTCCTCTTTTGACCCCTATTACCAGGTTTCCCTGGCAAAGACGGCCTCGTTTTCCTTCGTAATCCCCTCCCGAGGCCTGACCTGAACTTGACATCAAGTATCCTTATCTTAGTTGACAATGGGTTCAAGGGTGTTACCACTATTTAGGGTTAGATAGACGCATCCTGAAAGGAGGTTGGGGCAAGGCTGTAGGGGTCCCAACGCAGGGACAGTAGACTTACGCGACAATGTTGGCCCAACCGATTAGACGCCAGTGCTTCTCGATTCTTCGACTAATGGCAATCTTCTCGCCAACTTCGGTACAAGCCGGGCTAGTCAAGCTCAGCTTAGCAGCATCCGCCTTAACACCAATAACTTTCGCACCAGTAGCCGTAGAGCCGATGTTAACCATGAGAACTTCGTTCTTGGCCAGCTTGGCAACCTTGGCCTGCTTGCCATCGGCGGTCTTGACACCCAGGAGTCGGCGCAACAGGAAGTAATTAACCTCGAGTTCAGTGTAGATGGCGGGCAGTCGTCCACGGTGGCCAAGAACGAAACCAACCAGACGGTCAGCACGACAAAGTGTCGGGTCAACACGAGTACCAACACCGATCAATCCACCGGGAACAGCGAATTTCAAGTCATTGTGTTCGGCGTAGAGCGATACGACACGCGAAAAGATGGGGCGACATTGGATTTTGCCATTTTCATCCTTGGTTACAAGACCAGGTCGAATTTCAATTTCATCATCCACCTTCAACACACCAGTCAAGATGGAACCACCAGCAACACCACCCTTCAGCTCATCAATTTCCGCGCCTGGTTTGTTCACATCGAAGGATCGAATAACCATCATGTGGGGGTAGGCTGTGAAATCACGAACAGGAACGGGGATATGTGAGACCAGGTACTCGTTTACGGCATCGATGTTGTACTTGAGTTGCGCGGAAATCGGGATGATGGGAGAACCGTCAGCGACTGTTCCACGGATAAATTTAAGGATCGACTGGTAATGCTGCAAGGCTCCATCTTCCCTCATCAAATCCACCTTGTTTTGAAGAATGATAATGTGGCTAAGCTTCATGATCTCGATAGCAGCCAAGTGCTCTGAGGTCTGGGGCTGAGGGCAAGTTTCGTTTCCGGCAATCAAAAGAAGAGCAGCGTCCATGACGGCGGCACCTGACAACATGGTACTCATAAGAATATCGTGACCGGGGCAGTCAACGAAACTGCGTTGAACCTAGGTTAGTGACCTATCACTGACTTGGGAACCGGCTGCTACATACGAAACGTGTCTTAAGAGACGGTAGTGACCAGAGCATCCATCTCTTTCGCAGGGTGGGTCGACCTCCTTCTCACTCTTATAACTCTTGAAGCATGTCGGCCGAGGGCAAGCGGGGTTGTCGCACTTGTAGATTTTCGCGTTGGCGTAACCCAATTTGATGGTAATGTTTCGTTCCAACTCATTCTTGAATCTGACAGTCTGGACTTCTGAGATAGCCTTCACCACCGTTGACTTTCCGTGAGCGACGTGGCCGATGGTGCCGATGTTGATCGTAGCCTGGCGGGCAATAATTTCCGGTGACAGGGGAGTTAATGTGGTCAGGTCGAGAGTGGCTGGGTCGGGCTGCTCCGGTAGCTCTGGTCGTTTCGGCTGAGACACTGGCGGTGTAGAGTCCGACTGCTTCATCGCGGACTTGAGGGGCTTCTCGTCCTGGTCAAGAGGCTCTTGGTCTTCGATATCATCGTGACCGTTGGCATTCAAAATTGGGGAGCCGTGCTGAGACTCCTCGTCTGAAAAATCACCGTTGGCAGCCATGATTGCACTCGACAACGGGGCTCGGAGGAAAAGGGGGGGGTATAGGAGGGTGTGGGAGCGTGGAAGTCGAGAGGTTGTTCGATGAAATTTGCTGGTTTTGCAAATCGACGGAGGCGATACGATCTTTAGGCTTGCACCGAGTTTAGTGGGGTGTTGGATTTGTGCAGTGGAGAGCGAGTAGGCGGTGAGCGGCGGCAGTTGCTTTCTTTGGACTGCGTTTCCCTACTTGGGCTGCTCCCTTTGCGCGATTGCGGGGATTATAGGACAGCTGCAGTTATATTTTTCTTTCGATGCCCTTTGGTATTTTCAATTTCTTGGTATCCTTTCTTCTCTGGAAGGATTGGTGCTGGTTGAGTTGCTTCATTGGCGGTGGCTTTCCGTGTGACTCACTTTGATGTATATTTTCATGCCTAGCGGTATCGTATATACATACATATGAAATAAGTTGATCGGAGGGTTCTATGGACACTGAATACACTTTTGACTTTTCATACTCATATTCATAATTTACACTCTTCAACAAACACGAGTTGGGTATATACAACGGACTAATTTGTAGCAATTTTTTTTGCTCACTACTATTCATCATCACTGCCCTCACTGCTAGACTCCTCTTCACTTTCCTCTCCAAACGACTCAAAATCGTCGGAAGTTGGATCTTCCTCCGGCATCATGACGAATGCCTTCATGCAAGTAATTCGGTTTCCTGTTTCATAAGAGCCCAGAAGACTCCCTATTTGAATATCCTTTGCATCGCTGGACTGCTTTGCAACAGCATCGCGCAACTTGGATCCGAGCAATCGCCAAACACGAACGATACCCTCGCTATTTGCCGTAACGACCACAAGGTCATCACTTTTGGCACCTGACTGCCCTTCCAGGTTTAGGAAATCAAAATCTTTCACTCTTCCTGGGAAACCTTGAGATTTTCCTCCGAGTTGAGCAACTGGCTCGGCGTACGGAATGGGCGATTCATCACCCTCGTCTGGGGTTCGTAAATTTTTGGTTGAATAGAAGATGACCCTCCCATCTTCCGTCGAGACGGCGATCAATTCATCATCGTCCCCTGAGCCAACCGAAACGTATTTTATTTCATGTAGCTTGCTTCTAGGACTAGGGAATATCCTGCAAATCGGCGTCGAGTCCTGTAAACTGGTTAGATCACTTCGCTAGGCCACCATGGCGATGGTAAACTTACAACTCCAAACAGTACCGCGCCCCATTCGAATGCTACTGCAAACTCCTCTCCCTTTGTGTTCCATACAATCTTTCTCCCTTCCCCAGTGCTCCACCTGCCTTCCTTGACGCCTTGTAGAATCTCTCTGTTGAAGTTCAGCACCCCGGCTTTCTTACCCGTGACCAAGTTCCAGAGTCGCATGCACTTCTCTCCTTTTCCAACACTCAGCATGAGTTTCATACTAGGGTGCACAGCAAAGTCGTTGACGCCGGATGGAGAGCCCCCGGGAGGCGCGGTGTCACCACTGGGTCTGCCTTGGACCTTTGGATGCGGGGCTTTGATGTTGGAAACAACGGACAGATCTCGAGTTCTGTTAACAGAGATCGTATTGTCCTCCGCAGACGCCAACAATTTCGACCGTGTTGGGAAACTGAGAGCGGTAATGGGAGCCGAATGGTGTAGCAATGCTCCAAGCTCTTTGTTTTTAGGATTCTCGAGGATTTTGTTTCCCGCGAGCGTGGGTACAGTTGGATAATGCTCATTCACTGTTGGAGGGACCGCGGAAAGTGTATAAAGATTGACGCGCTCATCACTACCACCGCTAGCCAGGATGACCTTCGGAGGCTCAGTAGAATTTGCCTTGGGCGGCGGGGACAAAGCTAAGCATTTAATTGCAGAGGAATGTGCCTCAAATAAGAAAGTATCCACAAATTGAACATGAGAAGAACCGTCTGAAGGCTGTTTGCTTTCGCCTGCCGCAAAGCAGGCTGAGGAGATGGATGCCGTGAATCCATGTAGCACTCGCTCATACGAGCCAGTGACTATCTGAAGGGTGATGGCGGCGGCATTGTGTTCGGATGACACTGATTCTGTCTCCTTTGAAGATTTGGTAAGTTTTGAGGGTTGTGATTCCTTAGCAGCTTCGTCTCTCTTGCGTTTTGCCATCTTTGAGGTTGTATTAAGCAAAGAAATGATAAAAAAAGGTGGTTTGTTGGTTGACTGCAGAGCATCAAACAGCGGGCAACTTTTTTTTTTCTGCCAGACATTCTCGTCTTTCCACGAGCGGTGAGAGGAGCTCGGATGCTCTTGTCTTGGCATTGTCGCCCCAGGCATCGACAACTCCCCAAGAAGACCCCAAGAATCTGATCACTATCGCGTCAACCACATCAAAACTTGATTATCAGGGACACATTAATGCTCAATCGTAGAGTGAAAACCTCCCTTTACTCTGGGACGTACATTTGAATGAAAGATACTTAACTGCCGCGACACCATGAGATAATACCCGTAAGAAATAATAAGAGTCTCAGCATACCTGTATTCTAAGGTTCCCCCATACCTGCTCTCGCTGCTCCCGGTACNCAAAAAGCTTTCCAGTCAACCAACCACAACCCGAACTCCCAACTCCCCAAAAATCCCTTCACAGTGCCATCTTCGTGTCGACTCTCTTGCATCGCATAACAACACAACCACATCCTTCTTATCTTTTTCGAGCGATTTTTTCCACCTGGATGACTTCGCTCAACCTATTCCCCTTACTTTCAGCGCGTTAATCGGATGTTGTGTGCTTGAATTAGACTCGATGCTCCGGGAAGAGCTTCTTCGGTCTAAGCAAGATGAGATCGCGTGAGTATTAATTTTTCCCATCGATTATTTCTATTTCTATACGCTTTGCGATTTGATTCCATCGCTCACTAAAGATTTTAGACGTTGTTTGTTGTCGCGGAAGCGCAAATTGAGCGAGCTCTATTTTGCGACCGTAGGGTACGCGGGCGCGACCGAGACCTCTTTCGCCGACTCCGCGTATCAGGAAAAGGAGCAAGCGTTTCTTGATGCTAACGACATCACAAAGTAAGTCACTTGTTAACATATCGCATCTAATCATCTATGGACGCCTTCTCTTTATTTGTGGATTTTTGGTTATCGCTGTAATGCGCGATTCCTCGCTCATTATTTTTCAGAGGTCGCTATTTCAATGAAGCCACGCTCCCGACCCTACCCAGTTATGCAGCACCACCGGCGCGAGACACGAAGGGGCCACCGGCCGCTGCACCATCCGCAAGCTCTGCGACTTCCAATGCTGTCCCGGCCAGCCCGTCACCGCGAGGAGATGCTCGTACACCCGAAGTTGGTTCCCAAGTATCCTCTGGCACTGGTCCCAAGTCGGTCAAGCCAGCGCAAACAGTAGAGAAGCAGTCACCTCATCCTAGTCCGAAACCGCTCGACACCAAGTATATCCCTAAACCCGCGCCCAACATTACTGTCGACGGATTGCGAAAGCCGGATGATTTAACTCCAGAGGTAGAGCATGCTCCAGCTTCGCAGCCTAGCCACAAGGTGGCTCCCTCTGTGCCAGAAACGCCTAGCAGCTCCCAGGACTCCAGCACCGCTATTCCGCCAACCGATCAAACAAAACCATCCAAAGCGGTTTCACCAAACCAAGCCGCTATTTCCTCGCCGAAGCCGCACTATGATGTACGCCCGTCTCCCCTTCCGGGACGGCCCATCCAGGCCTCCGAACAGCCCCTATCACCTGCATCGTCCGCAGGGCCGTACTCAAATAACACTCCCGCTCTAACTGCGGCGTCACCAGCAACAAGCCCCGCCGAAGAGACTGCCGAGCCTACTGGGAAGCCCGCTAGCCCTAAACGTACAGCTGCTACTCAAGGACAATCAAGCTTCGTCCCGACTACGCCTGATGAACAGCTTCGCTTTGAGGAGGCGCAGTCTCTCCAGCAAAATGCCCTTTTGGCGAGCCAGGTCAAGGACGGTGCTGGGGTTGGTCCATTGGCAAATCAGGTTATCCAAGAGGATCTTCCGTCGACCGCAGGAGCTGCAGTTTCAGAGGAAGATGCTGCAGAAACAGCGCCCGGTGATGTACTATCCGAACTCAAGAAACCCGAGTCGACCACAGTACTTGCAGAAGAGGCGAATGCTCAACCCCAGGAACCACCTGTTCAAGCATCGAATCAGCCAGAGAACCTCGTTAAGGAAGCAGTGCCAATCACTCAGCCGACAAAGAAGACAAGCCCGCCCGCTCTGGTAGTTCCTCCCCAAGAAAGAATGACGACTAGAGTATCCTCAGGAGCGATTCGACACAAGTCTGTGTCTGAGATCCTCGGTGAGGCCCCGAAAACGCCCGTTTCGCCCGTTGAAAAGTTACACACAACTGGGACACCTACCGATATGGGATCTGTGGATTCTGTTGCAAGGATGCGTCTCAAGGACCGACGAGCGCGAGAGAAGGAGAGGAACAAGCTTTCGACTGTTGTTTTCCCCAAGCAGCAGCAACAACACGACAAGAATGGCGCGATGGATCTTATTCGTCAGCAATCTGGCGATCTACTCAGGCTGAATGAGGAACAGGACTATCTCTTCACCTTGTTCCAGAATAAGGCTTACGCTCCACCTCGAGGAACAGCCTTGGCTGGCCTTCTCTCTTCAGCCCATAAAACTTTATCGACGAATAATTATCTTCTTGACTACCAGGAGCAGATGGATTGCCGCATTCTACGCCGCATATATGACCTTCAGAATGCCAATAGGTGGCCATTGCGTCAACTGAAGCGTTCCGCTGAACCGCCTAGGCAGGGTACCCACTGGGATGTTCTCCTGGACCACATGAAATGGATGCGCACGGATTTTAGAGAAGAACGTAAATGGAAAATGGCAGCAGCGAAGAGCTGTGCTGATTGGTGTGCCGAGTATGTTCACAGTGACCCTGATTCCCGGTCGATGTTGCGCGTTCAAGCGAGGATCCCACCAAAAGAAATCCACAAGAAGGTCGAGCCACAAACTATGACGATGGTTTCCCCTCCAGAAGAACCGGGAAGTGAGGCCATGGAACTTTCCCACCCTACGCCCGATCTGGTGCCTTCGACTGAGGAGGACTCACTCAGTGAAGGTATCGCTGATGAGCCGCGGCATGATCTACATGATACAGTTGCGCCAGCCGCGATTTTCTCGCTTGGTTCTGATGAATTCAATTTCTCCCTGGATATGACTCCGGCAGCACAGAAACTCCTGGACGAGTTACCCATCTATACCCCTATGGAAATAGCACCAGGTGCGCAATTTCCAAATTTCAAACAACCTTTAGATTCATCCTGGAAGACCGATATTCTTCCTGTTTCTAAATACGCCCAGGGGAAGATATCGTTTCCCGAGGACGAGCCCGCAAGGAAACGAAGTCGCTATGAGTATTCGCAATACAGCTCCGGTTCTGAGCATCCCGTTCTAGACTTACCGCCTGAACAAACCAATGTTGCCCTATTTCAGCCCGAAAATAAACATATCCGCGACCGTATACACCCAGCCCAACCTTTCAGACCTCCAACTGAGTACCCCATGCCCTCTCTTGGGTTTTTGGAGTCAAGACAATCATCTCAGTGGACCTACGCGGAAGACGAGGAGCTTCGCAGCCTTGTCGAGGAATACTCGTACAACTGGTCACTCATATCTAGCTGCCTTACTCCGTCATCTCAGTTTTTATCCGGCGCGGAAAGGCGGACACCTTGGGAATGTTTCGAGCGCTGGGCAGGAATAGAGGGCCTACCTTCTGAAATGTCCAAAACACCATACTTCAGGGCCTATCATCAAAGGATCGATACCGCCCAGCGTAATGTTATGGCACAGCAACAAGCGGCAGCCCAACAGCAGCAGCAACAGCAGCAGCAGCAGCAGCAGCAACAACAGGGTAATAACAATGGCAACCAACAGCCGATGCCTTTGATTCGTAGGAGAGGTACACAGCCCATCCGGGTTGACCGGAGGAGGTCTTCTAAGCATTTGGCGCTTCTCGACGCTATGAGGAAGTTGGCTAAGAAGCGGGAGACGATGTTACAAAAGCAACAACATGGTAAGCATTGAGCCATGCGAGTTCTTCGGAAGGGGCTAATTTTATTCCTTCACTTCTAGCTTCCCAGCTTGCTTCGTTAAGAAAAGTTAACGAAGCCAACCAACCAAAGCCTCCCATTTCGACACCCGCCGAGTTCAGTCGCTTGAAGCATGAACGCGAACTAAAACTTCAAGAGAGACAGGAGCAGTACCGCCAACAAATGATTGCTCAGCAGAGGGTGAGTATCCTGACCTAAACTGTGTTATGCTGTTTTGTCTAACGTGGTATGAAGGCAAACCTTGCGGCCCGTGCAGGTCAAGTGCCCAACCAGCAACAGATGATGAATGCTCCTGGGCGAACTCCCAACGCGGTTCCTCAGAACCCCAACGCCCCGTCTGTAACGACAAACGCACCAAATGGTTTACCGAACGGAGTTTCCGCTGGAGCGCCGAACGGAATACCGAACGGAGTGCCACAGGGTGTTGGTATCAATCCGACTCGGCCACAAGTCCAGGGGATGCAAGGAAATAGTGGGCCTGTAAATGGCCAGATGCCACCCAACCAAATGACCATGAAGATGATGCCACAATCTGGTATGCAACAAAATAATAACCCCCGGCCGAACATGCCAATGCAAACGTCGCCGGATAATGCCCGAGTGATCCGAGAGGCTAATCGCCTCCAAGAACAACAACGGATTCTGCAATCCAGACAGCAACAACCCCAGCATCCTCTCCAGCAACAGCAACCACCACCGCAGCAACAGAACCAGCAGCAACCACAGCAACCGCAGCAGCAATTTCACACCCAGCCTCAGTTTGTGCCACAGGGATCCAATTCCCCGAACTTGAACATGTCCTCCGTAAATGGCAACCCAAACAACCCCGCCATGATGGCAGCACTTCAAGCGGGAGGCGGAATGCAAAGTCCACCATTCCATAATTCCACACCTCAAGGCGTTTCGACTCCATCTCCACGCATGGGCCAACCGAACCTTCTATCAAGCGGAGTTGTTCCCACCATCAGCAACATCCAGAGTCAAATTCAAAGAAGCAACCCTAATATGCCAGCGGAGCAAGTGAATAAGTTAGCAACGGATCGACTCCACCAGTATCAGCAGCAACGAATGTCCCAAGTTGCTATGAATGCTGCCGCCGGGAATTTAGGCGTGCAGCCCAATTACCAGGTTCCTCATGATGGGAATTTTCAAACTCCCCAAACTGGCATGAACGGTGGCCATAATATGCAGGCTCCCCAGGCTCAAGGGTTTTCACCCATGATGCGTGTACCGCAGCCTGCTCAACAAAACCGTGTATCTACCGGAAGCTCCCCTGCCATGGGTGTAGCTGTGCCACAACAAAGTCGGAGCGCGACCCCTCAAAACCAACGCAGTGGCAGTGCCCAAACTGGGGCGGTCCCGGGTGCGAGTAAGAGTCCTAATCACCCTCAAACTCAGGCTATGGGAACCTGAACACCTTATCCCTTTTACCTTCCTGTCTCTTCGTTTGTAAATATTTACCTTACCAACCTTTATTTTCCGTTTTTGTGACACCCCTTATGATTTGCAATACCACGATGCAACCTTCCCCATTGATGATTTACTCCTCGACCGCTCCTCCACATCTCTTCCTACCATATTCGCGTCCTCCACGACCTCTACGTCTGCTATTACCTCTGACCACGTCTTGCCTTATCTCAATACACATTATCCGAACACCTATTATTCTTTCACCCTTATTGGATGCTTTAGTCCAATCCCGGATTCTGATATGCATGGCCATTCGTCAGTACTTTGTGTTCCGGGTTCTTTTTAATGTACCACTTGTACCGATAGGGCCTATGCGAAAGTTTTGCGATGTATTGAGATGAGTGATTGGAATAAATTAAACTCGAGGAAAGGTAAAAGCTTGTCCTATAATTCTGTTAGTAGTGGCCGAGCAGAATTATAATCTCAAACCATCCCCGAGTCTTATAACTATGTGTTCGCGTTCGCTACTATCCGTACTAGTAAGCACAACCCTTACAAACGGTTCAATATAGTATCAATGATGAACCAGTACCTAGTAGGTATGGAGAATGTAATCTATATTCCATACCTGAGAAGTGTTTATTGCGGCGAGGTAACAGACGATTTCAACTTCGGGTTTACAGATAGCCCAGGCGGGCGACGCAAAAAAAGACTTAGAAAAAGGATGCGGCATCTCGGAATTGAACCGGGGACCTCCAGTTCTCTGGCGCGACCGAGGGCCAAGCGCGCGCTTAGAAAACTTTGGCCTATCGCTCAAATGCATACCCAGCTCTCGTATCGATCGCCTCCATGGTTATCCAGCTATAAATGCTGCGCGCATTTGTCTAGTTTTGATACACGGAACTTCGTCTTGCCCGTGTAGTCGCCGCCGATTTCCCTGCCCAGAAATTCAAATAAACGGGTATTTCCATAATGTCCTCCAACGAGCCGCGGGACGGCAACGGACGTTCACCTGGAGTGTCAATAAAGCCTGTGTCACTATCGATAGGCTCCTCGAAAGCCTCGAACAGAAAGACCGCCTTTAATATTCAGAGTTCAGGGCGGCAGGCCGATTCACCGTCTAACCAAACCCTCGCACGCCGACCTCACCACTCTCTCCATCATGACGATGACGACTCCGACGATAATGGTGGCGAACCCGCCTTCGAGTCTGTAACTGGTTTCGACACACTCACCGGGAAGACTATCGGCGATGCGGAAGAAAAGAAGCCTCTGACGATCCCCGTTGCGAGTGGAAATAACTGGCGTGATCGACCTGGAGTTATCAAGAGGCCCAAGGGGAAAAAGAATCTACTGCCGAAGGAGGTCCAAGCATTACAGGAAGCACAGAAAAAGGGAGAAATCCCTGGAAATGGAGCCGATGCTGTAGGGCCGAGTATGTCTTATGGGTTGAGTTTTGCTCAAGAGAAGACTACGGATGGAGAAAGTGGCAAGACAACAGATGAAGGGGATCAGAAAATGGAAGATGCACCGCCTCCAGCTGCTGAGAGTGTGAAACCCCTTACGGAGGATGAACTTGCCTTGCGCGCACTGGTCCGAGAAAGTAAAGGGGAGGTGGAGGGGAGGTCGGACCTTGTTATTGAGTCGAAGCGCGCGGACGAAGAGGAGGATGAGTTATATGACGGCCATAATAATGAGACAAAGTCATTCCGGGCGGATGTTGCTGCTCGGCCGGAGCCTGCCACCTTGGACCAGTACAATGCGATCCCCGTGGAGGAGTTCGGCGCGGCGTTACTACGTGGAATGGGTTGGAAAGAAGGCCAAACAGTGGGGAAGGGGAACTACAGCGAAGACTCTAGTCGATCATCTACGCCACATGTTCCTGCGCGTCGCCCAGGTTTCTTAGGAATAGGCGCCAAGGATGTCTCTGGAGGCAAGGCTGAGGTTGAGTTCGGCGCCTGGGGCAAAGCTGCCATGCGTAAGGGGTCTCGAAAAGCTGGAGAAGCGAAAGACGGCGAACAGCGGAATACAGAAGGTGTCTACATGCCCGTGCTCATGCGAAATAAGAAGACTGGCGAGACTATCACCGAGGAAGAGCTCTCGACCATGGCTAAGGAAGCTAAGAAACAAGACGATAATGATGACTGGAAGGAGAGAAGGGATCGAAATCTTAAACGAAATGGGCGTCCCAATGACCGCCATCGAGACCGAGATAGTCGGCGCATAGAATACGATGACGACGCTCGGTACGAGAGCCGACGAAATGGATCTTCAAGAAGGGATCGGAGTCGGTCAAGTAGTGACCGACATTCTAGGAGACGAAGGTATGAAGACGAAGATAGTGACGGACGAGATGATCGATACTATCGTGACCGAGACCGTGATCGCGAGCGTCGCTCTGACCGTGATAGAAATCAGAATCGGGACCGGGATCGAAGAAGTCAAAGATACGATGACGATGATGACCGGTATAACTCCCGGCATTCGTCATCTAATGCATCTAGCAGGCATCGGGATCGAAACCGGGACCGGGATAGTGATCGCGATTCTCATCGGCGGCGGAGGCATGATCGATGAGCAGAGCTGCAGGATGCGGATCTTAAATGGCTTTGGACCAGGCATATAATATTTGGATCAATAATGCTACAGTGATAGGCATCTAAAACCCTACATCTCCCTTTAGGTACATTATATGCATCGGCGGCTATAAGCGCTTCCGAACATTGTCCCCTTGGGCCAGTAAAAAGCCAGTGTAACGGAAGACTACAACAGATTCTGGATTGTCTTGAGCTGCTCGTTGTAAGACCTGGAAACAAAACTTTTCATAGACCTTGATGTAAATGCAATGATGATATGTACTCCTCTGACGAACACCCATAGGTATATACCGTGTCAATCCGATTAAAACGACAGCAAGAATGAAAAACAATTATCTATCCGTACATGACGTCGGTATAGATATTGTTCATCCAACTAACAAATCATTATTTTATGCTCCTAGCATGAGCACGTCCTTCTCGTGGTCAGCTTCACCGCCGACGACCCCGTACACATCCTGTTGTGTGGGAGCCCCAAGCGCACTAAGACTAATACCACCATCCATCTCTCCCAGAACCCATTCAACAAGGTAGCTATCATCCTCAAGCTCCTCAACGCGACGATAATGCCGTTCCGTGTATGAAGCAAGAGCTGCCAGAATATCCTTCATGGCAGCTGCTGCGCGGCCATCAGCACTCCGCTTTACCATGCTCGAAGAGGCGAGCTCAGTGAACGTTGAGGCGGGATAGGATCGGAACAAAGCAAACAGAATGCGTTGAGCAACCTTGGAGTGGCGCGCGTTAGTGTTCCAATCGCGGAGGCGAAGGAGAAGGGTGTAGAGGTTTGTAGGATCTAAAGTTTGAAGCACTTCGTCAATGGAGGGGTTCCCCGTCAGGCTGTTTGCGCGGTCTTCTTTCAGAATTTCACTCGAATTTGGGTCGTCCGCGGTGTCGACAGCGGCGTTGAAGAGCGATAGAAGACGCCCGGGGTGGTTGAGTTGGAGAGCGAGTGTGATAGCCTCACGGTAGGCACCCGCTACGATGTAGTTTTGTAATTGTTGGTCTTGCTCGATACGAGCCGAATTCGCATTGACTGCAGCGGTATAGGTGGCTGACGTTGTGTCGGTCCAGAACGTGACCGTAGAGTCTGCGGAGCCGGATGCGATGGCATAGGGGGAGGAAGACTTGCCAGGCGACGATTTGGCATCGGTGCGTGATCCGGACGGTGTAGGGCTTGCTAGCGCCCAGACTCGGTCCGTGTGGTTATCGAGGGTTGTCTCCAGCTCGCCAGTGTAGGGAGACCAGACCTTTACCAGTCCATCTGCAGCTGCGGAGGCAACCAGAGGCTTCAGCGGCACCGCGGTGGCGGCGTTTGTCATTGTTGTATCCTCATCTTCCTCGTCGGTTTTGCTAGACATATCAGGTGGCGGGAGCCATAGTACTTTTAGCACGCTGTTGGTATGACCTTCAAACGTAAGGAGACAGCTGTAATCTGACAAGCTCCAGAGTTTTACGGTTTTATCTCCTGATCCAGTTAGGATCATACCCCTATTGGTGCTGCTTTTAGCATCCGCGCTGAGGATTGGAGTGCCCTTGGGAGAGAAACGAGCCGACCAGACTCCTCTCTTATGCCCCCTGAGGACACCCACAACGGATCCATCGTCGGCGGACCAGATTTTCACGGTCCGGTCTTGTGACGCTGAAGCAAACAACTCCGATGACGAACTTACATCCAAGGCGTTGATGTCCTTGTCGTGGGCTTTGCGGGTGAATAGCGCTTTCGGTGTGTGGGGGCTTCCAAGATCGGCAGGGCCTAGCTTTCCCGTATTCCACCGTTTAACTGTACGATCTTGAGATCCGGTGATGACGAATGGAGGAGGATGGTTCACCGGGTCGTTGGATGCTGGGGTATTAGGCGCTGGCGAGTCCCGTGGGAAGCTGATGGCCCCTAAAGACTCTGCGTGACCTGTTAGGACGGCAAAACATGTATATGAGGATGTCTCTGGGTCAAGGCGCCATAGACGAGCCGTATTATCTTTTGCACCAGTAGCAAGCCAATGACCCGACCAGTCCACATCGATGCAGATAATGATGTCGTCATGGCCATCTAGATGAGCGACATCAGCTCCAAAGTACTCTTGTTTCTCGGCTGATAGTCGGGATTTGGCTGCCCCGATAGAAACGATTCTGATGCTTTCAGTATTAGTGGCCAAGGCAAGCATAGATCGGTCAGGTCCGACATATGCAAGGTCGATAATATCATCGTCGTTGCCCGAAATGCGTCTCACAATAGGCAATGGATCAAGCTCGGACCCAGGCTTGAAGTTTAACAGAGGTTCAAGAGAATGGAGCCTTATTGTTTGGTCTGCATGGACAGTCATGGCGGAAGGCATCCCCGGGGTATAGTGGATTGCAATCACAGCCTCGAATTCGGGTCCAGCTTCCTGTTCACTCGTGACCTCTCCTCCCCTGTTACAATCCCACACGCGTAATTTGCCATTCTCTCCTCCAACCAGACATAGCCCGCTTTCTGCGACGAAAGAGGCTGCTTCGGCACTTTCAAGAACAGGAATTATCCTCCGCGTTTTGAATGTTCGCATATCCCACACAATGACAGTCTTATCTCGACCTGCGGAAAGTAGCGCGTTCTCTGTCGATGAATATGATAGACTGCGTACCACTGAAACGTGTGAATCGAGTGATGCGATGGATTTTCTTTTATTCAAATCCCAGATTCGTACTTTACCCTCCTCACTACCGGAGGCCAGTCGAAACGCACCAACGGAATCGGAATCGATGTCCATAATCTCTTCATTTTCCTGCTCACCTGCATCTCCAGACTTCCGCTTCGATTTATTCTTCTTCGACGACGGCTTGCCTTCCCTCTCTGCGACAGGTGACTGAAAGAAACATAATGCCGAAATCACACCGCCATGGCCGTGGAAACTGTGCGTGATGTAGCCACCCCGGATATCCCAGACCTTGATTGATCCATCCGCAGCTCCTGTTGCCACTAGGGTGCTTGTCGGGTCCGTTGCGGTCGTTACAACTGGCGCTGTGTGGGGTTTCAAACTCCGAACAAGTTTTGTCTCAAGTGCCCGAGATGTCTCGTCGTGGGGCGTCAGCGAGTATATTTTCATTGACATAGAGCGGGAGCAAAGAATAACGTGCGAAGCCGAAGGAGTGACTGGTCTTATATTAGTATGTGCATTAAGTATGCGCCGGTATGGTGTGGGTGCGACAGACTGGTTAAGCTGGTGATAATTTCCCCATCCTGTAACTCGGATTAGCAGAGGTAAAATTTTGGTGGCACAAAACTTACTCCTTCAAGAGTCGCAAGCTGGTCACCGGTCTCCAGGTCGATGACAAGAGCATCTTCGTTGACACAGGCGACGAGCAGGCGGCCACTGGCATCGAGTGCAGTGCTTCCTCCGGTATAGATGGGACGAAGCGTTCGAGACGCCTCGAACGTCGTCTTAACAACGGCTTTGGACATGTCGGGGTAGAGTGGAAATCGTCAGTAAGCAGTCGATTTACCGCGCCATCTTCCGTACGCAAAGGTACCGCCAAATAAGTGTAATCGTAAAAGTTCAATTCCTCTCTGGGCTCGTCGCAAGGAAACTTTCCGATGACTTTTTTTTTTGAGAACTGTTTGCTTTGTTTGTTCTGTTTGAAGCTTCATCAAACCGCCGCGCTGTGGCTCGTGCACTAAACGCGACAGCCGCTTCCTTATCAACTTATCAATTGAACATCTAGACCGTCCCCATATCTATCCTCGTTTCAATGTCCAATATCAGAAAATGTGCTAGTATGAAACCTGAATGGTGATTTGCCTGATGGGGCGACGTGCATACTTGAACCGCCTGGCTCTGGTAGGCTCTCCGCTTCCTTTTATTCCGCACGTGTGTTGTTCCCGATGGAGCCGTTCATTATTTCTTGACCAAATCTCGAACCCCGTCTTGCCAAGTATTTGTCTATAAATCCTGGATTGATCACAAGCTGGTAATGGGTGTTCTTCCATAATCAAGCCCCTTTTCTATTTTGTATCTTTATATTTCCCTTCACTCGTCGATTTCGATAGATCCCTTTATTATCAAATTCGTTGATTCTCAAAATGTTCCTTTCGGACTATGACTAACGACGCTAAAGGGCCGGTCTCCTTATGAAGCTCCGGAGCATTCTGCTAGTTCCTCAACAGAGCATGGAAACTCGGTGCAGCGGAGAATTTCTCCAATTTATGCGGACGGATATGTCCAGCAGTTCGATGAAAGGGGCCACCCGGTTAACCCGGAGTCCAAGTCATTTGGAAGAGAGCTCAGGAGAGCCAAAAATGACATACTTTCGACCATGGGTATTGTTGTAAGTGAGGATACAAATCGCGGGCTCAACGAGCAGGAAAAGGTCGACGCAATCGTGGCTGAAAATGACTACGGGTTGATCATGGTGACACTCGACCAAATTTCGGTTTTCCTGGGCTCGTGGTGGACCACATCGCTCACCAGCCGTATACAGGTGAGACTTGGTTGATCCCTGGATAAAGATGCTAAACCTAATGGAAACCGTATACAGACATTCAAAAGCTATGCTCATGTCCCTCTTACACAAATCATAAGCCATGAACGTGCTTCTCTTGGGATTGTTGGGTTCCATTTTGCTGGAATTCCTGCATGGGCAATGTCGACATGTATATCAATATGTCGGCATCACCCTCTAGAGCGGTTGATTTCAACAATACAAAACTACTTTCCCAACAATGATGCCGGTTCGAAGCTTGTGCGAGCCTCCTTTACGATTCTACACTCTACGTAAGCAGCCCGCATTATAAGAAGGGTCAAAATTGACTTATGTTATAGGACTCGAGGAGCCCTTCTTGTGCTCGCGATGCAGACGTACATGTACTCTTTATTACAATCTCTTCATCTAATTCCTCCTACATCAATGCCGAGCATTGCACACTTCATGCCTTTCGGCGAATTCGCCTCAATGCTGCTTCCAAGCCCTCCAGAACTCTCATTCATCTCCCTGGGCAGTTATTTCCTTAACATCATGAAGGCTCCGTCTCTTTTCTACATCTATGTCTACTTGCGGCCTGTGATCGAAGTCCGTCTTTATAGGCTTATCCGCAGAAGATTGCCGAAGCCTATCCTTACGGATGATCTCTCCGTCAAGGTGGCTTTCGACAATGATCTCATCGATTGGATGGTTCCCACACTCGGGCGCCGAGCTGTGGAGGAGACGCAGCGCAGCAATCTTTCGCTGGTTGATGACATATCATACGAAATGGGTGCTTTCCGGCAATGGCTGTTTTCTAAATTTACCTTTAGGCGACGAAGGGCTTCAGTTGCTCAAGTGACAGAACTTCAACAGGGACCCGAGACTCGCCAGGCGCAGGGTGACGCAGCAAATTTAACCCCGTCTCCGGAGTATCAGCGACACAGAAGTGCAGAGTCGAATCCTCCTGATCAACCCATGCCAGCTCGTGAGAGTGATGCGCATTCTGACGGCGGCGAAAGTGGGTTATCAAATGGAGGGGACCGTGCCATTGACGCGGATAATATTGATCTATTAAGGCGTGCAAGAAACCTCACCCTTTCTACCCGTACGACTTCGCCAGAACCGGACGCTCAACGAAATGGGGATAACGCTCCTAATGAAAGCCGGCGTCAGTCACGTTCAGATACGCTTTTGTCCCGATCTCCGTCTCCTGAATCCTCCCAGTCCTCGCCTCGAGTCCGCGCACAGTTGATCCAGGACTCCGATGTCATTGCCATGCAACTGGAGCTGGAAAGCCGCCATGCTCAGAACCGGAATGCGACAACTGACACCCACGCTGGTCTACAAAATTCGGATGATAGACAACCTAGCCGTCGTTCGATTTCTGAGATCCTTGACACGCTCTTATCCAACCAGGACGTAACTACGATACTTGGTGCGGAAGCTACTGATAGCGATGCCCTTTCTAATATGACTGCAGCGGTGCCCCCCAACCCCGGGGAAATAGCGACCACATCAACCTCAGACGGCGAACTGCACGGGGTAACAAGGGACCAGAACCCTAATAACTCGAGCGCTGGTCCAATCGCTTCGGACGCCCTCAATATTTTCCCGGATGTTGAGGAAGGACCACCCCTCGACGACGCCACTCACCAAGCATCCGAGCGACAACTTGATCAAGATGATGATGACGATGCCGCCGACGCTGAATCGGGAATCCTGCCACACGTGGCCGACCCCATGGTCAGACAAAGCTCAGCTGCGGGAACCACAACCATCACTCCCTCCGTATCAGCCCATAGAGTGACCATTCTTTCTGCTCTTCCAGTGGATTCTTTGGCCTCTCATCTCGCAGCTATGATCACGACGGCTGTTTTTGCTCCCATCGAAACTTTCTACCTCCGGTCCTTAGCCAAATCTTATCTTTCCTCCAAGGGAGCCGCCGCCGCTGCCGCGATCCGATCCGATGTTTATCCTGTGAGTGCTTGGGGTGGCGGGGCCACCCGGTCTGACAAATTGGCGTACATCGGCAAACTAGCCCTCGTTATGGGAATTCAAGCTGCTGTGAACGCCTCCGTTTGGGGAATTGTATCGGGGTCCGCTATACGGATTGGAAGAAGGTGGTGTGGGTGGGGTTCCCTCTAGATTGGGTTTGGATATGAAACTGTTAACCTCGAGCGGATAGATGACAGATCCCTATTTTAATGGCTTAGGTACGCCCGAATAAGTAAATAGTATGATAACGCATATAATAATGATCCCGATACTCGAAGGAATGGCATATATCAGTTTTAGTATGACAGGTAGTTACTCTCGAGAGACTATATCATCACAATTCATACCTAATTATACACTTAAGATATCCAACCCTGACGCGCAGCATGCCAAACAATCACCTTGCCGCCGCCTTTCCCTTGCGATTGCTTATTCCAGGAACCTTTCTTCGCTCCCAAACCATAAGGTACCCTTCCTTTGTGAATAAGGTCTCGCTCTCAGCAGGCTTCACAAACAAATCCTGGATCTCTAGCCACTCGGGCCCTCGCTGTTCGCCGGTATTTTGTTCGCTCTGAACCCTTGTGTTCTCTGCAGCCATTGCTTTGTCATTGAGCTGAACGAGCCATGAGACCTTCTCAGTACCGGCACCGGCACCGCTGGAGGATGCTCCTCCTGACGCTGCATTAACGCCCTTTTCTGCAGCATCCTCCGTTCCACCAGGGGCGCTGATGGTCGGGTCGAGGATGATGTTTGCTACAAGGTCATAAAGGATGGGTTCACCGGGAGGCCAGACATCGGGGTTGGGCTCTACATATGGCGACATATCCAGCGAGCGTGGGGAAGGGAAAGTGACAATAGTTGGATTCCGTTCGGAGACGAATCTGTTTTTGCTGAAGCGTTTGATGTGAAACATGAGGTAGGGAGGGAGCGGGTGGAGAAGGCGATGGCGGACTCGGTGGTCAAGTTTCTCGGATGCGGTAATTCCGTTATACTTGTTTAGTAAGGTGGTTAGGGGTACCTGAGGAATGATGGATTCCCTGTTTACAGACTGAAAGAGGGGAGTCGGAGGCAGGTCTAGAGTGAGGATAAGGAAAGGAGTCGTTTGGTCGTTTATGGTGCCTGATTCGGTGAAGACCAATCGAGCATTCTGTGTGTCTGAATGCGCTGTGATTGCTTGGCTTTCGATTCGTAGATGGCCTTGGAAAGCTGCGTGAACCACACTGGTCGGGGTTTTTGATGGCTTTCGGGAGCCCCCGAGTGCAAGGTGTAAGTTGTTTAGGAACCAAGATAGGAACTCCACAGGGTCTGACTGTTGAGTGAGGGTAAATCGTTTTGATGATCGCAAAGCGATTTCCTGTAAAAGTTCGTGCGGTGATACGTGAGAGCGGAACGCTTTAGGATTCCAAAGCTTGCGCACTAGAGTGCCAAAACGCAAAACCAGTTGCGGTGTACCAGGCTGTGGGAACTCGTGGAGGAGAAAGTAGTTGCGAATAGGAAGAACATGAGCGAGGGCTTGGGCCACAACGTTCATGTAGTCGTTTGCCTTGATATTGTTCATACCAACAAAGCCTAGACAGCACTATTAGCCACAATGGTCTCCCCACGAGTACAGTGAAATGAGAAAGTTATATTCACCTGGTCGATAGCGTTTTCCCGAGAGATCGAACGCATCAGTGACCTCTTTGTCCAGCTTGACCACTTCGTCCTTGGTGTAATATGGATCGACCACGTATTTGATATCATCCAAGCTTTTATTCTTCACCTCGTATCCCTCGGGTAATACGTAGACTTTCTTCGTTCCCATATTGACGAAAACATGGTGTGAAACTTCCAAGGCGTGAAAGTAGGCGTGGGACTTCGGCCCTCGGCCTTGGAAGTATTTCCCACACACAAGACAAGCGTACACATTGATATTTGACAGACTGACAGAGCACAGTTTCTCGAAATCGAAATCGAGAATTTGTCGATTAATGGTATCTAGGTAAAGGTCGCTGTATCCTTCAATCGGAGCTGTTTGCCGTTGGGGTGCCACGATCGCAGGCCGGTTATCGTCCTCATCGCCTTCGTCTTCCTCGTCATCTATCTGTGCTGCCTCTTCAAGTTCCTCTCCCTCTTGGTCCGCAGCTGCAAGAATATCCTCCCCCTGGCGCTCATGCTTCTCCATCTCCTGCCCATTAGCTCGGCGCAAAGGTAGTGCTCCATAACGCGGGTCACTTTCTGGCAGGTTATCGTCCTCCACGCGGGCCTTTTTGGAGGCCGGAGACCCGGCAGTAGCCTCTTGCTCTAGCGACAGCTCGGCCTGTCTCTTGGTCATCATAACTCGTTTGGGGGAATGGCAAATGGAGGGCGGGAGGAGCAGCGGGCTTTTGCAAATCCTCACTTCAACGCGATGGAATAAGGAAGGGATGCAAACATGACAAACATCCGGCTTTCATCAATCATAAACTCAACAGCGGACTTTAGGGTTGAGCATCACTAGCTTAACATTCGAGGATTGCCTTTGGAAATTTGTGTCATATCATTTCGTTTAATTTCTACCTATTAGCCATTGTAGGCAGAGACTACACCGGGAGCAAATGCAATCGATCATTTCAAAAATCCCATGGCCCATAATATCGAAAACGAAACCGGAGAACATAAAATGCCTTGTTATGATACATTAAGCACTTGTAACAATTCGGTTATTGTCGAAATCTACTTCCTTCACGCCGTCCTTAGTCACTACTTTAACCAGAACCTGTACATTGTTAGCCGTTCTATTCGGGGTCTAGACCGAGAGTTGATGGGTTACATACCCCCTTGTAGTCGATTGGCAGCCGGCGCTTCAACTCATCTGTGCACATTTCTAGGAGCTTCATTCCTTCTTCCAGGGTAATATCGGGATGATGATGTTTGTCGAGTGTTGATAGACAGTAGTACTGGGCGTAACCGTGGGCAGCGTACGGGACGGGCGCCAAAGAAGCGAGATAATCAATCCAGTATAGGTGTGGTTTCTGGGAAATAGGGTCAACTCCGCCGAGAAGGAGGTTGACTGTGTAGGGGCTCCGCGATCGTAGACTGCGTGCTAGCTCTCCTCGAACGAAATTGGCGACAGCTTTCGGGGACAGTTCGGTATCGTTTCGCATTGTGTATAACTGGACATTGGCTTGAACATATTCGGCAAATTGGACTGTTTTGGAATACTAAGTTAGTCTCGTGGTATTGAAGCTCTGTATACAATGTTGGTGTCAACGAACTGGTGTCTCCCGCCTCGCCGGAGAAAGCGACAAGAGTGTGCTCGTTTAGTTGCTTCGTCTTGTCATCTGTAGCCTTGAGAATGGTCGGACCCCTCATAGCAGCCTTTGATGCTGCCAGAAGGACAAAGTCTTTGCCAGTGATACCGAGTAGAACCTCCCTATGGCAGTGTCGGTCAGCATCGCTAGTGCTAGCTATGGGTCAGAGGTTGAAACATACATATTGACCACGGTATTCTCAAGTTTCTCGGAAAAATGGCGGTAATTGGAACAAGGATGCGAGTCTCAGGTGGAGGGAGGAGAAAAGAAGCAGGATATTGATGCCAGGCGTTTACTGTCTATCACTGGCCGCGCGGAGCTTTGACTGCCTGGAGCTGTTGTTCCAGCTCCCGCACCTGAGGCGGAGAGCTGTTGGGCTGACTCAGCGTAACCACCACACCGCCTGCACGGACCACTGGCAGAAAAAAAAAGTCGAAAATGCGCGGGAAAATATCTATGAAATGGGAAGATAGCTGGAGTCAACTGCCTCGATTGAAGAACGCCCCTGCTGGTTCATCTTCAATTAACTCTCCTCCCTCGATGTCGTCGTTTTTTACGTTACCCGCTTCCCAGCGGAAGCGCAAGAGAGAGGACCGCGCTGGAGCCCCGGCATCAAAGAAACGGGGTGTCGATGCGGATGGAGATGTGCGCAACAAAAGCGGGAAGAAACCTAGTGAACGGGACGAGTCAATCTCTGGGAGCGACCTGGACGAGGATGCGGAGAGCGTGGCATCGGCAGCCTCAGAAGAGGAGAGTGGCTCGGACTCAGATGAGGGAGAAACAGCCGCAGATCGAAGACTGAAACTAGCGGAGCGATACCTAGAAAACGTTCGTGATGAGGTAGACGATTACGGTTTTGATGCTGCAGAGATTGATCGGGATCTGATCGCAGAGAGGCTGAAAGAGGATGTGGTATGTTCAAGAATATCCAGCTATTCTGATTTAGATCTGACCGTTATACCAGGACGAATTTAAAGGACGAGTATATCGTCAAATTGCTTCCGACTTAGCTTTTTCAGCCGCCACACATGCGTTCTTTCGGGCAGATACGCAAACGACGACGTCGATTGCCGTACACTCGCCATATGTTTATACGGTATCCAAGGACAGAACCTTAATCAAATGGGAGCTTGCGACACCCGCCGCAGAAGGCGCGTCTACGGCAAACGGGACAGAGTCGACATCAAAGCGGCCTCCTCGACCGCTGCGGAAGAAACCGAAACAAGTGCGCTTTACAAGAGGCTTACAAAAGATCGCGGAGAGCGCAGAAGAGCAGGGCCATACCAAAAATATCTTGTCGGTAGCCGTGTCACCTTCAGGGAAGTTTGTTGCTACCGGAGGGGAGGATAACAAGCTCATCGTTTGGGATGCTGCAACTTTGACTCCTGTGCAAACCTTTGCGCAACATCGCGACTCCGTCAGCGGCCTAGCCTTTGCTCGCCACATCTCTACCATGAGCTCGGGTGAACAATTATTCTCTGGCTCCTTCGATCGAACCATCAAGACCTGGTCTATTAGCACCGCTGGTCACGCTTATGTTGAGACACTATTCGGCCACCAAGACAACGTCGCATCGCTAGCCGCGATGGCGATTGATCAGTGTATCAGTGTTGGAGCCCGTGACCGCACAGCGAGACTGTGGAAAGTTGTGGAAGAGTCTCAGCTAATTTTCCGTGGTGGCTCGTCCAAAAATTCTTACCAAGAGAACAATATTGACTGCATCGCACCTTTGCCTCCTACTCATTTTGTCACCGGCTCGGATAATGGCTCCATCTCATTATGGTCTATCCACAAGAAGAAGCCCGTTTACACCGTTCATCAAGCCCACGGTTTCGACCCTATTCCACCCTTAGAAGAACTTTCCCCGGAAGCTGATCGACAGACGGCCGAATCAAATGCGCGTTATCTCAGGCCCACGCCTCGCTGGGTTACCGCCTTGACGACGGTTCCGGGTACAGATATTGTTCTAAGTGGCAGTTGGGATGGTTGGGTGCGGGCATGGAAGATTTCAGACGATAAGCGAACGATTCAACCTCTAGGACCTGTCGGCGGAGGTACCCCGTCCACAGACGGCCCAGATACCCCATCAAAACAACTAGAGCAAAGCCTTGCATCCGCCGACTCACCCCACGGACAGAGCTTAAGCGGGCCCCAAGAAGAGGCTGAGCCTCTCGTGAAGGGCGTCGTCAATGACATTGCAGTCTTTGAACGACGAGAAGAAACGGCAAAGCCAGGCCAAGTGCCATCTGAATCGAAATCGAAATCGAACACCACATCACCCGAAGCGCGCGGCCTTTGTATCGTCGTCGCTGTAGGGAAAGAGCATAGGTTCGGGCGTTGGAAATGCTATGGGAACAACTATCACAAGGGGCCGACTTCGGAGGGCCGAAATGGCGCGATGGTTTTCGAAGTGCCATTCTCATCTGATAAACTTGGTCGAGCGGAGGAATCCATCTGACCTTTTTGTATCTAACCTTCAATAGATGACTGTATTCTACTATTCCCAGCGGCATTAGCATATTTGGAAAAGCACTGATTTCAACTGGTAACTCTCCCTAGCTGTGGCCTTATACTGGAATTACTGTGGCCGAAGAACACGAGGTAAGCGCTAGTATTCTGGGCGAGATCGTCAACTTTGGGTTATAAACTCTCTATTGCAACCCAGTTCTCGCCTTGTTTGTCGTAGTGCTACTAGTTGTCATCTACTAAAACACCATCTACCATGGCCGAATACCGCCATTTAACTACTCCGCACCCCGAATGGGAGAATGTAAACCTCCACCTGCTTCTTCTTCGGGGACCCTATTTTGGACCTCAGTAACCATCACCGTCATCTATAGTTCCCCCGCAATCTCCCTCCCGGCACCCGCACCTTCTGGCTAAACAGAGACCACCTCCCAGTCACTCCTCAACCGGGGCTCGAGATCAAGGAATTCGACGTCCCAGTTCGCGACGGACATCCAATCAGCATCCGCTCGTACAGGCAGTCCTCTGACGATGGCGATGCTGGCGAGAAACCCCTACCATTGCTCATCTATTTCCATGGTGGAGGATTCGTCTCCGGTGGCCTAGAGTCCGACGATGCCTCGTGCAGGCGCATCGCCTCAGAGATCCCGATCCTCGTTCTCAATGTTGAGTACCGACTTGCACCAGAGCACCGCTTTCCCGTTGGGTTTGAGGATTGCTTGGACGTTGTTCGCTGGGTGAGTAAGAAAAATGATAACATCTCATTTGGATCTCTTGCATCTACTTATGATCTATCCGTATACCTGTGACAAGGGCAGAGGAGCAACCCTAACTAAATAAACTACTTACCAGGCCGCATCCCCACAAGCCAAAGACAAACTTCCTTCGGCCATCGACTTGGAGTCCGGCTTCATCATAGGCGGAACGTCCGCCGGCGCAAACTTCATTGCCGGGATCGCGCATATAATCGCACAAGAGACAGACCCCAGCCTAAAGCTCTCTTACCGACTAACTGGAGTCCTCTTCCTGGCTGGTACAATCTGCCACGAGGATGCTCGGCCTGAGAAATACCGCGATAGGATACTCAGCATAGACGAGATCACCGAGTCTGCTGGGCTAACTAAGGAGGGGATTATATATTTCGCTGGTAAGGCCCTAGTCCTCTTTTCCATTCACTTTGCCCTCTTATGTAAGGGATCCATTTATTACAGGTATTATTAACATTGTTTTTAGAAAAATACGGCGCACCACCAGCCGACGTCCGTCGCTCGCCGCTTCTATTTGAGTCTCATAGCGATTTGGCTCTCCGGGCTGTGGTTTATGTCTGCGGTTGGGACCCGCGTCGTGACGAGACATTGTTATTTGAGCAGCTGTTGCGGGAGGAAGGGGTGAAGACCAAGAAGTATATATATCCAGGCCTTCCACATGGATTTTGGACCATGTGTCCTGATTTGCCCGTTTCGAAAGAATGGGAAAACGATCTCCTCGAAGGTGTGAAGTTTCTGTTAGAAGATTCGACTTAGTAGTAGGTGATGTGGGATTGAACGGAGCTTTATTGAATTTTGATATTATTGTTTTAGCTAAGGCTAGAATCCCTCCCTAGAGGTATTCTGGGTATATAGTGGGAAACCAGTAATGTCCTGCCTGTCTTATGCGTCGTGAAGGGCTTTAAACCGAGATACTCCCCAAAAATTCCAGAACCATTCTAGAACATACATGCAAGCATAAAAAACAAAAAATGTGACTTCGCTGAAAAGGTCATTTGTCCAGCACCTGTAAACTCCGACAAGCATCAGGTCATGAAATTGCAAGAGTTGGCCCAATTGCGCGGATGGCTTGTGGCCTGGGCTAAGTGAGAAAATGTTAAGGTAGTGCATAGGTCGGTATGAAAACGAGTTAAAATGTGTACGGGAAGAGTTAGGAAACTGATGGCCCAAAATTGCCGCGACCCCTGGCTCGCCTCGTAGCGGCGACTGGTCCTTGATCCTCCGAGTCATCATCGTCATCTAAAAAGATGGCGCGGCTGGCGGATGAGCCTACTGGAGGCTGCGCTCGCGGGCGTGAATTCAAATTTGCGCCGTTTATGGTCGTTGCACCATTGGGGGAAGAACTTGACATTATTTGATATGTTGGTCCGCGCCGTCGACTGATAGCTGCGGCAGGTCGAATCGGCTCATCATCATCGTCTTCATCGTCATCATCTTCGTTCTCGTTCTCGTCATCGTCGTCACCTTCAGCTTCGCTGCCGTCGGTCGTATCCGAGTCTTCGTCGTCCTCGCTGTCCGGTGCCTCATTTAAGTGGTATGTACTAGGGTGGGCGGTGCTATATCCCGAGCCTGGCGACTCGTTATTGAATATGGCATGTAACTCAGCTCTGCTGTATTCAGGATGTCCAACAACGGTTGATCGGTCTGAATCTGAAGCGTAATTCTCTGTTGGCTCATCGTCATCAATAAAGGAATCCATATCCTCATCCTCGTCCTCGTCCTCATCATCATCCTCATCATGGACAGAGTCATGAGAGCCGTGTGAATCGAGATCTGAAGGACCATAGGGATACTCGAGGGGAAATGCGCCAGGTATCATTCCAGGCATTAAGCCGTAGCCATTGCGATCACGGTGAGCAACGTAGCGAAAATCAGCAGGAAGAGACCCCAACGGCATTCCGTCATACCACTCTGTCCAGTCGAAGCCCGGTGGTTCCCCGAAGCCATCCTCTATTTCTTCATCAATGTCCTCATATGGATCATCTGTCATTTCCGAGTTATCCGAGTCACTTCTCCAATCGGTACCTGACATCGAATCATCATCGGGCCGATATCCGCAGTTCACACAGCCCTCCTCATCCAATTCCCAGGAACACTGCGGACAACGAACGACACCGTCCTCAAGGTCAATAATGGGTCCAGCGGGCGGAGGCCCTGCCTTGTTGAATGTGCCCCGGAATAGACCTCCCTGTCTTGGATCCAGGTTTTTCTTGTCCGCCTCTATCCTCTCCGCCTCCTCAAGCTGATGTGTTTTGTGTTCATCTGTCGTTTCTCCTTTATCTAGAAGCTCGGCGCGACTGGTGAACAACTGGACAACTGCACGGACCTGAAGATATTCAGCAGATAGCTACAAATAACTGAGAGCTGATAGGGTTTACCAGGTACGCTGGAGCGGGCTGCGATTTCACCGGGGCCCGGCAATCAGGGCAAGTTTTATTGTGCCGTCCTTCAGAGAACCATGAGGTCAGGCACTATGGCACAGTAGTTAGCGCGCAGTCGCTATGTGGCGTTAAAGGGGGAAAGTAAACTAACGCCGTAGCAAAATGTGTGACCGCAGGCAAGGGTGTAGGGTTCGTAGAGTGGGCGAATACATATCCCGCATTGTATGAGTCCGCGGATGTCATCGACATGAGCTTGTAGCGTATGGAAGAGCTAGTCACATAAGAAATCGGTCAGCGCGTATCCCAGTAAATTATCGCCGAAACAACGTACCCCCGATGCATCTTGCGGCGTGGTACCCTTTGTCTTAGCCGGGCTTCTGGTCAAAGCGCATGTCGGAGGGGTAGCCCGCGACATATTCTGCTAAGTTTCGGTTTTTTTTTTTTTGCACGTATTCAAACCGAGAGTTAACTGAGGTCGAAAACACTGTATTCAAAGTTCTCAGTGAAGGGAGGGTGCTTGCTTCACGCCAGCAAGGCGAGGGCTGATGTCGGTTGTTTGTTCAAGCAATCGAACGAAGGACGGGCATAACGCGGGAGAGCGATCGCCGCTGAGTGATGGGTGAGAGTTTCTGGGGCGAGGAAATCCCAGAGGCGGTCAACGGGTGTCTCTGGACTAGGGGATTGACTCGATTGACTCGTCAGACTCGCAGCGCAGAAACTGGAGGGATCTGAAAGGAAGGCGATGGCAACCGGCCAGCGGTGCGTGAGCATGACTTTTTCTGGCGGAATTGGAAGCGCGCAGGAACCAAACGGATCAAACACGCGCATCAAGGCTACTTAGCACCACCAGCCCTGGACCCTTGGCTTTCCTTCTTCATCGCTCTCCCTTATTTTCATCTCCCATATTTTCACAATCTACAAATACTTTATTGAAAAGTAATACACGACGGAATCAGACTGACTTTCTTTTTCTACAATACATCAGTCCGTTTCAGGATTTGGAGATACTCAAACGTACCTAACTATCCGGCCCTAACAGCCGGAAGTCCCAACGGCGTCAATTGCTCGCTATCCCTTCGCATTCGTGGAGGCTACTAGCGGATTTCGACTCGACATTATCCAACAGCTAACACCATCTCGCTTACTCGGCGGTTCGGCGTGGCATTAGCACGGACCTTTCAGCCAGACCTCGCTGCCTATATCACGTCGTCTGAACGATAAGGCCAGGAGAATGATGCCCCGCTTCAAGAGGCTTCCCCTCTTTCATACCTAGCTCCTCCCCAGATGGCGCTGTCTTAGGTCGAAACTAGGTAACTGACCGCCAATCTCTGATCACGAGATTTCCTGTTCCTGGGAAACTCCCTGCTTTTGCAATGGTCTTACGGCTTCATCACCATCAAAACAACGTACGGAGTACAGCAAATATATCTCGATGCAATGGCGCCATTGTGGGATGCAACTAAAGAAGAAACTCACCATGACTAGGTACTGCAGACTGATCTTCTAAAAATCAGAACCAGCAATGCTATAGCAACAAAACTTAGTAGTATCTCAATAAGCAGCCAGCTAAACCAACCTCCCTAGCAGCAACACTTTTTAACCACCTTGATATGACGAGGACCAACATTGTGACGGGCGATGAATAGTTATTCCGAGTTTGCATAAACAAAGCCATCCGGTTGCGCGCATAGTGCTTTATACAACAGCAACACGACTCGAGATGAAGCTCGAGAAATCTAGTAAGTGTCGCAGTCAATATAATACTCCATGATAAGAGACATCTCACGAGGTATTGTGATCCCGTGGCGACACCAGTAGACTGCTTCAGCAGTGGCTAATTGTAAATGGATACAATCCAGGGCTGGGCTGGTATAGAGCTGGAGTGCTCTCCGCTGGACCAAAACGGCTCAAGCTGGAGATCGCGCCAAGACTTCGGTTCCGTCTCCGACTTTTTCCCAACTCGAGCATCTAGACCAGCATCATCCAGATCAACACCCTGAACTTGTATTCTTTGTCAAGCAGCCCCGTAACATTCTTCACGCCCGACACATTCTGACTCGTGCCGATTTATATTCTTGATCAGGACCCTTGGACAACGAGTTGCTCAGGCCATGGCTTCCCAAGCGGATCAACAATCGGCCTCATCCACCGATCCCTCCGCTAATTCCTGGGGTCGCGCAGAGCGCAAGTTCACGAAGTAGGTTGTCTCTCATCATTTACCGTTTCTCCCACTTGCTTCCCGGATGCTTGCATGGAAATTATCTGGGTATGGCGTTGTAGCCTCGTGGTCTAGATGTCCAAACTGGACCCGTTTTGCACTGCCGGATCCTCAGCTCGTCCATTCAACGCCCTCCGCCTAGTTTTGATTTAGAGTCGTCCTTTACTGATCTGATTTGTTGTCTACCAGCAAACCCGCCAGCGAGTATTATGATCCCTGCCAGGACTTCGCGGATCGAAGTTTAAAATGCATGAAACGCAACGGCTTTGATAGGGAGATGTGTGGCGATTACTTCCAGTATGTATTTCCTTGCAATGTCCTTTATCAATGATGCAATCAATCGATACCCTGATCTATTCCGTGGATTTATTCCTAAACACTATGAAAAACGTGCCCTGTGCTCAGTCTATTTGACTTTATTCCACTGACTGCGAGCTTAGAGCCTATCGTGATTGCAAGAAACAATGGGTGAGTTATTGTGCCATAACCTTCTTTTGATCTTCAGTAGCCTGGGTGTGGGAATATTGTCATCCAGCACTTCCGTTTATTAATGTTCCTATGATCCTGATCGTACGCGTATAGTACTGACTGGTTTGCAGTTAACCCAAAAGAAGCTTGGGACCGACAACCAAAAGGCATTGGAATGAGCGGGCTTGTCCCAATGCTGCATTATGAAGTGCTACTGTTACCATATCAAGTTCAAACCTACCATGCCAGTGTCATTTCGATACCTTGGTCCATTTCTTTGGGTTAACCTCACGATTCGGTTGGCTGCACTGTACGATAGGCGTTTTCCAGGCTCAATCGGGAAATTTCTATGTTTTCGGAGGTATTTTCCCTGATCTGTGCCCGAGAATGTTGGCTCACAGACTACCTGTATTACTATGTCCCTTCGATCAGCTGTTTATTGGGTTGTACATCGCATGGTTACCGACACTGATATAGTTGATTATCTGACGAAAGTCCCCTGTTACCCAGAATTGCCAACTATCATGTGGTGTGCTTTCGGACCCAGATATTACTGCTTAATGAGATTTTGTATATAATGCCTGCTGTAGATCTGACACCCGCCGTGCGATAGAAGGCACGGAAGAGGCTTATCATGATGATCAACTCTCCTCTAAGCTGAAACAAAACCACTTCTGCCGAATATTTATGAGTTCCATACAAGGAGTTTGGTTCCTGAAAGTTCCAGCAGTACCTTGGGTATACTCCGTAGATGGTGGGGAATCACCGCCTTCCGCGATTTCCCCGCCCACTTTAAACCGCCAAAATGAAGAGAAATATTTCCCCCTCATCATCAATCGCCTTTCTCCCCCGCACACACACCGTGTGCTGTGCTTGACTGCGCAGCATACGAATGTCCTTTTGACTATCTGCCGAACCGAATACGAGATTCCGTCATCCTGAAACCATATATAAAACTCTCACTGAGCCACGAACACTCACAATGTCGACCAATGACGCTGTATTCCAGCGGCGGAACAAGCAAATCGAAGATGCCATTGACGCCCAGAACTTGAAACAAGCGCTGCAGTTGATCGAAAAAAGAATCAAAAAGGGAGAGGATACGCCGTTCCTGAAAGTATGTCTTTTTATTGCTCCGCGATTCTACTACGTTTCGCCGCTCCGATCTCTGCTTTACTTGGGAGCCTAGTCTATTGCTACGTGAAGCAACTTAGTATTCAGGATTGCTAACTCTGTTTCATTAAAGGCATGGAAAGCAAATATTCTTTTCCGTCATGCCGACGAAACCCACCAGCAGCGTGGTACTGCAGAGACCCTCCAGCTATGTAAAGCGGAACCCGCGGTGACGGACCTCGACACACTGGATATTCTTTATGAGACGCTGCAAAAAATGGGTGAAAACGAAGAGACTATGAGGAGTATCTGGGAGAGAGCTGCGAAAGCCAAACCCCAACTTCGCGATATCCAGACGAAATGGTTCAACATCGCTTTTGAGGGCGATGATTGGAAGTCCGCGCAGAAGGTATGTGTGGCTAGGCTATACCCTTTATATTTGGGAAGAACCCCGGATCTGACATGCCTATTTGGTGGTGTGTCATAGGCTGCTATGTCCTTGCAGAATAACTTCCCCAAAAAGCGAAAGTACTACATCTGGGCCATCTTCCTTTGCTATCTCCTGGCAGTCGACGAAGCAAGCTCGGAAATGGACCGTAAACTATTCGGCACCCTTGCCTACCGCATGGTTTCCAAGGCTGCTGAAAGCGTCCCGTCTGATCCAGTATGTTGCTCCCTGCCACTTTTGTCTCCTACTTTTCGTGACTCTGTTTGAGCCGGGATGGTAATCGTTATGCCCAACAATACAGAAGGAATTACTGAGCCCTCCTAGAGCTATACAATCAGCCGAGGAGCTATTGCTACTTGTTAAAATTTATGAGTCTCAAGGACGGCATGACGAAATTGTCAAAATCTTAGACAGTGACAACCTTGGCATCAAGTCAAAAATTGTCCAGAATGACTGGTCTTTCGTCGGTGTCAAGCTTGCTAGCTTAGAAAAGGCTGAGATGTGGACTGAGGGCTTGCTATATGCAAAAGAACTTCTTGCTATCCCTACCAATGAAGATGAGCAGAAGGCTATCCAGGAGCGCGACGACTGGGCTGTTTGGCATCTGCTTGTCACCGCAGCACAAAAGCTAAATTCCGCAGAGTAAGTTTCGATTATGAGCCCCCAACATAGATCGTGGTGATTGATAATATATCTTTCAGAACAACCTCAGAGACACAAAAGTTTATATCTGAGTTCATTGAATCTCAGCCAAAGTCCCGAAATGCACAGCTAGCCCGTCTCGATTTAACGCATGCTAGATTCAAGTCTGGTGCATTAACACAGGAAGACTTACTTTCTGGATGCCAGTCATATTTTGATCATAGCAAAAACAAGCTTTACTGTTTTGGTGATCTTTTGAGTTACCTTCCGTCCTTGGCCAAGGATTCCATCTCGGCGTTTGTGAAATATGCATCCGAGGCGTCTTTGCAAAATGAGGTATGTAAAAGGCAATATAGTAATATTATACTTGCTAACCCACCCTTGAAGGCAACTGGCCCATTCAAAGGAGTTGCGGTCATCAACGCTCTCAAGTTGGAATATTGCTTTCTGATGTCTTTGGACGCGGCCAATGTGTCTAAGGAGAAAGTAGAAGACTTTGTATCTCGCTGCCTAAAAGAGTATCGCGAAGCGGGACGCCCTGACAGAAGCTCTGCTCCATCTACCATTGAGAGCCAGCCAAGTGATGATCTGTGCGTTCTTGCAGCAATGGGCTTGCTTCGCTTCAGCAGGAATTGGGTTTCGAGTAAGCATGAGCAGATTCCAGATGTAATGCTCATCCGCGCGGCGGCAATCTTAGAGCGCCTTATCGCCGATTCCCCCCACAACTATCATGGGTTGCTACTCCTTGTTCGACTTTATCTCCGTTTGGGTGCGGGTTCTCTTGCTCTGAAAACGTTCAGTAAACTCTCCGTCAAGCAGATGCAGTTTGAAACAGTCGCACATAATCTCTTCACACGCCTTGCGACTATTCACCCTCACTCTGCACCGCCGATTGAAGGTGCGGAATACAAGGATTTCAATCCGCACTCTGCCTTCGTCCAGGCTATGGTATTTTTCCTAAGCGCAGATGTCACATCCACCCGACATCGTACGAACGGCTTGGAATATGGCAGTTATGTGAATGTTGAGGGGACAATTGAACTTCAGAGGCGACTGAAACAGAGTTTATGTCGCAGAATGTGGGCTTTGGAAGTGAAACGAGTACAGAGACTTGTGGGTGGAAGCCCAGTGGGACGTTACGATGAGATTGGTTTGTACTCCTACTGCTTCTACCCGCATGTTGAACAGGCGTTGGCTAACCGTAACCTATAGCGAGAGATCCTTCTCCATTAGTTGACCAGCGTACGTTTGACGCGTTCATGAACTGCGAGGCACCTGGTCAACCTACATTCGAGCAGTTGATGCGTCTAGGCCCTCTGCCTCAGGTATGTCATGTCCTTGGAGTAGACCGCGATTGTATTTAACAAGCATAGGCACAATGGGTGAGGTCAGCTCAGTTGACCGACAGGCTTCTGGGGCTCCTTAAAGATATGGCAGCTCAAAAGCCAATCTCGGAAACGACTGAAATCCCGGAGCTTGATACCATTATCGGGGCTAATGCCGAATCTGAAATGACTCCTTCAGAGATCGAGTGCACGAAGTCCAACCTAAGCCTGCTACGGTTGGCCGTGTATCTGAGTGGATCAAAATTCGTCACATCTGAGCATGTCGAGGAGAGTTTTGACCAACTGGAGGGCTGGTTGAACTCCACGTTGAAAGCTCTTGCAACAGACGGGAGCAATGTTTCGCCACTATTGTTGGAGACGGCGATCTTTTTACAGTCGGAAGCTCCATATGCTCCAACCTGGCGACTCTTACATGGTGTACTCACCATTCTTGATTCTATCAAGGCTCTGGCTCAATGGTGCTCTATAGCATCGAAGAAGGGATCCAAGAGTGCCAAGCTACCCAAGGATCGAGTTGAAAGCCTGCTGGACTTGGGACGCAAGGTACACCAGAGTGCCCAGACGAATATCCTCGTAGTTAAGAAACAGGTTTCCGAGTCAGGAAAGCTTGGCTCATTGATTGACTTGGTTGTGGGTGGTACTGGCACGAGTGCAGATGGCCCACAGCTCCGTGGAGAACTTGAGAAGACCCTCGATACATCGTCTTTGGAGTTATTCTGTGGCGAGTTGATGGAAAGCTGGGACGAAGGGCTCGGTGGAGTAGTGGCTGTCAGGCTGTGATTACTGGCATATACACCGTAGACATCTAATTTATTTCTTCAGAAATGTATAGAGATGGTTTGAAATTTCAAGCATTTCCATAAAGTTGAATCCAGGATCCTTTGGTCATGCGCAAGGATCAACCTGCCAACAGCTGCGATGGATGAAGCTAGTTATGGGTCGGGCTTCGGTCGTGCGATGTTGAGTGGTCGTCGTTTGCTTTTTGTTCCTTAGCCTTCTTGTTCCTCCATTCTCATCCTCACTGGCCAGAAACCCCTGGACTTCTTCCTGCATCTGAATGAATCAGGAATGGCGAAACTCGATCACGACCAAAAATAAAACGAAATACGAATGAATTTGCGAAAACCCGGCTCGTTTGTACTCCGATCCTCGCATTCTGCATGCCTGAAGTCGCACGTTCTTACGACTCCATGAGGCTGGGAGACTGCGGGACAAGAATGCTGAACCGCAACACCAAGCAAGGGTGCTTGATCTGTCGGGCAAACAGGATCCAATCAAGCCTGTTTGTCAATCCATTTCGCTTCTCCCTTGACTCTTGCGATTTGCAGCCTAGCCGCTTCTGATGGAGCAATAACCTGGAGTCGGCCCCCAAGCTCCAAATGCAGCACCTCCCACTTTCCCAGTCTCAGCTCTCTCGAGTGCCATCTGGCACCCATGCACGGCATTGGCCGGAAATGATCATCGCTTATCACATTTGACAACGGGTCATTTTTCACTTGATGTTCGGCCATGTGTAGTACTAAGTCAGGGAGGGTTACACTGCAGCTTAGCTTGTGAGCAATAATGTACTCCGGTCTGCCATTGCAATGACGATCCTCCGGGGCTTACTCTTTAGGTCGTTACATATGCCCACTGGTTTCCCGCCAGTGGTCGTCTCTGACTCTGATACACCGGACGGGCGCACCTTGATAATGGCTTACCGAACAGCCTTGCCTTAGCTCGTTTCCGTTTGACGTGAGATATATTTGGTGCTTTTCCTGGTCAGCTTCGATGGACTAAGCCCGGACCACGTCGACGTGCCATTTCTCTTGTCGCCATCGTTCCCCCACCATCGCGATGGTCGGTATTGGGGTACTTGGTCGCGATGTTGGCGACCAAAATCCAGATTCCCAGTCTTATGACTACCGGCATTCGGCGCGAACATGGGATGTCGTTACACAGGTGGTATGCCTTACCGTAACCACTATCTGTATCGGCATGAGGATGTACTCGAAACTTTTGGTGTTGAAGAACCCGGGATGGGAAGATTGTATGTATTATTTCGAGACTTGGATGCTTGTCAGATGAGCTTGGCTAAAGCGAGTTGATAGATACATGTTTGCTGGCTTGGGTACGATGCCTGCGGGCCATTTTTTCTTAGATTCTATGTAGTCTTGCTAACTAGCTTTCTTAGCTTGGACTGATAGCCTATGCTGTCATCACGATTGAAGCAGACAAGCACGGTAATGGAGTCCATCAATATATGGTAGCGCCGCCCGATCTACGAGAGTACGCAAAGGTGAGATTGGCTCCCTTGCTGGCGGGGGAGAACCTCTACTAACATGGGGTGTTGCAGCTGGCGAATTCTTCGCAAATTGTGTATGCGCCTCTCATATTCGTCACAAAGCTGTCTCTCTTTCTCCTGTATCTGCGAGTGTTTGCGCCGTCCCGCAGAGGCAACACGTACCGAATCATCCACTTGTTCATCTGGTTTAATGCGGCATTCTATCTGGCGAACTTCTTCTTGAAGATATTCCAGTGCCTCCCGCGGTCTAAAATTTGGGACACAGACACCCCAGGTCATTGCATCAACATCAACATTCCGATTCTCGTGACGGCCGCTATTAATGTCCTTTCTGACCTCATGATGCTCGTCCTTCCCATCGTTTGCGTTTGGAGACTGCAGATGACCACGAGAAGAAAGATGGGTATATCCGCTATATTTGCAGCGGGTGTATTGTATGTTCTCAACCCCTCCGGCTATGACGTGAATATAATGCTGACGATGATACCCCAGCGGGTGCTTTTCCAGTATAATGCGTCTCGCAGTAAGCGTCAAGGACAGGGATACAAAAGATAAAACATATGACTGGTTCTCGGAATTTTTATGGACGTAAGTTCGCTATTTTACTCTTAGCTTTGGCTATACTTGGATTAACCGTGACTAGCACAGCCGAAGTCACTTGCGGAATCGTTGCTAGCAGCCTCCCAGCATTGCCAACGTTCTTCCGCCACTTCTTCACCAAAGCCAAGTCAAAACTGTCCGATCTCAGCCATACAAAAGGTTCAGATGTACAGAGTAATTCTTTCGGTAAACCAGAGGAGTCGTATGCCCTATCGCGCGGCCGGAAGAATCAGCTATCTCATAGCTTGTTTACTATGGAGCGGTTGACTGATCCTGAACGCGAATCGGACGATGATAGGGCGCGAATATTCTGCGGATCTGGTTATACAACTGAATCTAGAATAGAACGGAGCAGGACTCCAGTACAAGGGGGCTATTATGGGGAAGCAGGTTCAGGATTCGGGAGAGAAGATGGCCGCGGCATATTGAGAATCATCGAAGTAGACGTAGAATCAGGACCGGGGCAGGCTATTAGCAGATAGTTAGCTAGAAAATTACATTCGATTGACCCAATCATCAAAATAACCAGAAAAGACCTAATAGTAAGGTTATTAACCCCCGGCGCATGCGGGCAGTCTTCCCCAACTTCCAGAAGTATAGCCCGTTGGCGCCTGAGGCATGAACAAGCCTTGTAGATATATCTTGGCACCCGTGACATAGCCCTAGCCCTAACAGCCTAACCCTCGCTACGCACCAAGGCGGTGGACCCACCGCCGAACCCAGAAACACTGGAGGAACTTTGAGAGTCCGCACCGACTTTGACAACTTCAGCCAACAACCTCCCCGTCGCCAACCAGTCGCCCACCGATAAACTCGTCGCGATGGCTCAAGAACGCTCCGGTATCGCGGTTGGTCTCAACAAGGGCCACGTATGTATTCTGTTTTCTTTTCGTGTCTGAAACCTTTGACAGATGGATGGAATGGGATGAATGGATGGAGAGTGAGGAAGTTTTCCGTCGAGTCGAGCCGAGTCGAGTCAGTCGATATGAACAGCGAGCGAATATACGATATTTGGCATGGAACTTTTTTGAGCGGAGTGGTCGGGAATAGGTGCAATTGAAATCATTGAAGATTTCAGTGGCCAATAAAACCGCAATGGGACATACGACGATACACCGACAAGAAGATTATTTGGGCGATGGAATTTACCATGGACACAATAGGTCGAACTCGCCTTGACCGAAATTTATACGACTCGACACATCTCAGCTTGACGCGAAAGCTCTCCGAACCATATACCATCCATTTATCCATTCATCTAAGAGGTCAAAATTATCACTGGGCGATGATTAACTAACCGGTCGTGTTTTGCTATAGAAAACCACTCCCCTTAACACCCCCAAGAACCGCATCAGCCGTTCCAAGGGCAAGGCCTCCCGCCGCACCGCTTTCGTTCGCGACATCGCCCGTGAGGTCGTCGGTCTCGCTCCCTATGAGCGCCGTGTCATCGAACTTCTGAGGAACGCTCAGGACAAGCGTGCCCGTAAGCTCGCAAAGAAGAGAGTATGTTTTCACCATTAATTCCTTGCGGGAAAGGGTCGGTTTCAGCAGAGAAAATTACAGCCGAGGACATTCATTGGATTGGGCGTCGTTTCCATCAACCGGTTAATGCCTTTTGGACAACCTCGCCCCCATCCATGGATTGAATCATTTGAGTCGCTCGCTGAACACGCCCAAATCCATCTATATACTGCCTCAAACAGAAGAACCAGGCTGACTCCTTTTTCTCCGTATAGCTCGGTACTTTCACCCGCGGAAAGAGAAAGGTTGAGGATATGCAGCGCGTCATCGCCGAGGCTCGCCGTGTTGGTGCTCACTAAATTTAACTTTATTCCCGTTTTCTTCTCTACCTTCTGTCCATGTCTCTCCAAAATTAGCCGAGAACGAGATGAATGAAAACAAAGTTTAAAAAAAAAGTGAGAACATATCTCTATCCATCCTGTTACTTGGGTCGGGTACGATACGAAGTACATCCAAGAGCTTAGGCTGGGTGGTGGGTTGTATATGGCGCAATATATGATGGCTACAGACCTACCGACCTATTTATCCTATTTGCTATCTAGATATATCCCTTACTAGGAAGGCAAGAAGAGCTATTTAGGAGGAGGGGAGCGTAGGGGAAAACATGGTTGTGGATTATCTACGAGGTCTAATTAAAAATGCATATGTAATACCCGGCTGCTTTTATCGCTGAGAAAGCTTTCTTGAGCTCGAAACGGGTTCACAGGCTACTTGTATCCTTATATTTCCTTCCATCGTAGAGGGGCAAGACAGACGAGAGAGTGCATGCATCAACTGCTATTCAGTATAATTTTCCATAAATTCATTTCATTTTATATTCGCTACCAGTTAGACGACAGGTATAGTTCTGGGTCGCAGAATGGAAAACCTCTATTTCTTTCCTGGCAACTTCAGCCATTTTGGGATTTTACGAGCGCCGGACTTATCGCCGTTGGTCTTGGTGGAATCACTTGGCTTCATTGTTGTCGAGACGTCTGCCGAGGTGTCCATAACATCTGCTGGCTGCTCTACCTTATGCTCTTGAGCTTTGGTTTGAAGCTCCGGTTTTAAAATTCCAGAGCGGCTCTGTTGAGCGGCCGTAGATGCTGTTGGATCCCACGAGAAGTTCACAAGCACGCGGCCAGTCATCCCGTGGTTTTTGATTAGAAGGCCGTGACCTGAATCGGGGAGTGTGGATTGGAATGGGACGCTGGTTTGGTGAGATTTTGATGCCGCAGGTCCAGAGAAGTTTGTGAGGATGAATTTCTCTTGGGTATATGGTGGTGCCAAACAACTGCGGACGAAGCCATAAAGAGTTTTTCCTGTATCCTGTTGCCCAAATCTGGAAACTACCTGGCTTTGATCTGGGAGTCGAACCTTTACTTCCACTTCTTTGACGGATGCGCGACGTTCTTCCTCTGCTGTAGCTGCAGCAGCAATTTCGGCATCTGACCGGAGGCGTGTGTTTTTGCTGGCGGCTTGGAGTCGTCGTTGGTGTATCTGGGCATGCTCGACCGAAGGTACGTAGTCGGATTCATTGTAAGCTGTTTGAGCCGACTGGGGAGTGTTGCTTGAAGGTGGCGCATAGACAGTGATGGGTCGGGATTCACTAGTTAATGATTCAGGCTGTTGGGACGGAGCATCTGAGGCGATTTCTGGAGGCGTTTGTGTAGGTTGTTGATTTTGGTGTTGGTCTTGCCCGGCATTATTTTGAGTTGCAATGGAAGTGGGCGGTGGTGGTTCAAGGGTTTGCGGGATGTTCTCTTTGTCTTTCTCTGATTCTGCCCGTGATGTAGATGCTTGTTCTGCCGCTGCAACTTCATCCTCGGACGATGTAAAGTATTCGTGAATCTGCGTCATGGCATGCTCCAGTGGTTGATCTGTCCGGCGGAAGCTCAACCGCACTAGCACATTACCGCTGTTGAATCCTAATTGAGCGAGTGATTTTTGGAAATCCGGCAATGCGGATAGCTCGCGATCTAGTATCTGTACGACGGGAGTTTCGTAGAATAATCGTCCGGTCCCTTGCCCTTCGGTAACAGGAACCCCACGACCCGTTAAATTCCGGAGAGTGGTTGTGCCAGCAACGCCGGCCTCGAACTTGCGAAGCAACATCCAAATACTGGTTGTGCTAGGGAATTTGTCCATGAGACGTCCATTTGGAGCATCTCGCGCTTCTGATGCCGGAAGTTGCAGGGCTACTGTGACGACGGAGGGTGACCGAGAAAGCTGTACAAGCTCTAGTTTTGCGCCGGGGGAGAGTCCGGAAAGACGGAAGGCGAGAGATAGATCAAGTTGTTTACTTTTATGTCTTAAGATTGGGCAGAGTTAGTATGTGATAGTTTTCTTATAGAGTATGTAGGCTTACTTCAGTCCATATTGACTAGAGTTCACGCCTAGCTTTTTGCAAGCTTCTTGTAATATGTCTGTTAGATACTTCCCGGGCGTCGTTTTTATTGTAGCTCTTCGAGCTGCTGAGTCGAGAACTACGACATGAGAGCTCATGGTGGTGAAGCTATTGCGGGGTCGATGCTCTAGACAGCGAGGTCCAGGAAGGTGGGGAGCGGTAAGCTCAGAAGAGGGTATTTTAAGGTCGATAGTTGAAGCCCGGAGGTAAGTCAGAAATAGAGCGATAGAAACAGGGCGAAGGAGATGGTTGAAATAGAGGATGGTGTTTGAAAGATCGAGCATGGAGCAGGCAGCGGGCGGCGCGTCATCGGAAGAAGCTGAGAGGCCAGACGCCAACCTTCCGCCGACAGACACTGAGAGCTCCTCCAGCTTCACTCATCTCCATCACCTCTTTCATCCCCATCTCCCACCACCTCCTTTTTCGGTCGCTCTCCTATCTCGCACGCACTCAGCTTTGTCAATTTTGCTATTGCATCGGATTTCCAATTCGCCTTCATCATGGTATGTGGACTTTCCCTGCTCGCCCTTCAAGCAAGCACCTAGCTGACCGACTCCTTCAGAGTAACCCGTTCGACATCAGTACGCTCTCTCCTGCCTTTTTACTCCTCTATGGCATGTAAAGCGATATACTAACTGGGGAATAACAGATGGCGGTGCCTGTGTCGCCATGGTCGGCAAGGACTGCGTCGCAATCGCCTGCGATCTCCGACTCGGAATGCAAGCCCTGACCGTTTCCAACAACTTCCCCAAGATCTTCAACTACGCTCCCGGAACATATCTCGGCCTCACCGGTCTCGCAACCGACGTTTCCACCGTCTCAGATCTTTTCCGTTACAAAGTCAACATGTACCGTCTCCGTGAAGAACGGCACATTGCACCTCAGACTCTCGCCAACCTCGTCAGCTCATCGCTGTACGAGAAACGTTTCGGAGCATACTTTGTGAGCCCGGTTATTGCTGGTATCAACAACACGACAGGGAAACCTTTTATTTGCGGCTTTGACAGCATTGGGTGTATCGATTTCGCCAAGGATTTCATTGTGAGCGGAACTGCCAGCGATCAGCTATTTGGTACTTGTGAAGGATTGTGGGAGCCAGACCTCGTATGTTTTCCACCTGATATGGCTTATTGGTATAAGGGCGACGTCGGCTAACTCAAGGCATTAGTCTCCCGAGGAACTGTTCGAAACACTCTCCCAGGCACTCCTCAGTGCCGTCGACAGAGATGCACTGTCGGGTTGGGGTGCTCAAGTTTATATCATAGAGAAGGACAAGGTGACCCAGCGGCTGCTGAAGGGACGACAAGACTAGACGTGCTCGCCGGAGTTCTATTGGGCTCATACTGTTTTCTGTCTTAATGCAAATCTCATAGCCTCGGAAATATACCGGTTGAAAGCAGTATCAAAATACCTGTTTACTTTGGTGGTTCGCAGTATCGTCCCTATGTCATCTGTATTCCAATGAGTAGAGTTATGTATTAGGTGCCTTGCCCCAGTTCCAGACGCATCTTTCCTTGGGGAATCCAACACAACCATTATCCTGGGTTATATGTGCAAGAGATATCTAAGCCATGATTTACTATTCAAATCCATTCCTTCCACTGACAACCCCAAAGGCCGGCCCACCCTTCCCGAAAAACTCTCTCACATCCCCAACCAGAAGATCAGGGACCTCCCAGGCCGCAAAATGCCCACCGCGCGGATATTCAGTAGCCCTCTCAGTAGATCCCAGCAGCTTCGTCCAGGACATTGGATACCTCATCAATTCGTTCTTGAACTGTGCCACTCCGATTTTCACACTCGCAGGTGCAGGAATCGACATGGACGCCGAAAGGGACCCGTCCTCTCCAGTCTCGTAGTAGATGCGAGTTGAGGCCGCCGGTCCTGCAGCGGAAAACAGGTAGATACTTACCCATGTTAGGATCTCGTCATCTGTCCAGGGATAGTTATCTGTCCAGAGATGCAGTTTGTCGTAGATCCAGGCTAGGAGGGCAACGGGACTATCGTGGAGTGCGTAGCCTAGCGTCTGGGGCCGGGTGGACTGCTGGATCATGTACCCGCTGCCCTTGGTTATGTAGTTGAAGACAGAGGATAGGTATGCCTTTCTATCTGGGGAAAATGGAATTGGGAGGAGGTCCTGAAGGAAAAAGAGTGGATTCTGCCAGGGCATGGGGAAGCGCATGGGAATGAAGTTTAGGTGGATTGCTTTGACGTGATCTGGGTATTTTCGAGCCATTGTTCGGGAGATGAAGCTGCCCCAGTCCCCGCCTTGGGTTACTATACAATTTATTTTGATGTTAAATCGCTTTCCTTTAGTGTGCCTGTGGTTGACGCGATGGACGCACCGTATTCTTTGTAGCCTAGGGTTGTCATGACATTGTGCAGAGCCTCTGCATATTGATGGAGGCCGAATCCCCGCTGCGAGGGTTAAACAGAGAATTGATATGAATTAATGGTATTATAGACACAAACCTTCTTCACGGCTGAAGAGAAGCCGAAATTCGGTAGAGAGGGGGCTATCACATCGAATGCCGGAGTGTTCTCGTCGCCGCTAGTTAGAAGTGGAATCAGTTTGGTGGCTTCGATGAAGTTTCCTGGCCCTAAGTGTAATCTACATTTAGCAGATAATAATCAAAGTATGAACACAGAGCGAATTCGTACATCCATGGATAAATAGCAGGGGAATGGCTCCGGGGTGCTTGCTCGTATGGTGCAGGTAGTGGATTTCTAGATCCTCGAACCCGTCGACAGACACAGACGTGGTGAATTGCTTAAATTGCTCGTTTAAATTTTGTTCCTGCTCTCGCCAGTTAAAACCATCTCGCCAGTAGTCCGTTAGTCGTTTGATTTCGCCGAGAGGAACTCCCATGTCCCATCCGACATTGTCGAGTTCATCCGGAAAGGTTGCAGACTCGAGTTTCTGGTGGAGGCGCTCTAGCGCGTCATCGGGAACAGCGATATTAAATGGTTTGGGAGGCATCTGTACTAGCATAGCAGAACGATATACGAGATGAACTCTCCAGTGGAATTGCGGAGCAGATGGCTCTCGTTTTGTTATTCTGATGGTATTCACGTGCTAGCGTGGTTACTCTGTGCCTGAGCCGGCTCTACATATGCTGTGTTGCCAACCGAAACCATGGAACCTGCGCAAACAAAGTACTAGATCGCTAGTTTAACTTACCATGACCGCGTTAATAATCAGATCACTCAGGTCTTTTGCTTGTTCGCCCAGATGCCGAGTCGTTTGAGATCGAGAGTCCCTGCGTTGCTGCTCTGCTGGCCGGTCTCCTGAACCCCCGCGTCTAGACCGGGCGATCGGCCCCCAATAATAAGACAGACTCCATCTCGACAAGCCACCGCCGACTCTAATTCTCTGCGCTTCCCCTCCTCGACTTCTTCCTCGTTAGGCATCGTCGTCTTCCGACCAGCGGTCTGCCACTGCCGTCCGTCTCCTCCGTTTAATCTAGCCGATACCTTACTATCCATTTCAGAAGAGACGGACAGCAATATCGGTCGGCCTTCCCTCGACCAGTCCAGCGAACGTCGGAATCTGCCCACCGACCATTGCTCCCCCCTACTTCGCCGTCGCACACAAGTATACGAACACTATAATCCTAAACCTATATTCACCATATCTTTCCGAGTGGACGCCTACTATCCGTAGAGCGTCCCACCTCGCTACGAGCCTGCGTGGTTCGTCTCCCAGACTGGCAGTGATTGATGTACGTATCTGAACGCCTTGCGGTTTGAGCTCCTGACTAACTGTAGCCTTGCCCTAGGCCGAGCGACATGCCCTGTCTTTTATCTAGAGACGTAGCTCGCAATTTGTTGGTATCCTATCAATCGCCTGCAGTCTCTTGGCGGCCTCCCATAACCTAGGTTATTATCTCTGCGGCCCTCAACTCCGCTTCGTGACTCTCGATTTTCAATCACAATGCCCGAACCGCTGGAACCAGAGTGGGCGAGCTCATCAGTATCGGGGCCTACACTCTCATTCCTCCCGCAAGAACCGACTAGCTCCTTCCCGGCCCTAGATACGCGGGTTGAAAATTCGAACGGCCAATGCACAACCGAGTATGCTGCAATCGAACGGCTAACCGCGCTCAAAAAAGAGCTACGTGCTCTCGATCTCGAGTCCTTCTGGACAAAGCTTATGGAACATATCACCTTGCTATGTAATGCCCAGTATGCATTCGTAGCTCGAAGGGTGAGGGAGGATGAAGCAGCGAAAGAGATCGGTGGGCATAAACCCTCTCTTTTTGGCACGGCCTTTTACTATAACGACGGGTTTCAGAATGTTGGGATTTATCGGCACAGATATTTTGCTGGTGGGAATCCCCAATCGCACATGGAACTCAACAAGCCATGCACGGTCCCTGAAAACCTGAGCTCGCACGGTTCATTCGATAGGGACAAGCTGCCTTTTGCCGCGGAGGGTTATCTCGCAATTCCACTGTTTTCAGGTACTGAGTGTCTTGCCTACCTAGGCTTAATGTGGTCAGAAAGAGGATTGCAGAATCGAAAGCTTTCATGGTCTTTCATGGAAACGATGTTATTTTCCTTGGAGGATTTGGTCGTCCAGCGAATTCACCAGGATGGTAATACAGCAGAGCACGAACAACAAACCCCGGGCTCAACTCCAAAGCGCCGGGATGAAACGACCCCGTCTGCCCAAGCTGTGCACTTTTCCTCTCAGCATCTTAAGCCACTCGCGCGCAGCCTTTCGCATGAACTTCGAACACCGATGCAGGGCATCGTCGGGATGTTAGACGTCATGCACGCCACTGTGCGTGATGCACTTACCGGGAAACCTTCTGCGAAAACCGCGTACGTCTTTCAGTCGCTCAAGGAAAGCATTGAGATGGTTCAAGGTTCGTATAAATTCTCTCTAGATTTGAGGTCAGTGAGGCTAATATTTTATACTACAGACAGTGCAAGACGGGCCGTTGAAGCGGCAGATAATGTCGTGCATGCTTACGATCTCAACATGGAAGTTCCAAAAACTCCTCAGACAGAGAGGGATATCAACTTATCTGGCACCGCCATGTCCCCGGTTGCAACATCTGATAGCCGGCCAAACGTTTTTATCGAAGGGAGCAACATAGCCGTGAACCCCTACAAGCGTCGAAGGAGCAACCCGCCTGAGAGCAAAGTTGAAAAGACTCCGAAGCAAAAAGTTCGTCGAGTGTCGTCCCCGAAGGAGCTTTCCCCGCGCACTGAGGAGGTTAAAAATGCTGTACACGAGAGCGACAAGATCTTCAGCACCAAAACGCCCGCTCATCAGATAGAAGCAGTGATGGCTAGCATGGTTGAACCTCGCCCGTCATTAGCTTCCCGGAGATCGGCTCCTCATCTTCTATTGGAAGGCATCAACGTCAATTTTCAGGGCTCCGCGCTGCGATTCACCAAACTTCGCGACTTGCTTCGTTTGGTGGTCAACGAGTCTCTTCATGTCGGTGGAAGACCCGACTTTGTGGTCAGCAACACAACCGAACTGGGCGAGAAGATCGAGGTTCGGTCGCGAACATCTAACGGAGAGCTTTATTCGAAGACAATAGACTGGTCTGTGGATTTTGCTGTGCCCGATGCGCTTCTCACAGATGACAGAGACCTGGCCAAGCTGATATCATGTGTATTCTTGAATGCTGTCAAGTTCACAAACAATGGCCTAATCACGGTCAAAGCCACGCTCAGCGAAAGAGCTAAGGATATCTTGATCAATGTTTGCGATACTGGAACCGGTATCCCCATGGCCTTTTTACCGAATCTCTTCAAACCGTTCGCTCGGGAAGACGCATCGATTACACGAAGCAAAGATGGACTAGGATTAGGGCTCCTCGTCGCAAAGGGCCTTGCCAGAAAAATGGGTGGTGATCTTGTTTGCGTCCGTTCATCAACCGCCGAACCTGACCGAGGTTCTGAATTCGAGATCAGGATTCCGGTAAACGAACCCGAATCCACTCGCTCACTTAACCCATCGACACGATTGACATCCCCTCCCAATATCGGGGACGCTTCAAGATTTAGCAGTGTCAGCAGTTCTACCCCAGACTCCTCTACGTTATCACCGGTGCGGCCACCTGCACCTACACCGATCCAACAGCCAACTCCCGCACTTACCGATGAATCCTCCCGAACACCAACACCGGCTCGCTCTGTTCCCAGCACAACACCCATGAGACCGCCAGTCAGCGAACATTTTCCTGATGGCAAACCTGGAGAGAAGAATCCTCTTACTTTCCTCGTAGCCGAAGATAATAAGATCAATCGGCGTGTACTGGTACATATGTTGAAGAGACTGGGATACCAAGAGATATACGAAGCTGGCAACGGAAAAGAAGCCGTACGAACGATGAAGAATATCCTTGATTCGCAATACTCCGAGGACGAGGAAAGCCTAGCGCAAAAGGCCCCAGACCGCCAGACAAGTGCAGATGATTTTCTCATCCCCGGGCTTCCGCTCCGGCAGAAGAAGGCGAAGCCGGTGGATGTCATACTCATGGACCTCTGGATGCCAGAGATGGACGGATACGAAGCCACTACAAAGATATTTCAGATGATTAGCGAATATCGTTACCGTCAATCTCAACCTGCCCGGTTACATTCTCGAGACATACCCCCGTCTCAACCACCCACTGTCCTCGCTGTCAGCGCAGACGTCACCGATGAGTCCCTGAGCCGTGCATCCAAAGTTGGAATGAAGGGTTACATGACCAAGCCATATAGACTGGTAGACTTGGAGCGGCTGATCGCCGGCTTTTGCAGCGATTCTGCGTCCCAACAAGCCATTGATTCAACGAACACATGACACATGACACCGACCTTTAACTACCTACTTACTATTAATGAGACCCTAATTGGAGACCTCGACTTGATGAATTTTTTTGGGTTGCATTATATCCGTTATGACTCCGGTTTACTTCATATATTCTGGGACTAGCTTTGCTTTTCAAAACCTCAGTGAATAGATAATAGATCATTCTATATATTTTATGAAAGTTTCTTTCTATTCATGTTAAATTAATGCTTTCACGTTAAATTATATGCTTTAAATCCATTCACATTTGTGGAGCTGGAATCATCAATACGTTTATGGAGTCGAAATGGGCCACCAAAGAACCGCGGAAAATCACAATTCGAATTCAATTGCCCTAATATCATCAAGAAAACGCTCTGTAATAGGAACATATCATTGACTTCGGAAAGTCGAAATTCGTTATGGACACAAGGAAAGAATCCACATAAGATACGCCGCCCATATCACCCAACCCCTTTTGCACTCAGATCCAAAGTTCCTTTATGTCAACTTCTGCTTGATGAAGAACGCCCGGAGGTGAGATAATTGCCAGGCACACGCAACCGAAAGCACAGCGAGCTGCATCAAAGCCCAGCGGACGACACGGGAGTTGGTCGCTTCGGATTGATCACGGAATTCGGCCTCGCGTTCCTAAACCAAGTAAAGAAAATTGATTAGTTTCATGTCTCGTCACCCTGTTCATTCGGAGAAAGTAGCCCCAAACCGCAAAACGGCTTGTGTGGGGTTTTTGTTTTTGTTTTTTGTTTAAAAAAAAAAAAAAAAAAAAAAGAGAACATACCCTCTGGAATACCTGCTCGCGTCTAATATCCTGCAACCGGCTGTTCAAGTCCTTGACTCGCTGCACCAAATCCGTCATCTTCCCCTTATCCTCGCTCTCGATCTTGCTCGTCTCCCCAATTGCCATGTCAAGGGTAACCCTCACAGCGCCAGCAGGCGCACCGGAGAGCCACCCACCGGTAGCAGCGTTCGTCTCGGGGGTGAGGCAGATCTTGTGGTTTCCTGGGTCGGCGGCGGAGAAGGTAAACCGACCGGCGTGGGCGTCGCGCTTGTTGACGACACGGTGGTCATTGTCGAAGACTTCGTCGACTGTGATGAGCATCTTCATTGATTGGTCGGGGGCGTATGTGCCCGTGTTGGTGGTTTGATCGATGACTTCGCTTGAGTAGGTTCCTGTTCATTCATCAATGGGGGGTTATGGTTAGAGGTGCGCGGGCTTGTGGATTGACGGCATGATAGGGGGCTGGGAGGAGCCATTGAGTTGCAGATATTGTAGCTTACCGACGACAAGAGTGTCCTTTGGAAGCTCCTCGTAGAAGCATCTTGTTTGACGGCCGTCCACGTAGAAGTAGAGGGCGTTTGCTGGGATGGAGAGGCACAGAATTGCGTAAACGGCGAGCGTGGAGGAAAGCCACCAGGTTGATGGCCTTGAAGGAGCCATGATTGCGGTTGGGAAAGAGGAGAGGAAGGTTGGACCTATGGAAGGTGGACTGAGGTGCTCGTTGGTGAGGCTTGCACTCTTGGTGGTGAAGGGTGCTAGTTGATGTTATGCTGTCCAGATCCAGAATCCAGCCAGGGCGGCGCAGGCTTGGCGCGAATTCTAATTCCTCCATTGACTCTCCGTCTTCACGTTCACATTTCCATCTCCCTACCAACATCACTATCGTCGGCTACCTTTATTTCATCAGAAACTTGACAGTGCACAGATTCCTTTTCAACGTGTTTCGATCTGCCGCAGAGCGCCTGTTCGGAAAACCATGGCTGCCGCCGATGTGCGCGACATGCTCGACTTGCCCGCGGAGGGCCAACCGCGACCTCACAAGAAACAGAAGGTCGTGGAGAAAAGGCCAGGTGTGTCTTGCATGATCGCAAAAAACAAAAGTTAACTCACAGCTGACTCTGAATGTTTTGCACAGAGGGTATCACCCGTGAGCTTTTCGCGCTTTTAGGAGAAAGAGCACCCCCGATCGCGATCAACGAGAACCGATACAAGGGACGACCCAAATGGCAAACCAAGGCTCGTGTGCGACCATGGTAAGCGATGCGACATGACAAATACGTGCTATAAGACGCTAATTGAGTGCAGGCGGATGAATCCTTTTTCGAATGATGCGCGAACCGATGGTTTAGTTCTACGGCACTGGGAAAGGCAATCAGAGGCTACAAATGCACCAGCTATTGAGGGCCCAGAAACGGAGGATGACCAGAAGAAAGAAGAGCAAGGAGAAAATAAGGACGCTGAAAAACAAGAATACCCATTTGCCAAATACAATATCAAAGCCAAAATCCCGAACCGGTATACGACAGACGAGTACAACCGCCACCTGAAGAGCGATGAGTGGTCGCGCGAAGAAACGGACTATCTGATGGACTTAGTCGAGGAGTATAACCTTCGATGGGTAGTTATTTCCGATCGTTACGACTTCCAACCCCAGCCTATCGACAATGCAGAGTCTTCGACCGCACTAGTACCTAGCAAACGATACAGAACCATGGAGCAGATGAAAGCCCGATATTACAATGTTGCGGCCTCAATGCTCGCTCTTGAGCATCCCCCATCAGAAATGTCTGAGACGGAATTCGATCTTCACGAAAAGATGATGAAGTTTGACGCTGAAAGGGAGCGGCACCGCAAGGAACTTGCTGGTCTCCAACTGAACCGCACTGCTGACGAAGTCCGCGAAGAATCCATCCTTCTCGAAGAGCTCAAGCGAATCACCGCCAACGAGCAGGAATTTGTTAACGAACGCAGAGAGCTTTACTCCCGTCTCGATGTCCCAATTAGCGTTGGCAACGCAACCAACTACCACAACAGTCAAGGCCTATCCCACCTCCTCCAAACCCTACTCCAAGCAGACAAGAGCAAGAAACGCCGCTCCCTCCTCGGTCCGGAAGGTATCGTCCCCACGCCAGGCGGCCAAACTCCGATTCCCAACGCCCCAGGCAGTGCTCGCGACAGCAGCCGAGCAGACACCCCCAGCGGTGGTCCCGCGCAACCCCCAACAACCAAAAAGGCCGCTGCCGCAGTAGCAGCGGCAAACAAAGAAGCGGCCCAGCAAGCAATCAAAAACCTCTCGCCGGCCGAGGAGGCACGATATGGCGTACAGCACCACGATCGTCTTGCACCTGGCGTGCAATTCCGCAGCGATCGCGCCCAGAAACTCACACAGGCGAAGTCCCACGTCCAAACACAGAAACTCGCATCTGCTCTTGCCGAGCTCGAAATACCCCTCCGCCTGGTCATGCCAACAGAACGCGTGGTGAAGGACTTTGAGAAACTGATTCACTCTGTGAATCTTTTGTTGGAGGCACGCAAAGTCTCGGAGAAGGTGGAGAGCGAGATTCGTGTCTTGGAATCCGCCAAGGAGGAAAGAGAGCGGAAAGCGAAAGAATTGCGGGAGAAGGAAAAGCCCGAGGTGAAATCGGAACAGCAAGATGATGAGGCTCCTATCCCGCCTGCACCTGAGTCGGCTTCCGCGGGTGGTGCTCCCCAAACTGAGAAACCTGCCAGCACAGGTGACGGTCAAAATGATTCATCTATCCCCACGGGTGATACTGTGAGAGGTGGTGAGCCGTCTACAGGGGATCAGGAAGGCGCCTCTCATAAGCGTTCTGCCAGCGTGCTCAGCAACGGAAGCGACAAGAGTTCCAAGCGGCAGAGGAAATGATTCTTCACCTGTATTACCAGTCTACCACCTTATTAGCAGTCATAAGTTGATTAATACAGCACTGTACGATTATCATATGTCAACACCATGTTTTGGCCATTCGCTATCAATACTTCTAGCCCTTGATTTTCGTACATAAATCCCTAACAATGCACACATCCAAGGAGTTTTGATGTTTCCCTCTCTCGCATCAAACTCCAGTCTCAGTTGTTGGGATGTGTCGTTTTGCTCAACCCCGCTAATCAGGAATCGAGTGTTGTTCGAGACACTCCTCATACAGGCTGTCCCAATCTCTAGAGCTTCTTCCTGAGCTTGTTCGCTCGGATGGCCGATACTGAGGTTTCTGGGACTGGTGAAGGCCACCGACTTGGTTTGCCGAGAATGTAGGCCCGCCAACATGTATCCCTCGCGGTTGTTCCTTGCTCCCGGGCCCTCTGAGTCTGAACACTCGGGTCGTCTTTCGCTGCACAACGGGAAGGTGCTCTGCTGGTGCCGCAAACTTGGCGACTGCGCGGTCTGCCTGTTTCTCAAGGCTACGGGCAATTTTTGCGACCTTGCGTTTAGTGGTCCATACACCTCCCCTCCGGCGGAGTATTGCTAATTTCTCTATCAGCTGTGCTTCTGTATGCTCGCGGGACTGAACAATGTTTTGCTGAGGTGCTTGTTGCCCGCCCGAGTTCTGCACCGGGCGAACCCAAGAACAGAATTCCCAAGGGTTATCTGCATCGACATTGGTCCCTATTTCCTCATGGTCTTTCTTTTTATTCGAGAGAATCCCAAACAAAGAAGAGCCACCGGAACCGCAACTCCCTGCGTCGCTGTTCTTGCTTGAACCCAGGGTGAAGTTTGCGCCAGTCCAGCGGGGAAGGTTCAGCTTCTGGAAAATAGTGGATATATCGAAGCTCGACTCGTTTGTTTTTGAAGGGGCCTGACTAGACTTTCCTCGCAGAGGCGAACCCTGCCTATCAAAACGTCCATTCGCACTACCTGCAAATGAACCATTAGGGCTATTTTTTGTGGCGTCATAGCCGCCAGGTAAAGCAGGCCCATTACAGATTTGCTCATTTCCCTCGCTCGAGTTGTCTGGAGGCACAAGCGTGTACCCATATCCAATTCGTCGACCTTCAGTCATCCATCCAATGCTTAATTTGCGAGCAGAAACGCCAGTCTCGCCTTCAGAGGACTCAAATATCGCAGGGCCTACCGATTGATTGGACCCCAACCGCTCAGTGAATTTGCTTCTCAGCGCATTAGCTTCATCAGCAGTTGCTGAAGCAGATGCGTGTTCGGAAGGCAAATAAGGCCGCCTCGACGGCAACTTGGTAGATGTGTCTTCAGCGAAATCGACGAAGCTCTGCTCGTCGTAGTCGTAACCGGCGGAGGGTATGCTGGCTTTTGGAGAGTACGGAGATCGTGTACCCTGAGTTCTAGAAAGCTCAATTGACAGTGACTTCGCCTCAGGTTTATCCCAGATGGGTGGCATTAAGTTTGGATTGTTAAACGTTTGATATCTGTTTGCATTCCATGTTCCTGCATTGCTACTTGATTGATTCTCATCAAATGGATGCTTCTGGGGTTGCATGTGAGAAGTAGATCCAGATGAAGCGAGCATTCTGTGAATGTTCATCTCCTCGAGATGAACAGATTGTTCGTCTTGTGTCATTTCTCTTCGAGGCCTCTGATGTCGTTTCCTGACAGAGAGTTGCGGAGGACAGCCAGCCAGGGATTCCGTGGATGTCGTATATCCCTGTTGTTGAAATGCGTGGTGATTATGGTAAGTGCAGCCTCCGGTATCATGAGTACGACCAGAATTTCGACCTATGCTGTCCTCAAAGCTGCCGCGTCTAGACTTCGGAGGCCTTATCAAAACCGGGCGACAAGTTTCCTGTACTCTCATAGGTACTGGCGATGCTCGTTCTTTTGCCCGCATCCTGCACGCACTGGGACAAGGGCTCGAAGGTCTACCACGTGGACTCCCCAGATCGACTTTATGAAAACTAGAGGGGGACTCATGAACAATTTGCGGACTTCGATGTTCGTCGTCTCGAGAGCGCCAGCGCAACTGGGCTTCCACCCCTTCCCCATGGTAAGGTGCTTGTTCATTTGCCATGCCCCTGGTGTCAATAGTCAACCCAAACGGCAGTTCTCGTGCATGTTCTAAATCGGGTTCTCTGCCACGACGAGCAGATATCGGTGTCTCATTCCTAGGCCGGCTAGATGGATGTTCTGTGGTGTAAATTGGATGTCTTGGCGTTGATATATACTGCGCGTCACTGTCATATCCTCTTTCGCTCATCAAACTACCTCCTAGATCAAACGCAGAGGGTACTGCATGGTGTTTCGATGAACAATACAGAAATGGTATCTTTGGGGCTCGATCCAACCGTTTGGGCCGTCTATACAAGTTTCTGGGGTCTCGAGAGAATCGTCGGCGGACCCTACCCGATAAACCACCTGAAGAACTGCTTAGACGCACGCTTTGGTTTTGTTCGTCTACTGACGAAGATATGCCTATTTCGGTCAGAAGGTTCACCTAAGACCGAGTGGGGATATATCTCATCATCACCTTCACTGTGTTCATGGTTGGGAGGAGACGAATCTATTCGTCCCAGCTGGTACGCTATATCGGACGATTCTGAGGCTTTCCGATATCTCCAAAGTCGAGGACAGAAGAAGAACCTCATTGAGCTGTTCAAGGGGGTATACCATTGATGGAGATTTGGGTGTCATAAGAGCGAGGATAACGGTCAGGGTAGCTGAAAGCACTTCTATCGAGAGCCCGGGGCAGGGGCATGGTGAATGCATCCTATCGAGGCAGGAACGCTGTCAATTCACGACAAACGAATGAGGCAGGCGCGACCATCCGCCGTACTATTAAACACCTTCCTGTTGACGGAGTCTTTTGGCCCCGGCGATCTCGGAGTCTCGGTCTTTTTTTGGCCGCATGATGGTCTCTTTCTGAGGTTAGGGAAAGACCACGAGATTTTACCCCTTTTAATATAGAGGGGGTGAGGGTGAATATTTCAGTCCCATATGCTGGCCAAGGTCAGCTTACTACAGGTGCATCTCCAGCCGGCGGAGAGTCACCCAGTCTCCGTTCCATCCATCCCGTCGGACAATGAGGTTCCTCTTTCGGTCATTATTTACTACTTTAGGTTGCAAGCTTGGGGCCTATCCAAGGGCTCAACCTGAAGCCGAAAACTTTCGGTTCTTGAAGCCACCTTGACATTAAGGTATTAGCACCACTGGTCTGTCTATCCTGAAAAAAAACCGAAACTAGAGCACGGGTAAGGCCGATCACGGAGCACGTTCGGAGGGCGGGTCGATGAAGATTCGGGGGATTTGTCTCTGCCTGACGCGAAGTGAGCCATGGAAGAGCAAAAATACGACAACTCAATGCTTCCCCATCACGCCATTTCTCTCTGCTAGCACTGAAAACGGCCACGACCATGTCCATAGTAGTTAATATTAGCAGGTTTTATAAGTTCTAGGTTCTCATCAGGTGTCAAGCAAAATAAAATTGATCAATGGCCCCATTATCAGCAGAAGGATGGACTTTGATAGAGGGTGATTACTGCGGTACTATACGGTACGATTTTCGTACTGCATATACCCCGCCTCGGTCTTTCTGATTCGCCGATTTCCAGTATCCACACCGGAGGGACTCGACTTTTTCCCCTCCATGAAATTGATTTATTTTGCTCAGCTTCCCCTCCTCCCTCCTCTTTCCTTTCTCTCTCTCCATCCCCCTTCTTTTCTTCATTTCCCCCTCTTGCAAGAGATTCTTGTGAATTGTCTCTTGCCCTCCTCCTATTTCTCCCTTCATCCACCTTCTATCTTCTCAGACCATTTTCTCTTTCTTCTCCATCCGACCTCACCCCCACCACCGTCTCCTTTCCTCGCTTTTCCGTACACACATATCTGTCAGGATGGTTCAATCGTATGTTCAAATACTGTTCCTGTTCTGTGGTCATCGGTAATACTAACTTTTTTTCGCTACAGCGCTGTTCTTGGTTTCCCTCGCATGGGAAAGCTCCGTGACCTCAAGAAGGCCACGGAAGCTTACTGGGGTGACAAGATCTCTCGTGATGAGCTTTTGGCTGAGGGAAAGAGGCTTCGTCAGGAGCACTGGAAGATCCAGAAGGATGCTGGTGTCGACATTATCCCCAGCAATGACTTTGCTTACTACGACCAAGTCCTTGACCACATCCAGCTCTTCGGCGTTGTCCCCGAGCGCTACACCAAGTACAACCTCCACCCTGTCGATGAATACTTCGCCCTGGGTCGTGGTCTTCAGAAGCCTGCCAAAGATGGCCAGGCCGCCATTGATGTCCCTTCTCTGGAGATGGTGAAGTGGTTTGACTCCAACTACCACTACGTCAAGCCCACCCTCCAGGACAACCAGGTCTTCAAGCTTGCTTCCAACCCCAAGCCTGTTGCTGAGTTCCTTGAGGCTAAGGAGGCTGGTGTCATCACCCGCCCTGTCATCCTCGGTCCTGTTTCTTTCTTGACCCTCGCCAAGGCTGACCGTGGTCAGTCCGTAGACCCCATTACCAAGATTGATGAGCTTCTTCCCCTCTACGTTGAGCTCCTTGCCAAGCTGAAGGAGGCTGGTGTCGAGGATGTTCAGATTGACGAGCCTGTCCTTGTCTTTGACCTTCCCGCCAAGTCCAAGGCTGCTTTCAAGCCTGTTTACGAGAAGCTCGGTGCCCTCGGTGCCCAGGCTCCTCGCCTTGTCCTTGCCACCTACTTCGGTGACGTTGTTCACAACATTGACGTTTTCCCCGCTCTTCAGAGCCTCTACGGTATTCACGTTGATCTGGTCCGCAACCCCGAGCAGCTTGACGAGGTTGTCAACGCCCTTGGCCCTAAGCAGGTCCTCTCTGCTGGTGTTGTTGACGGCCGTAACATCTGGAAGACCAACTTCAAGACCGCTATCGAGAAGGTTGAGCTCGCTATCCAGAAGCTTGGCAAGGAGCGCGTCATTGTCTCGACCTCCAGCTCTCTCCTCCACGTCCCCCACACTCTCGCCAGCGAGAAGACCCTCGACCCTGAGGTTCGGGACTGGTTCAGCTTTGCTGTCGAGAAGACCAGCGAAGTTGTTGTGATTTCCAAGGCGGTTACTGAGGGCCCTGCCGCTGTTCGTGAGCAGCTTGAAGCCAACGCCAAGTCTGTCCAGGCCCGTGCCTCCTCCAAGCGTACCAACGACCCCAAGGTCAAGGAACGCCAGGCTGCCGTCACCCCTGAGCAGCACGACCGCAAGTCTCCCTTCACTACCCGTCTTGCCGAGCAGACCAAGTCCATCAAGCTTCCTCTCTTCCCCACCACAACCATTGGATCCTTCCCTCAGACCAAGGATATCCGTATCCAGCGTAACAAGTTCACCAAGGGTGAGATCACTCCCGCGGAGTACGAGAAGTTCATCGAGAAGGAAATTTCCGATGTTGTCAAGATCCAGGAGGAGCTTGGCCTCGACGTCTTGGTTCACGGTGAGCCAGAGCGTAACGACATGGTCCAGTACTTCGGTGAGCGTCTCACTGGTTACGTCTTCACCACCCACGCTTGGGTTCAGAGTTACGGATCCCGTTGCGTGCGTCCTCCCATCATCGTCGGTGACGTCTCTCGTCCCGCTCCCATGACTGTCAAGGAGTCCAAGTATGCCGTCTCGATCGCCTCCAAGCCCATGAAGGGTATGCTTACTGGACCCATCACTTGTCTCCGCTGGTCTTTCCCTCGTGACGATGTCCACCAGTCTGTGCAGGCTCAGCAGCTTGCTTTGGCTCTGCGCGACGAGGTTGTTGACCTCGAAGCCGCCGGTGTCAAGGTCATCCAGGTCGATGAGCCTGCTCTCCGTGAGGGTCTTCCTCTCCGTGCTGGCAAGGAGCGCGAAGCTTACCTCAAGTGGGCCGTTGCCGCTTTCCGTCTGTCCACCGCTGGTGTCACCGACGGTACTCAGATCCACTCTCACTTCTGTTACTCTGAGTTCCAGGACTTCTTCCACGCCATCGCCGCTCTGGATGCTGATGTTCTGTCCATCGAGAACAGCAAGTCTGATGCCAAGCTTCTCAAGGTCTTCATCGACGAGGCCTACCCCCGTCACATCGGTCCTGGTGTCTACGACATCCACTCTCCCCGTGTTCCCAGCGAGCAGGAGATCAAGGACCGTGTCGAGGAGATGCTGCAGTACCTGCGCCCTGAGCAGCTCTGGATCAACCCTGACTGTGGTCTGAAGACCCGTCAATGGCCCGAGACCAAGGCTGCTCTCACCAACTTGGTCAACGCGGCCAAGTACTTCCGTGAGAAGTACAGCAAATAAATTTAACACTTAATAATGACCCATGGAGGGGGCGACATTGTCAACCATGTCGTCCCGATAAGGATGAAAATTTTTTTCATTTAATGAGTTATGATGATGATACCAAAAGTTCAACATATGGGTTCGGGGTTACATTAGAGACATAATGGGGATAACGGAGTTCAACATTTTACGATTTCAACATCGGCGTTAAGCCAAGCATTGACATGATTCCCTGGCATGGGATTCTTTTCTTATCATCTTTTGGGGAAACAGGAGCATGAGTGGATAGTCGGTGGTGGCTACTTTAGCCGATGTTCATATATTTCAACAATGATGTGTGTATCACACTACTAGGGGTTAATTGTATAAATTCTTACCTCGCTTTTAATTTTTCTTGTTCTTTTTTATCTTCCTCGACGTTGTAACTGTTCAAGTTGATGTTTTGACAGTTGCAATTGTCATTACTAGTATCCTAAACCTATAACTAAATAACACAACCGTAGTGAATTTCAACGAAATATATACATACCCCGTCCAGCACCCAATGACTCCGTTGATTCTTAGTGTACAATAGATTCTTGCATGCTTTTTTTAATTCTCCTGACCAATCAAAGAAGAAAATCAAAAATTGAACAAAACGGGATTGATCTTACTACATCCAAGAAACAAACGGCACAACCGCCCCTCGTCCACCAACATCCTCCTCCCCAAACCTCTCGACATACCACTTCCTCCCCCACCGCGCATGCGGCAACATATTCGTAACCGCATTCACAACAAACACTATCGCTGGCAACGGCAAGACGGGAACCCTCAGTTTTCCCGCAAGCCACACAGCAGGAACCAGCCAGGGCGCAAGACGGAGCGCCGGCCCACCTGTTATCGCACCAGCTGTACTCGTGCTCAGTACGTCGGGAATTATGGATGGCGGGGTGAGCGCTGGAAAGACGGTTGTGCCTACGAGTGCAAAGCCGGTCCATTCGATCCACTCGCAGACATAGTGCGGGTACAGGATTGAGCTGAAAAGGCCGGTGGAGGGTGGTATGACGTAGACTTTGTGGTATTTGTTCTTTTTCTTGGCGAAATAATCGGAGTCTGCTAGGTCTGACGTCTCGTTGTCTTTGCTGGTCTGTTTGGTGTCTGCTTGCTCGCGGCGGAGGCGGAAGAGAGTTCGCTCTGCGTAGATGTTTCCTGCCATGCCGCCGAGGAAGAGAACTAGGCCGGTGACTGGGAGGAGGAGGGAAGTGCCTGCTGTGCTGGCGAGACTTTCTTCGAGGGCCTTCTCTGGCGTTGTGATTGAGGCCTGTGAGAGCGGGTAGTATCCGGGGATCGTGGTAACGTTATATCCCACCAGCCAGCAAGCCAAGCACGAGGAGTTGAACCAGTTGAAGAATATGGCTGCGATAGCAACAAAGGCATGAATAGGCGACATGCTTGGCGCTGAGACGAATGGTGAGATAATGGCCCTGTTAACATAGTGAAGGAGATAGAGAGAAGCCACTAGCTTGTTTGGGAGGGGGAGGGTTCGGATGCTAAGTTTGGCTGGGAGGTGGTAGAGAATGTAGAGCAGGTTGATAGGCCCTGCTATCTCCATGGCGAACCAGGCAATTCGCCCTGGGATATTGAAGTATGAATTCTTGGAGGAAGTTTTCCCCGCGCCATGCCAGGAGGTGAGCCATTGGATAATTGTGAACTTGCGTTGTATTAGTCGAGGTTATCTTTTGAGGGGCTAGAGGTCTTACTAGAGGGAAGAATTGGAAGATGTTGAGCAGAGTTACATATGCCTCAGGAGTGGGAGGAAAGAAGTCTTGCGGAGGGGGTAGGGAATTGAGGGTGGATGAAAGTGTTGTGCCCATTGTCTTATGCAAAGACTCGGTGTTGTATAGTTATAGCACAAGATAAAGTTAAGAGGGATGGATGCCCCTGGAATGAAGCTCTTAGGGTCCGTGGGGGAGAATGGTTATTGAGACACTCGATTTAAGCTTGTGAGGCACGATGAAGCAAATTATCAGGCAAGTACCGAGTATGACGATGTTAGAAGATTCCACGAGGAAATAAAGAAACAAAAGAAACAGGGACTAAGTTGATTCACTTCAGATCGATCTGAATGGCTGCATACGACGATCAATGATGTCAGTGACACACGTGACTTGTTTGTACAAAAAAAAAAAGTAAACACATAGATCGTAATGCATAAGTATGGTATTGTATCATGTTAGATCTGCAGTAAGCTACTACTTATTACTTGATAGTTCGTCAGCCAGTGGATGTGTCCATCGCCTCGGCTGCAACCTGGCCCTGTCCTCCTCGCCGCTCTGCAATCTTTCGCCGCTTGAAGTCCTCGATCTTCGCCTTGAGCTCGGTATCTAATAGTCAGGTTAGTCTTATGTGCTTGAGAATTGGATAGTGAAGTTTCATACCAGGCAAAACGTCCTCCATCTTCAATGGTACTCGGTTGAAAGGGTCGTGTGGATCGCTCAGTAGATGAGAACGGATGGTAGAGCGGTCAAGGGACATCCTCGATGCAGGAAGAATCACGGGGTCCTCCATCAAGGTGTACATTAGTGGATCAAGGAATTCGTCTGGAATCTCTCCAAGATCCTCTTCTGCCTGTTCGTCTTCCTCCTTGGCCTGCTTGGCTTTCAATAGGAGTCGGTCCCAACGGTTGAGCTCCTCGGGAGATTTGAGAGACCACTTGCGCAGGATCTCTGCAGCCTTTTCGAAATTGGCGGGCTTGTAAGAGCGCCCATCTCGAGCAACAGCGACGATAAAATTTTGCTTGCCCATCAAGTTCAGGTACACATCCACTATCTCACTCAAAAGAGCTCGTGGTCGGAACCCGTATTCATGCAAGTTTTCGACTCGCAGGTTAGAACTCTTGGGTCCAACCATGGCATCCAGGTTATAGTCAAGCATGTCCGCCAGTCTTTGGACAATTTCTGGCATGGTGAAAGCATCTGCTAGGGCTTCCGTGAACAGTTTAAGCATGGCCATGGTCTCGTTGGTCAACTGCATGTACGACTTGGCACTGCGTTGCGCCTGTGAGACAAGCTCCTCCTTCTCCTGGCGCACGGTAGGGTCCATGTTAGCTCCTTCGGTGCGTAGCTCCAGCTGTGTGTTGTAGATCGTCTTGAAGCTACCGAACGATTCGTCGAGCACATAGGTGACATCGTTGAGGAGTAGGTTGACAAACTGAACGAAGAAATCCAGGTGGTGGTTGGCTTGGTTGAGAAGCTTTGCTCGGTAGAGCGTATTTGGCCAGACGCATTTGATAATCTGGAAGATCTCGTACCGAATGTTGAATTTGTCATAGAATTGGGTGTGGGCACCCGTGTGTTCGGCCTCAATGTAGAACTTCATACAAGCGTGTAACAAGTATTCATTAGCAAAAGGCATGGAGTTCAACAGGTCAACCAGGACACCCGTAGCACCACCAGGGCGAGGCCATGTCCCTCGGTACAGGATCGAAACGAGGCCAGCCTTCAGGTAAGGGTTTTTGATGTACTCCGAACTCTCCAAAAAGGCGATGCAAAGCATAACCAGCTCATCACCTTGTGTGGCGGTAATGATCTGCGGCATACACCACATGATGAATTTGAAATTGCTGACAATATCATCCAGAAAATATTCAGGAAGACATTTGAAAACTTCAGGAGGATTTTGCGGAAGAGGCAAAGTTAGTTGTTCTTTAGGGAAGTTTTTGCCAGAAACTACCCTAAGCAGCCAAACAACAACATAACGCATGAATGTCATAGACCGAAACTGCCATTGATCGTCAAACAGCACACCTTGAAGACTGTACTTCAAAGCCAGGCCCATGTCCACTTTGTCCTTGAACCTCTTCAAATGTGTTTCAAAAAGCCTAAGCTGGACCGGGTTACTCGACCATTTATGTCGCTCCGCCTCGAGTTTAGCAAGGGTAGTTTCCATGTGTCTCAGGTCTTTCTCAAGCGTTTCTAGTTTAGAAGTCAGGGATTCGCTACCATAATGATGGGCAGCAACCGTCAGGAAGAATATTTCAGTAATGAAATTCGATGTGCCTTCGGACTGCTTTGCATAAAATGCATCGGAAGCATGTTGGTCGGCATTTATTTTAGTCTCATCTTTCATGTCAACCCGAGGGTTTCGATGTAGATACTCAATATCGATCCTGTCGATCTAGAAAGGTCGTTAATTTTTGAACCCTGGCACATCGATACGCAAACAAACTTACCTTGGTGAAATTCGCATCCATAAATGGTTGGCAGAGGTGGTCCATACATGTGGTAAGGTTGAACATAAAGCCATCAGAAGATACGGTATTTGGGTCTACCTGCATTGCCCGCCGTTTGTGGTTAATATTCAAAGCAGTTCCAAACCAGTCGAGAACTCTGTTTCTTGCATCTGTCGAAGCTCGAATCATATGGTTGACTATATCGAGATGATCAGAGCTAAGCAATTCCTGTACCATACGGATTGATCGCTGTGCGTTCAAGATGTAACCTTGGTCCCTTGTCTTGGGACTCGAGAAAAACGACATCGTAGCGCTACCTTGAAGGGGGGATAGGCGAAACCACGGTCCAAGAAGAGTCTCCTTCTCAAACGAGGCAGGATCTCGTGACTCATTGAAGATAGGCGACTCAGTAATGGCCGAAGCAATGGCAGAGTGCCGAACAAGGTTTCGCAATGCCTGTTGAGTTCTCAGTGGATGTCCTCGGTAAGAAAATAGAAACCTGGTGCAAACATACCGTTACATATGGCTTGTAGTCGTCGCCAATCCCCAACGAGGAAAGTTCCCTACTCAATTCCTCAACAGCTGCAATAAAGGCAGGCTTGATGGAATCATCCTCTTCAAATCGCTTGACAGATTCGCTTAAGAAATCAAGATCAACTCCCTTGTCATCTTCGGGGTCTAGAAGGAGATAGGGTTTGAGAGGCGACCGTCCCGATGGATCAACTCTTATGGCCGCATAATCAGTAATCATATCCCCACTTCTATGACCTGGACCACAGAGGAGATAACTCACCCAAACATCTCCGGCATAGTAAGAGCAAACACAGAGTAGCTCATACACAAGCGCCGAGCCTCACATATCACTTCGAACTTGGGGTCATCGGCGCGGGCCTTCCGAAACCCCTTGTGCAGCCTCGATACCCGCTTCCAGCATGGCAACAGGTAGTCTAAAGGCTTCCCATCTGGCTGACTAGATGCTGCCTCTAAAAGAGCCTGGTCTAGAACAGAGGTATCAATCCGCAGTCCCCGGTTCTGGTCCTGTAATTCACCCCGCACACCAGGAATAAATGTCAATCTCTGCCCGTGGATATCCTTCGTTCGATTCTCGTCCAATGTGAGTTTAAACACTGCGCTTAATGTCCGGTCCTCGAAAGCTTCTAGAGTGTCTTGAGCTTTTGCGGGAGGCGGGGTGTTTGAGACGGGGGTTATAGATTGCGGTTGCTGGGCAGGTGATGAGGCGTCGGGCGTTATCTTGATCCGTTTCCCTTCTGATTCTTCTTGTTCTGGTTTTGATGTGGACGGTGTGGTGCTTTTGTTGGGCTGTGATTGCGATGGTGCCTCCGGGACTTGAGGGGTAGAGGGAGCGGATGACTGCTCAGTGCTTGTTTCCGCCGATGGCGAGGAGTTCGCGAGCTTAGCTAGACGCTTATTGCGGATCTATAGATATTATATTTGCATTAACAAGGACCCACGGCATTTAACAGGGCATATGCAGGGCGAAACTAACTTTATCCGCCTCTGAAACGTTATCGCCCATACTCGATGATCGGGAAGCGATATGGGGGCCGCACCGAGTGAAGAGCTTCCGACTTTGCGGTAAACGGATTGAAATGAAGCAACGAGGCTCCTATAGGTGCAGATGGAACAAGCCAAAAGAACTGAGGTCCCAAAAATCAAGAAAGCGAAAGTCCTGCCGGGAAATAGACGAAGAGATGCAAGTCACCAGGCAGAGATTCTGCCATGATCGCTGAGGTTCGCCCGCAGTGAAGGATTATTACTAAGTCAGCGTGAACAGAGGAGTGAATGGCTGCAACAACCTCCGAGGCCAGTACCTGTATCTTGATCTTACACTTCACACACTGGAAATAGACAAAGCCTACAATCATGAATTTTAATCAGGTAGTAGTATAAGGGGGTCTCGCTTTCAGTATCTAGACACATTCATCCATGCAACGCCAATATCTGCACTCACTGATATCTTAAGCAATGCGCAAGGCACAAAGTAGTAATGATCCAGCTCGGGAAACCAGAGAGAGAAAAAAAAAAAATTACATTTAGGGGTAGGATAACATCAGTGTAGGAGAGCAGCACATCTCATATCATTCAATACCTTCTCCTCAGCTTCGTAAGTTTCTCGAATTGCTGACAACTCTTCAGCTCCATCGCTCTGGCTGCTTTCATCTTCTCTACATCTGGGAAGAACCAGCCCTGGGCGTCCTGGATCATTCTCTCGCGAGCGTGAATTTCGCTGTCACACTCAAATCTGAGCTTGTTAACATGGTCTACCTCCACCTTCTTGTCCATGTTACGAAATTCACGAGAGCTGAAATCGGAGACGTCTTTCGGGTTCAGGAAGTAATCTATTTGAATGTCTGGCGTTGTTCGTTTCATAGTATGAGGAGGTACGGGGTCGAATCGATATTGCGGCGCGGAGGAAGTAGCGCTGCCAGAGAAGAGGGAAGAGAGTAATGGGAGGACGAAGAGGAGGATAAGAGGCAAGAGCTGTCGGAATGTAGCACTTAACGAGGGTGTGGGCTCAGATTGTGCATCGGCCTCGCGAGGCCGTCTTCGCGGCCGAGCACCCCCAAATTGATGAACTCTAAATCCAGGGCCGCCTCCCATGTTGAAAACGAATTGTGGGCCACCTACAAACCACAGTTAGCAACCCGTCCTTTAGAAACCACACGCAGTAAGGCAATCATACCAAATGGACCAAACCCACCGCCGAGACCACCGTTAAAGAACCGATTGAACAACTCTTCAGGGGATATCTCGTCGTCGAACGCCGCACCTCCTCGAGGGAAACCACCTCCACCGAATCCACCGCCGAAAGGCGACGCACCGGCCGGGCCAGCGCTCGGCTGGAACCTGCTATCTGGATCACCACCAAACTTATCATACTTGGACCTCTTTTCAGAATCCGACAACACCTGAAAAGCACGAGAGACCACTAATCACACACCATCGTCAGACAGCCATTTTCACAAGTCTATCATAACTCATCGTATTGACTTACTTTTGAAAGCCTCGTCCGCCCCCTCATACCCGTTCTTATCGGGGTGCGTCACCAAACTCAATTTCCTGTATGCCTTCTTGATTTCGCCGTCCGTCGCTGTCTTCTCCACCGATAGGATCTCGTAGAACGCCGTCGCACTGCATTTTCGTATCCGGAGCACGGCCGCCTTCTGGTCTGGTGTATATTTGCGGTCCTGACTGCCTTGGTTGTGGTCACGGGATTTGGCAGAGCCACCAGTGTCAGCGCCAGACGCTGTAGCCGACGGCATGGTTATCGAGCACCCGTGGAAGGGGTGAAGAGATGAAAGGTTGTTTTTGTCTTTTCCCCTCCGGCGATTGGCTTATCTGGTGATGCGTTTCCCGTAAGAGGGGCGTTGGTCGGGGCAATAAAAAACAGGGAAACCCTGATGTTTTCTATTCCATGGAATTTCCGATCAGGATTCTAGCGATGGTGAGTCGAGCGACCAGCAGTAGGGTCGACAGGTTAAAAGGGCTGGGGTTGGCGGAGATCTGGCGATTATTGATAAACGTGGTGAGACTGGGGCGAGGTTTGGTTCAGCGCTAAGACTCGCGCCCCCGACGCCGATGTTGTCTGCGGGCGGTGAATTCAGTGCAAAGCTCCCCGACTGCCCTTTATTCAGTTTCACATACGTCAGGATACTAGCAGATTGTGAAAACGACTACCCGGTTCACAAAGCATTCCGGCTGAAGCATCAAACACCATGGCTGGCACAGAGTCAACAGTGGAAACAACCAAGCAGACCTTCGTGCAGAAGTTCCGAGCATGGGGAGGTAGGCAACATCCCATTGAGTTCGATATACTACCTACTTCTTGCGAATTGAACCCAATCCCTGTATTATCTCCCTCGGAATATCCTAATGACACTCAATGATAAAAACAGAAAATCCATTTCCGCCCACACTCCTTGCGACCCTCATCACAGCGCAATATATGCGCCCGCTCCAAGCCGTGCCTATGCTCTTCCCGCCGGTCCTTCTCTTCACCAGCTACGCAAACCTGCAAGGCTTCAAAACTGATAGCGCGGGTATCAGCGCTGCTTGGTCCGGTCTATATCTTTTGCTCGCCGGACGACGCAAACAACCATTTATGAAGAAATGGGGTGCCCGTGGTATCACCCGAGGCGCCACGATGGGACTATGCCTAGTTAACATGGTTGGCGGTGGGCTGGCTTATACGCTGGGTAAGAGGGAGGATGAGGAAGATGATGAGTAAATATTGCTGGTGCTGAGCGGGCTTGCTTGCCTGCCAGGCTGTATTATCTACGGACGAATGTATACTAGATGTGGGCTGGTTGGAGCATGGGTATGGTGTTAGGCTGGGTATTGATTGATATCTATTACTATGATTGAAGGTGCTCCTCTGTGTAATTGAGCAAAATTTATTCCGAGTACGGCTGTTCCGAGAGAACAAAGTCTCGAACCTTTTCCTGTACTAGCCAGTCAAGATCACTCGGGTTTGATGGGTTCGACTGGATAGCTTCTCGCGCCTTTGTCGAACTCACGGATTGCTTTTCGTCCTTGTCTCCCTCAACAAGATGAATTTGCTTTGCCCATTCCCGCTTACCCCCCTCGCTCTCCCGGCCTCCTTGCGCTAGGTTGGTGAGATAGGCCTCCTGTTCAGCTTTGCTACCCCATTCACTGTCTGGGCGTACAGTGACCCTGAGCCGATGCTTGGAAAGAAAAGGCTCCAGTGGAGCGAGGGTGTGGTCCGGCGGATAGTACTTAGTATTAAGGATCCGGATTAAGGTATCGTAGCCGGTGAGATGGACTTGTTCCAGAGATCGGGGATATACTCCAGCAGTTTCAATCTCTACCGCTTTATCCACAAAGTATGGCTTCTTGGTTACTCCGATGTCGACCACGGGAAGCTTCCCGATGTCCACAGATGGTATCTTAGATTCAAGGAACGCCAGGAGGTCCTGAGCACAAAGTTGCATCATAATCAGCCGGTCTTCAAACGAAGCCGGTTTGGAGGGCTTATCCGCATTCTGGGTTGCGAGTAAAAGAAGAAGGCGGGAAGGCGCTCTCCAGTTCTCTAAAACAGCAGAACACGCAATATGACGATGTGCAAGAGTTGGAGGGTTGAACGACGAATCCAGAACATAGAGGACACCGTCGTCCGCGGAGGACGGACGGGGTTCTTCAACGCGGGCAACGGTTGTAAGGACTTCGAAGTTCTTGGTTGACTCGAGGAAACGTTTCAGGGCTAAAGTATAGTGTTGTTTTGTTGCCTGGAGCTTCGAGGGGTCCATTGTCGCCCAGGTTGAAATGATTCGTTGCAGGTCGCAAGGTGAGTCTCGCGTTTCAGCCCTTTTGGTGCAGGCTCCCCGAAAAGCGCTTCCGTGCGGGGCATTCAACCACTGTGGCGGACGGCGGGGGCTATGATGAAATCCAGGCACAGAACCCTTGGGGATGGGCGATGGTCTCATGGAGGTTTCAGGATGAGAACCCTATGGCACGGTTTTCATCTGCATGTGCGGTGCCTGCACTGCCTGGTAACATGAAACGGACCCTCAAGGAAGACTGAGGCCCAGACATGCCGGATGATGCGACTTCCACACATCCAGATCGATGGTACTGATGAGTCCGGGCTTCCCGGCAAGGATTCACCGCACTAACATCGGCCAAGGATGTTTCTTTCCTACTTGTAATTTCTGATGGATGGAGAGGTTGAAATTAAATGGTGGGATTCCATACTTCAATTGGCCCCTCTGCGAAATGAAGTGGCTGATATCATCGCATGGATGAGAGATAAGATGAAACACTGGCGCAATGGCCTCGGGCAGCTCGGCCACAGTGCCCAGATACATCCCATCGTCATACCTTGCGAGTAACTATATGCAGGGCCCGGAGTCGCCAGGGATGTCTGATGTCTCGTTCTGGACAAGCCTTGGTCAAGTCAGGGACACCGCAATGTTTTCGCATCCTCGTGCCTGGTCGAGGTCTCGACTCTCGACTGCAGGCGATGTGCTGGCTCCACCCAGCCCACTCCGATATTAAACGACGGCAGATGGTCGGTCGATGTCATGATGATCGGCACTATGGGAATAGCCTGGGACGTGCAGCCGATTCTTGGTTAGCGATGTATCTAGGTATCAGGTCGAGACTCGGGCAGCTCAGAGACCTGCGCGGAGCCTCTGGGGACCGGCTCGCTTGACATGCGTCCGAGGAGACGAGATGATGAAGCCCGAGTGGAGCAGGAGCAGCGAGGAGATGAAACGACCTCATCCACCTTTCTGTCGGCTCAGGAGATTAGCATCAGGACTCCTCAACGCTCTGTTCACTTCCACGTATGCTGCGTATCAGGATTCGAGAGTGATCAAGCCGATGCCAGAACACACATCGCATCATCTCGCACGGAACAGGAGGCTGTCGAATCAAATCGCGTCCCATTCACCACGTCGGCTCGTTGAGATGACCGTGTGCCCCGATTGTTATAGAGTACGACATTAATAGGAAGAAATAATCGGAGATGTAATAAGGTGGCCTGGCGAGACCAGGGCCTGGCCACAGGTTGGGGCCGTCTCAGATCAGTTCGTCTCCAGATTTAATCAAACACCATTCCTCTTGTCTTTCGCCTCTCTTCTTTTTCTTCTCCTTCTTCCCCATCCTCATCGCTTCTCTCTGGTAGAGTCCATTCTTTTGCTTTCTGCATTTTCAGTGTCAAGAGACACTCGTTCATTCCTTCCTGTCATTCTTTCAACCTGCTTACTTTTGGCGAATTGATTTCGCTCTCACTCTCTATACAACACATTCACTACAACACGACATTGACTGTCAACACTCGCAATGCGCTTTACCCCCCAACTCTCTCTTGCCCTTCTGGGTGCCCTAGCTGCCACTGGGGAGGCTGCCCACGGCCGTTATGCTCGTCACGACAACCACCTGCATCGCAGAGCCCTCACTGCGGGTGGCGGAGATGCCGGTGAAGAGTCTACTACTAGCACCGTGACTGTTGTCCCGACCCCAGTAACATCTGGATCCGAGACTTCGTCGGTGGTAGCATCATCCTCGGCGCCTCCCGCTCCTGGTGCTGAGGACGAGGAGGACTGCGATGAATCTCAGACCCCATCGATCTCAGTGCCTGTGTCTTCTGCGGCACCTGAATCGTCGGAAGTGGCCGCATCATCTTCCTCTGTTCCTGCTCCTCCTGTGTCTGAGCAGCCATCTGAACCCGAACCTTCGTCGGTGCCCGCGTCGTCGTCCTCTGTCCCTCCTCCTGCTCCTCCTGCTCCCCCTGTATCTCAGCAGCCTGGATCTTCGTCGGTGCCTGTGGTGCCATCTACGCCTGTGGCTTCATCTACCCCCGTGGTTTCTTCCTCTGCTGCTGCCACATCTGGGTCTAGCAGCTCTGTTATTCCCCGGCCTAGCAGCACCCCCATCATTACCCCGGGCTCCAGCAGCATCCCTGTCATCCCCAGTAGCACTAGCTGGGTGACTGGAACTCCCAGCACGGATGTTGTGACCGTGGTCTACCCCGTTGAAACGGGCAGCTCAAGCACTCTCGTCACGACCACCCTACAGGGCCCAGCGGCTACGAGTACTGCCTACGTGACAGGTGCCCCTAACACAGAGGTTATAACTGTCACCCAAACCGTGGGTACAGGTTCTTCGGCGAGCGTTTCGACACATGTCGTCACCGCCACCATCCAGCCCCCCGATGTTACTAGCACCCTCGTTGTTCCCGGCGCTCCTAACTCGGAAGTCAACACTGTCATCTACACTGAGACCCAGGGTACTAAAACAAGTGTTATCACTACCACCATTCATAAGACAACTACTAGCACCCAAACCGTCTACGAAGTAAGTGATCACCCATCCAAGTCCTCAAACGATCACTAATAGTCATTTTGTAGACTGAGGGTGCAAATGCTGGTGCCAACGCCGAGGCTACTGCTGGTGCAAATGGCGGCTCTGGTGCTGACGAAACCCTTACTTCCACCACCACTACTACTTACTCTCTTCACCCCACTGAGTCTGGGAACGCTGGAGCTGACGCTGGCCTTGGCTCTGGAGGCTCCGGCTCCGGCTCCGGTTCTGGAGAATGTGCTCCCCAGGAAACTGTCACTGTAACTCAGTCCTTCACCGTCACTGTGGTATGTTGACCCTTGCTCTCTATCGATCGCGTATTAACAAAGCGCAGAATGGTGGATCATCTCCTACTGATTCCTTCACTGCTCCCGACACCGAGCAGCACGTCTCTTCCCTGGCACCTGAGCAGACTCTATCAACCCCCATCATTCCCGGGTCTTCGTTCACGCCTTCGCCTACTCCTTCTGCTACCCCCTCTCCATCCTGGACGCCCACGCCCAGCTCAAGCGGCTTCGTGACCAGTAGCCGTAGCCCGTCCCCTTTCAACTGGCGCCGCCGCAACCTCTAAGCAAGTCGGAAGGTTCAGGATATAGGGATGGTCGTTCTGAACTAAGTATTCAGCGAATGCACGGAACCAGGTGTATCAATCCCTGACGAAACCAAACGACACAAACGTTATCTAGAGTTGTTGTCTTTTATGGCCTTCATTTCTTTCACCGTGACTCAAGTTATCGTCTTCCGCGATTATCTTCTCACTTAGTAGAGTCTATCGGATTCTACACTTTTGTCCCCTTTTTTTTTTCTTCTTTTTGTTGTCTTCTTTATTTTGTATGTATGTTAAAAGCCATCAATCATGCTTGACGACCGTCAACTTGCCTCTTAACAACATACACCCCAGTTTACATATGTAAATTCTACATTTCCTTAAAATCCAACTACAAAATTGCGTCGGTCCTCGTTAGACTGGTTTCATATCTGTATCATTCTGTATCATATACACTAGAGTAGTTATATCGAAAACCATTCGACCTTAAAAAACCACTAGCGGTATTAGCCGTCTTTCTATATTGCATTATATGCCAACGAGCTATAATTTTCCCCAACCAAATCCATAACCACCGTCCATATAAAATATAGGGTATCACAATAATGCAGCACAAAACATAAAATAGGTAAACAAGAAAGCACAGGGCCACTGCATTGCATAGACAAGTACCAGCCTTAGCGTCAGGGAGGAACGTCAATGCCCCCAAGCCCATTTTTGACAACTTTACTCTTCATCCTCTCCCACTCCAACCAAGTCACACCCTGTACAAGACAATCAGCTAGATCATCCAACTTGCCAATGTCCAATGCACTTGGGCCCGATGCCATCAACTTTGATTTCGATTTCGACCCGGTACTCCTTTTCCACTTTGCCATATACCCGTCCACCCACCCTTGAACTCCATTGCCGTCATGGGTTGAGAAAACTCCATTCTCAAGCCAGGCCCCAACCAGGTCGATCTTGACTTTTTTGCCTTCCCGGCTGGTGCTTTTCTTCCCACCATTTTTCTTCTCGCCGGGGCTAGATGCAGATGAAGGAGGCAACCAAAACCTCCCCACCCTGCTCGGTTCAATCGCAATAACCTTCGGATTGGGCCCTAGTATACCATGACGACCATCTGCCGCCGCTGCATTTTGCTGCTGTAGAGAATGCAACACAGCCCAGAGCATCCCCTCGAAAACCCCAACTCGCAAACTCCACTCCTGCACCGCTGCACCACCCCCGGACCGGAACCGCTGGCGCTCGATCAGGATGTGCGTTGGGTTGTACCGCTCAAGCAGGGTGGTGACGATGCTGTGTGCATGCGTAGCGTAGACGGGGAGGGAGAAAGATTCTTTTTCTTTTTCTTTTCCCTTTGCCTTTTCTGCTTTATCTTCCGATTGGCTTTGAGGTTCCTTCCCCCGGCCCTTGGCAATTGGCGTGTCAATGTTATCGTTATCGCTAGAATCTGATGCAGACGAAGACGCAGCGCTGTCAAGATACCTCCCAAACTCCTCAACAGAGAACCCGCGGTCTAAAGGAAGTGATACCCGCCGCCAGGTATCCAAGCTGAGTTCCAACGCGCCACTAGCTTTCACCCTCTTCTCTTTATCAAGAAAAGATCCCATCCCATCTCCAGATCCAGATCCAGATCCAGATCCAGGCCCAAGCTCAAACCCTCCACTCACCCTCAAAACCGCAAAGGCCAGATTCCGGATCCCCATGTCAATGCTTAAAATCCTCAGCCCATTCCCATTCCCATTGCCGTCCCCACTCTTCTTCTCTTTATGGATCTGAACTAATTCATGATCCCGCTGGTGCCGCGCCAAGCCTTCTTGCAATGCACCCAGGAGAACAGGTTTAGTCCCAGACGTGGGCAGGCCCGTTTTCTGGGCTACGTGTTGCAATTCTTTCGTTTTGAGGGCTTGGAGCCATGAGAATGATGATGGTGGTGGTGGTGGAGAAGATTGGGTGACTGTTGTGGTGGTCCTGGTGGGTAACTTGGATTTGGGGTTGAGGAGGCGGGGGGTTAGACGCATTTGTTTTCTCCAATCAGTTTATTTAATTTGCTTATTTTTTTTTTAATTTTTGGTGAAATCCAGGCGGGTATAAGAGGGCGAAGTTTATATGTTGGTTATCAGCTGTAAATGGCTCCCGGAAGTTGTTGATGTCTCAGGGTTTCATTGTTAAATTAACTACAAGGGGTTTGGATGATTACATAAGTTAGATGTATGTAGTTAACTAGTTAAGTTATGGAAACAATTGGAAAGCTTCAACAATTCTTACCTGGAGAAGGACAGTTCCAAGCTTAAAGGTAAACATTATTATTATAGTAAGTGTATATTATGACTCGAAGAATGATTCTATTCCAATATAACAAGGTGCCGGAAAAAACTCCACCAACTTAGATATATGTCCAGACGCCAGACCTGGGAATTGCCATGCAAAACGCTAAACTGCAACAATCAGGCGGAATAAATGAGATAGGGTTGTAGAAATGCTTGTTGGTGCCCTCTAACGGTCATGACACAGCCTGATAAATTAAAATGGGAGTCGATCGTAAGTCACTTCACTTTCAGACGGAAAGATCGACCCATTGGTTGGTGAAACGCTCTCACGTACGTAGAGTAAAGGCGCCCAAACTCTCCAATGGAGGACGCCAATGTGTGCCAGTCGCGTCGAGATCCGCTCCACAGTATGCTGGTCAGAGGGGATATAGGAAGGGTTTCGCTGCGCCTCACATATCGCAAGTGGTGACATGTTGAGGTATCGCTTGGCCGTCGCGAGAGTTATTTCCAATAGCTTTCCGCGGAGAGAGTCTTGAACCCTTTTGAATAGACCATCTTCATTGGACAAATGCCATTCCACTGAAGCCTCAATCGGACGTATGACATCGTCCGGTACTGTAGCATCGCCGCCGCCGCAGGCAAACCGCGCAATGTCCAAGGCGATACACCGCACATTTTTCAACCACCGGGAAGACCCGCGGATACAGTCTTCGTTTTCCTCCATCAGAGTCCCAATGCGAGACCGGAAGGTGGCGCAGGTCTGTGTGGGAGCGGGAAGGTATCGTCTCTGAGAATGGATATAGGACTTGAAGATATTCCAGCAGATCTCGAGGTTGATGGCGTTCTGTAGTCTAACTCGTAGGTGCCATAGCCGTTCCTCGTCAAAGGTGAAAGTTTCCGGGAACCCGACAGGGGGATGGAAATCTAGCAGGAATTCGCTCAGCCCTTGAAAGAGAAGCGAGAGCGGCCAAAAGCTGTCGGTTTGTGCCGGGTCCTCCAGTGTGCGCAGCTCGCGTTCCCGGATACCCTGATACCATGACCGGGAGGATGCTACCTGGAACTCTTCCCTTTCAATCCTGTTTTTGAAATATTCATGGAGGAAAGGTATAGTATCTTCGACCAAAAGAACACGGAATGCACGGATCTGATGGTTGGCGACATCCAACTTCATGGCTTCCAAGATGCCAAATAAAGTCTGAAGACCGCAGGCAATTTCTCTCGGATTTTGCGTCTGCGAGCCTGAGGAGATGTGCCTCACCATGCGATCTGCCCATTCATCGCGCATGGGGGCACAATGAGTCTTGAGCAACGCTGCAAGCCATTTCGCGATTCCTACCATATCAAGAACCCCCTTTTGAATTTGCTGCATTAGAAGAGTCACTTCTAGATTCTGCATGATATTTGGGTGATCGCGCTCTGGAACCAGGGTTTTGAGGACGTCCTGCAGGGTTTCGAACATGGCCGGGAGTCGGGGTTCAAATCTCGATCCTTCGCCATCAAAACTACTTTCAAGATTATTTTTGATCCCGCAGGATGCGTAAAATGCGTAGACACTGATTTCGGCAGCCATTGCATCCCAATAGTCGGCAGCATCCCTCCGTTTCTTCCTGCCCTTCTCGCCATCGAGATCAGGTTTGAAATGAAGATCGCGTTCGAAGTTCGCATCCATGCGGAGGTTGATATTGCCCATGATGCACGGTAGGTCGAGCTCGCTCAGTGTGCCCTTGGTGACCGGAGGGTATTTGTTTGTTGTTATTAATAGCCTCGTCTCTCTAAGACCAAGACCCAAAGCTGGGGGAATACTAATTGTCTTCGACGACGGTGAGAGTCCGCCCTGCGCAACTTTGGGTTGGTTTTGCGGCAGCGCCGGTGACGGTTGGTGAGCACTTTGCGTGTAGAATCCACTTCTCTGTGGTCGACGGGATCCATTTGTGGAATCGTTTGCTTTCCTTGTGTCCCGGTTGCGACCTAGAGAATCGTTCTTGGGCGAAACTTGGGAGTGGCCGTTCCCGTTGTATGTGTTTAGGGGCAACTCTGTGCCCTCCTCTTGTGTGGCCGGTGCATCCCGACGGGCTTCCTTTGTCCTTTGAAGGTCCATCTTCCATTCACGCCTGACTCAAACACCGGGAGTGGCGGAGGAGGGTAGGTCTGCGGAGGATTGCCGGAGAGACTAAAGAGAAAGGAGAATTAAGACCGGGAATAGTTGTAATACGCTCAGGTTGTCAGGGTCACGAGCAAGTCCTCACGCAAGGCGCTGCTAGCGATACCCAGCCCGTTGTCGGGTCGATCAACCGACGAGGAAGAGAGGATGCCTTTGCAGAAGTCATTTGTCAGTCCGGCCTCCTTGCCAGGGATCGAGGGGTAGAAACAAGCGCAGTGAGGGAGAAAATAGTGAACTTTACCTGCAGATAGGAATGGTCGACCGCCAATCACGGGTCCCAGAAGGGGCAATGATTATGTGCCGGAATAATAGATCAATAGTAGGAAATATTCCTGCCGTATGTCGATAGACTGGCTTTTGATCTTTTGCTCCGTTGTTCGTCTCTGCGCAATCGTTGGCCGGTCTTCTTTCGCAGAAAGAGTCACCCAGATGCAGGAAGCAAGAAGAAGAAAAAAAAGCAATCGCGCGGTAAGCCCAGACCGGCTGCTCAAAAGATTTTCGGAGGGCAGAAGCAAGCAGGAAGGGAGGACGGGCTGAGAAATAAAAGAAAAAGGGTCGATGCAGCTAACGCCCGCACAAGGCAAAGAGCAAACAAAGGCCTTTGCAGAAGTATACTCGGACTTGGTGGCGAGTGGCACTGGTGAGAACTAACCCACCCTTTGACGCAGCAGCAGATCCGTCAGGACAGGGAAGCAACCGGGATGGAGGTGAACTGATATAGCCAATAAAGTGGTAAAGAAAGAAATACTACTCTTCCCTCGACATGAAACCGGAGAAACCAACAGGATTGAGTCGGCCTGGTAACAGTGGGTGTGGTATAGAGACAAAGAAGGGGCGGGTTACTATTCTTACTGGAATCAGACAAGGAGCGATTAGGCTTGGGAAGATGAGAACAGCAATTGGAATGTGGAAATGCTGAAAAGGACGCAGACAAAGCGAACAGCAAGCTGGGGAGAGAGTTGCTAAAAAATTTTTTCTAAAAGAAGACAATGCGAGCACAGGGTTTTGGGGGGAGGAAAAAGGTGAGGCTTGCCGCTTGATTGCATGCAGAGATGGAGCTTCTGAGAGAATCAGAATCAAACAGGAAACAAAGAGTGTGTGGCCGCCTTGAGCCAAAGTGGAGAGGACCTCCAAAGCCAAATTGACTACGGCCATCCCTGGAGAGCATTGAGCGTTGACAACCTTGTTCCGGAGAGATGGCAGCAAAGGGAGGCGTGTGCTGGACACAAACTCATGCCAGTATCCGAAAACGGTACAGAAGGTGTGATGAGCGATGGGGATTTGAATGGAGACGAACTGGGCGGATCTTGAAACGGCTCGAAGCCTCGACGACCGCCGGGCCCGTCCAGCTTGCGACTCCATCAGAAGAGAGACTGTCCATCCATACGCCCGATTGCCCATGACAGCAAGATGGGGAGATGCAGTCTACCGCGCCGACGCAGGCCAATTGGGGAGAATGCATGGGGATCCGCGCTTGTTGCTTTTTCCCCTTGAAGGACAACTCAAAAGCAAGCAATTGCACTCGCAGTCGCAGTCGCAGTTGCAGCATTCCTGACGGACTGGTCTCATTCCGCCCACTCTTCCGGTGTAGTACTTTGTCGCCCTACCGGTTACCAGGTTACCACTGACCACTTACCACCAGCAGAGGCTCGATCTCGACGCATTCATCAGTTGCTCTGAGAGTCTCGGCTTCTCCAATTCCACTCGGAAGATGCCGACCGGCTTCATGCCCTCTGCCCGTTTCAAAATCGACTACAATTCGACGCATTACACACATTCTGTTTCTGCCCTCAATTGGCTGCCTTCCCTACTGTTCCCGCTGCTTACTCCCGGGTCGTGGTTTTTGGGTTGTCGCGGGTCCCCGAGCAATTGAGTTGTTCATCTCTAGTTTTAGCTCCAGCAGATACCCATTTCCTGTCACCGACATTTCGGTTCAGCAATCGAAGATCACGGGCGACTGTGGGTTCCTCCTTGGTGTGATCTATCGTTACACGCCGTTTCTGAACAGATTTACCGGTTCCTGGGAACCAAATTGGGGCTCAATAATGTTGCGTGGCGATTGAAGCACCCAATAATTGCAAATTGCAATCCTGCTATCAGCTCGGAAGTCACCGTTTCGTGGCGATTCGGTAGCATAGCCACGGAGACTGTCGGCAGAGGCAACGCCTGGAGGTGGCCACAGGCCGCACAGCCAAGTACAATTTGACGAACTAGATCGAGCAATTATTCCTTCAACCTTCCCGGCCGCTGTAAATGGGTCGATGGCGACTCGCGAGGTCATTTGAGAACTGTGTAAAAAGTCTTGAGAATCATGTGGTTGGGTCCTCCAAGACCATACACGAATAAGGAGTGGTAAACGATGGCTCTAACGCCTCACTTTATTTCCAGCTGGACTAAAAATCTTCACAGGCCGCATGGTAGGCCGCCTCATTCTCATACCGGGTCGAGACGAAGGGAGATTCAATTGGAAACCAAGTTGTTTACGTCGTGAAACAGCGGTGTCGTTGTTTCGAATCCTTTTTGTTTTGTTTTTTGGTTTTTTGGTTTCCCGCTCCTTCTGTCAATACAGTCAAAGCACCGGTGATGCGATTGCTGTTCCTCCTCCCCGGGACCCAGTTATTCGTGTCCTCGTTAGGGCTGTGGTAAGCGTGAATAAGGAGTACGGTGTATAGGCAAGAACCTATCTCGACAGACAGAACTTGGGGCGCACTTGGGCTATCAACCGCTTCGTCGAAGCCCGATTTCGTCAAAGTGGGACGAGGCACTGATATCGTGTAGTTGGGCCATCTTTTACAAGACTGAAGTATGCAGTGACTGTTTGAAACAGGGTGCGAACGAGGGTGAAGCGAAGAACTTAGAGGGAAAGGCTCGGGAAAGACTAGACGATTCGAAGTGTCACGGGACTGTAAGCAGGAAACCCAGTAGTCATGTGATACCATGAGGATGAACCTATTTATTTCTTCGGGTTTTCTTAATTCTTCAGAGTTATTGTGAATTCACCCAGAATGTAGTGGCTCTTGACGTCTTGAGACATTCCATCTCTTCTCCGTGTTCTATAGGACAGCGCTCTGTTCTAGGGGAGTCCCTCTGTCACTATTCCAAAGGAGACCAGCCGTCAATGTACTGGCAACCCAAAGACAGACTGAACGACGCCTATGGTCAACATGGAACTGACCAGCAGGTTTCAACTGGGAAGGCAGAATAATTATTTGCCCCAATGGGAAACTCACAATGGAGCGACTCCATCCCACCCTCTTCCGTCCTCAATAGAGTCTATAGCTTATTGAGGCCTGGAAATGGAACAATCCCATTTCAACAAGCTTCTGGATCGCTTCCACCGCGCATGGCAAACCATACGCACTAGCCTTCTTTTCCCTTTCTCGGAATACCATGTATCTGGAAATTTTACATAAAATGGCCCGGAGCGCTGTGCTTTTGCCCTTGCATTTGGTTCAACTTGTTTACTCCGTCCGCATTTTCACATCGGCGCCATGCTTTCCTTTCTGTATATTGCTTTGACGGCAATATCGCTTTTACTTGCCAGTCCAACATTTGCAGACCCAGATGTCACTCAATTCAAGGTCGACTCGCTTCCAGGAGGCCCTCATTTGCCTTCCAGCTGGGCCGGACGACTGCCTGTTCCTGGTGCTGAACCAGGCAACGCCCTGTTCTTCTGGCTTTTCCAAGCGGAAGATCCCGTATATGATGATAATCTAATCAGTCAGTTTTATATTCGTCGTACAGATCCCTAATATGTACTAATAGCAATCTGGGCAGTCTGGCTCAATGGCGGTCCTGGCTGCTCGTCTTTAATCGGACTCACCACTGGAAACGGTCCAATTTCTTTTGATGGTAACTCAACTCGCGTTGTTGCGAATCCATATTCCTGGACTAAATTCGGCCATGTTCTTTATGTTGACCAACCCGTTGGAACCGGTTATTCAACTGCAAGCCAGCCTTACCCGGCTGTCGACGATGACATTGTGACCACGCACTTCTATAGCTGGTTGCAATCGTTCTTCGTCCACTTTCCTCACCTCCTGCAAAAAAAGGTACATTTAATGGGCGAGTCTTGGGCCGGGATCTACATATCGTATTTTGCAACTGCCATAGTCAACAATCATGACTCGTTCCCAATCAGACTCCGTTCAGTGGCCATAGGCGATGGTTCCATTGGTAATGGAGCTGCTATGGCCACTACTACAATTGGGGCATATTTGGAATCGCAACAGTCGCTTCTCCAGATTCCGGATGATGTCCTGGCTGTTTTCAAAGAAGCAGACGCAACGTGCGGCTTTGACGATATCTTGGACCAAGCAGCACAATTTCCCCCCGAAAGTAAAATATCCATACCTGGAAATCCAGAAGGTCTCAACACCAAGCATAGACGCCAGCAACGCATCGCTCGCGACTTGGGTGACATATACACCGGAGCCTGCGCCACCAACCCAACCACAGCGGAAGAAGTTCGGTCATCAATCTATTCCTCCTGCTACGGGCCTTGTGCTACTTACTCTGCTGCAACGGACTACCTGACTACAATCTTCTCACCATGCTTCGACCAGTATGACATAAGTCACGACTGTAGCACTATCAACTCATTTAACGTAGTTGCCTCATACTTCACCCGTCCCGACGTTCAGACCGCACTGAATTTGCTTCCATCAGCCTCAACTTCACCACCAATAAGCGATGACACCCACCACCAAACGCCATCGCCGTTTTTATCTTGCAATCCCGACATCCTCTCTACGCTCATACTCGGCGGCCAAACCCCAGAAGCGCCCGCGTATTCCATCCTCCCAACTCTCGCCACATCACACAACCTCTCTCTGCACTTTTACTGGGGTGAGAACGACATACTGCTCAACCACTTCGGCGCGGAGCTTATCTTGCAAAACATGACCTGGCACGGAGCCCAGGGTTTCTCATCACCGATAACACGCCCGTTCTACCAAGACAACGCGGCTCCTCACGACTCCGATCCCCGCGGTAGCAGCAGCAGCAGCAGCAACAATAACAATAACAGCCCGGGGACCTGTGCTATCCCCGAAGCCGGAAAATGGATTTCAGAGCGCGGTGTAACGTACCACCGGTTTAGGGGCGCGGGACACAGTGTTTTCCTCAGTAAACCACGTGAGATGTTTGCCTATGTGCGGGATGTGGTCGTTGCAAGTGAGGATTGAGAACTGGAGCACATGTTGAAGTTTCTTTTTTGGGGGGTGCAGGCTGCGGAGTGGGTGGGTTGTGGGTGGTGGGTTTGCTTTATTGATGTACTTTTGTACACTTTCCTTCTTTCCTTTCCTTTCTAGGCGCTGCAGCCTGCAGCCTACAGCTCACGTCCACAGATAGCTCTGTGATTCTGTCTTTGAAATCCAAATTGAGTGATTAGACCCATCGGAGTGATTTTAGAGACGGCCGGGGATAGGTGCTTTAAGAGCACCTACTGGGTTCAACTTCCTTCTCGCTGACCACATTACACAGGAACTACTAAAGAACTTGCATATCATGAATCTGTTTGTTTTGGTTTCTCGATCTCATAAATCATCATTTCGGAGTACCAAGTACTAATAGGAGTAGTAGTAGTAAACAGGAACATGACACAAACATGACAACGCTAGTATGCCAAAGAAACTCCTAATTGGGTAGTCTTGATAAAACAACAGAAAAGATCCTTGAAGATACTAATGAACATCTAAGCACTTAAATCAGCACCTTTTTTACGCCGACCTCGACGCTTCTTTTGCACTCCATCCTTGACTGTGACAAACAACGAGAAGATAAAACGCGATTAATGGATTGGAAAATGGAGGGTGGGGGAAGGAGTCGCCCAGCTGGTAGTCGGTTAGGTGTACATACATCTTTGCACAAACTTGTGAAAAGGGGAAAAGAAGTTGGAGGAAATCATTAGAAGGCTTCACAATCTAACCAGTCTCAAGACAAGTCACTTGCACAAGGAACGAGAGATTATCCCTCCTGCAGATTCGGCCGGAAAGCGAAAGGACCGTGTGTCTGCACGAAATCTGTCCAGGAAGGATGCAAATGCAGGTCTCCAAGTCCGGTGGCTGATTAGTGGCTAGATAGATGGAAGTTTGAAAGAGGGCCGGGCCTTCGGTCCCGCCGAAGGCCCAGTGGTAACCTTACTTCCGGTGGTTATGTCGGCGGGCCAAAGTACGGGGAATGTTTGGTGGTCACGCCATTTTTGCGACAGGGAGGAATCATGCTTAGTGGAAGCAATGCGACAAGGATCACATCGGGAATATGTGTAACGGTTATGAGCGTGGGGTTGCGTTACACGTTATCTTCGAGTGAAAAATGGAGCCTGGTTTGGCATTGAAAGCAAGGAGTCGGCCCGTTGGAATACATCTCCTTCGAAAAATTTGTCGCTGTATGCACTTGCAGGAGTCGAAGGTACGGTTGCCTGCGCAGCTGGTCCAAGAGCGGCGCTCAGGGGTGTTGCAGGGAGGGCAATGGACGGTGATAAGCTTGTGTTGAGCTGAGGATGGTGCGGGTTTTGATGGTGTGGGTTTTGGGAGGGCAGGGGCGGTCCATATATGGCCGGCGGGCCATTCCCAGGAGCCATGTCTGCAAGATATGACCATGGCGATGCCTCGATCAGCCGTCCCGCTTCTCTGCTTGCCTTTTGGACTGGTCGAAGGATGACAATCACCTCGGGTGGGAGTAGGTGCATACTCCGCACTTCGCGCATGTCGGTCACTAATTCGACAAAAGAGTGCATGAAGGTTTTGCACAGCTGCCAAAATTCTCGCTGGTTTCGAATCCCACCGCCCGGCTCCTTTATTTTCATATTGGAAAGGCGAAGCCCGAGGGCTTCAGATACCTCCAGGCACACGCGGCAGCGACGAATGAGATTGTTCCACAGCATCCGGATATCTTCGTACTCTTGGCTTTGTTCCGCAACCTCGAGGTTTCGCGTGAAGTGGCGGCGGGCATGAGGTAGTGCTTGAAGGGCGGCGGTGTAGGCAGCTGTAAGCTGGCAGAAGATTTTTTCAAATATTCGTTCCTCTTCTATCTCATCTAAGCCGGTCAAGGGGTTTATTCTCGGTACCACTGAGGTGGGCATTGGAGGAAACGATTCGCCTGACCGAGGTGTGGCAAGAGACGAGGGAACAGAGGTGTTGATTTGGTTCGACCTACTGCTTGAGCGGCTCCTCGCGTCATAGCTGAACGGGGTAGAGGCAACCCCTGGAGAGCTAACGGCGGATTGATAAGTGGCCGATGATGGGAGGGGCCCATTCGTGTTGATCTGAGGATGAAGAATCGTCGTATCACTTCGGAGCCGGCGGCTGGAAAACGACGGTTCTCTTCCCCGGGTTGGAGTGACTGTTGGACCAGGGAACCTGTCAGACCCTGCAAACTCTTTGCTAATTTCAGGTACTGATGGTTTTCCTGTAGCTTGCGTATGCGTTCCAACAGGAATGTCTAGACCCGCGCAAGCGTTGCGAAGCTCCACGACGCTACCAAATATCATGAGCATCAGGGAGCGAATGTAGCGAGAGTCACCGTTAGCAACAATCCTGTCAAGGCTGTTGCGCAGTTGTGTTCCTACGTGAGAGTATGCCATGATACATGTCTCACATTCCCTCTTCACGGCCTCGTAGGTCAGCCGTATTGGCTCCGCATCGTGGGCTTGTGAACCTTCTGCGTTTTCAAGCGCCTCGTTGAGCCTTTCCACATGCGTAGAGGCATTGTAGAAAACAATTTCAAGGCTGTTTCGTCGGTCATCGTCTCGTTTAATAACATTAATCAGGGCGTACACATGGGACTGGACTTGGAAGAGGGCGAAAAGTATTCCCTTGGCACATTTGATAATAGGGTCTCCTGTTTCCCATTCGCCTTTATGCTCTGGCAAACTCGACATCCGATTCACAAATCCGTCTCTAGGTCGTCTGCGCTCCCTAGGGCTACTAGGGCTAGAGGAGTTGCTAATAGATGGCCTTGTCCGGAGGATAGACCCATAGCTGAGGCCACGGAGATGGCTGTTGCGGTATGGCCGCATTTCATTTAACGTACCCAGGTCGGTATTTTTCCGGCTAATGACCCCCATTCGCTTAGACCGTGTTGCAAAGGAGGCTTGTATAATGCCCTCGCTGTTGCTTCGATTGCGCTCATTGGCTCCAGGGATGGGACCTGGTCTCTGGAGGCCACTGCGCAGGGCACCAGAATGTCCGGAGGCAATGCGATAATGGGACCTGAGGGGAATAGGAGGTGGTCGGGATAGTGAAGGCGATTTGGGATCAGAGGCACTATCACCTGTGCTGGGGATAACTGGGAAGCGACTACTCACTCCCCGTTTGACGGGCTTCGGTGTATCCAATACTCCATCACTGGGCAAATAAGAATCAGAATTAAATCGGCTGTAATGGTGTTGGATTGGATGGACATACCTTTCGTTGTTTTTTTCAAAGTCTTGGGGGGTAGCAGGTTGCCGCGTCTTGAGGAATCTTTTAAGCTCAGCTGTCAAGGCAACCTCCTTCTCATTATCGGACACCGCCGACGATGTAATTTCGTTCTCAGAAGTTTCCAATACCTTCCGGAGGGGATATCGCAGTGGATTCCCCGCCACTTTCAGAATTTGAAGTTTGCTCATATCGGATACACCAAGTGGTAGGTCTTTAAGACTGTTCTGCATCACTGACAGAACCCGAAGAGACGTCAGTTTCTTGATTTCCTCCGGTAGCTGGCTGATTTTGTTGCGACTTAAATCCAATATTTCAAGGAGCGGCAACTTGATCACCTGAAAAAAAGAGTTAGAAAGCACAAATGGCCAAACAGGAAGGACAATGTAGACATACTCCTTTGGGGAATTCACGGAAGTTATTGGCTCTGACGTTAAGATACCGAAGATGAGAGCACTCTGCAAAACGATATGGTATATGGACCAGTTGATTATTCCATAGCGAAAGCCTTGAGAAGAAGTCAGCTTTATGTTCCATGTAACTGAAGGCCTCACGCTGCCATTTATTGCTACACACCGTTCTACTTCATCCTTAATGACATCCACAACCGGCTCCGGGATGCGATCGATATTCGAGTGACCCAAATCGATAGTCAACTTGGGCTTCACGACGTCACCGACTGCCTCACTTCCTGCCAGGGAGCGCTTCGTTTCCTGAATCCCATTATCTACCGCTCGACGTGCAAGTTGGATCGTCTCCTCCGCAGTAAGGGCTCGAGGACCACCAGCCGATTTTGCCGGTTTGCTGCCTGTTTCACCAGCGGATGCGTTCACCAGTATAGTTTCATCCTCACTTTTAATAGACCCTTCGGTATTCGATGACGATGACGATGAAGACGCTGTTGGTTCCGGTACATGTCGGCTTGTGTCTTCCTCTTCCAGGTCGCGATATGAGCGAGGCATCCTCAGAGTATCCTCTGGGCGAACCATTGTAGAAATCATGGCTGATGGGAGCTGGAACCTGAGTGATTCACCCCCTTCGAAACAGGTATTCAATCTTGGGCCTCTCGTGTAATCAATCAAGCAAGGTGAGATTCTCCGCAGCGTGCATGAGGGCCGAAATCGAGCATGATCGAGAGACAAGGTAAGGGGCCGCTATCAATGACTTTTGGGGAAGCAACTATGATTATTCAGGTTCGCAGACAGTGTCGGTTGGCAAAGGATCACGTTTGGTCGCAGCGCGAAACAAAGGCCTAGGCGGAGGCGTTTCGTTGGGTTGAAAATAGACCGGAGCTCGTCTGAGTCTAAGTCGGCGTCGGAGTCGGATAAGCGAGGAGCAAGGGAGAATAATTTATAGTAATCGAACTATTGGAAACTGAGATGTCAAACTGACAGGTTGTAGAGAGATATCAGGAGCTTGAAGCTCGGCCCTGGGGTTCTCAACCGCGAAAGGCCTTGGGAGGAACGGCGGGCTAGGCGGTTAGCGAAATACCGATTGGGACCGCAGCTTCATGAAGACGAGGCAAGAGAACGCGAATAACACTTGGTATCTCAAGTAAAGCCACCACAGATATTACCAAGCTCTGTTCTCCGCAGGTGTTTGAGCGGAACGGTTCGAGAGTCGACGTTGGAGTGAGGTGACGGACGGAGAACTCCAAGGGTTGGGTCTCCGTGGACGACAGCGCATTGGCCGAGTGGACGACGCATCCCCAGACACATTCACCACTCGCTCAACCATTAAGGAGTGCGTCCTTTTCATTATTAGTACACGCTTTTATATTGTGCTTGGGTGTATTATTTATTCAATCTTTTCTGATTTCTTTTTTAATTATTTTTTTGCGAAATCTAGTTGTAGTAGGGGAAACTATAGAGTCCCATCACCTAACCCCGACCTCACGCGGAGGATTAGTACAGGAGCTGACTGAAATCAAACAGAATACAATAATATACATAAGCCATTAAGTTTGACTACCTTTCCACAAGCCCAAAACTGGCTGGTGAAATCAAGCCGCTAGAGGGGTGGTCTCGCTCGCGGTTTCTTCTTCCCCAGATGCTGACGCTTGGTCTACAACCTGTGCCTCCGTCTTCGCCCACTGCTTCCATATTTCATGTTGTTGGTTCTCAAGTTGCATACCGATCTCGAGGCGGGTAGGTCCGAAAGTGGCGCCTGTGGCTTGCGCTTCTTCAGCAGCTACTCGGCGCTCGATGTCCTCCTGCAGGCGCAGTCGGTAGAATTCACGGCGCGCGACGTCGTAAGCACGACTCTTTGTCATGTTGGGGACATTATTCAGGAGCCATAGCTGTCTTTGCACGACACTTTGAGGAGACAGATGTTAGTTATGGATACCGTAACGTAGCTGATAGACTATGTTGAGGCTACCGATACATACCTCTCACCATCTAGTTTCTTTCCCGGCTGCTGCATCCTCTTCCAGTCGTACTGCTCAAAATCTTTGCCCGAAGTCTCAAGAAGGATTCTAGGCCTTGCCAATTCCCAAGGATGGTCCTTGAAAAACTCTTTCCGCAGCTGGTCCTCCTCATACTTGATTTCCACGGGAAGAAACATGCGACTAGCTTTCTTCGGCTTTATACGCTTTTCTTGTACCTCAAAGACGGCCCGCGGCGTTGGTTTTCCCGGAAAGGTTTTCATGCGTTGCCGTACAAGTTGATGCTGTTGGGGTCGATCGCGCACGAGGATTTGAGCGGGGGGGATATCGCGAACAACGTTAACCCACGGAGGAAGTTCACCATGAGCCCCTGCAGCTTTCGATTTGATCGCACTCTGGCGCACACGGAGTGCTGTGAAGTTGTATTTGCCCATCGTGGACGGAGGGGATGGTGCTCCGACGCGATGTTTTCAAGGAGATTTAGCGTCAGTCGTGTGGCGATTGGGATGTTAAAGAGAAATATTTCAGCAATTTCACAGCAAGACAACCCCAGATCATAAATAAAGTTGGAGGTTCCCTTCTTGCAGGGTGTTGCGTTTGACGGGGAGCTGAGGTTGATGGGGAGAAAAGATGGATTGGCAATGGGCGCCTCCGATTGGTCCCAGCGCAGACTCCGCTCCATTCAGAAAAGCGCATCCTCTCAAATATTGAATCTTGACAGCGACAGAGACAGAGCAACTTCAATTGTACCCGCGGAATCCCGCCTTCTACTCTGTTCTCTCGCGTCAGAACTCGCCGTTTTGGTTCTCTTTCTCCTCTCCACTCAATTTTAAAGGTCTCTTTAGGCTTATCCTGGTTATGCATGGCTGAATCGATACCACAATGTCTGCCATCTCATGCCTCAGTTCAATAAGTCCCAGAGCCCTCCAGACCTGCGATATCTTCCCTCGCAAGGATCAATCACAGGCCCATTCTTCGATACTAGACATATGCGTACTCCGGCATTCTTCCTTCCCAATGCTCCTGTCCGACGAATCGGTTCCATACGACGTGCTCGCCCAGCCGCCACGTCAATAGCGGACATATTCGTCCGCTCTCTAGTGATGGCTGGCTGCTGCCACAAGCACTCCCCTCGAAGCAGACGTTTAAGCACAGTATCTTCTAAAGCTTCAAAGGGCATCACAAGGGATCTGGGGGGCGAAGGTGTGGGAAGAAGCACGAGGCGGCTTCCGGCTGGAAGTCCGCCAGGCTCTTTGGGTCGAATTGGGAATATAGGAGTGTATCGGCCAAGGACTCAACGAATGTTTAACTCCAGTGTCGCACAACCACAGGTGTTCTACGATCCTGATGACCATCGAATAAGCCAGACATCAGCACACCGACCTTCGCACAGGAAACACGTTGATTATATGAGATTGGATTATGCGGATTGCCTTAAAAAAGATCGACGGCCGTCGCAGCGCAGAGACGCACATCGAGATAGATTACTTCGCGACGCGATCACCCATGATGATCGAAAACGCGTTCCGAGTTGCGACATAAAACATGAGGCAGAGTACAAGCAAGGTCTCCCTTCCATATTGGACAACGGGAACGACCACAAGAGCTCCGCGAAACTATTGTATCAGCATACATCGGAGATATATCGGGAATTATTGGGAGGGTCCTGGAAAGAAGCAGCTGATGCTGTTGCCGCGTTCGAATCATTTTCACCTCAGCTCGACAATACGAAAAGCTCTGTTGAACTCAGTTCAGTCCGAAAGCTGGAAGAAAATATTTTGGATAAGAGCAAGGCCAATCATTATATTTTTACGCTTTATAGGGAGCTTCCATCCCCGGGTGTCAAACATCTTTCAAAGCGCTCTCGCGGTGCTCTTTTGCGCAGGTTCGCTAAACCCCGAGACCACCGTTGGGTTGATGCGCGACGTTATCTGGCCCTGGTGGAAGATATGTTAGCTTCAGGTCTTCCGATATCCCGGTCACTTTGGACGTCTGCTATTTACCTTGCAGGTCGATCCTCGGCAAAGGTAACTAAAGACGATCTGGTCCGGGCAATCGGTATCTGGAACCAAATGGAGCATATAGCGAAAATCTCGTCAGATGATGTGGTTTTCACGATCCTATTTGACATAGCTATTAAAGCGGGCCAATACACTATCGCCGATCGTTTGATAGCGGAGATGGATAGACGAAACATCCAATTTGGTCGTGCGGGAAAAGTCGCCAAGATATTCTATTACGGATTAGTGGGGGACGTTGATGGCATTTGGCAGGCTTTTGATGAGTTTGTGGGAAGTGGGGAAATTGTTGATACTGCGGTGATGAACTGTCTTATGGCTTCCTTTCTCAGAGCTGGTGAAGAGGAGTCTGCAGAGCAGATCTACCAGAAAATGCTACAAACTCGACCGCACACACTTCTTGCAAGCCAGCATCTCACGTCAGAACTCATTTCCTACCGCAAATCAGCTAAGAAGCTAGGCCGTGTTCTACAACTGTCATCGTCCTTGAAAGCCAGGTTTCCAACCCACCATCGTGCTCTTCAAGAAGCCCTTCTAGCAGCGCCTGATACGAGAACGTTTCATATACTGCTAACGCATCACGCACACAAATCAGGGAGTTTGGATGCGTTCAATTCCGTTCTCAGTGATATGGAAAATGTTTATCCTGTACCTCCTCGCGGGATGATCTATTTGCTGCTTTTTGATGGGTTTGCTCGTCATGGTCGACACAAAAAGGGGTGGACAGCGGAAAAGCTGCGAATGGTGTGGAAAGCATATCTTCGGGCGCTTTATGAGTCCAAGACTAGAGTCCACGGCCAGTCGTTCGCTTTACCCCCGTCCTTCATTTGGGAGAACCCACTGGGGGGTGGCCCTACGGCACCATTGGTCTCGACAAATAGGCCAAGCCCGCTATACACACCATTACCCTCTGCCGCCATAAAACTGCAAGACAATTTGCATGAATTCGGAGAACACATTGAACGTCAGCGGAGTGTAGACGATGGCGTCATAGATATTGGTTGCAGGGATACACCAGATCTCTATAACGACGTCAACATCCCCGAAAGCCACCCGATACAACCCCTCCCGGCTGAAGAAGACAGCCTAGAACCTCTGGAGTATCGGCTCGAGAATGGCGTATTCTTAGGCCGCCGAATGATCAAGATCATTCTGCGCGCATTTGGCTCCTGTTGTGGACCTGAAGATGTCATGGAAGTTTGGCTTCGCATGGAGAGCATCTGGCAACCCGACAAGCGCAAGGGCCTGGATGTTTTAGCTGTCAAGGAAGAGCTGGAAAGACAACTGAACAGAACCAACCGTCGCATTGAATTCGGGACGAAATAGCGTTCGTTCTATGTATATTATAAACTCATACCTTCGAGTGACTTCTATATGAGCATTGGAGCAACTCCTTGTGCATACAGGCTTATATTACCTCCTGTATGGTCTTGTATTTTAGCGATAATAATAGATTTGAGCATTAAACACAAAGAACACCCATCACCGTAGTCGAAGCCCTTTCGAGCTTCAAGAACCAGCAGTCAATCGGGCTCACGTGATATCGCGCATTTCGCCTGCCGCGACGCGTCCTCCACAAATCAATTCAGCAACTCTCTCCAGGACTCTCCGGATTCCTCTCGTATAGCATTTAAAATGCTGCAGTGATGTTCAACAACGGTTTACGCCGTCGAAATGTGGACTTGGACTTCTATCTACACCGGGTGTTCCGAAAGAAGTCATTCCGGTAAGCCACATAGATTCCGTATGTGTGTTGATTCGGCGAGATCTAACCAAGTAATAGTCCCCTTCAACGAGAGGTGGTCACGGCCGCCGTTGAAGGCCATGATGTCTTTCTTCAAGCGTCTACTTCATTTGGGAAGAGCCTGTGTTTTCAACTACCTGCCATGACCACCCATGGAGGTTAGTCTCCCCTGACAGAACGGCCGTACTAGTTCTCAACTAAATCCGCTTCATAGTAACTGTCGTTGTATCTCCTCTTCTATCATTGATGGTGAGTTTGAACTATGGTGGCTTCGCTTATATTTGGTCTCTTATCATACGGTTTTGTTGTTGGGGCGAGCCTGACACACTTCCAGACCGATCAAGTAAACGCACTTCAGGCGTTAGGTGTTCCGGTGGCCACTATCAACTCCACAATCTCACATGTAGAAAGACGGGTAATCCTGGATGACCTGCTCTCTGGACACCCAAGGATTCGGATTCTCTATGTAACACCGGAACTTTGCCAGACGGACACGTTCCGGCGAACCCTTCGAACTATTCACAGACAACGGGAGTTGGTTCGCATTGCCATCGACGAAGCTCACTGCATAAGCGAATGGGGACATGACTTCCGCCCAGCATATAAGGACCTTGCTTGGTTCAGGAGTTCTCTAACGGACCCGTCAGTGCCAATCAGTGCTTTAACAGCAACTGCCACCCCACAGGTCCGGACGGACATCATCAACATACTCGGGCTAGATCCGACTCGAATGAAAATCTTCAGTACACCTTCGGCGCGACCCAACATCCATTACGAAATCCGGTTCATGGAAGAATTCGCACCGGATCCCACAGAGCCCGAGCTTTTCCAAGTTTACGATCTTGTCTCATGGCTTCGCTCCATCCAAGGCCGGCGCGAGGCTCGATTGGGCGCTGATGCAGCGTCTAGACTACCCCCAATGTCAGGCATAGTCTACGTTTCCACCCGAATGGCCGCTGAAAAGCTGGCAGAAGCGCTAGGGGAATCCGATGACTGTATCCGTGCAGTTGCGTATCATGCTGGACTCGCCGCAGCCGAAAGAACCAAAGTCCAAAACGAATGGATAGCGCCTCAAAAGCAGCAGCAACAGCAAGCAAACGGTGACCCTAATGAGCCTAGACCAAAGCCTTTAGCGTTTTACATCATCGTCGCAACCACCGCTTTTGGAATGGGCATCGACAACCCCGAGGTCCGCTTCGTCGTCCACTGGAGTCCCCCTCGAACATTTGAGAGTTTCGTCCAAGAATCCGGCCGTGCCGGACGCGATGGCCGAGCCGCAACTTCAATGGTTTACTATAACCCTCAAGAGCGAGAGCGAATTCTCGAGCGTCTCCGCCGGGACATTCAGAATGTAAACAATCGCGCAGGCGGCCGGAACGCAGGGCTGAACAAGGGAAACAAACTTTCCCTTCTACGAAACTTATACGCCCGCAAACAAAGCTTCGAGAAAGTAGTCAATTATTGCGAGACTACGACCCGGTGCAGACATAAATTGATTGGGGAATTCTTTGGGGATTCAGAATTAGAAAAGATGGCTTCCCAAGTTCCAGGCAACTCTGATAATATTACATCTGGCAACCATGGCAATCACGCCGCTGGTGAAGAGGCTTCAACACAAAGGTCGTTTTCAACTTGTGATTATGCTTGTGATTTCTGCAAGGAAGGCCCAAAGGCACTAGCAGAGCGCAAGGCAAAAATGGCGCCGGAGGAGGGTCTAGTTGATTATGTTAGCCTTCTTGAGGGGATATTTCCGCTGGACCGGATGTTCCCCTAACTCATACGCAGCGCTCATTGCGATTGTGAGTAAACGGTGGTCACTAAGATGTTCGCTTCATTGTGTTTATTATTTGCATTGTATATCACTTCGCTAGAAAAACTTCCCGCCCTGGGAGCGTCATGAAAGCCGGCTAGGGCTATCGAATTTAACTCTATGAGAAGAGATACCTTATGACAGTATTTCGAAGAGAGGTGATCCTCACCAAAAGATGGTATGGACCTGGATGGATTTATTTTAGGACAAAAACATTTTTTCAAGACTATAGTTATCGCCCGATATAACTCTTTTTTCTTTCTTTTTTCCAGGTCACAGACCAGGTGGGATATATCCGGTGGGCTCGTTAGCATTATAGATACAGACTGGCAAGGTAAGACGAAGCGATACGAAGCTCATTAAAGTGTTCAACTGCGTGTATTTTTTTCATATCCAAGCGGGCTTCGTTGGATAATGATAATTAGAGCCCTGGTGGCGGCGGGACCTATACAGGGGCTTGTTAGCAAGTAGTTGTATACTACATCAGAGAAATACGTACAGCACTGTAGCTGCCACCGGGAGGGGGCGGTGGGGGGGACCCTGATCCCGGTGGTGGGGGAGGAGCCTCAGATGCTGGGGGAGGTGGAGGAGCAGGGCTCTGAGACTGTTGTTGCTGCTGCTGCTGCTGCTGCTGTGCAGCTTGCTGGTAATACTGGTAGTAGGCAACGTAGTTCTGGTAACCACCATATGCTGCGTACGGATCAGCTCCATAGTATTGAGCATACTGCGCACTGTAGTCGGAAGCATTTGTCGTTCCTGGAGTTCCTTGCGCCGATGGGCTAGCCGACGCAGGAGGCGACTGCTGGCTCTGGGCCCCGTAACCACCGCCATAGCCACCACCGTAATTGTTGTGACGCTCCCCGCGCTGCCCGTAGCCGCCGTAATTATGCTGGGGTGGGTTCTCCTTGAATCGCTGGTACTGTTCCCGAACATTGGCCAGTAAGTCCTCGCATAGCTCCTTTGCGTTTTGAACTTCGTTCGGATCGGGGCCCCTATAATATGATCAGTGTCTTATTTCAACTGACAGGGGAGGGTACACATACGCCACATGCAAGTACATCGCATCGTCACTTTCCCGGCCGGTGCTAGGTTCCATGAAACCAGATCCACGGCCTTTGATTTGGACCTTGCATCGTGTTTTCTGCTGGATGTGCTTCACGTAAGCACCACCCTGTCCAACTACTTGCGCACGAAGGTTGAACCCAGGGATTGGTTCCAGAGCAACGGGGATTTTCTCTTCCGGCCATTTACGCTATAAACGGTCAGTAACAATGATAGCGCCTTGTGGTGGTGGCACATACACGACCAAATTCATCTCGCTCAACCTGTTCCGGTTCCCGGCGGCGGAACCGTCGTTCATCCACTAAGTTAGGCAACTCCTTCTTCATGAGGTCATCAATCAGTTCGACGGCCTTTTCAAGGCCATCTTTGGATGTACTCGTGATGTGAAGGTACAACGGAGGGTTCTATAGACAGGAAGTTGTTAGCTCGGATAGCACTATATAGAGATAACAAGAAACCCATACCGCTGCAGTGGCCATGCTCTTGTCGGGATAATAGTTTCCTCGGGTGGTGACATCTTGAAAATTCATTGATAAGCTTCCTTCTTGAGTACAGAGTTGATAAGCATTTAGCATGGAAAGAACGCGTACCGGCGCCAGTTTCATCTTTAATCTAGATATCACGCAATTGAGGTCAGCAGATGCAAACGAGGGGATAAATGCTATGCATGGACTGGGTAAGCTTCTTCACAATCACAGCAGATAGGAGGAGGGGGAGGAGAAGCCTGGAAGATCAGTGGATGCAACAGGAGTAATTACCATCTTTTGTGTGGATCCTTTTGTCAGTGTATACCGATTGCGCAAATCGTTGATCTCTACGTCCCTGATATAATCACCGTCCGCAACGTAGATCTCTGCGTTCAACTTCGCATCACCGCCGGATGGAGTAGCTGGTTGGGATGGGCTGGATGTCTATGATCAAACAAGGTAAGCATATGCGCAATTATTAAATGGCTCACAGCAGGGCTAACTAACGGCACGAATTGGAGGGACATCGACATGTTGAATTCCCTTCTTAGCTTGCAACTGGGCGTTGATTTTGGCGGCGGCAGCAGCTATTCCTCCAGAGTCAGTTGTGTCCTAGTATACATTTTCCAAAGGCAATGCAAGCCCAAACCATACCGGCTGCGGCGACAGGGTCCGCTTTATTGCTTGCACCGGGACTCCGGGGTTCGCGACTGAGTGGGCTTCGGGTTCGAGTGGCCTCCGCCTGTCGCGAAGGGGATCGAGAACGACGGTCGAACCGCGACTGGCGCCGAGGTTCCGGGGTGGTTTGGTCGAAACGAGAACGTTTAGGACGGCGCTCTTCGTCAGCCATGGCTGCTATCTAATATTCGAGTTTCGGGGTCGAATTAAGTCGAAGGTGAGCGGGATGTCTCGACAGGCTGGAGACCAGTACGTATTTTGCAAGAAGTTTAGTTTGGCGGTGGAGTCGGAGGCGATCGTAGTAGGCTAGTGGAAGAGAGGGCTGGAACCGGGGTTCTTTGAGACAATAGGAACCAATGAAGCTCTGGAGACAAGGCGGACTATACCTCAACTCAAGTAAAGATCAGATATCCCCGACTGAGACCAACGCGGACGATGCAATAAAAGCAAAAGAAACACGCAAAGAAAGCTCCTGAAGGCCTGGTCACATGCCTATATAGTATAAACTAGTCCCAGACAGGCTAGCGGGAGAGGCTTCAACAAGGTTCCCTTTCGGCAGTCGCAGGCGGAGAGCCAGTCGCACTCCGGAGAATGAGTCAGCACCCCGAGGTCGGACCCGTGACTGGACCCAAGATAAAATGAAATGTCAATGACTGCAAACCCTCGCTCCAAACCGACTGCCCTGTGATTCACTTGCCTGTCTCTTCCAATCCGGGGAGATCATGGCTTTCCGGCGCCCTCAGATGCTGTCAAAGACGGCATCAATGCCTTTCCTTTCGGCGGCTAGCCGCACTTCTCGATTGGCGACCTCTCTTCCCCGATCAACCTTCTGCACTTCCAGGGCTTCGTCCAGCTCAACTTCCGCATTGGCCTACAAGGCTCTGCACCGACGTTCCCCTCTCACGCTCCCTGTAGCGGATATTTCTCCGCAATGGGACGCACCTACGGCTGTCTCGTCAATTCTCTATGAGACTCCTTCTCGACCGACCAACCCACCCAAGCGTCATATTCTGAACTGCCTGGTACAGAACGAGCCCGGTGTGCTCTCCCGTGTCGCTGGAATTCTGGCTGCTCGTGGATTCAACATTGACAGTCTCGTTGTATGTAACACTGAGGTGGAGGACTTGTCTCGCATGACTATCGTGCTGCAGGGCCAGGATGGTGTTGTTGAACAGGCTCGTCGCCAGCTAGATGACCTCGTCCCCGTCTGGGCTGTCCTTGATTACACGGATTCTGCGCTCGTGCAGCGTGAACTACTCCTGGCCAAGGTCAGCATCTTGGGTCCCGAGTTCTTCGAGGAGTTACTTCAGCATCACCGCGAAATTACCACCCCCGTCGACTCCATGGACGGACACAAGAAGAGCAACGATGGCAAGACCTCCCAGGCCGAGGAATACCACCCCCGTAACCTTCCTAGCAGCCAGGCCCTCCGACACAAACATGAGCACCTGGATGCGATTACACGATTGACCCACCAATTCGGCGGCAAGGTGTTGGATATCAGCACTAACAACTGCATTGTTGAACTGTTAGTTTTCCTGTCTCCTTTTTCCTGCATGGAAATACTCGATCCCATACTAACTGATTTGCGATAGTTCCGCTAAGCCCAACCGTATTGACTCCTTCATGAAGCTCATTTCGCCCTTCGGTATCCTCGAGTCCACTCGAACCGGCCTCATGGCTCTGCCCCGGTCTCCTCTTTTCGAGGCCAACGACGAGATGGAAAAGGATGCCGCGGACGTTGTCGACGCTAGCACCCTTCCTCCTGGTTAAGATAATGCGCATTATTGCAATTTAAAAGCGAGGCTTGTTTCTTCTTGCAATCCATTCCTGTAATATCGTGCATTTCCCACCTCGGTCCAATTTTGGATCTCTCACCCGGTTGTATATCTCTACCTACCTTAAGATGCTAGTAATCACCTTGTTGCGAATAATTACAATCAGTCACTGAATCATTGGCTGAACATAAAGAGTGGATTTGTCTTAGGCCATCATGTGTGCAATGGTTACCGCAACATTCATATCCAGGGAAAACGGTTCGAAGAAAGATTTAACCCCTATTTATTGGCAGTTGTTACCAAATAAACGCCTCCAATTGAATGTTCTCCAACGCTTGTCTTTAAAATAATTGAATCACAGCGTAACTTTCGCCTTGATCCCCTTGCCACGGTAATGTATAGTCTCGTTATAATTCCCAATCCGAACGCCAACCTTTGCTATAGTATCTAGGTCAAGTGAACCACCAACAGCTCTCTTGACAGCATCGTAGCCGATACTTTCCATATTCAATTCAACCGGTAGTCGCGGTGAATGAGACAGGCCCGGTGGTATTGAAAAAGGTTGGTAATAGTTGATTTTGCCGACCTCCTTGTCGTGCTCGTAGAAGGCTTGTGCTTCTATCGACGTGACTTCCAGTGTTGTATGGTTTAAGGGCGAGTATAAGGCGAACTCAGCGGTTGAAGACCAGAGATGCAGCTAAGAGCACTCGGAAGTTAGTTCTTCTTTTTTGTTTTACAAAGAGGATGCGTCTCGAACGGAAAGCTGAGATATATACTGCAGACACACGACGGTGCTCAATATATGTATATGTATATGTATGACATCAAATGATATGTTCAGGCTTGAGAGACAATATCCAAAAAGGTAGATAATACCGTAGCATCTTGTATGAAGCCCTTGTGGCCATCATTGCGGCCGGGTGTTAATTTAGGCACCTGCACTTCAAGCCCTAGCCTAGATAGGGCTTGTCCAAGTTTCGGTAATGCTGGAATAGTTCCTTTGTGCGTTGTCATCATCACCGAGGTATTGAAGCCTAAAACGCGACTCAATTAAACGGTGTTTATAGGTTATTTCCAAGCCGATGTAACTTACCTGAGACAAAGCGTGAAAGTAAATCTTGACCAGCAAGTACAGCTGAGGGTCCGCCCAGATCAAGTGGACTCCATTGGAGATCCACATTCACGCCAGTATTTGTACCCGGTACAATGGTGACGTCTCTCGCCGTTAGATGAGCAACTTTGGTGGAGTTATATACGAGGAGCAAGTCGATGAAAGGTACCGAGGCTGAGTACTGAGTAGGATTCGTAAAGTTGACCATTGTGTTTACAAGTATCGATGACTCAGTTGTAGCGCCAAGCTCGAGGTTTTCTACCTGTGGTCTCCAATCGCCCGGAAGCAACCCTCCATATAGTGCTAAACGAGGATAAGTAAAAGGTCATGTAAAATATGATAGGACTTACGTTTAACAGCGAATTTGCCGTCGGCCGGAATTCCACGAACGGCAACTTGCCCAAGACCTGTCGCTATCTCCGCATCGACACTTGCAGAAACCGAAAGTTTTACTGGTATTCCTTCAAATATCAGGCTTGATAGAACGTCGGCCAATACATCTTCGTCGGTCACCTCGAGAGGGGCGTTATCCATGGCAAATCTCACTTGCAAAACGGTGGAATTATCGACATCCGAGATTAGAGTCGAATTGGCGGGCTGCCACTCTTTCAGGTTGAGAACGCCTAGTTTATTTTCGTGATAGTAGACGTCCGCTTTTGCTCGTACTCGAGGAACATTTAAATAAAACTCCAGTTGCCTTGGTACCGCAATCAATACATTTACCAAAGCGGATACTGTAGGGAGAGACTCGGGAGTATCCGGTTCTGCCATGGGGTTCGGCAGTGAGAAGTGAACATTAGACATGGTAAAGTTCTTCACAAGGTTATCCAAATTGTGTCCCGTAAAGGGAAACGGCACGGTTAACGTCTTGAGGATATCGGTCATCCATTTGGGGGTGCCCAAGGATGGCACATCTGCGCCGCGGACGTAAATGATGGTTTGAGAGCCATGTATATAACTTGTGAGAAGAGAATCGAGAGGGGACCTCTTTTCACCGGGACAGTTCGTCGTTAGTTCATCAGAGAGACCCCTAATAACGCCAGAAACATCGATCACAGTACTGTGGCCCGGAGTGACTGCAATCTCCTTAGTTACGACATCCGCGGTCGGAATATAAGGGTCGCGGGGCGAGCAGTTGGCAACGAGGACTTTGAAACCAAGTGGTGGAATGCGCAGAGAAAACGGGGAGTCCGTCAGAGCTAAAACAGAAGCATTGACTGCCATTGCTCCTTCGCCATCAGGTGAATCTACGTCGTGTACGTTGAACTCAGTGATGTCAAATTCCGGTACAGACGGAAAGTCATCTCCTAGATACGGGGTTAAATGCGAGAGAAATGTACGTCAGATAGGAAACATACCTTCAAATACGATTGAATCAGTTATGGTCTGCTGTCCCAGGCTCAGAAAACCTGACTTGAGATGTAGGCTTGCATTTCCCTGTAGTAATAGCCGTTCTAGCTTTCCGTCTAGCCAGTCAGCGGCGATGGAGTGTAAGCCCTCGATGTTGCCAGCAACGAGGTCGGCTTCGAAATCGAGGTGGTTCACATGACCATTTCGGATATTAAGTTTTATGGGGGGCAGGGATGCAGTCCCAACCAGAGTATTTCCGTATTCCGGCAAGTAGGCACTGACGTTGAACTGACTGGTTTCGACCTCTCTTCCAACCCAGGTGACAAATCGACCAACGTTTCTTACCGATCCGCTTTCTATGCGTTCAGCATCAAGAAAGACATCCCCTTGTACCCTGGCTCTCACTCCATCATCTGTTGCGGACTCAATCGATAGATTTTTCGGTTTAAATACGACGGCAGTCTTCGTGTACTGATTAACCACTTCTGGAACAATGAAAGCCAGCACAAGGATGACGACAATAGCACCAACAGCAAGGAGGCCGCAAAAGACTGTCCATCCAAATTTGCGCCGTAACTTTTTTGGATTGTCATCTGGGGAGAGAGTTTCTGAGGCTGGATATAAAGCTCGCGGTGGCTCTGTACCACCATACGTAGAGAGATTGGCTTCATCACGACGGTGAAGCAGCGGTGTTGATTCAGAAGATATCTCGAATGACTGATGCTGTTGCCCAATGGATGATGTCTGATGATGCGATTCTTCGTAGAGCGGTGTTGATTCAGAGGATAGCTCGAACGACCGCTGTTGTTGCCCAATGGATGATGTCTGATGATACGATTCTTCGTGGAGTGGTATTGATTGAGAGGATATCTCGAATAACCGATTTCGTTGCCCAATGGATGGCGTCTGATGATACGATTCTTCGTAGAGCGGTGTTGATTCAGAGGATAGCTCGAACGACCGCTGTTGTTGCCCAATGGATGATGTCTGATGACGCGATTCGTCGTGGCGCGTTGTTGATTCAGAGGATATTCCAAATGAATGATGTTTCCGCATTATGGATGATGCCCGATGATGCGATTCCTCATGGACCTCGCCCAGAAGAGGACTACTTGCCTCGTCCGCCATTGTGAAGGCTATCTAGGGAATGGAGTGGGGGACAAAGTGGAGAGAGAGAACGCTAAGGCTGATCAGACGGCCAGAAACGATCAAGCTGGAAGCCTCATTCAAAGGAAAGATACATGAAGCATTGAAGACGATATAATACGCAAGCAAAGATGATGGAAGACAGGTGTTAAGACGATGGCGAAGAGCGTCAGTAGCTCAATGCGAGGTATCAATGATACCTCAGCTCAGCCAGCCCGACCCATTGCGGTGATCGGCGGGCGGAACTGAGGTCGCGCTAACCTTATTCAATCTCACCAATAGGGCGGAATTTTGAGTCATCCCCATCATTCGTTTTCTTCTCTCTGGATCCTGCGAAGCTGCCTCTTTCTTTTCTCTTCCTAATTCCTCGGTACGCTCTCACCATGCCTCACGCCTTACCAATGGCCTCGCTCCGGTCTGCATTGAAGAACCAGAGCTTGCGACAGGCCGTACGACAATACTCATCGCAAACGACTCCTCCAACTTCCCCGTTCGCTCCCCGCCATTTCCTCTCCATCGCCGACCTCTCTCCCACTGAGTTTGCTGCCCTTGTTCGCAATGCCTCTTCACACAAACGATCCATCAAATCTGGGTCAATTCCCCAGAATTTGCTCGGCTCCTTGACAGGAAAGACGGTGGCTATGATATTCAGCAAACGAAGCACCCGGACTAGGGTATCAACAGAAGGTGCTGTGGTGCAGATGGGAGGCCATCCGATGTTTTTGGGTAAGGATGATATCCAATTGGGAGTGAACGAGTCTCTGTACGATACTTCCGTCGTTATCTCGTCCATGGTGTCTGGAATTGTCGCCCGTGTTGGTCAGCATGCAGAGGTTGCGGATCTAGCAAAGCATTCATCCGTGCCAATCATTAATGCATTGTGTGACTCTTTCCACCCTCTCCAGGCTGTTGCCGACTTCCAGACCATCTACGAAACCTTTACTCCTAAAGCACATCACCTTTCAAGTCTAGGACTAGAAGGTCTGAAAATTGCCTGGGTGGGCGATGCCAACAACGTCTTGTTCGATATGGCCATTGCCGCTACTAAAATGGGGGTTGACATTGCCGTTGCGACCCCTAAGGGTTATGAAATCCCGTCAGATATGCTGGAACTCATCACGGAGGCTGGAAAGGGCGTTTCAAACCCAGGCAAGCTTCTGCAGACTAATGTTCCCGAAGAGGCTGTCAAGAATGCGAATATTCTTGTAACAGACACGTGGGTTTCGATGGGTCAAGAAGAGGAGAAGGTCAAGCGTTTGAGAGAATTTGCCGGTTTCCAGATCACGGCTGATCTTGCCAAGCGAGGAGGTGCAAAGGAGGGTTGGAAGTTTATGCACTGTCTTCCACGACACCCAGAAGAGGTTAGTGACGAAGTCTTCTACAGCCACCGGTCGCTCGTCTTCCCGGAAGCTGAGAACCGGCTCTGGGCTGCGATTTCTGCTTTGGAGGGGTTTATTGTCAATAAGGGAAAGATTGCATGAGTGAGTCTGGTAGTTCCTAGGGCGTTTACTTGGCATAAAAATAGTACTATTATAAGGTCTAGCGTTATCAGTCAATGAGTCTAAGCGATGAGATCACACCACTTTGAAGCCATATTATATATACCTACATCCACTATCCTTAATTGGGGTGAATGCACCCCCACAACCATCTCTGTCAATAATTGCCTTTAATTGTTAAATTATATAATTCGCTGAGTTATTCCGTTCAATTCCACTAGCAACACGATCCAAATACTGGGGAAGATCTTGGGGAAAGTTGACCGTCACATGTCAACTACAAATGCGGAGACGACATTTCCCGGATGATCCAGGCCCTGGCCTTGCTTAACCTTAACAACCCTCAACTGCATCGTCCCATCTTCTTTCCTTCCCTCCAAACTCCACAACTCTTGCAAATTATCCCCAAGTGCCTTCTCCATTTGACCAGTTCGAAATGGATGTACGTAGCTCCCTCGCCCGCGACCAATTCAACCACTGACTAACACTGGACAGTCTTCCGCATCTCCAACTCAACCAGGCTCCCGGTCACGCCGTTCTTACCCATCTTTGAATCAAGTTTCTCTCGCTCCTTTAACCCCGCACTACCCTATAGACGGCGACAATGATACGGATCAACATCCACAGGACTACTTTTCCCCACGAAATGAAGCTCTCGACACCCCAACTAGAACCTCCTATCTATCTAGCTTCTCAGTCCCGGGTACACCTGGTGTTCTTTCTCATGCCCCATCTCGAAGTGCTTCACGCGTACGCCACCATACCAGAAGCAAAAGTTCAACGCCTATCCATCTAAGCGACACCAACATCCAAGAGCGGGTGGCAAACCAGCCCCTTCACCACCACTCCAGAAGCACCGGAAGTGGAAGCGCCAGTGTCACCAGCAGAACCAAGCGCCCGGCAGCCCACCGGCACCAGTCCTCCGACATGAGAGACCCCGAGTGGATGCTCCGTGCTGGAGTTGCACTGGCGTCCTCAGCCCGCGAGGAAAAGGGCCAGAGCTGGCTTGTGAAACGCGAGAGCTCGACCAGTTTAGTTTCGGAGAGCGGGAAGTACGAGGCTGATGCTATTTCTCAGGCGTTGCGAAAGGGCATGGCTCGATCGGCGAGATCCGGCCGGTCTACGCCTGCAGCTGCCTCTTCACGGTCCCGTGCCGTCAGTCGACGGAACAGCAGACCTGACCTTGCTATGACGGGGCTTGAAATGACGATGCCCTCACCCCCCTCGAAACGCAGTAGCGGACAGGCGTTCTCAGCGCCGCGCACTCCATCTCATACCACCAACAATGAGGGCCGATCCTCTATATCTCTCCCGGATTTCATAGACGAGCAAGTCCGGGCGGAAATGCGAGATACAATCCAACAACAGGCTGCGCGCGACTACGATTCTACATTATCATATGACTCATGGGACTCTGAAAACGACGAGGAGGAAGAAGAAATTGACGAACGAGAGCTTCAACGGTTAACTCGCGAACGCGGCTTTGGTCTAGGAAGTTGGATAGACCGGATGGTAGAATGGACGTTATTCGGTGTCGATGACTGGCCGCTCTCGTCCACCACGGACCCGATAACAAACCCACCACCAGCGACAGCCGCAGAACTGAATGAAAATGATCACACAGCGGCAGAGTCGTCTGATAATGACGATGAGGTCAAGAGCCTAGCATCAGATACCATCTCTGAAATAGTCCCGACAGAAAGAGCTGGGAACCGTGGCGGCTGGGAAGATGCAGGATGGCTATTCCGTGCTATTAAGCAAGCATTGGTATCTGCATAAGCATTCTGGATTTACACAGGGACACTCAATTATAGTCCATTCTCTTCCCTTTTCTGCAGGCGCAATATCGGCTAGGAATCTACTAGCATATTTGAGAGCCTGACTACGAGCCTTCGTTGCTATAAGGAACCGTTGAGATGGCGTTTCATGGTTACAGTTAAGGTCAATGGTGACCATAATAATATACATGCATTAAAGGAACAACATTATTTGATTCTATTGACGTTAAAGATTTCGTGTTGACTGATATCTGTTATCGAAAAACTCTAGCATCATCAGCAGTTTGCCTGATGATGGAGAGAGCGTCTTCTGTATTTGATTGACACTGGATATTCTGACCCAGGGTTACATTTGAAGATCTGCCTGCTAATGTGGGTCCCTTGGGCCCAACCGATGGAATTTGCATAGGGCAGCAAAAAGGCACGAATCGCCGGGACTGAATAATAATTTGGGGTATACAAGAAGGGGCATTCACATCAGGAACGAAGCAAAAAAAGAGAGAAAAAAAAAAAAAAAACCAAAGAAAATGAAAGAGTGAAAATGCACAAATATGCCGATGGTACCGACCCATATAATATGCGTAGCTCAAGTAGGCCCAGGATAAATGACTCCGCCATCTAAATAACAGTAGAAAAAGATAAATAAAAAGGGTTGTGACCCGGAATAATGACACAATAATAAACCATGGAAAGAGAAATGAAACGAGGCAAAAAAGATAGTAACGAGAACTCTGGTTGCACAGTTAACGCCAAGATGAACCTTATTCTCTAGTTCATGCAGTTTGTGTCGTGATCGTATCGTGGGTGGACATGCACGGCCGAGTATGTGAATTGAGACTCGGTGAGCTAAAATAGCCGTTGGTATTGTTGCGGAAGTGAAACGTAATTTCGGTCACGTAATGGAGGTTTACCATGGCCCAACTTTGACTGGAGTTCCAAGCCCATATGTGCCGGACAGAAGTTGTTCTCGAATGGAACCAAACTCGTTGCCCCCTTGATTCCCGAAGCCTTGTGATTCCGGTCCGTGCATCCACCCTAAGCTGGATGCGAGGTCGTTGACGGCCGCCTGCAGTCTGCCGCCGGAATTCTGGTTATGCTTCGCTAGCTTCTGATCCCAGCCTCCATATTGCAATTGGATCCCACCTCCACGTTTGGCGGCCTCTCGGATCACTAGGATCCATGCCTTGCAAATTTCATCATAAGCAGAGTCCCGCTCTACGTTGTTCTGAGGTGAGCTCCACCGCGGCAAAGAATGTATGATTTCTGTGGCATCGTCCAAATAGCTCAAAGATATCGAAGGTTGTGTTTCATTTGGGGGTAAAAAGTGTGGAGTAAAGTCGCCCAAAGCTTCGAGAAGCTGCCCTAAAGGTTGACGGACTCGATTATAGGCGTAATCGGATTCGGGGCTGCCACCCAGGGGGAATGATGATTGAAGAGCAGATTGATAATTTCGAAGAACGTGAAGTGCGGATGCAACATTTGGACGAGGAGCAGTTTGGACCACTTCATCAGCTAGATTGGGATGACGATTGCACATGGTCCGGAGGACACCACGGAGGGCATCGGCGTCTAGGGTCTCCAGCAAACGGGGAAGCGAGAGCGGTCTTCCACCGATATTTGGTCGAGCACGTTTCAGTTGTCGAGACGAGGGCAAGGATCTCGGAGTGAAGGCTGGGGAGTTTGTAGGCGACGCTGACATCCGGCTATCATAATCATTGTTGTCATCATCTGCTTTCCGCTTGCGGTTGGTGGGAGTGTGACTCGGAGTAGACACTGGAGTGCTTGGTTAGATACGAAAGCTCACAATAAAGCCGAGCAAAAAAAAAAAAAAAAATGAAAAAACCCCAGGGATGGTGTGATAGACATACTTGGTCGAGATGGGGAGAAGCGAGAATGTTCATAAAAGTGACGCGGCACAGGTGGTGTAGCCACCAAGCTGTTCATGATGGCCGCAAACAGTTGGGCGGCCAAGGAAGGGTAGAGAAGTCGGACCTTGGTGCCCGGGTGACAGGGGAGCAGGCGGAGAAAGTAGGCAGAGGGGGAAAAGCTATGGATGGGCACGAGGAGGGCGGAAGAAAGGGGGATGGTGAGGAGGCAAGCTGCAAGGAAGGGAAGGACAGAAAAAAGATGCAGCTGAAGGGCAAAGAGATGAGGATGGAAGAGAGTTGGAATGGATTGGTGGGGAAAGAAGAGTGAAGAAAGAGAAGCGGTGGGCAGAGGGAGAGCAGCCAGTGCGGGTTGCAGGAGGCAACGAGGACCCAGAACGCAGCTTTCACTTTCGTCGTCACTCTTTTTCCATCACCGGACTCGGAGCGATGAGCTTTACTCGAATTTATTAACTATATTATTCAACAATATTGTGGAATTTATTATTATGGTTTTTCACCCTTCCAACCCATCCCAGCATTTGCCACATTCTCTCAGTGGTCAGATCCTGGGATAATATCACGATGATACATACAACAATGAATGGCTGAAACCTTTTTAGCCTGACGCCAGGGAAATGCAACTACCAAGACATCCAAGATTGCACCTCGCAGGTCACCCATGACATGCGTGGATCTCGGAGTCTCACGCTAGTTCTCTACAGATACAGGGACTGAGCGGCGACAATGTCCCTGCGAACCTTTGTCAACGCTGTCTCAAATTTACTTTCAAGCTCCTCGCTGCCCATAACCTTGGCTGCCTGAGCCATTTGTCGCAGACACTCTTCTAACCGGCGGAAGACACGGATTAAACTGCCTTCGTAAACATCGGTCATACCGCTAGAAGGGGAAAAAGAGTCAGTCGTTGTTTGTCATTTTAGTACTGAGATTAGCGACTCACCAGATATCAGCAAATGATTTTCCGTTAGCCCATTCGTAAATAACTTCCATGAGTTCCCAGTGGAAGCTCTGAACGTAATCTTCTTCGCTGATTGCTAGTTTCGACTCCTGTGCGACTTTGGCGACGATCCGTGCTTGCGCTTGGATCTCTTTGAGGGGTTTCGAAAGTTCATCCTTCGACAGCGCTGGTGTCTCCTTTGTTTTCTCTTCAAATACGAACACGCTCAATACGGCCGCTGCTTGCTCCGGGGTGAGCTTATTAAAGAAGCCGTTGAAAAGAAGCTCACTGAGCATCAACTCGTCGCCGGTGCTGATTTCACATGCCACACGTGCTTTCAGCTGCACGACTTCGGCCTCGTTGATAAACCCGAAGCGGCGAAGAACTCGTTTTCGGCATTTCAGCTCATCTAGCTGCTGTATTGCCATGCCTTCGGATATCTTCTTCTTGATCCCTTTGATCTTATTTCCCAAATCCACCTTTTCTGAATATTGATTATACAACTCTTCCAATCGCGGGGAGTTGTGCAATGGATTCGAGATCAAACGAGACTCGAGAACCTCAATTTTCTAGGGCTGGGTTAGTAGTGTTCTCAGTCTTTGTGGCCATAGTACCGTACCCTTAATGTTTTCTTGAATTCATCATCTTTGATTCCCATATCTTCGATCGGGTCGAGAACAGCAATACCATCAGGGAACCGCCGCTTAACTTCATCCACTTTTTTTCCCACAGAGTCCCGCGCACTAGCAGTCTGTAGGTCTTTTGGCGGGAAGATCCGCACATGTGAGATGGCTTGAATGCAGTTGAGAAGGAGCGGAACAACTGCGGTGTGGTGTTTTTCGCCTTCCTTTGGAGGGCACACACCCTGCGGCAGATCTTCGAAGGTCTGGGTGCCAACAGATGATCCATCGGCAACTTTCAAAAGAACATCAACAACCCAGGCCTCATGATCGCTAAATTCCTGCGTGGAGTTTTTCGGGGGTTTGCGTTTCTTGTTGCTTACAACAATCCCCCAGCCGAAATCAAACTCTTTGTACTTGACGTGGACCAGCCGCCCAGGCTGGAGATAGGCTATGGAATACGTAGGATGACTGATGACCGCCCGTACGTCGTCATTGAACTGGTCAACCTGAGTTCGAATATCGTAATATTCACGAATTGTCCCTTCGTCTGAAATACTCATACTTGCCCTCTTTTCCTCTAGTTCAGTAAGTTCTGTCTTCTTGTCAGTACGGTTCTTGTATATATTAGGCCACAGAAACGCATACCCTTTTCGAGACCTGCTAGCCCAGCAGTATTCTGGAACTGATAGAAACACCTTTCCAACATGAACTCTGGTGAGATACCCTCCACACGCATTAGATTAAGGATCATATTGTATCCTAAATGGAACGCGGAATTCAAACGGTCCTGCTCTCCACGAACAATTTCCTTGGCCACAGCAGGGTCCATTTCCTCGCCTATCATCATGATCACAATACCACGGTCGTCAAGTCCTCTTCGACCGGCACGGCCTGACATCTGCACAAATTCAGATGGAGTGACCCACCGCTGGCTGAAACCGTCAAACTTTCGGACGCTTGTGAAGACGACAGTTTTAGCGGGCATGTTGAGACCGATAGAGAATGTTTCGGTGGCAAAAAGGACCTTGATAAGTCCCTCTTGAAACAGGATTTCGATGGTTTCTTTGAGAATGGGAAGAAGCCCAGAATGATGGACGCCGATACCTCTGCGAAGAAGGGGCAGGATGTTTTGAATTTGAGGCAAGTTTCTGTCCTCTTCTGACAGCATTTCAATCGCGCTGTTGAAAACCTTGGAGACCATCTCTTTCTCAGAGTCGTCGTTGAACGCCAAGCTCTTCATTTTCAGAGCATAGAACTCGCATTCACGCTTGCTGAAGCTGAAGACGATCACCGGATTTAGGCTCTTGAGCATAATCATCTTGACGATTTTATAGATGCCATCTTTATCCTGATCCCCGCCTTTGTTTAGCTTCTTATCTTTGCCCTTTCCTTTCCGTTTGGCGAGCGCGTCCGACGGGTCGTCTCCCTTCTTGTCTGCGATGGAGCTCATGGCCTTTTGGAAGTTCTCCTCCCGAAAGACACCCTTTTCATCAACAATCAGATGCATTCCTTCAGAACCAGCGGGGAAAAAATAGTGTTGTAGTGGTGTAGGCCTAAAGTCGGTATATACAACGTGGCAGGGCTGGTTATGCATTTTGACAATCCACTCTGCAAACTGCATGGCGTTGGGTATCGTCGCAGACAAAAACACGTATCGGACCTTATCGGGGAGTAAAATGATCGTTTCCTCCCAGACAACACCTCGCGCTGTACTAGCAGTTAGTGAGATGGAAAAACACACGGGGTCCAATTCACTTACTGGCATCTCGCATGTAATGGATTTCGTCAAAGACCACCCAGGCGACTTCACGCATGATCTCAGAACCACGGTACAACATGGATCGTAGAATTTCCGTCGTCATGACCAAGCAAGTAGCGGTAGGGTTGATAGTCACATCTCCGGTCATTAGACCAACGTCGCCAAAGTCTGCAGCAAATTCTCGATACTTTTGGTTACTCAGAGCTTTGATCGGACTTGTGTAAATGACCCTTTGATTGTTCTTCAAACTCTGCGCAATAGCATATTCCGCAACCACTGTCTTACCCGCACTGGTATGAGCCGAAACCAGCACACTTTCCCCTCTTTCAATTGATGAGACAGCGACCTGCTGGAATGGATCGAGAGTGAATGGCCACACTCTCGCGGGGTTCTCGGGGGCTTTGTGTTGAGAAATAGGCACGTATGGGTATTTTGGGGGAATGGCGACTTGATGCCGGACCTGATGAGACAATACCACAGAACCGGCGTCTTTCTCAGCTTGAAGCCCCGCGGAACCTGCGATCTCTCGCTCTTGCGCCGTTTCAAACAAATCTGCAACTACGGGTTCCGGCTCCTCTTCTAGTCGCAATCGTTTCGCATCGGGTTGATTGTTGTTATCCGAGCCTGAAGCTTTCTCTTCCTCGACATCCTGATCGTCGGCATCGGCGGTGGTTGCGCTTTCCTTCGGTTCCGCATTGTCAACATTTCCCTTCACATCGCCATTTACCTGGCGCTTTTTGCTCTTTTCTTTCTTCGGTCGTCGGGGAACAGATTCTGAGGGCTTGGCCGCCTGGGGCTGGTCCTCGAAGACATCAAACAGCTCATCCATTGTCGAGCAGATGATGAGGTTCGAGTTACAGAGCGTAGAACAGCTCGAGCGGCCTCGATGATTGAATTCTTGTTCTTTGTTACCCACCGATTTGTCTGACCAAGAAATTTCATTGTCCCGTTTAGGGAAGGCGCCGTAACTGGGATCAAATGGGTTGACCGCCGGATAAAACCCGGAGAAACCTTCCATTGTGAAACCACCAATCACGTGATTAATTCGCGGCCGGCTGGTTCCATCTCGTCCTACTCTTCCCGTATGGCACGATCAAGTACCTCTGCCTCGATCATCTCATCGCGCCCTTGCTTCATTCAAGGTAAACTTGCTCTGTGAACGATTTTGCGATCAATTGCACTGATACAACTGAAGATGAACGCTGCTACCGCTCTCCGGGCCAGAATGGCCACCTCGTTCGTTGCCCGCCGCGGCTTTTCGACCACCCGCACCCAGCTCGGCAGTCCTTACCACTACGCTGAGGGTCCTCGCTCCAACATCCCCTTCAACCCTCTCACCAAATACTTCTTCTTCAGATACTGGGCTTTCATGAGTTAGTATACCCTAATTGGTGGTGGTGGTCGTCGGATTGGTTGTTGATATCGCTGACTCCTTATCTACCTACAGTCACTGGCTTCGGCACGCCCTTCGCCATTGCTGGTATGTTCCCATTTACCCTCAGAACCCTCTTGATCCATTACCTGACATTCTCTCTCTTTCTAGTCTGGCAAACCTACAAGGCCCGTTAAATCCGCTCCCGCGCGTTACTGGGTATCTGGCAATGGTGGAAAAGTGTTGAGTTGGGCAACTCGTATATCTTGTATAAATCTAGAGAATTCATTCAGCTTTGAACCAGAAACTTTTCTGTGCTGTTTTCTATATTAGCAGTGGATGTAATTGTGTTTGGGAGTTCCCCAGAGCCGTAGTGCACAGAAACATTATTAGTATATGGATGAAGTCATTGGCCGATTTTTTGTCTGCGAAAATCAAAATCTTTGGGTCGACTATTATTTGATATTCGATACATCTGCAATTCCGCCCGAACACGAGTCGAGCAAAAGCAATCAAATGAAGGAGTCTGCTCGCATATTTAATTCTTAATTATTTCTTTTTACCTTCCCTCGCCGCTCTGGCCGATTTCCACCTCCCAGGGCAGAACTCCATTGTTCATGGCAGTGGGGTAAACCACTGAATCATAAAAGATGCGCAACTTGAAAAACGTGCGCCTCGCGGAGGTGCGGCTTCAGGATGGACTTCCTTTAACAGCAACAGCTTGGGATACCACTTCTGATGCCGTTATTTGCACATTTGGACCAACCCCCACAAGTGCAGTCATCGAAGTCCGGAGGAAACGCCATGATGCTCAATTTTCGGATCCTGTGAGCCCCGAAGTCTTTGAAACTATCGCATCTTGGGATGCACCGTGTCCGCTGCCACATCTTGATTGTGATCGCGTGCTCTCTTTGCATTACTTCGCGGACACTCTCACGGCCTGTCTTGTCCTGGAAGGTGGTGATATCGTCATCGTCCGTGAAGAACCCCTCCCCGGTGAGGACAAGATCGAGATTGTAGGCTCTGTCGATGTTGGCATCACAGCTGCTGCTTGGTCACCAGATGAGGAACTCCTGGCTCTTACTACTGCGGCCAATACATTCCTGTATATGACCAGAGAGTTTGAAAATGTTGCCGAGATTACTTTTACTCCCGAGGACCTGAAGGCCTCGCAACATGTTTCCGTGGGCTGGGGAAAGCGTGAGACGCAGTTTCAAGGAAAGAGAGCCAGAGCTCTACGAGATCCTACGGTACCAGAGAAAGTCGACGAGGGAAAACTCAGTAGCAACGACGACAGCAGGACCACGATCAGCTGGCGAGGAGACGGCGCTTATATCGCCGTGAATAGCGTCGTCGGAGGCAATCGCCGTGTTATTAGGATCTATTCTCGCGAGGGGGCTTTGGATAGTGTGAGCGAGCCTGTTGATGGTCTAGAGGGGGCCCTCAGCTGGAGGCCTTATGGCAACCTCATTGCTGGCATTCAAAGGCTCGATGACCGGATTGATGTCGTTTTCTTTGAACGGAACGGCTTGCGACATGGCCAATTTACTCTTCGTTTGACTGAGGAAGAACGGTCTACGTGGGCATCTGATATCTATCTAAGCTGGAATATTGATTCGACAGTTCTTGCGGTGCAGTTCAAGGATAGAATCCAATTCTGGACCTCGGGAAACTACTACTACTACCTCAAGCAAGAAATTCCCATTCTTGGAAACTTCGAAAGCCAGTTTTCCTACAAATGGCACCACGAGAGAGCCTTGCGCTTCGTCGTAGGAGCCTCTGGTATGTGTACTACCCTGCAATGATGTCAAACCTCCGAACTAATGATTTTGTAGGGTCAATACTGGATGTAGAGTTTGTCTTTGAAGTATTCCACGGCTCAACCACTTCGCCTAATGATGTTGGGGCTGTTGCTGTTCTTGATGGGCGTAAGTATTAACCATACTATGATGTTTACACCTTTTCAGATCTACATATTCTAATCCTATGTAGGCACCTTGAAGTTGACGCCGTTGAGGCTATCTGGTGTCCCGCCACCTATGGCTCACAATGAGCTGGCCCTTGATTCAAACGCTGTTGATGTGGCATTTAGCAAATCAGGGACAAGGATTGCGGTTCTCATGAACGACCACTTCTCAGTCTTTCTGTGGTCCCTCAAATCACGGCCAGTGCCTGTTCCAATCCTTGAGTCAAGCTACCCATTGTCGTATGAAAAGGATAGCCGGCCTCGTCAAATAGCATTTATCAACGACAATGAAGTGTATATTTTGCGGAGCAGAGGCTCAAACAGCACCTGCATCGAGAGGACTGCTTTGGAGACCCGCGAGACAAAGGTTGCTTATGAGACAGCCGATTCTGAGCAGGTATTTTCGATATTCGCAAATTTAGGCCAGGAGACTCTATGGTTTTCCCATGTTCGTCAACCTGGTCAGCCGATTGCCTACTCTCACGTCACAATGCCCTCGTCCGATGAATTCCAAATCACTCATTGGACTGAAAGCCCTCCCGTGGACACCTATTGGGCCAAAACAGTACAAATATCTGATGACGAGGTAAAACACCATAACCATGCCCTTCTGTGCATTGCTAAAACTCTCAAGGATATTTTGATTTCTCTGTCTAGGACTGGAGCTCTCTATGCGAATAAATCGCTGCTTGCGAAAAATTGCACATCTTTCCTGGTCACTTCATCTCACGTTATATTTACCACTTCTCTACATCTTCTCAAATTCGTCCACCTCAATAAGGCCGAAGGTTAGTTAGGGTCACCAGCCTACTGGTTTCAAGCTAACAAGGGTTGTATTCCAGACATGGAGGTTCCTCCTGATACCCCGGAGACAGACGAACGTTGCAGAAGCATTGAACGTGGATCTCGTTTAGTCACAGTGATGCCTTCCACATTTTCGGTTGTTTTGCAAGCTCCTCGGGGCAATATTGAGACCATCTATCCAAGAGCCCTTGTACTCGCAGGTATCCGGTCCTTCATTGACAGGAAGGACTACCGATCTGCATTCCTCACATGCCGCAGCCAAATGGTTGACATGAATATCATTCATGATTACGCCCCTGAACAATTCATGGAAAACGTCATGTTATTTGTGGAGCAAGTCAAGAGGGTCGATTTCGTCGATGAGTTTCTTTCTCGCTTGAAGTATGTTTTCCTCAAAGAAGTTTCCTATAACATATCTTGCTAACCCCCACTCAGGGAGGAAGATGTGTCGCAAACACTTTACAAGGACACGTTGAAAGCGCTGAAGGTGGAAGTTGCCCCAGAAAACGGCCTTGCACCTTCGGCAAAGAAGGGAAACAAGGTTAACCGGATTTGCGACGGCTTCCTAGCGGCTCTGGAGAAGCGTTCAGATACTAATCTGCATAACCTCATCACCGCACACGTGTGCAAACTGCCCCCAGACCTTGAGTCCGGTCTTCGACTAGTAGCGTGCTTGAGAGGTTTGTCTTGTTATGCCTCCTTTTTTTTTCATATTCCCTTACTAATAAGTTAGTAGAAGAGAGCCCCGAACAAGCAGAGGATGCGGTTGAACACATGTGTTTCTTGACGGACGCTAATCGGCTTTATGATAACGCGCTGGGTCTCTACGATCTTGAGCTCACTTTGCTAGTAGCCCAACAAGCCCAGAGGGTAATGATTCCCAGCCCAAAATATGTCCTCAATGAAATATTCTAACGAAGTGTAGGATCCTCGTGAGTACCTCCCATTCCTGCGAAAGCTTCAACAACTCCCGGAACTTCGACGGTACTTTGAAGTCGACAACTACCTGGGAAGATGGACGAAAGCACTTGGCCATCTACATGGACTGGGTGCCCATGATGAGCTCCGCGAATACGTGGCCAAGCACGCGTTATACAAGGACGCCATCGACATCTACAAATACGAGCCAGAGAATCTTCGCGACATTACACACCTGTATGCAAACCACCTTCAAGAGGAATCGAAGTATAAGGATGCAGGTATCGGTAAGTCCCCGCCAACGCCACCCTGTCTATACCCAAGCATCCCAAAGCTAATAAAACAAACCTACAGCCTACGAATCCCTCTCGCTCTACACAGATGCATACAAATGCTACCAACTCGCCCACCTCTGGCGAGAATCTCTTTACACCGCAATGCTCGTCCCGCTCCAACCATCTGATCTAACAATCCATTCCACAAACCTAGCCACAACCCTGGTAGAAGAGAACAAAGACTACATCTCCGCATCCCAAATCTACTCTGAACACCTCCACGACATTCCCACGGCTGCCCGGCTCCTCTGCCGCGGCTCCCGCTTCTCCGATGCATCTCGCCTCCTAGCCCTCAACGGTGTGCAGTCTCTCGTCCCCGAGATCGTCGACTCCGCTCTCGCAGATGCAATGGGCACAATGACCGACCTCCTCGCCGACTTCCGGTCCCAACTTCAGGCCCAAGTTCCTCGGATCGGCGAGTTGCGCATTCGTCGCATCCAGGATCCCCTGGCTTATTTTGGCGGCGACCCAACCATGGCGGACAGCGCCGGCGGAGTCGATATCCCTGATAACGTCTCGCTAGCGGCGACTGATGCCTCCACCTTGGCAGGCAAGAGTATGTTCACGCGGTACACGGGTCAAACGTCCTCTGGGAAGACGACGACGTCCCGGCAGAGCTCTCGCAACCGCCGCAAGGAAGAGCGGAAGCGAGCGCGTGGAAAGAAGGGAACCGTTTATGAGGAGGAGTATCTGGTTAACAGTGTGCGGCGGTTGATTGAGCGGGTGAGCTCGACTGTGCCTGAGGTGGAGAATTTGGTTGATTCGTTGCTTCGTCGTGGGATGAGAGAGCGCGCGGCGGCGATTGAAAGGGCTATGAGTGAGGTGTTGAAGCTGTGTGGTGAGACTCAGGAGGAGGTTTTTGCTGCCCCCCCTCCTGCTGCAGCTGTGCACGATGAAGATGGTGAGCAGGATGGTGGCCAGGCTCCGGTCAACATGCCTATTGATGCACCTACGCCGTTGGGAGGTGAGAGGGTGTTCTGGGAGAGTATAGTATCGACCATGGGGGTTGGAAAGGGGCAGGAGGCGCCAAAGATTAAGGAGATGAAGAGGTCGGCGTTGTTGAACTAGAATTCCTTTGTTTATGAATAGTTTTATGAAAAGTTTGTCCATGTATAGTGGAATGAAAATAGAGTAGGTATTATGTGTGCATGATATCTGCATGTTGAATCAAAATTTAAAACTGAACCATGTAGATAACCGAAACGTTCAGTAACATGCCATGTATCGTGTCAAACGAAACATAACTCGTAATTAAATATCGGTATCCTCGAAATATTTCTGATGCAACTTGACGGAATCATAAATCATTTCAAGCCTCTTCCATGCTTTCCTCTCTCTATTGGGTAGAGAGAATTTCGCCCTTTTCACCGATGAGGTGATCCTCGACACTGATAGGTCCTTCACCAACACCAGTCAAGATTACACGACTCAGCCCAGTCTTGAGCACATCCACGGCCCGGGAGTCCACCTGGTCAATGGGCACACCCGAGGTAGCGTCCTTCACAGCATCGTAGAAAGGACCAGACCAGCCCTCCAAGGATGTACCCAGAATAGACTTGAAGGTTCCCGTAACAATATCAGAGTCCTTCTCAAGGTAGTATATGACAGCGTTAGGACCAGCATCGAAAGTGTAGGCGCACACAGTGCGGCCAACTATGTTGTTGATATCGTGCACGAGTCTAACAGCCGCCCTAGAGACATCATTCATGTAGAAGATCGGTGGCCAGGAATCGAGGCAGGTGGCGTGGAAACCGTTCGAGTCACGCATGGTTATTTCAGCAAACGCAGGGAAATCACGGTTTTGAATAGCGGTCTCGATAGCAGCCATCCGCGCGGGGACAACGGCGTTTGCTCGGGTTGCGAAAAGCTCGGATGTTGCGAGGGTCGTCTGCATACCAGTTGTGCTAGGGACGTCCTTCTTCTCTGCACTCACAACTAGGATAAGTGCACGCATATCAGGCCAATGAGCCTGGGGAGCGACCTCCTCGGCGAGACTGTCGCTTCCGTCCTCGAGCTCACCGGCGCGCCAGGCGACGTAACCTCCCATTAAAGAGCGGCAAGCCGATCCAGATCCCTGGCGGGCAATGCGACTAAGCTCCTTTGGAGACTGCGGCAGTTTGTACAGATCGGCCACGGCCCGAACCAAGGCTGCGAAACCAGCAGCCGAGCTGGCTAGACCAGCGGCCGTAGGGAAGTTGTTCTCCGAAACGATTCTTAGCGGGAAGGAAGAGAGTCTTGGCAGAGACGAGTCGGCATCCTCGAGCTCTTTTCGGTGAGCCCGTAGGCTAGCAAGACAGGCCAGTGTACGTTTGGACGACTGGATCTCCTGGGGTTTGCCATTGAGCGTGAGTTCGTCGGCGGCGGGGTAGGTGGCAGAACAGGACGCAGTGGTGAGCGTGCGGAGAGACCGCTGAGACAGGGTGACGGAAAGCGAAGAGTTCGTCGGCAGGTTCAGAGTAGCGTCACGCTTTCCCCAGTACCTAAATGGTGATTATAAGCCAATGCATGGTGGAACAATGGCATAGCCTCTCAAAATGGCGGGGTGCGGGACTTACTTGATAACAGCGATATTAACAGGGGCAGTAGTGGTGGCCCGGAAAACGGGGCTTTCAGAGACAGCAGCCATTGTTATAAATAGAAACAAAAATACTCAAGAAATCCCGGACAATTGAGGAGAGCTGGGAGGATTCAACAGCAGACAATCCCAGGAAAGAGAACGAGGGGGGACGGGGGACGAAAAAGTAAATAGTCCAGGCGCATCGCTACCGAGTCGGAGTAAATGTCGGGCTTCCAAAGGCGGTCGGGCCCCGACAGCCAAATGACCCGGGCTCCGTTGCTTTGCTTCTTTTTTTGCATTACCAAGCACGACAGCGTCCTTTGACTGCGCCCAAACAACGAATTAACCATCGCCGTTCCCCTGTTCTCAGCTCTTCTCAATTTTCGCATATATCACAGTCTGCCGATCTCCCAATGGGTGCCGCCGCCAGCACCCCTGCACAACCGTCTCCTTCCGCATCAGCTGCGACATGCCCCGTTGATCACAAAGCCCGCGAGGTATGGCTGCAACAACATAAGCCTGGAGATTCACCCCATCCACAATCTTCAGAGGATGGAAAGTTAGCCTCAAAACAGCAGCGGCCGCTCTCCTCGGACCGTGAAGTGAGCAGCATACCACGAGCTGTCGTCTCTGACTCGAGCGAACCGCCATCCGAGTGTCCCGTGGCACCCTCCTCACCATACGCTCCACCAGCCGCATCGCACGGCACCCCTTCAAATGCAGAAACCGAAACCGGACATGACAAGTCGACGGGCAACTGGGTCTACCCTTCGGAGCGCCAGTTTTTTGAAGCGCTAATGCGCAAGGGCAATACGCCCAACTCAGTTGGCTCGCCGTCGGAGCTCGCTACATCCGTAGCGTCAATTATCCCGATTCACAACGCCGTGAATGAGCGCGCGTGGCATCAAATTCTTGAGTGGGAGAAAAAGGCGCCGAGTTCAGATCCCGGGAGCAAGAAATGCGGTGGGCCGAAGTTGTACTCGTTTCGTGGCCTGGGCGCCGAGTCTCAGTTCCTAAGCCCGAGGGCGCGCATGAATAATTTGATGGGGTACCAGCTACCGTTTGATCGACATGACTGGGTTGTAGAACGATGTGGCGGGGAGCGAATCGAGTATGTGATCGATTTCTACCAGGGAAAGTCTACGGGAGGGAGCAGTGGAGGCGGATTGGCCGGCAATGCTGGCCCAGGCAAACTGAGCTTCTACCTTGATGTGCGGCCGAAATTGAATTCATGGGAAGGCTGCATGATGAGGTTCAGACGATTCTCGGGCCTATGAGGGGTCGCCGTCTATTGGCACTCTTGATGATATTATTTTGTCACGGTACGAATATAGAAGCAGGAGTTTGGGCATTTGCCGGGGTCATTGAATTGTATCATATGTATAACACTGAAGTCATGTATAATACCAATATGCCAAATAGCGGCATAACAAATGCAAATAGACATCCACTCTAAACGCCGAACACCGTATAAGAATCACCAGGAGGACCAATCCTGGTCACAAAAGCGTAAAACAAAACTATACACAAACAGTACAGGAGAGGATATCACAAGGAGGGAAATCATTACATCGGGAGCCACAAAATGTAGTATGAAAAGTATGAGACGCTTATCCAAGAACAGCCGCAAGGATGATGATCGTCAAAATAACAGCAAGGATGATTAGCAAACAACAAGCCTTGCTTCGGGCGTTCTTTTGATACCGACTAGCACTACGGAGCTCAACGTTCGCACCGCGAGTATCGGTATGAACTCTCTCGACGTTTCCGCTGATAGTGTCCAGTTGCTCACCCTGCTCATTAACGATATGGGCAACGTCGCGGAATAGCTCATTTAGTTCGCCGACGCTCTGTTCGATGTTGCGAATCTCAGTCTCACGTTCGATGATCAGAGCTTCTTGGAAATCGACTTCATTTTGATTCGCCAGACGCGGCTGCTCTTCAAGAAGTTGTTGTTGATCCTGCTGGGCGCCACCTTCGTGGGGATGTTCAGCTTCGTCCACAGCGGTACGCGCAGCTACTGCGGATGCACGTTGCTTCTCCAAAGCTCGCCGTTGAACAGTTTGGAATTCCTCTAGAGTGGCTTTGAACTCTGTAGACAACTTCTGCTGTGTCCATTTTTGTGAAGGCTATGAATTAGATGTTAGAAATATTTGCTAATACTAGAGAGTTATAGCAGTTGTTGGGGGCCACATACGTTGACGTCTTCCCAGGTCTGAACCTTCTTGATCCCGTCTCCGACATCCCTAAATCCCGTACGGGTTTGCTCAAGGAGGCTATGGACTCGTTCTCGCACCCGCTCAGTGTCACGCTTCGTACCAAGAAGGGCGATTTGGTCCGATAGGCGAGTGATGTTTGAGGTCAGCGTGAATAACTGGTTCGAGAGGGACTCCGTGAGCCGCTGGAACTCGGGATCATCATGGTACTGCGGGTCGTCGGAACGACGCATGGTGGTAGGCTGAGCCTCAAGGGAGTTTAAGCGATCGAACGACATGCTGTAATGACAAAATATGACAAGTAGACGAGCGAGGGGATTGATGCGGGTAAACCGGGAAGAGGAATGAGGAGAGATAACAAGCAGCTGCCTGCAGGTTGCGTTGAGGCTGGTGTCGATGCCCTGATCTGCAGGCAGCACTCACATGATGGCATGACGTGACAGGAAGGACATGTGGCTAGTGCAGCGTCACCTGACTAGCCCGCTGTGGCTTGTGTGTTTTGATGCCTCTCGCCCAGAAAAAGCTTCAAAGCTTCATTGTCGCTCAAGTCGCCGTACTCGCCGTCGCCGGTTTTCGAGAAAGCGCCACATTCGTTCTTGCAAACCTGCCCGGCGCGGCAATTGATGATATATGACCGCTATTTTCCTGACGATGCTGTGATTTTTTTACCCTCGCTATCTTGATCTCGCAATTACCCTAGCTTACTACGATGGCCGCCGCAAAACCTCGCCCATACCGGCGCATTCTCACCTCTGCGCTACACCGCAGATTTGTTCATGCGTCGGCACTCTCAGTGTTGGTCTGCTACATAATCTCCGTTGTGATTGGTGATAAGTCTTCATGTAAGTCCCCCCGCTGAGTCAACGTCGTCAACATCTCGCCCACATGATAGCTAATGAGCGCCCAACCTTTCAGTATTCTGGGCCTTGTTCCCAATCGGATCATGCGGTATTCGCACCATCCTTCTCTTTATATCTCCTCTTTCCGTATTCGTCCTACGGGTTGGTCAGATGCACATTGGCTCGAGAACGACCGCTTCCCCGCTCCAGACTTTCAAGTACCTTTTCCCGCTTCACATCATTCAAACCTTTGCGTGGTATATTTTCTCGGCATGGTGGTTCAGTGAAGTATACAAGTGGTCCTCACCCGTTAGTGCGCACCTAGAATGGGTGAAGCGAGGCAGGTATGCTACGAAACCTTGGAACGGTTTGGTTTGAAGCCAAGCTAACGAGAAGTAGCCCTCATGAGCGAGCAACCTTGAACGAACGGCCCATATATATCTACACGTATCATCTACTCTTGGCGGTAGCACAGTCTCTGTTCCATCTATACAATGACTACGATCGCATTCCCATTCCGATTGCAAAACGATCCACCACCGATGGCACGGGAGAGAACATGCATTCGACGCAGGCTATTTCAAAGCGCCTCCAGGCAGGTCTGCCGCAGGTCGCAAGAGACGGTGTTTTAAGGAGCACGATTGTGGCATGCATATGCCCTGTGGCATATAGTCTCTTTCTCAGACGGCGGGCTTGGAGCTACACCATGTCGTTTGCTAAACTATTCTGGGATTTCCCCAGGTCTGCAGCTGACCCCCCAGGCCTCATTCTTCCAGTTAAGCCGCCTCTAATTGCACGAACTATGCTTTCGGGCGCTCTCCTGGTTCTGTGCTGGCAGACCACGAACCTGTTCTTTTCGATTTTCCTCAGTCAGGAACCTTTGAAGAGAGGCCAGCCATTGACAGCAGAAGCCAAAGACCCCAATGGAAGCTTACTGAACGGATTAAAGGCAAAGAAGGAAACGGTTCGCGCATTTGCCTTCCGGGAATTGTCTTTCATCAGCCAACAGTTCCCCGACCGACGAAAGGCGATTTTCAACGACATCGATCGTGAGGGTGGTTCAGCGTGGACACAAATCCTGCAGTCTGCAACTGGGGTTGTCCAGGGCATCCCAACCCGCATTAACGAGAAGCAGTCTGAAGCTGCAGGTGCTAAACCATCAGTGACAGAGACCAAATCTGAAAAGCCTGTTCTTCACACATTGCCCCGCCTGACCGACCCGGTACAAGAAGGCAATATCTTCGCTGCTTCCCCCAAGCCCAGCTCAACGCAAGAAAAGTTTGAGGGAGGGTTTAGCAGCACTATCAGATCATTGGGCGAGTCCCCAGATTGGACACCGAAGGCACGAGCGCGAGCCCGCGATGTTTTCGACCGCGCCTCTTCTGCGATGCTTAGTCCTGAACGGAAACAGAAACTCCTTGCCTCATCCCAGGACCTGAAGATGCTCACCGGCGCCTCGCCCAGCAGGCCCGAAAACATCAATCCATTCATCGCAAATATCCTTCGCTCCCCAATCGGCCTCTTAATCCGACAAAGCTACGCCCGCCGCCTGTCCGGCATTATCCTAGGCACCCCCACCGCAACCCTCTCGTCTATCATCGACGCCATCGAATCCCTCACCCGCCTTCTCATTGCTAGTCTCCAAGAGGATCCCTACGGCAAAGTCCAGGCCGACGTCCCCGGAATCGTGCGACTCTTCACAGAAACGTCCGTGGCCCTCGAACAGTACGCCCACGCCGGATTAGACATCCATTGGACAGACGCCTCATTCCCGCCATCTAGCGATCCTGCTGCTCAAGCTGCAGCTCGTCGTGTACCAGATGTAGAGCTCGTCCTTAACTCGCTCAAGGGCTCTCTCGCCAACCTTTTGTCTGCTTTTGACCCCTATCTCAGAGACATTGGTCTCGTAGGGAAGGATCTACGGTTAGCGAAGGAAGCTGCGGGACTGGTTGAGGAGTGAAGCTAGTATCACTCTAATAATAGAGGAACTAGATTCCATTCCCAAATTTCTTTTTTCTTTTTTATGTATTGGGGCTATTTCCGGCAGACCTTGGTTTATTGAAAGTGAGGACCTAGGGAAGCCCTATCTATTACTGTGCACTCGCACTGCATTGTCTGGCGTTCTCTTTCTGATATATTTTTGTTCAAGGTGTTGGTAATATGGATGATTATTGCAATGAAAATACACGGAACAGAAAATACCATCTTTTTAATCTTTTTATATTTAAATATTTTGTAAGCTGCTCATGGTGAGTTGAGTGGGTAAGTACCCGTAGTACGTCGAAAATGAATCCGTCCTTCTATATACAAAAAACAAAAAAATCAACAAAAAAACCACTCATCGGGTGCAGATAAGATATCCCGGCCATCTCGGTGGTAGCTCGAGCTTCGACACATCATCGCACGCAGACCTCCATGCTTGTAAGGAACAAAATAAACAAACTATCCGTGATATAATCTCCCAAAGGAGAGTTCGGAACCAATCACGAAACCAGGCAAGTAAATGAATAACCTTCTTAAGAACAAATCCCGTGCAAAACAACAGAATGCCAACCAAACCCAGCAATATACCCAAGAAGCCTCATTTTTTCCCTCACAACCCTGGCCAAAATAAAGAAAAAGAAAAATAAAAACCTTAAGTTTCCAGACTCCTATTTGCCCGCCGCCAAAGCGCTTCAGAAACAAAGATAAGAGAATAGGTCATGTCACATAACTATTGGGACGTTTTTTTTTTTGTTTCATGTAGTCGCGCTTCCAGCGTGGATAGCTTTCTTTTTACCCACTGATATTCTATCTCCATGGTACCGAATCAGGCACTTTATGTAAACTGGAAATTCCACCTGGTGACTGTAGAGAGCGCGAAAATGTGTTCAGGTTGATAAGATGGGTGGGTTATAGAATGTGCTCCAACAGGCCCCTCTATACCCCGAGGAGCACACTGACTGTCAGCAGTCCTGGAGAGTATCACTGATTTTCTTGTTTGGTGGATTGATAGGTTCGGGCGGAGCTTCTTCTTTCATGCACGCATTCTCTAATATATTGGTCCATTTCCCACTAGTTCCTGCATGGCTGTGTTTGAGATGCTGCCGGAAGTGGTCTGCACGGAAGAACTTTTTCGAGTTGTTGCATTCCCCGAACTTATGTACCGCGGTGAGATGCTCGAAGCGCTGATCCCAATCCGGTTGAGGGAAATTCGGAAATTCTTCACCACAGTACCCACAGCTGTCGTGGGATGCCCCCGAGCCTGACTGGGTTGAGGATGGAGATGGATGAAACGCTGCTTGATAGCCCGGAAGCGCAGCACACGACCAAGAATGACGCCGAAGGTGCAGTGAGTTCTGATGGCGTTCGGCTTCGTTCTTATTCTTAAATCTGTTGTTGCAGTACAGACAAGAGTATTGCTTCTCCATAGCATGTGCACTGGTAAAATTAGACAATAGTATCCAAATTGGGACAAAAAGTACTTACCGAAGGTCCTCGGGACTATCAAACTTCTTAGGCTTCTTGGGGCAGCAGTCACAGATGTACAACCCACCAATCTTGGCTGCTGTTGGCTTGGGCACATTCAGGTTCGTATTGAACGACATCTTCCTTGGAGTGTTTCCACTAGAAGGATCGAGAGAAGCAGGCTCCTGCATAGTTTGTGCAACCAGTTGAGCGGATAATCCTGCGGTTGAGCCGGGGTTAATCGGCGACTTCTCATGAAAAGCGTCAAGATCAGACTTCGGCGACAAGCCTGTAGGCGAGCGGTCATACGTCGATGCTGTAGTAATACTGCTGCCTATTGAAGGGGCAGCCGACGAATATGATGCTGTGGTTCGATGGCTTACGGATGACGCAGCTGAGAGACTTCCATAGCTGTGAGTATAGCTATTTACCGATAGGTTGTTGGTGAACGGATGTCCCGTTGTTCTCCGTTGAGAAAGATCTCCATTGCTGGTTGTCGTGTGAAGTTGATGTTTGTCGTTGCCTACAGGCTCGCGAGGGGGTGACGATGCTCTTCGTTTAATACCAGACCTAGAAGGCGCTAAGTAAGGTGGCGTCGCTTCTCGGACACTGAACAATCGGGGCGGTAGCGTTTCATCTGTAGAGAATTCGCCTTCCATATCCGAAACAACGCTCTGGTCGTAGCTTCCTCGATTCGATCGGCTGGGAAGGCTGGAGAAATCGTCATATTGGGGTGTAGTTCCGCCCCCACGGCGGCTACCGCGGGAGAAAGGCGAGTGATGCTCATAGTCTATGGTAGATGAAGGCGCGTTGCTTTCGACGCTCGGGCTTCGACGACTAATGTAGTCCCTCCAGGCTACCTTAGTACTTGGGGATATACCGCCAGATTGGGAACTGCCAGACCATCGTACGTCGAGAGACTGGACTTCGGAACCAGCCGGAGAAGGTAAACTCGAGAAGCCTCTTGAGGGAACCGGTAGAGTCGATAAAGAACCCTTGTTTTCTGTCCCCATGCTCAAGGATTGGCGCGGGGAGACTGGTTTTCCAATTTTGGACAAGAGATGTTGGTCGTAGGCGTGCGATGAGTCCTTCACGCTTCTGCGGGAGAAGTCTTGTTCACCTTTTAGACTGTTGTAGATAAGATGTTAGTTTCCGATCTTTCATTTGGACGCAAACACGACCAATCAAGATTGTAGGCGTTGATAAACGCCTCCGGGTGTCGGTGAAACTTACAACAGCCCAGGGTTACCGATTGAATTCCGGAAACCTTCATCGGCTGGAGGAGGTGGCTCAATTTTAATATGCGCTTCAGGACTCCTTGCAGCGGGTAAACTACCTTGTCTGCCATCTAATTCATCCAACGCCATCGGATCACTCCGAGATACACCGTACTCTGGCCGGCGGTGGTCGCCAAAAAGACTCGAGTTAGGGTTGATGGGCGCAAGTTTCATGGACCCAGGCGGTAATCTGGAATTGGCATGTATCCACCCCGCGTCGTACCCGTTTTCTAGATCAGTAATATGTGAAGGTGGTGGTAATGGTGGTGGGGCGAAATTTGCCATTGTGTTTGTTCGGATCGGTAGAGGACCTTGTGAAGGAAATGACTGCCCGGGCATAGTATGTTGAGGTCTCCCGGTAGATGTATGGCCGCTGTTGAAATCGTGTATATTAATCGAAGGTGGCGAAAGTCGAGGAAAGTCCATCGTACAAGAATAAAGGCGACCTAGGGTTACTCATCGATACCGAAGCCAGTAACACCGAATTGGAAAAAGGCACGAATCGAGTTAATCGAAAAGCGAGCTAAAAAGGAGCGACTTTAGATCGTGCGTGTTCCGGTGCTCTATATGGATGGGATGGAAAAACAGAAAAAGAATAAAGTCAGGCTTTCAAAGGAGTGATAGAAGATCCTGCTTCTAAAGTTCCGGTCTATACACTGTAGTAGGCCGAACTGGAATTAAAACTCCAGCGGCAATAATATGTCGAAGATGGTGAATGAACTGCGCGATGGCTTCTCGGGTGGATAAATAAACGAGCCAAAAAAATGATCGGGGTGGCAAGCACAGAGGCAAAGTAATGTCTCAACTTCAGCCTTCCTTCAGCTTGCTCGGTTTTGTTGGAAGTCAGCAGAGATGTGCAACAATCGAGAGAGAGCTCGGCAACGGGTTCGGTGCCATCCAACTGCCAAGCGGCGGCAACTTATTGACGACAGAGAACAGAGAGGACGCAAGATCCACCGGACATGCTGGAGAATTGGTTGGCAGACAGTTGTTCTCAGAAGACACCGAAATAGTGTAAGGCGCAATCAAAAGGTGCAACAAGAGACAGGGCTGTGTCTGCAGTCTCTGTGGAAAGAGATATTATTGGCACGAACGGGTGAGTTGAGACGAAGCTCACAGATGGGCTCTGCTCTGTAGGCGCTGCGCTGCTGCGGGTTTTAATAGTCGGAAATATGCCAGTCCGATCGGTAGACTTAGAAAAAAAAAAAACAAGCTGGACTGCAGGAGGCACGTGTCAAATGCACCAAGTTGCGAAGACCGAAGGAGACAAGAAGGGAGAGACCATGGGTGAGCCTGGAGAGGTGCAGAGGAGAGCGGACGGAGAAGACCGACTGCGGAAGAGAAGAGAAGACAAAAAGTTGACGAAAGTAGCGTCGAGATGGCAAGTGACGAGGTCGTTTCAGTACTGTACGGGAAACAACACCACAGTGGCCACCGCAGGCTCAGCCTTCAGCTCGTAGTCGCTGAATCGGGTCGTTGTATGGAGTTCGGGAGAGAAGAATGGCGGCAAGATGGTGGTGCAACCCACGGCCTTATTGGTCCCTACAAGGCTGGCGGAATGGGATGGAGTCGAGGATTATTTTCAGGGTCTGGAGGAGGTTCCAAGTTGCGAGCTCGCTGGAAAGGCGCTTCTTTTGTTTCTCAGGTTGTGGCAAGGATGATCGAGCAGATCAGCAGCGACTGGAGCGCAGGATTAAGTTGCAGGAGGGAAGAGAGCCAGAGACTTGCAGGTTGGGACTTGGGACTGAGGGAAAGAATACCTTAAGAAGCCCGCACTGATACAAGACAAGAGCATTCGTATTTGAAGATCTGGAGTTGGCGGACCAACGAGAGCAGCGTGCCTTGTCCTGGTACTGCGCCAGAATTGAAAATTCCCATCTGGGAATTACGTTCTTTGCAAAAATTACGCTCCGGATGGCACTGCTTATTACTAGTACGGCCATCTACTCAACACAGGGCCACAGCCTCCTTCTTTACTATCATCTTTAGGTATCAACGAAACCAGCAAGCCTTCCAGGACAAATCCAGGCCGGCATTCTTTCGTCGACGATGGCTCTGAGTTTGGCCGGTCATCGTTCTACCGCACGTGTCTCTAGGCTACCTGGAGAACAACGCTGGTTCAAACAGCGTCGAAGGCAGCCCGCCCACTCAAGCTCGACTCCTTGGCCATGAGTCAAGCCGAAAGAACCACTTTTGTCTTCGATGAAAAGGGGGGTTATCTGGAGTACGTACTACTCGGAGTCCATGAAAAGAGTCGGTTGAAAAGGGGTTATTCTAGCCCACCGCAATGTTACAGTAATACCTATTCTGTGCGTTCTCCGACGGACAGTCGAGACTTGAGTGTGGTACTCTGGAGTACGATCCATAATCGACGTAATAATCTCCAGGTGGGCTGTTCACTGCATGGTTGTACAGTTATTTTGCTCAAAGTTCAAACCATATGGTCCGCGAGGCAGAAACAAGCAAGACAACGTGGAACTTGGGGAAACACTGCTCAGCCTCCCGAAACTGAGGCTACAGCCTTCTCAGGCTCAGCAGAGACAGAACTGCTCCCTCAGCCTTATAAAGGCTCGCCCGTGGGACGCCACCCCAATTTGTGCCATTCGAGCCCGCTGGACGTCGGATATCCAGATCCAGAGCGGTGAGGTGCACCGAACGGGTTAGCTCCATCAACGAGGCAGTGCAAGCAGAAGCGGCCGCTCTGATTGGGCCGATATTCGAACTCCATCTTACCCTTGCTCCAGACTGAGGTTTTTTCATACTCTGGAGGCGTTCATCTCTTGAGATGAATGCTCACAGGCTCGCCACCCCCGATTTTAATGAGCTCTCAAAGTCTATTGATTTTAGACGATGGAGAAGTGCACCTTATTATCAAAAGAGCAAGTAATCATAAATCACCTCTTGGTATCTGTAGTGATAGTGCAGCCTTCGTTGGCTTCCCCGGGTCCATTGCATCCCTGCTCATTTCGACCACAAGATGACCGACTTCATGTTGATTACGAGTTTCCGGGGTGAGTGCGAGGTCCCACGGGAGACCTGAACTGGCCTTTCGCTTCATCGCTCAATCCGCAAAAAGCCAGCCAGTTCGATTATGAAATACGGACATCAGCCCCAGTCTCCCAAGAACCAGACATTTTTGGTCCTGAGACACTATTCCAGAGTGGGAAGCAGCTCAGGGGATGGATCATGAATTATGAGAAAATCGAGGAGCTGCGTGAGATAAAGATCCACCAGCGGTTAAAGTGGGTGAAGCCAAAGTCACTGCAAAATGCAAATGTAGTCAGTCAGAAGAGTCGTGGTACCACCCCGCTTCATTTTGGAGATGACGACAACACGGTATCTTGCTCGGAGATCAATTTAATCTTCTCATGGAGAGGAGAACTTTCGTTATTGTATTTGTCAAAACCGAGAAGAAAAAAAGCACATTTCCAGCCAGAAAGAGCGTGGATGGGGATAAGGTGCCAAATGACAGCAATGTGGCAGTGCATGTATCTTGAGGGCCTGGTGGAACCGCTAGTTTACAAAAAGGCCACTCATGGAACTGTTTCTGGCACCATGCTTTTCTGCACTCTTTGGATGGTGGGGCAAAGGCATTTGGATCCAGGAGGAAAAGAGCAGAGGACACACACCTCTCCTCCCGAGGCCTTGGGAAACTTCTTGGATACGCAGTCCACGTTGGATGTCGATCCATTTAAGAGGGGGGGGGGTTTTTTCCAGAACCCTGGATTGAGGAACGCTCGGTCGCTTTCGTATACCAGGCACTTATCGCCAGTGTTTTGACAAAGCTGCGGCCATCCACAGTTCACAGCCGTACACTTGACTCCTGAAGGAGACTACTAGTTGGGGGGTTTATTTCGCTTCACCTTCAAGTCTTGTTATGATTCAGGTTTCCATATGCCAAGGCGAGGCTTGCGTCTCCCGTCTGTTCATTTCGGCCTCGGGCTTTCGAAGCTGACATGTTTTCCACCCGACGTCCAAACTCCAAAGGAGGCAACCCAGTCGCTCGCAGAGCTCGGCACCATCCTCTTCGCGAGGCAAAAAGGTGGTACCAGAACTGGTTCCAGGTCAACTATTGGTTCTTGTGCAGGATACGGTGATTTCGCACTGCTCACTCGCCCATGGGACGGGCTTCTAGAAGCTATGGTCGATTCCAGCCGACATTTGCTGGAGATGACTTGATGTAAATTAGTCACTGGTCCGCCTTTCAAGGCTCACTGCTGAAGGGGAGTGTCTGCGCTGGTGAGCGGGTGCCAGCAGCAAAGCAGATGGAGGGAAGCAGAGAAAAAAAGCAACGACAACATCCTTGGTAAGTTGGTACTGTTGGTACTCAACCTCAGGCAAGGTTTGCCGCCACCCAGATTTTGCTGTCCAAAACGCCGTCAGCCTTAACAGGCTGCAAAAAGTTCCGTGCACCCCACGGATTGGTTGCTGTCATATCGCACACTTGTGCCGAATTTTGAAGTATTGAGTGCCCCTTTTCTGAACTAGGGCTCATTTGCCACGCTGGATTGCCAGCCAACCGGTCGCAATCCTGTCCAGCTTGGAAAATTCCCCAATGCGACAAACATACACCGTACGGTGTACAGTATGGGATGGGAAGAAACCAAGCATTATTTACCTCGTACTAAAATATGCGATTTGATTGGGACCAAGGGTCCCGGAGCTTTCTTGGCCACAAACTACATGGCCTTAGCGTCCAGAACCTCGCTGAATTGTGCTCCATCTGGCGTTGAGTCATTGTACTGCTACTGGTGCAGCCGCTTCTTCTTGAACAATTCCGACATACGTATGAGGTGACGACAGCGATGAGAAGGCGATGCTGATCAAGCACCATCTGGCCCTTCAAGGTCCAACCGGAGAGGTTAAAGTTGCACAGACTCATTCCCTTTCGCAAGAAGTCCGATTCTGAAACCAGCTTCTAAAGCCTTGGCGGCAAGGAAAAACCAATCATGGACCGAGGCGACGGAAACTCTCTTCATGGATTCCCTTCCTGCAGGGCATCATGCAGCTGCTTTGACTTGATACGAAAAATTGATGATGGGTGCGCCTTGCTTTCGTTTTGGAGATGCCCGAAGATTCTCCATCTTGACAGCGTAACTTGCGAGCGTGACCTCGCGCAGCAGCCCCCTAAACGTTGGTGGAATACGAGATGCGCCTCGGTCCCTGGGTGGTCCGTGGATACTGGCAAATATAGTTAAGGCATAGTACTATGTCAGCAACTTATCTCACAAAAGTATGAGGATTGAGTCCGAAGATGAGAGATAAACTCTGGGCAGCAACTTTCCATCATGGGTCCACGGTCAAGTTTCCACTTTCCATCTCCGGCGGAGAGAGACAGTGCGGGGTTGTGTCATGTGATCCTGGCACTGCCCCTACCCTGAGCCCTACCTTCCTATTATATAATATTTTTCTGAGCGCCAATCATCCTTCTCGATCTTCTTGGCGGCAGCACCTGAATATCAACGTCCCAATCTCGGAAGTTGAGAATCTTGAGCCAAAGAGGTGCCCTTGTTCCCGTCAGACCTTCTTGTGAATATAATTCAGCCATTTACGCCCTGGTTCTCTATCTTCTGGTGCCTCTACAAACCTGCAAGCTAGTCTTCGCCGGATTTAATCGCTTTCCGCGATGGCTATGAACAAGGTACCCGGCCATAACATCTATATCGGAGGGTGGGTATTCCTCCTAAAGTTCCTTCGCTGCACCATAACTGTATACGGTGCAGTATTTGATAGCCGCCTGGCTAACCAAACGTCTATAGCATATTTTCACTGAAGAACAAGGCTGCCTTGAGCAGAGCAAATATCACGCATGTCCTTTCAGTGATACGGTTACAACCATCAGATGACACGTTTCTGGCCTATAAACACCATCATATTGAGGTTGATGACATTGACGATGAAAATTTACTAGAACACTTCCCGTCCGCCATCAAGTTCATCCAATCTGGCTTGGACGAAGGTGGCAGCGTGCTAGTTCATTGGTGAGTACTTTCCTGTGTTGTGATCCTCAAGTGACTTCGGCCGATTTATGTACCACATACCTCCCTATATATTATCTGTCCACATTTCGTATTAGCTTTATTTCCTTGTTACTCATATTTCGCAGCGCGATGGGAAAGTCTCGGTCCGCGACTGTCTGCATTGCATATCTCCTGCATCAGCAGCGAAGTGCGCTTACACCGCAGTCCGCGCTTGCTCTCATCAGGGAGTCTCGACCGCTATGTGAACCTAACCCGGGATTCATGGAGCAGCTCAATGTTTACCACCAAATGGGGTGCCCCGAGGATGTTACATCACACACCCTCTACAGCCGTTGGCTTTATCACCGAGAAGTTGAAGAGAGTGTAGCCTGTGGACGTGCTCCTGAGATGCAGTCTGTTTTATTCGAAGACGAACAACCGCAACAACGTATAGACTCTGATGGTCAAAACACTGAGATCAAATGCCGCAGATGCAGGTCGGTCACCTATTCTAACCCATAAACGGAATCGATGTACTCACCACATATAGGCGTAAGCTGGCGATCGCACCCTTCGTTGTCCCTCATGGGTCTCATGGAGACCCTAAAGGTGCAATAAATTCTCAATGCGCTCATATATTTACGAGTCCACTGACATGGATGCGGCCGAGTCTTTTCCCAAATACTCCTGAGGGTGCGCCTTTGTCGGGCCGCCTGACGTGTCCCAATAGCTCATGTGGTTCCAACATTGGAAAGTTTGCGTGGCAGGGAATGAAGTGTAGCTGCGGCGACTGGGTTGTTCCTGCCATTGGCTTGGCGAGGGCGAGGGTAGACATCTCTGAGCCGGTCGCCATCCGACGGGGCCCAGGAAGCTTACCTTCCGGTATCCGCTTACCACCAAATATGAGGCCCAGTGGTATAGACGCTTTTAGTACCAGGTCTGAAACTGAAAGGTATTGTATACCTCTTGATGCTCAGCTGCCACTCCAACATCGAGAGAGTAACACCAATCACGTGATTAGGGATCCCACGAAAGGCAGCCTATAGGCCGCACGACCCACGCACAACAACTTTATGAAGATGACTCGATGACTGTTGCTATGAGGTGGTGCACTCCCGCGCGGGTAAGCGGAGCCTACGTAACACTCTGCTATTCATGGAAGATGGAGGCTTCTAGTTGTCGCGTGCCTGGAATGGTCAGCCATGTGCCAAAAACCCGCAAACAGTTGCAACCACATACGCACGTGGCTTAAAGATCGTCGATAATCATTTTATGAAATGAGAATAAACGCCACCCAATCTCTCAACCCAAAAAGCAAGAGGTGGCAGATCACTGGAATGGAGTCTGGAGTCATGGACCCTTGCGTTGGGCAAAATTAATGCACCCAAGACCAGAGCCTGAACGTTAAACTCTATTGGAGAGTTGAGACGCGTTAATTCGCTGGCGTCTCGGATGGCGCAGATCCAATCAGCTGATCGACAAGAACTTCCTTCTTATCACAAGTTTTGAAGAATCGAATACGATACGAGATCCTACAGTTTAGTATAGTGAAGCAGGAGCAGTAGAGAGGCATGGACAAGTCACACTCCAAACAGTATGAGAAATACGGTAGCCGACATTGAACCACAGACCGAGGCATCGAGCCACGAAGCACCAGGGCCTGTCAATGTCATCTCTGGGAAGGTTGAAACTTGAAACCAGGGCATAACCCCACAGCCGTCCCACGAGGCTGTTGCCCCACATTATTAGGCCGGGCTAGCCAATCCTTTGACTGTCGTCGTCAGGAACCCGACAGAGTCAGCGAGCCATTTCGGGGATCTGCAGCATGGGCGGTTCGGGGACGGGAAAACAATTATCAGCGGGCACAGAGTCCGTGGTCGCCGGTCGTCAACTTCCTGGAAGCTCTCCACCCGCAGGGGCCTGGCTAGCCTGGATCACTAGCGCCGGGAAGGGGGCTGTGCAAACTGCTCTTACGCAACGCCGTTTAGCGGCAGCCACTCAAGGCCCAGGGCTGACATTCCCTCTGTTCCTGTATTTCTGGCCACGCGGTATTTTTCAATTTCGCATACCGTCCAGAACCGACCTCGTCCCTTGTCAATCAGTGGTCAGCCATGGCAATCTGGGCTGCAGCTGAGAACTTATCCATACTATTATAGACAGCGGATCTCAAGCGATGGACGGCTACTGCAGCCGCCACTCTAATAATATCGATGTGCATTATTGAGCCATGACGGAAACCATCTCCCCCGACTCGCGTTCTCAGGTGCAGGGACTGAATGCAAGCAACGCAACCATGATTCGGTGGGTGCTTGGCGGGTCTTATGCTCATAACTTCCAGGTTTGGAGATCTCCACTGCTCGTTTAGAAGTACACCGTTGTACGCAGTATACCTCCGGGGCCCGAGTATCTCCTTCGAACACCATGACGAAAGTTATAGTTCTGACCTCAAAAGGCAACAAGGCAGTTTGGAACTAGGTTACCAACCTAGACAATAGGTCACCCTGGGTCAGGTCGTCGAATTACCCCGTTGTTGCGTGAGGTACACCTCCTTGGCTCAATCCCCCTATCATAAAGCATCACTGAAATGTTCCTGAGCCACTCTTCCGCAGCTACCTAATCCTAATATGGTTCTCATCCAGGATAATCCCAACTCCACATCACTTGTCAGTACACAGCCGGCTTGCTTTGGCTGTGGCCTATCTCGTCACTCATCTCGCCTTGATTGACGAGTGGATGAATACGCGGGTGCCTAGAGGGTACGTTGTCATCGTCGTCACTTGTTCTCTTCCTGATATTCTCGACGGTGAGGAAAGCAAATCTAGAGTTAAAGATCGAGGGAGCCTAGCACTGCCTCAATTTTAGTTATACACCAAGGCTAAGCTTCCAGGGCTCGGCTCGGACGCTCGGCTGTTGTTCCTGCAGGGGTTTCAAAGTAAGAAAGCTGTTGCCTTGGATGGGGTTGATATGGATGGATACCCTTGAAAGTTACTCCTACTGCCGACTGGGGTATCTTAACTTAATCCTGCAGCATGATAAGATGATAGGAGCTCCCTAGTAGATGTTCTCTGTGTCCAACCCCGCCTGCATAAATATCTACTTTCCCGCCTATAGTTACCTAGGTATGTAGGTCGACCTATATACATACAATGCTCAAATATGTACGGTCTATGTCCAAGGGGAACGACATTACTAGGCTGAACATTAACAACCACCTTACCAGACGATAATGCAAGTAGTACCGTATTCCTCGATGCTGTACGACAGGACTACGCCGCAGCCCAAGTACTGAAGAGGTTTTGGAGGGTCGGGTCGGGTTGTACGCAGCCATAACACTAGTACAAAACCGATCCCCTTGGGCATGGTCATTTCTTACTTATTATTAATGCCTGACTGAATCAGACCCAGCCTTTCGCGTAAATAGTCCTAGCCCTGAGTGACGGCCTACTAAATACTGAGAGCTATGCGTAAACTACTTGTTAACTGATACTTTAGTTGCAAAATCCGAATATGGCCATGTACCCCTGTAGACGCAACAGGGACTCAAACTTGAAATATTCCCCGCCTCAGTTGTTTCCTTTGAAATATCTACTCTTTTTCTTCGTTTTCTTTTAAGGTTTCTCTCTGCTAAGTACTGTATATTTAATCTATTTATGCGGTATTGGGAGTGGATATCCTGGAGAAAGCGACGTCCTTTAATAACAATACCGTTAGGAACAAAAGAAAGAGTACAGGGTCAAACTAGGCCAGATCAGGTCAAAGCAGGTCCTTCCTGGCAGAGTAGTCACGGCCGAGACTAAAGGTACTTACGATGGTAGTACTAGATACTGAGGACCTACGGAAGTTATCCGTGGCCGTGGTCGGGTAGAGTGGCATCTACCGAAGCTAGGTATATTACAATATCGCGATGACTAGTGAGTATTCAGTGAGACGGAACGACTAAGTCGGTTTTCTGGGACAGGACGGGACTTCTTGAGTCTGTTGCGCACTGATCTTACCTACTACGACATGCTAGTTGCCGAATGTGGCCAGGATACTACGAGAGTTGCGGGGTACACCGCCTCTACAGTGCGAAGGTAATTGGGATTACGGTGTGCAAGACCTTTTTTTAAGTTAAGGTACAAGCAGGAGGCTTTACGAGCTGAGTACTCGGTACTATGGGGTATACGAATACTACATGCTATATAAAGTAGGTATAGTTCAGGCGCGCCGCCAAGCAACCAACCAAGTAAGACGAGACTCCATTCCGTGAATAAAGACGGTTACCCGATATGAAAAATCTCGATAGATTAAGTAGGTGATCCAATGTTGCCCCGTTGCCCCAAAATACGGCTACGTATGTATGTAGTTAGTAGTTGGCCCCCATTCAGCCTGGGAAAACGCCGAAGGATTCTGGAAAAAGCCTACTAGGGCTGAGTCGCAACGAGGGGACCGTTCGTAAGAATCAGCCAGGACCAGGATTCGTATCAGAAGATGCACCACAAAGATAATTCGAGAGCTGGAAATGAAAATAAAATGGCATGCTCCCGCGTTCCGACCGCCTGAGACTAGCGCTTACTTGCTGGTGAAACCCGCTTCGGGCAACATCGAGCGAACGCGTAGCAAGCTGCCTCAGACTGCACGAGACGTGTATGACGTGAGGAGGGGGTCCAGGTCTTTCGGTGTCGGAAGCGAATCAGTTTAGTGCTGACAGCTTGATCGCCGGCTAGTTATTCGAGGTGCTGTTCAGAGGTCCAGGCTCTTTGAAAAACGATCAATACTCCAACTCCGATGGCGGTCATTCTTTCTTCCTTGGCCTTCAACTAGCTTCCGAGCTGCGCTGGGGGCCTTGAAATGGTCAGTCACAGACAATCGGCCCAATCAATTAGCGGAAGGCTGACAGAAGTGAGCCTGAGCCTAGGCTGTTTTTCGAGGCGGAGCTGGCTTGCGAGCAAACGTCTGAAGATTCTCCGTCCACCTATGATATCAAACGGTATCCATGCTAGATGTCGAAAAGTAGCATGTTACACAAATGAATTCCTGTTTTTCCTGCGCAGATATTAAAGCCAGCCCTCGTGAAGGATAAGGCTTGTGGGCGCGGTAATTCTGTGTCTGCCGGTGCGTCCAGGCGCACAAAGACATCCACCACATCCTCAAGCATCAGCCCGACCACACCACTTACTACCCGTTAGTATATGCGAATATGCAATCCAGGTCGCGCGATGACTCCTGATTTGACACTTGTCACGCCCCTCCTGCTTTAGGCATAGTTAAGGTGCATTAACGTCAGAAAAAAAAGAGTCTCACAGTCCCCCAGATGGAGCAGACGGGAAGAACGAGGGGTCTTGAAGCCGTTGGCGGTTCCTCTTAGCGGCTTCCATGTTACGCATTCTGTCGATGCGCATTTGGTAAAAGTTTCTAAGCGACACAAGTCAGTAAGGCAACCCGTTCCCCACCCTAGTATCAATCATACTGGGGTCAACCGGAATAGATGGGGTTCATACTTATGCAGCTCAAAAATACGTGGCGAGTCGTCCGACGCAGATGTGGATGTGCTTGTGCTTTGTTTCTTGATAGCATCAATCTGTAACTAACTGTTAGCATGGAGGGGCAAACAGAAAGAGGGGGACGGGTAAAAGCTACAAACCTTATCATCTCGTTCCTTCTCTTCCTTCTTATCGGAGTCTGCCTTCTTGTTTGAGTCATTCTCGGATGCATCTTTAATGTCGTCCTTATTCTTGTCTTTCTTGTCCTTCTCCTTCTCCTTCTTCTTCTTCTGCCTTTCCTCATACTCCTTCTTCACTTTCTCTATCTCCTGTTCCATCGCCTGCGCTTTCTTCTTCGCCTCCTCTTCTTCCGCATTGACTATTGGCGAACAGAAGTGGCGGTCTTTAAGATGAATCGGGCAGACATAGAAGTAGTCCTGTAGTCCGTTAAACGACAAGTCCTACCCCGATACATGTCTCACTCTGATAGTAATTAATAGAAAGCGGAATCCAGTTTAATTACCTTGCTGTTCGGTGTGATCAAGACACTACTCGATGGCTTGTGGCAGATCAAACAGGGTCGCGCGGCTGTGTCTGCCACTCGGCGGAGATGCCAGATATTGGGGAGTTGGGTTGCCATTATACAAACGTATAAAGGAGATAAATCTCGCAAATTCTAGGATATTGTCTATATGGAAGGGCTGCAGAACTGAAATCACGATGGATGCTAGAGAGAGAGATGGAACATCGAGTTGTTGTGCGGAGAAACGCCCGGTCATGTGACTAGCTATAAGCTACTACACAGTAGAACAATTGGAATAACAAGTCCAAACTGACATAATATTGAATATGCAGGGTATTGTACAGAAGCAAGATTCTTTCTACTCAGTCACACTGTCAATACTGCGGAGCGCACTCCGTTCCCTCACTGGCGTCAAGGAATCCGTGTTCCTTGCGCGTCTCCGAGCATCCGTCCAGAGCATGTACTCGCCGTAACTCTTTGGCATAATGTGGACATCGCCCTCAACTAAGAAGGTATAATTGAACATACCCGTTGATTTCTTCGTGCCGTGCTCTACGTCCCGGACTTTAGTGTCCACGCGAACCTGAATCTTGGTGTACTTGCTTTCGGCATCTTCACGCTCCAGAGGTTCGGTATAGGCGACGGTAGCGCGCAGGTAGAGAACGCTTCCCACCGGTACTGGGTTCTCGAATGTGCTAGGATCCAGGGAGATAAAGTTGGGTCGGGCATGGGAGAAGGAGGCTGCGCAGCAGAAGGCTAGCTCAAAGGTCTGCTTGAGGAGGAAGCCACCGAAGATCATGAAGTTATGACGGTTTCGGTCCTGGGGCTGCATGATCATGGCGGATTTGAGGACTGTATCACTCATGGAGAGAGTGTTGTTGGGTCTCTGGACCGGCGACTCTGGGTCTATACTGGGTTGGTTGTTGATCTCAGGCAGAAACTTGACCAGACAGGACTTACTAAGGTACGACATTTCTTTCTTCCATAGATCGTGGATGAGGTTACTTTCCTCATCATCCGGAGCTTTCTCTAGAAGACTTCTCGTTCTCAGCGCTTTCTTAGCCTGGTAGTTCTTCTCCCCCTTTTTGAACAGTTCGCGCTCTTCCTCGGTTTCTATCAAAAGAGGTGCAACAGCGGCCGGCCTAGAGAGTTATTAGTTGATGCAATTCAAGCGGTACAAATATTCGGTAACTTACGTCTTCGTCTTAGGGTCAAGAGAGACCATAGTAAACGCGCAAGTAATCAAAACATCCTCAGGCTTGGCCTTCTCCCCAGCGACTGGGACCTTGGCGACCTGGAGCGAAACCTCCATACTCGATCTCCCAGTGGCGTATGTAACCTGGCCGCTCAGCTCAAGATCACAGATCTCCATCAAGGGGTGCTCGATTGTGATCCGATCCACAGCCGCAGTGACAGTCGCAACAGAGTCCCCGGTGTGCCTGTAGGCAATAACACCGGAAAGGGCATCAAGGTCCATGAGCAACGAACCAAGTCTATATTCATTAGTCGCAGCTCCCAAAACTTTGCCATGAGGAAGATAGTAAAATTCAAATACCTAATATGCCCCGAAGCATTCAAATAAGTATCCAAGAGCCATTTATCCTGGGCTAGTGGTAGAATCTATCCATTCACCCATGGTTAGTCCATACAACGCTCTGAACTCAGGCAAAGAACCACATAATTAAACGGCTGAGCGAGCCACGAAGTTAGTTACTTACAGCACTATAATAGCTATCCGACATCTTTTTCGGAGTCAAATCCGCCTTTGCGCGAGGGGCCTCCGTCTGGCCCTGCTGCGCGGTCTCGCGACTCTTATTCAGAGCCTCGACCCACGGCGTCTTGACGCGCATAGGCATCCACGTCGGGCGAAACGCAGCCGCTGATGGTGTCGATTGGAAGTCCCGGCATGAAATCAGCGACTGTGACGGGTTCTCGACTCGAGATCGCAAAATTGCGCTGGCGCCGGGGCTGGCCGTCGCGAGACGGTTGGACTGCCGTACGACGGACCGTCTTGTGCTGAGGCTGAACATGGTGGTGCTCGTCAATTCTGTTTCAATCCGTGGGCCCTTGTACAGTAGTGTAATTGAATTGAGTATAGAGAAACCAGCAGCCGTTAGTAATGATGATCGGTGTGGTTGTAATTGGAGAGAGCTGTCGGGACGGAGATGAGACTCTTGTTCGGCTTCAGAGCTTCGCTTCCGCCCCAGATACCCGACTCGGCGGCTGGCCCGGAACAAGTCGGGGGCCGACTAAGAACTAATCCGTAGGCTTGAGCTTAATATACTCTCTCTCACGACTGCAGATGTCAATTGGATTGTCTGTGTCTACTACGGCGTTCTCTATCTGTATAATGGTCAGTTCTTGGAGCAATTCTCCACGCTTGGGCAGCAAGGAGTGACGTCAGTCATTCTTTGTGCATACTCGGACGATATAGAGTTGACTGTCTATCTCTTAACTCTGTCCTATTGTCGGCCGAGTGTCTTCAAATAAAGTAGCAGATAGCTAGTATAATCTTAATACACCTTCTCCTCATTTGCCGGATCAGGAACGGTTTCATCATTGTGAAGAGTGTGCGTCAAAGTGAAGTCATCCAGTGTCCGGCATCCCGTGGAATATATATTAGACCAAAGTAAGAATCATGATAGCCCTGTAGGTACTCTCGATTTATCAATAGAGTCTTATTTCTATAATCCACCATGAGTGATCCGAACAATCCCAACATCCAGGACCGAACAACGCCCCAATGGGGTCTCTACCAACGCGAGAACTTCCTCAAGTTGAACGAAGGCAAAACAGCCCCATTCAACACCGGTAAGTCTCACCTTTTATCACAGATCTAGACAGACAGAGAACAATCCCTAATATATATATTTTTTTTATCTCCGTTAGATCCAACAAAACTCGAACAAAAAGCACGCGAAACCCTCAGCTTAGGAGGCTGGTACTACGCCTCTTCCAACGCCGGCCTCTCAACAACACACCTCGCAAACCGGCAGGCCTTCTACAGGCACCGCATAGTCCCCAACCAGCTCGTGGACACAAACCACCGCGACACAACAACCGAGATCTTCGGGCACCGCGTGTCCGCACCTATCGGCTTCGCGCCAATCGGGATAAACAAGATCTACCACCCATCCGCCGAACTCGCCGTCGCGAAAGTAGCCGGCGAGCTGAACCTGCCGTACTGTCTCTCGACGGCGGGGAGTTCGCCGATTGAGAAAGTCGGCGAAGCGAATGGGGAAGGGAACCCGCGGTTCTACCAGCTTTACATGCCACATGATGATGAGTTGACGGTGTCGCTGCTAACGAGGGCATGGAAGTCCGGGTTCGATGCGTGCATGTTGACGACGGATACGTGGCAGCTGGGGTGGCGGCATGACGATGTCGCGAACTCGAACTATGCGTTTTACCGCGGCATGGGTGCGGATTTGGGGCTTAGTGACCCTGTCTTCCAGAAGCGGTGTCGCGAGGAGGGGATTGATGTGGAAAAGGACGCTGTTGCGGCGTCGGTCAAGTGGATTGATTCGGTGTGGCATGGGCGGGCGTGGTCGTGGGAGAAGATTCCATGGTTGGTTAAGACGTGGAAGGAGATTTCGGGGGGCAGGCCGTTTGTGATTAAGGGGATTCAGTCGGTGGCGGATGCGAAGAAGTGTGTTGAGTATGGGGTTGATGGGATTGTTGTGAGTAACCATGCTGGGAGACAGGTGGATGGGGCGATTGCGAGTTTGGATGCACTGGAGAATATTGTTGGTGCGGTGGGAGAGCAGTTGTATATCATGTACGATTCCGGAGTGAGGGGAGCGAGTGATGTTGCAAAGGCGCTGGCTTTGGGCGCGAAATTTGTCTTTATTGGGCGGCTTTGGATCTGGGGGCTCAGTATTATGGGCGAGGAAGGGGTGCGCCATGTCATGAAGTCGCTTTTGGCGGACTTTGATATCCTCATGGCGGTTGGTGGGTTCAACAGCGTGGAGGACTTTGATAAGTCTATCTTAGGTATGTGCGCCGCCTGGCAAGGAGTTGTTTGGCCCGAAGCTCACATTGTTGCAGAGTCCTATCCCAAGTCGTATACGTTGATTCCAGACAGGGTGCTATGATCATTGAAGCCATACATTGAAGAGCATCAGAAATCGTTGTATCCAATAGGTAGTATATTTCTAGTACCGGCATGTATTGAAACAATGCCATGAATCAACATGTTGTATCTGATTATAATGATATATGTAGTGAAATCGGCACGCAGTGACAAGTGGATATGTAAAGAGGACAAAATATATGTATCATCCCAAGTTGGGAAAACCGCTAAATATAAGACAAGAATAGAAGAGTGGTCAAAGCAAGCAAGTCGTAACTGGGCACTCTAGAGGCAGGTGTTCCGGCGCCAGTGAAGTCTGCGGAGGTGTCGGTAGGACTGGATGTATCGGTGGAATCGGAAGAGAACGTGTCTGTGGGCGTGGCAGCTGACGCCGTAGTGGTGTTTGTTCCAGGTGTAGAAGAGTCGGGGAGTTGGGCAAAGCCAATGCGGGCGTTGTCGTAATCGAAGACGGAGTAGACGTTTTTGAGGAACGTGTCCCCTAGGATCATGATGTCGTCTCCAAACATGGCTTGGGCGATGAGGGTCGAGACACAACCATCGACGGACTCTAGTTCAGAGCCAATATAATCCTTGGGAGACATGCTGTAACCCACTCCCGAGAAGTGAAATTGTATGTCGACTGTTGAGTCGCACGGGACCAGATAATTCTCATCTGACAGTTTCCTGGAACCGGGGATGAGCTTATGCAATGCTTCCGCATCTTTCGGAGGAATCAGCGAATATGATGTTCCAGTGTCAACTATGGCATTTTTGTTACTGAGCCCCCAGGATTTGCCGTCGACGCTCACATCTTCCAGCGGAATGCTCCAATGGATGCTTGATTCTTCGGCATCGGTGTACACGATGTCTCCCTTGAACTTGCTCTTATCCACCCCGCCAAATGTAACGGATCCGTCTTTTTCTCCGTCCGAGTTGCGCGACATGTGAAAACTAACAATGTTCGACTCGAGGTTCTCCTGCTTGGTGACAAGATCCATAAATGCCGGCCTGTCGCCCATTGAGGTGTCATTGGAGCGACCAAGTCCAAGAATACCGTCTATAGGATAATTCTGGAAGTCGTCGGTGGCATTGTTGGCCAGTCCAAAGGTCATTTCTACATTGATGTCGGCGATGGTCAGGTGGTCCTTGACGAGATTTCCGCTAACTTTGCCCGACCCGTATCCCACTTCAAATGTTTCATTTGTCGGCTCAACGGTCGAGGAGCTTTCGTCGCCAAACGTATTGTGCATTTGACAAGGCTGGGCCTTGCAATCCGAACCAAACAACCACGTATTCGCGCCTCCAGTGTCCAACATCATCCATACTGGCTGCCCAGGAGTGCCAACATTCACGGTCGAGAAGTATGAGTAGTCCATGCCATCTTGGTTGAGGGCGACTGTGTTTGGTGACGACGGTTTATCGGCTAAAACAACCTTGTAGATATTGTCACGGCGGACGTTGGAGTGTTTGATATCCAGGGCTAAAGGGCTGTCGTCCGAGGAACTCGAGTCCTCCACCTCATCATGACCAATATCGCCCGACAGTAATTTCACCGGCACAAACCGACGTTCCGGGGTGTCACCAGAGGGAATAGAGGAACGGCGGGGGATCGTTTTAACCTTAAAACTGTACGGAATGAAGGCATTGACGCCTGTGGAAAGATAGGTTGTAGCGAGGAGACATAGTGAGAGACGCATGATCCGGCTACGGATCTAATTGAGAAACAGGTGGACAGGCGAAATCATTGAGGGAATATCGAAACTGGGCTGGGTCCTGAGTTCGTTCGCATAAGGATAAATGCCACAGAATTGAGGGAAAAAGAGGGAAGAGGCGACAGATTAAGATTAAGACAGTGCAAATTTGAAAGAAGGAGCGACAATTACTGAACTATGCAGCAGTTCGATAAAAATAGGACACAGGAGATGCAGAGGAGTGAGGGCGAGGGCAAGAATGTGGTGATAATCGACAGTATGGATGGAGGCAAACTAATGTTGTACAGAAAAATAGGCACAAACGCAGAGCGTCTAGACCAAGCCACAAGAAAAAGCAAACGCAAATGGGATATCAACAACGAGAGAAACAGGGACAAGGGGAAAGAGGGAGGTTGAGGAGGTTGAGGATGTCCAACTCCATGTCTGGGGGAGTTCCAAGGATGGGGAAGAGTTGCACGAAGCAGTCTTCCCAGTTGCAACCATCTGACATCGTTCAGTCCAAAGATTCAACCTTCTTCCAAGGTTTTGCTCTGCGAGAAAGGGAAAGGCGCATGCTAAGAGCCATTCTGACTGGCTACTCACAGGCTAGCTCACGAACGGTCTCGGATCTTCGGTTCATCGGCCTCCTTTGAGAATGCTGAGTGGAGATTGAGGGGTGCCCCTGAATGTGCTATCACAAGCAATTTGGGGAGGCAAGATGATGGCTGGGTTTCTTATCTTTGGCGGGCTTAATATTAATAGCCGGGGCTTTATCGCGAAGAGAGGGATAGTGCGAGTAGGGAGCGTAAAATAAGACATGCAGTGGCCACCAGTTTGTGTACTATTGTAGAGTTGTTTCAGTTATGAACTGAAGCTCTGAAGATTGCTCGCCCCACAACTTTGCCACCCTTAAACTCTCCGGCCACTGGGCATTGGCCATTCAAGACTGAGGACTGGAGTGCACGGTGGTCCTCACTCAGACATACCATGTTGTGCCAAGTTTTATGCTTACATTGCTGACCGGAATAATTATTCAATACATAACTATGAGGGCGAAAGCCATGTGCAGCACATAAACTTCGACAACATTTAAACTCACACGGGCCGCTCAAGACACGTTGAACTATAATAATTGCCGAAATGCGTGTCCTCTACCAAATTATGGTCCCAGCAATTATTTTGCTAGACTCAAAGTATAATTGACTGAATGGCCAAGGGAAGGGCTTTGATGGCTGTATCCTAGTGCCGAGAACATCAATACTAATGCTTGGCCAACAAATATCTCCAAGTCAATTAACAGTGAACACTCGTCTTGCCCTTTTTCTCTACCTACCAACTGCTCTGTACACCAGCGGATATTCACATGCATTGAAGCGGTACCTGACGTGTCGGAAGATACCGGAAGCTTCCAGCTTGCCAAAAACAACACTATATTCAAGTCACTTGATGAGTCAAGCTGTGAATCCGAATATTATCGAGGATGCCGAAATATTTCGTTCAGATGGAGACCGCGGGACTGTGGAGTTGATTGGAATTCTAGGTGCAGAAGCTAAAGGGACAATCGGGAATATGATTCCATACGAAACTACACATATTAGGTTGAGACGGGTTAGTGTGCGGAAGTTGATCTACAGCGGACGGCATCGTTCCGGGTTTTTGCGTCACGAGCACGAGTCCGGGGAACCGGGAATCGGGATGGACTGCATTTTCGTTCTCCGCATTCTCAGATTGATGATGATCAGTAAAATGAACAACTAAGGTACATCTGAATAATGACGAAACAACCGAGGCAAACAGATGTTGCATGGAGAAGCGGAATACCCAAACAACATGGCCAACAAGACTTCAAGAATATTAACCACTTTCAAAGCAGTTTTCGTGTAGCGCTAAATAAGACATTTTATAACGGTAGAAAAGAAAATCATTTCCGAAGGGAACTTTGCTGCTGCTTAGGACCTAAAAGATCATCTAGGAATCCGCTCCAGAGTTCTGAGACAACACCGGTGTTGTCTCCGTTCTGTTGCCTCTTGACTTCGGCGGCGTATCTGGATTTCCCGACCGCTTCGGTAAGAGAAAACGGGTCGATATCCACAGAGTCGTTGTCAACAACCTCGGACATAGGGCTTGCGGAGATGTCTGCTCCGTCACCGGAGACGGTGTAGACCTGGGGCTTCATGGGAGCGTCCGAAGCTCGGGTTGAGTCATAGTTGCTGTACATGTCGGGAAGGATCGGAACCGGCACATCAGCGGAGCCATGGCTCTCCGCAATTGAGGGCATGTAGGCAAAATCAACGGTAGACGTGTCGTTGACGGATTTGAGGGAGCGGGAAGTGTTGAATTCGCGACTGGGTACACTAGATGAGCCGAGGCATGTTAGCTTGGTCTTCGATCTTCATGAATTGCGAGATGTGACACGAGCTGCAAGAGGGAGCTGTTACGTACTCTGAAGGAGAGTTGCTGTTGATTCTCCTCATGGCAATGCTGAACGCACGGGACTGAAGGAAATCATGGTTGGAAAGGCGTTCGACAAGCTACGTAAGAGGGACGTTAGTTATATAGTACGAGGAAGTGATGGCGTATTCAAAAGAGGACACATACTTCTGCATGGGTACCAATGGCTCCGAGGGAGCGTTTTTGGCACTCGATCTTTAGATCCGCGAGATTGCGAGTAGAGTACAGGGTCGCCTTGTCTGAGACGTTGGCAGGCTGCGCAGACTGGGCACCAGTGATGTGTAGGCCCCGGCGGTAGGAAGGAGAGAAAGTATGCTGCTGGGAGAGCAGGCGGAGAGCACGGAGCGGCGATGAACGGGGGGCAGCCATTGTGAGTTGAGACTGGTATTGAAATGGGAAGATGTGCGAATGGCGTGTGACGAGGTTTATATCTGCGAGGAGCCGAAGTTGGGAGGAGGAATGTTGGTATGTGTATGTCGTACAACGCCAAGAGTAAATAGTACGTATGCAACTAGGCTGCAGAAGTAGGAACAGTGAGGCGAGGGTGGCTCTGAGGATGCGAGAAGCTGAAGGAGTTAACCAGGAGGATGGAAATAGAGAGAAGAAAGTCAGACTTCAGCCGGGGGTCACGCCGTACTTGAAGGTGCAGAGTAGCTCCGAGACTGTAGGACTGGAACCGTTGGGGGGATGTTGAGCTCTCCACTCTGCAATGGTGGACACCGGGGCTGGCGGTCTGGCCAAGTCGGCCGGGTGTTTAATAGTAGCGCCCCTAGGGAGATCGATCGCTGCGTCTATCAGTTGCGTTGGGTCAGGCGACTCAGGCGGAACAGCGTCGACCACCCCGAAGTATCTACAGACATGTCCACTTCGTCATCCCTCTCTGGGATTGTCTCCTCGCTAAACTGAGGATTGGCGGATTTGTTTTATGATTATTGGATAAAACATGGATCGGAGACGGGATTTCATGGATGAGAGAGGGGTAAACTTGACATCCCCGACCCATGATCAGCAGTAACTCTGGCAGACCACTCTTTGCTATTTCCATCCCCCCTCGGAGACACAAGGACGCCCTCTCCCGGCGTCCGCCGGTGTATATTGTGCGTGGGCCAATGGCGACAAAACGTCAGGCAACATGAACACGCCATCTCCGTGCTCGTCGCTGTGTCAAAGACAGGCTTACGGTGAGTTTCCGCTATCAAGTCCTGCATATTACCGTCAGACTACGAATGCCCTCCTCAGCTGCGCTTGGTGTTCTGCAAATGAGGTGTGCCCGGAGTAATCATGATACTGGATATGGAGACTGTTAGCGTGTTCCGCAGATCACTTCGAGAAGCAAGACGACTGACGAACAAGCTTCTTGATGAAAGGAACTGTTGACACTGTCGTTAGCATCATAATTTATCTATCATTTCATCAAGTAGCATCATTTGTCTAATTTTCACTGTATTACGTGTTGCTTGTTGAATCGGTCTCGGCCACAGTTACTCTTCTTCATAATCCCAGTCATGACGTGGGAGATCAGACCCATTTCCTCGAACGAAACAGCCATCAAATAAGCCCGGTAGCCTTGACACTTCGCCCATGATGTACCTCCGCATGGGAGAGCCGGTTCTACCACGAATCATTTGCATTCCTTTACGTACACTCTGCCCATTCGCTCACTCAGCTCCCACCATGCTCAAGAATACGATGCAGAAGCTTAGAAATGCATGAGAACGACCCGCATTTTGCATTGCAGTGTCTCGGTGAAACGAAGTCAACAATTTTCGCATGGTGAGAATGTGGATAAGCAAATGGGCTGGTCCCTCTCCTTCGTTGGCGGGGGATTACACCTACTGTGTAGATTGAAGAATAGGGCGGATTGTTGGTGTTATTTCCGGGAGCTGCGGCTGGCCAGTCATCTCCAGCCTGGACGGAAAGCCTCGTTTTGGTATTTGTTGAGGGGCGGTGAAATGGGGCCACGTGAGCACTGTTTTGTCTGCGGGACGGCGATCGGAGTTTCCCTGGCATTCCGCGGTGTTTTTCCCGTTGGGCTGACGGGAAATTGATGCCCCTGGTTTTGGCAGTCGTGGATCGTGACTTGTGACTTGTCGTGCTGGTGTTTACGCCGCATTTTGAGATACAAACTGTGGCTCAGATCTAAAAATTGCCTGGCTCCACCACGGCCCTTGGCTATGGAGTAGATGGACATTTCATCATTATTCAGGCAACATAATAATGGAGATGAGTCAAAGCAGGATCTATTTGTAACACTATCTTCTATCCGTATTGCGTCGATATTCCATCGAAGAGACGTGAGAGGCTGCTTTGTATTTGCGACCACCCAATCCTTGCCAAACTGGCCCAAGCTCTTTAGAGCTTTGATGCTCTGGAATTCCGGCCCCTGGCGATCTTCCGAGCATAAGGGTGTAAACGACTGTTGGGCACGAGATGGTCGACATCTCCCGTGTTGACAAGATGAGGACCGGCTTCGTCGAGCGAGATAATTCCATTGTTGCGCATAGAGGTTTCCAGTTCATCCCGCATAACTAGCATCGTCAGCGCGTCCCTTCAAAACTGAAAACTGTCATAAACAAGGAAAAGACAAGCTTACTATCGATCAGATGCTCCACTCCATCCTGGCTATAGTTGGTTGCGAAGAGCATACTGCGTCCCATGCCCACCGCAGTTGCGCCTAAACAGATGGCTTTCAGGATGTCTGATCCCCGTCGGATGCCGCTGTCCACGTAGATTTCCATCCTATCAAAGATCTCTGGGCAGCGCTTTTGAAGTTCCAAGAGGGTGATAATGGAGGGGGGACTTGTGTCGAGATTACGTCCTCCATGGTTGCTCAGCAGGATACCATCAAGTCCAGCCTGCATTGCCAGGATGGCGTCGTCGGCAGACATGACGCCCTTCAAGCATACAGGAAGGTGGGTGTGCTTCCGAACCCACACAAGATCATCCCATGTCAACCCAGGGTCAATGAACCCGGCCATTACTCTACCTAATCCACCACCCTTTTTGTCATTCTTTGCCTGCGATGGCGACATCGGGACCGATAAGTTCTCATCAGCCTTGACTCGCTCATCTGCTTCCCGTTTTCCTGGCCATGCTGCGTCTACAGTCACAAAAATAGCCTTGATATTAGGGTTTGCTGAGCATTGACGTAGTAGTGCTGCTGACTTTTCACGTTCTCTGTTAACATATAATTGGAAGAAGAAGCTTGCTTCAGGAGCGGCGTTCTTGAGTTCTTCCATCGTGTAAGAGGAATTATTCGATATCTGCCGATATTGGTTAGCCAAAGATCTTCTTCCACATATCTACCATTACGTACTCCCTGCATGATGCCTCTGCTCTCACACGCTCGTGCGATCGCGCGCTCGCCATCCTGGTGGATAAGTTTGGCCATGGCCGCAGGGCTAACGAATAATGGCATCGAGAGGTCGACTCCAAGAATTTTGGATTTTGTGTCTACAGACCGCACATTTCTCAGAACTCGAGGCCGAAACCAAATACGGTCAAAGCACGATTTGTTTGCATCGCGCGTGATGAGGTCCGTCGCAGCACTTGAGTAAAACGCCCAAGTTTTTTTACTAGCAGTTCTAGAGGCCACATGCTCAAAGTCATGCGAATTAATCAGCGTTTCGAGTGGCGGCTTGTCATTCTCCCATACCGCCTCGGGGTTTTCGCTCGCCGGCTGTTTGTTCCATTTTTCGTGTATCGTTGACTCGTCAAGCCTGCCTTTGTACTGCTCTGGCGCCAATTCTGCCTTTAAAAGTCCGGGGGTGTGGACTTCAGAGTACGCCTTGGTGGCATCTCGACCGGCATATTTCAAAATAACTGAAGATTCAATTAGCAACGATGCCCTGCAGGTTTAGTATACAAGACTCACTCGTGGATCCTCCAGGGTGCTTGTCCAAGAAGTCCGTTACATCCCACACTTGATTATCTACAACTATCCAGCAATCATCTGGCGCGTTGTGATTCGAGATCTCATGGGTAGACAGAAGTTCTTCTTGCGCCATCCTTGCACTTGCCGATGTCGCGATCTATGGATGGTGAATAATGCCGGTCAATTCAATGGACATGGGATCTTGGATTACCCCAGGAAAAGCAACCAGGAACAAGCGGAGGGATGGGGCAGTAATGCGAAGATATGCGCGTTGGCCTTCGGACTAAGTGCGTCCGAGGCAGCATTTTTCACCTCCGCACTTCTCTGCGAAAATGCGGAGAGTAGGAGCAGGTCCACAGCGGGACTGCCTCCGTAGGTTCCAATTACCATCTGCAGTCCACCCAGCCTCCATGCAAGGATAATTCGAATAATTGAGGTTCGCGGAAAGTTCCCGATCGGAGACTAGTTGGTTGTATTTGACATCGTGGTTCTTCTCTGACGACTGATATCTTTGAATGCTCCATTGATTTCTTGTGTATTCGAAGGGTCCTGTGACAGAGGAACCTCGAGAGAGAGGAATAGCCAATCACAAAGAACGAATTAAGTAGCACGTCAAGCACTCGGACCCAATTTGGTGGGGAGGATCTCAACGGGTCAAGTTTTGAGCAAAGAATCGGATAATTGCCGAGACGCTCAGAGGGTGTCAGCCACAGTGGCTTGGGCGCCAAGACTCAGGCACAAATGGCAACATTCAGCCTCTGAAGATGCTTGTGACCCTTCATCCCAAGTAGAACACTGCATAGCGGCTCAGTCTCTTATCTACCAATGAAAGGGGGCTTCATTGTAGACGGAACTCTCAGAAAAGTGGGCAATATCAGTAAAGCTACGTTTCCTTTCTGCGCTATCAAAAGAAACACGGTGCGCTCACCAGTCACTGTCTGGCGACATAGTCAAGGTATGTTCTTATTGCGGCTGGGTAGATGGGCTTTCTATCGTACATTTCATTTCTTGTGCTGGGATAGCAGCTCACGATTTAACAGTGTCCTTCACGGCTCGGCCTTCTCTACTTTATCCTACATTTTGCAGACGGGAAAGCTCTACTTATTCTTCGGCTTCCACCCCGTTATCCAAAATGGCCGACACTGGTACAGCCATTAGATATGTGGATGTACGTCTTCTCTGTGACCAGTTCTTTATTCATCAGGAAGCTGATCAGAGCGCAACGCCTTGAAAAATTAGATCGGAATCAACTTGAGTGACCCGGTATTCAAAGGCAGGTACCACGGGAAGCAAGTCCACGACGATGATCTAGACGACATCATTCAGCGCGCACGAGATGTGGGCTGCCAGAAGTTTATGGTAACTGGCTCCGATTTAAAGGAGTCCAAGCATGCTATCGAAATCGCTCAGAAATACCGTATGTTGAAGAAATCGTATTACACAGACCATGAAGACTAACACCCCCTAGCTGGATTTTGCTATGCAACTGTTGGGGTTCATCCTTGTCAAGCAAAGCACTTTGATGACTTTCCCGGTGGTCCAGAGAAATTGTTGGATGAACTTAGGTCACTAGCTTTGGAGTCACAGAAGGCAGGTCATGCTGTTGCTTTCGGGGAGATTGGGTTAGATTACGACAGACTATTCTTGAGTGCCAAAGAACCGCAGCTTAAGTACTTCGAGGCGCAGCTTGAAATTGCCGTCGAAATTCAGCTGCCTCTTTTCCTCCATTCCCGCGCAGCCAGTGAAGACTTTGAGAGGCTACTGGCACCAAAGCTGGAAAAACTGCCGAACCGCGGGCTGGTCCATAGTTTTACAGGGACTATGGAGGAAATGAACAGGATGGTGGCGCTCGGCCTAGATATCGGAGTCAACGGGTGCAGCTTGAAGACAGAAGAGAATCTCGAGGTCGTAAAGGCCATCCCCTTGGATAGACTGCAAATTGAGACTGATGGTCCATGGGTAAGAGTCACTCTAATATTCGTTTATGATCCTATGGTTGGTTATTAACTTCAATATATAGTGCGAGATCCGTCCGTCGCATGCCTCGTCTAAATTCTTGACCGGTGCACCCCCTTTACCAAAAGCAGTCAAAAAAGAAAGATGGCAGAAGGGGCTTATGGTAAAAGGCCGAAATGAGCCCGTTGCAATTGCCCAGGTCGCGCACGTAATTGCCGCGGTCAAGGGGATAACAGTGGAGGAGGTCTGTGAAGCGTGAGTATTCCATTTCGTTGAGAGCTACTTCGGCTGCTAAGATTCTATCCTTCAGTGCGTGGTCCAATTCGATAAAGATGTTTGGGCTAGGAGAGGAAGCTCCTTAGCTCTTTATCACCGGCTAATTGCTTTCTCATATAACTCTAGAGGTCTTTTCGGGTCGAAGGTGGATAGAGATGGAAACCGTGATCTGCTTCTTTCTTTTTTTTTTTTTTTTTTTTNTTAACTGTATAGAGCTAGATCAAGCGCAGCTGGTCACCACAGACCAGAACCGTTACAGAAGCCAAAGCCCATATATATTGGTTCCGATCTTGTTGGATAAGGACATCTTTCAGGTTCTTTGTAAAGCACCTATTGTATCACGATCCTTCTTTCCTTCTTGACCTCCTTCCAAAACGCATTCACTGCTTCTGCCTCTGCACTTCACTACCTTACTCGGCATATCATGTGGAGCTCGCTATGTGAATACTGCTTCCCGAGCATTATTCTCCTGCTCACGAATCTCGATATCTTTCGTTTTGGCTCTTTTGTTTGCATTCTTGATGTTCTACTTAAGTTGCTCCTGTTTCCAGTTACAGCACATGCGGAGGCCTTTTTTCTGCAAGTGCTTGCGCTTGTTTACTTCTCTTCACACCTCACCGCCCCCATACCTCCTAGTATAACACCGCCCCTTTGACTTCATATCATGGTCTCTACATGTTAAGCTCTTGGGTGTGAACGAGAGAATAACTCTTTTGTCGTCTGTTTTAGCCAGTTCGACCTGTTTACGTTATTTTCCATCATGCCTGCCCTCCAGCTCGACAGTTAGACTTTCTAGTCTATCTTGAGATTCACCGTTCCTTTTGCCTTGTTGTTTCAATATTATAGTGAGACGTGGTTTCCTGGAGCCGGCCTTCTTTCTCGTCTTTTTGAAATATCCCAGCAGAATTGTTGTTAGCTGAACCTGGGCTGCACCATTCGCCTCTCTCCGGATACCTCCAGAAAGACCACCATGATGGCCTACCCTTTGACGAATAAGACCACCAACAGCGCTAACGAAACCAAGCAAGGTTGTTTTTCTCAAGTCGATGTGTCATATCATGCTCTGTCTCTAACAGTTGCGCGGGGAATAGCCGAAAAGTCAGCTATTAGGGTTTCTTCGCTGGAGTCGGAGGAGCCTGATGTCGGAGAATCAGAATTTCCCGCGAACTTTGGGGAGGTTGCAAAAGGAATATATCGCAGCGCGTATCCTCAGCCTTGGAACCTTCCTGCACTCAAAGTCCTGAGATTGCGAACCATAATGTAAGTCGAGTTTGGCCGCGCTTGTGGACTACAGGCTTATGTATGACCTATAGTACTCTTGTCGAAGAGCCATTTCCGTCGAGCCACTCGAGTTTTCTGAAGGAAAACGGGATCAAACATTACTGCATTCCCTTCATTGCGAATAAGGATGCTTCTGTCAAAACATCAGATGGTGTCGTGAATACAATTCTCAGGATAATGCTGGACAAGGCCAATCACCCTATGCTCATACACTGCAATAAAGGAAAAGTAAGTCCAAAACCCTTTATAAGTGGCGCTTCAATGGCTAAGTCAATGATAATAGCATCGTACTGGGTGCGTGACTGGCTGCTTTCGGAAGCTCCAGGGGTGGGAGAAGCAAGATATAGTTGATGAGTATATCCGTTTCTCTCGCCCGAAACAACGTCCGCTGGACGAGGCGTTTATCGAAGCATTTGACCACTCAAACCTCTCCCACTTGGCTAAAGCTTGCGATGTAAAGTCGTGGGTTCCGTCTGGAGCGTACACCAATATCAGGGCCGACAAGGATCAAGGTTCACCAGAAAACCTGTTTCAACTTCCTCGTAATGATGTTCGTGCGGCTTCTTGACTCTTAATTTAGAGTCCGGCCTATATCGTCAAACTGCCATAACAAACAAATCCCTTCTTCTTCTTCTTCTTCTTCTTTTTCTTCTTTTTCTTCTTTTTCTTCTTTTTTTCCATGTTCAGTCGGCATCGGTGCAAATCGCGTGGCGTCAGTGGAGTTTATGGCTTATCCGAGCACCAGAAGCGACCTTTATGGCGCAATGTTCCTTTTGTGATGGCTATTTACTGTATGTGGTTTAAAGCATTCAAGCGAGTATATTTCAATCATAGAGGATTGAGATTGAAACTATATGGGCTTCACCACGTTTGCTATCGCTATTTGTGCCTGAACTCACGCTTAGGGATTCAGAAATCAAAGAAGTCCCCTCCGCCACAAACTGTGGTATCTTAAGCAGGTAAGGATTACTTTCGAACTTAAATATATACTATTCTCTGCCATAATCTGGCTAGCCATATTTCTGGTTCTACCGGGGATATACCTAGAGAAGGTTGCTAGCATATATATATTATTTCTTTACAATCCACCGTTATGTCCTATTTTTCCTACAGGCTTCTGTTTTCAGTTAAAGGTTTCCATGATGCTCTTCATATCTATTCAACATGGTTGTTAGCACATTAATACGCTCAATTTATTCCGCAATCTAAAAGAAATATATAGCCCAGCCGAGGCTGCTGCTCTATGGCCATGAGCTTATGATGATAAATTATCACAGAGCATCTCGTCTTCATCATAATCGTCACATAAATCCATCAAAGGCCCTGCATACGAATGCAGACTGTGGGAAAAGGAAGTTTGGCTTGAAAGTGCCGGAACGTCTTCGGCGAAATTAGTATCAAAGTCAAGCATTCCCTCATGGTCTGTCTGGGTGTCTTCAGAGTTTGGTAATGATAAGGTGCGTGTATAGGGCGACGTTGGTTGGAAGTCTGCTTCCATAGGCGCAGTATTAGGTTCAGTGTCCTGGCTAACAAAAGGATTCTTTTCCAGGATCTCCGCTGGGTGCCCGATATCGTTGTCACTGAATATCATGCTCGAACAGTGTTCTGGCTCGTCGAAGTTAAAATCAAGGTCAAGCTCAGGTTCTGGTCCGTTGCTTTCTGAATAAAATTCGAGTTCGGATTCAGTAGTATTGTAATGATCATCAAAATACTCTGTTTCTCCTGATAACCCTTCTGAGAGAAGCGTTTCATCTTGCGTTTGCTCGTCTTGGTTAGGAATGGAGAATGAGTTTGAAGTCCTCAAGCTTTTCGGCGTGGGTGTGCGATAAAGTCGCTTCTGAGCAATGGTCCATAATCGCATTTTCAATACGGTCTTTGTGTCATTTCCTCTGGTGGTAGAGCTCGAAAGGCGCAAATATGGTTGGCATACTGCTGTGACGGAGACCATCTTCTCCTTTAAAGCTAGGTTGTCACTAAGATTCAACATCGAGGTTAAGGATTTCGCGATTGAGGGCATTAAGCGGGATCGTTGGTTCATGGCCTGGTTCCAAAAAAGATGGTATTAATTCATGCCTGATGCGCCCACCTCTCCACGTAGCAATGAGTCGAAAGCTCACCTCACGATACCCGGGTTTGAATACACCGGGGGCTATCTTGGATAGGCTCTGGAAGCCACTTGACCCTGCTTCGGTGTTATTGCGTCTCTGCGCCACATTTCCAAGCACCAGCGCCATAATTGCTTCTTGAAATAATTCACCAAACCCTAAAGAGTTAGAAGATATGAGTGTTGAATGGTTGAATTGTTCTGATTCTTCATTACTCCTTCTGAAGCCGTGTTCAAATATTGGGCCAAGTGTTTCTGTAATTATTGCGATGTTTTCTTGTGAGTATTGTGCTCCATCCCAATCCCAATCGCCAAATTCAGCCGACTGTATTATATCGCCGTTCTTATCGTGCGGGTGCAACTGCTGAGACCGGTTGATACATTGTTTGTAAATGTGGGTATATTCCAGGAGGACGTCAATGGACGTCAATTGGGCAGTGGGTATATTGGTCGGAGGAATTGGATCGGAGTGATCCCTCAATATTTTGGGCAGTTTCCGGGCCTTTATCTTTTCTGCAGACCCAAGCCGTGTTTGTATGCCGAAAGAGAGAACATAGGTGGAGCAACCCTGGCCGGGTTCAAAAATACAACTTTTGTAGAGAACAACGAGATCTAGATCTGCCCAAATCTGGGTTTGCAAGATTTATTAAAGAAAGGTCGGTGTGAGGATTGCTCTCGTCTAGACATACCTTCGCTCTGCAGGTGGAGTCGCCGAGCTGGGATACGAACTGGCTGAATGATGGATGCAAATCAGCCAAGGAGGCAATACGTATATTGAATTTGAGTTCAGGTGATTGAGACACCCAAATTTCGCCACAGCACAGGAGCTGTTTCAGGTGCTCTGGGTCACGTAAAACTAGGCTCCCTGGGGGTAGCAGCATCGACACAGAGGCCTGCAAAGATAATGTTAAGTCTGAGGCTGAGGTGGAAAAGACTCTTTGTCCAAGATTAACAGGATAGTTCATGATATGCACTCTTTCTAGTGGATAAAAGAGCGCATGTGTGGATGGTCATTTTTCGTTGGAAGATGGGGGAACGAAGGCAAAAGAGAGACGAAGACCTAAAGTTACAAAATATATTTCGGTTTCCACTCCATGGGTTCATATCTAACCTCTATCCACCCCCCAGCATAACAGACGACATAACCGGAAGTACTGATAAAAAGAAATAAATACACAGTCACGAAGATCCTGACTCGCCAGACTTCATTCACACTCCTATAGCTTCTGAATCATCGAGCGTTGTTGGATCTTATGCAGGGAGAACGGGTCTGGGTGCTAAAATATCCAAAAAGAAAGAAAAAAAACAGTAGAAAAATGTGAGAACTGAGACACTAGGAAGATAAACACATTAAGCCGGTTTAAATTAGTCAAAATAGCACTATCTCGAATTCCCATGCACGTTGGATTTGTAGTTGGAGTAAACACTGTACTATACTTGGAGGCTTATCGATAAGCCCGTCACGTGCATCATATGTAGCTTGACGTCTTTCAGCCAGCTCAATCAGTTTCATGATCGCCGTCAAGACTCTCAAGATCAGCAATGCCTGGTGATGAGAGACAACAATCTTCTTCGGCCGAAGCTAATGGTCCTGCCGATCTAGAATCGCAGCAGCTGCTCCCGGATTTGTCAAATGGGGAACAAAACAATGCTAGTCACTCTGACATAGGCGCTTCAACCCCCGATGAGCCGCCCTCTCGATCCACCTCATCACCGCATCCAGACGGCCAGCGCCGCACTCCCCGCACTCAGAATCGCGTGAGATTTGATATAGAGGATGATACCGAAGATGAGAGCCATACGAATGGAGAAATTCGTGACTCCGAAGAACTTTGGCTGGACGAGGAGGACTATGCTGGGACTGACAGGGGCCGCTCGGGGCAACGTCATTCTGGACAAAGAATTCCCCTCCTAACGAACATTGAGGCCCCCAGCATAACGCTTGCTACGTCTGATGAATTCTTTCCCGAAGAGCATTTGGAGAGCGCGAGGCCTCGAAGCGGAATGAAGATGGCGTTCATGAACATGGCAAACAGCATTATTGGGGCGGGAATTATAGGCCAACCATATGCCTTGAAACAATCAGGAATGGTAATGGGAATAATTCTTTTGGCCGGCCTCACGGTAACCGTGGACTGGACTATCCACTTGATAGTTGTCAACTCGAAACTGAGCGGCGCAGATTCCTTCCAAGCAACGATGCAGCATTGTTTCGGAAAGTCTGGTCTAATCGCCATTTCTGTTGCTCAGTGGGCGTTCGCGTTTGGTGGTATGATTGCATTTTGTATTATTGTCGGGGATACCATACCGCATGTTTTGAGTTCACTATTTCCCTCTCTTCGGGACATGTCATTTCTTTGGCTTCTCACCGATAGACGAGCCGTCATTGTCCTCCTTGTCCTGGGGATCTCGTATCCACTATCACTATATCGGGATATTGCCAAGGTTTGACCCCACTCGTGGTTATGTTTCTATTACTGACTATTGAACAGTTGGCGAAAGCATCGACTCTGGCCCTGTTAAGTATGGCAGTTATCGTTATTGCTGTGCTTACCCAGGGCTTTCGCGTATCGCCCGAGTCGCGCGGCGATGTGAAGAGCCTATTTTTTGTGAACTCTGGGTTCTTCCAGGCTGTTGGAGTGATCTCATTTGGTATGAATCTGTTGCTATTGGGCTTGAATATTAAATACTAACTATGTATAGCATTCGTCTGCCGTATGTAGCACATTCTGATAGGTCGTCCAAAACTGACAGTATCAAGACCACAACAGCCTTTTGATCTATGGTTCACTGAAGAAACCGACCTTGGATCGATTTGCGACGGTTACCCATTACTCGACCGGCGTTTCCCTTTTGATGTGCCTACTCATGGGTGTGTCCGGCTTTCTTTTCTTTGGTTCAAAGACTCAAGGCAATGTACTCAATAACTTTCCGTCCGATAATATCCTGATTAACATAGCGCGGCTGTGAGAGACATAACCTACCTGAGCAACACCGTCTAGTTTTGGCTAATACTTCTATCTAGCTGCTTTGGCCTGAACATGCTTACTACGTTGCCGTTAGAAGCATTTGTATGTAGGGAAGTCATGACGACCTACTACTTTCCTGACGAGCCTTTCAACATGAATCGACACTTGATATTCACATCTGCCTTGGTGGTAACGTCTGTAGCTATGGCACTGCTAACCTGCGACCTGGGTGCCGTTTTTGAATTGATCGGTGCGACAAGTGCAGCCACACTGGCGTACATTTTCCCTCCACTATGCTATATTAAGCTGAGCAATGCGTCTCGAAAGGAGAAGATTCCGGCGTATGCGTGCATTGCCTTTGGAATTACCGTCATGGGCGTTAGCCTCATACAAGCAGTTGGGAAGATGATCAAGAGTATGTGTTCTTCATCGCCCTCTCATACCACGGCAGGCAGCAGCTAATGCAGGATCTCCTATAGATGAAGGTGGCACAGCAACCTGCAGCTAAACCTTGAAGTTTTTATGCAAATCGACATTGAGCGGCAATTTCCTGTAAACGTACCTGCAATAGACTGAGACTAACTTTGTATCATTCAATGTACATATAGACATTGTTAAGTTCAAGCTAATGTGCAAACCCAAATACACTTCATCCAGTGCGCTGACTATCTATGACCAAAACAAATCAAACAGTTTTAAATGTGGGAAAAAATCAAGGTTTTTTTAAGATATGATGTGTGCCTTCATGGATCAGGCAAACAGAAACTTTAGGATTGTGCTCTTCTGCAGTGTCGCGTTTGCACCTCAATCAACAACGCCCCAATGGAATCCTCCCTCCCTCCAGCTCTCCTTCTTTTCACACTCCACCTCCGACCTCAATTCCCCCACTTATTTTCTTTAACTTGCTACACACCAGTGCTCTCCTGCTTGGTTTTGGTCTCAAGCCGTCTCTCATGGAAACTTTGATCTATTGGCCTGCATTCACTACAGCGCGAGATATGGTCTAACACATATCCTATGCGAGAGGGGTGAAATTCAATTGACCTCCTTTTGACTTGCAAGCCCTGTCCCAAGTAGCTTTCCTGTTTATTCCACATGCTTGGGCGGAGACTCAGGCTTGAAAACCCCCTTTTCCCATAGTCATCTCAAGTTTTAGCCAACCTGCCCTACCCTGTCACACCCTGAAGGCATCATTAGCCATATCGTGTTAATTACCCGCCCCATTCTCTTATTCCTCACTCTCTGGTGTTCTTGGCGTACGATATGACGACCGAAACATCAAATGAACGCCTCAACAGGCTGCAAGAGGTATGTCGGATCTTGTCCTCTATTAAATAAGACGACGGGGTCTCCTGGACTAATGATATTTCTAAACATAATAGGCAGACCTAGGGACGGCTCGAAGAGAATACATTTCCACCGTCGATCGTGGGTTCAATAACATGCGAGTGCAGGCCATTGAGGCCTCTCGGAGGTCCAACGTACGGGGATCAAAAGAACAACGAGTTGCCGAAGCCAACAAAACTCGGCTAGAGGGCTGGGCCAGTAAGATGATAATCAACCTTCTTTGCGGCGATTGAAAATACTGATTATTGTCTTAAGATGTACACAAGGAAATCGGCGACACGGCGGATCTAGAGGAACTTGATCACCTTTTGAATGGCCAAAGCCACCGTTTACGGCTCGACAGCATGTTGCGTGGGGGCAGCGTACAGCAAATAAAACATCCCTCTCAGGTTAATTCGTTTAGGTCGGTATCAGCAGCAGCTGGACCGCGTGCTGCTCCGTTGAACGAACGTTCTAACAGGTTTGTGTTTAAACTGAGCAATACTCCAAAAGATCATCTGACCACAATGGTAGGGCCTCTTCAATGGCTATGAAAACCCCTAACCCACCTGGAAACCACAGTGGGCTAGATCCGGCACTTAATAAAAACAACCCTCCCAGTAACACCGCCGTACGGAAGAAATCAGCAGGCAGATCCGCGAGCAGTAAGGGATTGACACCTGAGACTCTTACTGTGAGGAAACTAACGGCAACATTGCTAAGGTGCGCAAAATGCTCCACTCGTTAGAATTAGGCGACCTCTGTAAGTTGCATTTTATTCGTTCAGGCCCAACCATTCTGACGCGTTAAGCATCAGTAGCAACTTCCCCCCACGAGCTATCTCCAGCCCTGAAGACTTCCTCGCCGTCGCTCGCATGGTCACCGCGTGGGTCCATGCCATCACTGTGCTTTTCCACAACATTTGCTAATGATAACAAGAAATAAAACAGCAGGTAAACCACCGACTGAAAGACCGAAAGATCAGAGCCACGCAGATGTGGAAGGTCGTCGTGAGGGCTATTTGTCTCCCACCCCAGAAACGGCGTCTAAGCCTAATCATCAAAAGTCGCCAAACGGCGGAGTGCCATTAAGCCAAAAATTCACACCTCGACGTGCAGTTTCTCCCATACCAGTGAACGAGGTCGAATCGTCTGATAATAGCCTGAGTTCGGGCTCGACGAACCTAGAATCCCCTGAAGAAAAGTCTCGGGTGCCATCTGTTAGTACAACTGACCAAGCAGAAAAGAAGGGAAGGCTGGATACAAAACCACAAGACGCAAGCGCCAACCAGACCCCTATCCAAAAAGAGCGCCCTCAGAAGGCTGTCGGGATGCTCCTGGATTTGAGCTTTGCAAACTCAATAGAATCTGGACCGGGGCCTGGAATGAGCCCAGCTCTGGAAGAATTGAAAGGCTTGGAGTTCACGAAATCTCTCGAGTCAAAGGAGCCCCCTTCTCTTGCAGGCGTCAACAGGAAGCTTGACTTTGGCGGAGTTTTACCCAAAGAGCAGGAGTCAAATGAGCTGAGTGATATAGAAGCTACCACTGACCTCGAAGATGATGAGGAAACAGCTGCAGAGTACCAACGCGAAATCGATATAATTTGCGAGCTCTTAGAACGCACCTCTTTGTCCGATACATTTCTGTCTAAACTGACGGAATGTAAAAAAGAATTGGAGTCCAGGATCCAACTAAGTCGAACGCCGAAGTTAAAGACGACAGCACGAAGCGAAAAATTCTTTACTCCCCCAACCATTCCTGAGTCCAAGGAACTCGGAGCATCTGTTTCGGTAGTTGCTGAAGTTACACGGACGCATAGTCGCAACACATCAGAGGCTCAGATCACAACACCTCCCTCCCAATCTCGCTTGAACGCGGCAGCACCACAATTTATGCCAAAGGCATTCACAGAGTACCGGTCATCGTCCAATGCTACCACTGATTCATCTACGAGTTTCCAGCCCACGCCCACGAAGGTTATCACCGAGCCCGAATCGGAATGTGCATCGAGCGATTTAACAATAGTTCCGGCGAAGGTAGATAAACCGCTGGTAGAGGCTCGTGCTGAGTCCATTTCGCCTGAATTCCCAACAATCATTCGAGTTTCTAGTGGTACCCTACTTGGAGACCATCTACTACCTGGGGCCAGTACTAGGAAGGCAGAGCACTCTCACCTTTTCGGTGACCACCTACTTCCTGGACGTCGTGTATTTTCCCCTCTGTTTGTGCCATCGTTAACCATTCCAGTATCTGGATCCGTCCTGGCTCGTAAGTGTCCATAATCTGTGCTATTCAGCTTAGGTGATACTAACCCCATTTCTTTTCCTTTTTAGAAGCAGCTGCCCCTAATTTCGGCCCCATTACATTTTCACCTGCTTCCGCCCCCCGGCCACTGAAGATTGTTGATCCAAACGCCCAAGTAACTAGCAGGTCAACGCATACAAACAGTTCTGCTCTCACACCGGACGCACCACACTTTGAGCCGGCGAAAAAGGCTGTCAGTACCACAACCCCGAATCTGCCGACTCCCACTACTGCAACCAAAGTCACAGTTAAGACTGCTAAAAAAACAACCTCGATGATGGAGTCCATCTACGCACCGAAGTCGGAAGTAGACTCAAGCTCCACGGGTCCAAAGAAACCCGCAGTTGGCCAAGGGCTTTCAGCCTCACGGTATTCAGATCCCAAATGGATTTAGATAATTACCTCAACTTGATGGGCCCCCATTTCCAACCTCGTTAGTCAACGAGAACCCAGAGACAGCTGTGGTATGCACGAACCTGACTGATGCTTCCCTTATTCGATAGCCGTCCTCATTACATCTTGTCAAGATTCTTTTTTAACCTTCTCTTTTATTGTGTTATTTCTTTTGTTGTCCCTAGTAAGTGTAATACCCCGCGCCTGCTCTTAACATTTTCTTTCGTCATAATCGTACAATAACCCTTTCTATCAAAATACACTGCACTCCCACATTCTGTAACTCATAGTATCGCCTTTCTTCACAAAGCTTTTCTCATATTAATCTCAAAATTTTGTTCACTGGCGTTTGGAAAACCCACTTCCACTGCCACTCTGATGTAAAACAATCCAAACATCTCAGTCTGGAGGCAGCGTTCTGTGCCTAGATGGGGTGCCAAGTACATTATGTAGCACGCCCTGGAAATGGTACAAATGGCAGTTGCATGCTAAGTGGATATTCGATCTTTTCATTGTTAATTCAACCACCGAGGTAGCCTAGCGCCACGGGTTGTGAGTTCCAATATAGGTCTAATTCTCTAAACTATATTCACCGGCATGAATAATAGGACGCTGACAGGCTGGATATAAACGGTAAGAACACAAGCAAATTGCATAATAGCAAACGTGAAACAGCAAAAGAGGGAATCAAAGTAGATCCGGTTCAATGCCACGGATATCTGTAAACACAACAAAACCATGCGAATGAATTGAGTCCAGCTAGTCCATTCCATTTATTTGCCCAGTTCTCCTTGACGCCAGTTCCGGTCCGTACTCCCAAATACTCCTGAATATGAAAGGCATAGGTATTCTTTGCAGACAGAGTGCTAATGATAATGCAAGATAGGTATAGGCTTGGCTAGTGTTTGCAAGCGCGAAAGGGGTATAAGCGTTGATCGAAGTTATTGGTGTTGTTGTTGATTGCGTGGTTGCTGTTGCGGAGGCAGCGACCCGTCGAATCTCACTCTCTTCGGATCATTTGGATTAGGTATAGGGGTGGGCCCGTTACCGCCAGGTATGGATGCGTTAGTCACATCATTTAGAGGTGGCCGCTTTCCGTTAATATTCGGCGGCCCAAACCCACCACGGCTGGCCGCGGGGCTATTCGCCGTCGCCTTTGCATCGACATTTGGTCGTGTTAGAGGCCGATAAGAGGACGTTGATGGGCCCCTATTCATGGGGCTACCCGCTCCGCCGGGAACACCGATTTTCCTATGCATGTCTGCGGAGGGATTAATGAAGTCTCGGCTTTGGTTTGGGGCTGGTGATGCGCCGCCTGCTAGCATTGGCCTTGATACCGGCAAGGTCTTGGTATGGTCGACGCCTGCGGTTTTGCGGATTGAAGGGCTTTCGGCGTGAGGATCAAAGACTGGAGCGTTGGCCGCTGCACTATGGGGGTTTTCTCGCAGCATAGCAACTCCACGAGCTGAGAAAAACCCTACAACGGGAGGCGCTTGACCTTCCATTCCAGGTGTACCTGGAGGAGCCATGTCTTGCGCTTGTGGATTTTGGACACCCGAGGCATACTCCTGTTTAATAGGGACTTGTGCGCTGGCGGCTGACGCGGCAGTGCCATGGCTAGCCCGTGGTTGCCCCGGTGGTATTGACCGTCCGTTTTGATATACCGCTGTTTGTGTTTCTGGGGGTGGTACGGACCGTCTTTGGCTTGGATATTGATCATGGGCTGCCGCAGAGTACGGCTGGTTGTTTGCGGCCTGATTAGGGATTTGCCTGCCGGGAGGAGGGTGGCTCATCGGCCGTTCCGGTTTCGACGGTGTTACGGTACTAGGATTAGCGTTCGTTGGCGCACCAGATGCATAGCTCGGGGGCTTTGGCGCCATCTTTGGCCTCCCGATTGGGGTCGGGGGCTGGCGTATTTTTTGAGTGTCTGTATCTACCGCTATTTCATCTGGATTTTCGCCTTCGCCAACATTGAAGTCGGCCTCATCGAACACATCACCTGGCGTAGTTAGCAAAATGAGAACTAGTTACGGATTAAGTAAACATACTTCCAAATTCCGCATCATAGTCAGAGACATTGTTTGTTGGTGCTACCGTCTTCCTGGCCGCAATCGATGGGCGAGGAGGCAGATCATCGTCCTCTGGCAGCGGTTTTGGCTGTACTGGCTCCTTTTTTATAGGAGCAAAGTCGGGGTGGCGGTGCAGGTCATCGACGTCTAACCTCGACTGCAAAGTATGTTAATATCATGAGGAATATCAAACAGAGGATGGAAAACTAATACCGGTGCTGCCTTCACTTTTGTGACCTTGGAAATGTAATCCTTGTCGTATATACAGTTACCCAGGACATTGCCGAAATTTCGCAGAGCTCGCTTGAGGGCATCGGTTGTTGCTTCTTTTTTCGCCTTCTCAAAAGCGGCAGCTTTCCCTTTGCAGTTTTCAATGTGCCCGTATCCAACATCCTGATATTGGTTTGACCGTCAACCTTGTGTCCACAAAGAGGTGGTTTGGGTAGGGGTACTTGTACATACTTCGTGGTAGGCTCCGTCTTTCAGAGTAACCCTCACTATCACGGATAATCCCAAACTGACTTTTCCAGTATTTGGGGACTCGTCAACCTGTAAGACCATGTATCTCATCAGCAACGCGTTCCTAATAGCGGGGGAGCATTATAACATGATGGAGATCATGGAGCACTCGTACAAAATCAATTTGAATATTCTGGATCGAGCTCGACCATCCATTGAATCCAAATACTTCATTCGCGAGGTTGATACATTTATCCGCAGAGAGGTAATGTACTTTTTGGCCCGCCGCTCCAGGCCGAGCGGAGATGTACTCGGGTCCTAGCTTCTTATCGAGACGTGCCTGAAGTGCAGCGACCTCATCGGGAGTATATTGGTTCAGACGTGACGGACTCTCCTCGAATGGGTTTTTGGCGATAACTCCTGTTGCATCTGGCATTGTGATGCTCGCCGGGCCACCTCGATGCTGGTCGCCGACGCTGAGCACGCGGTACGCGTTAGCTTACCCAGAACTCATCGAGTGCTTGGGCTGGACAGATTTGGTAGAACTCACGCTGGCATGGTTATGATATGGATAGGCTACTATAAGGGAATATCATGGGCTCCTGAGACGCTGAGCTGCATTGAGTGGAAGGTAGCCCAGACACGGATGGGAGCCGCTCTGCAGTGGAGACGCGTCGGGTTACACTGTGATGCCGCGAGTTCACGTGACACGCTTCACGTATAGACGAGCGATACAGTAGCTACTTTCAAGCATAAATTGTCCAAATTTCATGGTAGATAACATTATGAGCCTTATTTGTCGACTGAAATTTCTTCATAAACCATGCTTGGACATGCGTTCTTCGTGATATTGTTCTATCCTCTCATAATAGTAGGTTTTAGTAGCGACCTCAAGTCTCATCCAAGGCAAACCTAGAATCACTCGACGACAAGGCTGGCACTAGGTACAAGTCCGAGGTCCTTTAAAGACTCGCCGAAGAATTCAGAATTAAACACCTTTCGAGGAAAGTTCTGTCTGAAACTGGTCACATCAATACCGTCCTCGGACTTCAAAGCCGCGGCCACCTCGAATAGCGTAGTTTCGACTGGTAATGTCTTCATGACATTTCCCTTCGGCGTCTGGAATCGGAGACGGGCTTCTGTGTAAGCGGATGCCGGTTTAGAGGCGACCGGACCGGAGGTTGTTGGTGCTGGTGCCTCGGCTGGTTGACTAGGAGGTGCAACACCAGCACGCTCAGCCTTCTCACGCTCGGCCTTTAGTCGGCGCGCCTCCTTATCCGCTTCGATCTTGGCCTTGACACGACGCTTAGCTTCGATGTCATCCTGTTTCTCCTGCTTCTTTTTGGCCGCCTCTTTCATTCTCTGCTTTTTCTCGAGCTCCTCCTTGGCGTCCTGAGACTCCTTGGTGGCCTTTCTTCGAATTTCCTAAGCAAAGGCCATATTAGCAACCTTGAATGACACAGTTCTCAGGCCTGCATACCTCATTCCGCTTCTTGTCAATCTTGTCCTGCTCTGACTGGCCCGCGCGTTTCGCTGCCAGCTTCTCCCTGAGTTCTTGAAGTCTGGCCTTCTTTTCCTCCTCAGTCAGTGGCGCAATCTCTTCCGTCGACTCGGCAAAATCAACATGTTCAGTTTTTGAAGCATGAAATTCGGCTTGTGCCTGGCTTCGGAATTTCTTCCCACATTCATTGCAGACCAAGCTGCGGGCTTCCTCGCCAGGTTGGAGCGCGGGCCCCTCTTCTCCGTCGTCACCAGCTCCTGCACTTGCCGCCTTTATCTCTTCGAGCGATTTATCCTGATTTTGCTCCAGCCATTCGAGGGCTCCTTGGACTGTGCGTTGATAGCAACTGATGTTAGCATGATCTGTCGGAATGGAAAAGACAAGAAAGAGAACACTCACGTCCACCACTCTTCTTCACCGCCAACTCGGCGCGCTCCTTATCGAAGCCCATCTCGATGAGCTGATCTAAATCCGAGGTAGCCATTTTGGATCGATCGATGGGTTGATGAGATCAAAACGGATGTGCAGCTGCGGAGAGTGGGGTACTAGGTAGTTCGAGGTTGAGGAAGCTTTTAAAGCCAAGTGAACTGACCGGGGAGTGGCCAAGGGGATTTGAGAAGCGTTAAAGAGTACTTTATGAGCTTATATGATTGGGCGCCGAGAATGTAGGCTTAGTGAACAGAGCGGCGGTAGGTGTGAGGTGTGAAAGTTGTTGGGTGACGTATCGGGCGAAGCTATCGGCGGAGGACCGAATGCGGGATGACCCGCTCGATCGATGCCTCGCCCTCGTCAAGTGTAACAGGCGTCGCACATCAAACGGGCAATATTCTGGAAGTTTCTTTCAGAATTGAAGTTACCTAAATTAAGACGACGATGCGATTATGATTTGTCGGTTGAGGTTACGCCCCCGCAAGAGAGAAAGTCATGTCTACGAGTGTGGTGCCATAAGAGCCTTTATAGGGCCAGTGTATACAATGGCCCTAGGCCAGCATGCCAGCATCTAGACCACGCCTGAATTATTCATGGCAGGGCTCAGGGTTTGTTACACAAGCCAGGCTCGAATCCAGCGCAAGCCCGCAATCCACTCATGCTTCCGTAGATGAAGGACCGGGCCTTTGCTGTTACATCTTCGCTAACAATCAACCGGACTCGAATCTTCGCGTCTGCCAGGTGTGAGTGCCAACAATGAATGGGCATAGTTTGGGAGTTTGATAAGGCGGTACGGAGTACAGAATACGATTATTGAATGGCCCCACTCAGAATAACAATCGATAAGCAGAACAAGGCAGTCACACAGCAAAGGGTTCAGGAATTTGAGGCCACCGAAATTCCGTATCACATGTTCAGGGACCAAAGAATGGTCGACGAGGAACCGATTGTGCTCAAGCGGTCCCGAGGATGTCGACAGGTGGCTCCGAGAACATGGTAGACTGACATGGCTGCAGCCATGGCAGTGAAAGGTAGGAGTATCATAGTCAATAGAGTGGTAGATATTAAGGGCTTCAAGAGATACAAAGCACTTACTCTGTACAGAGTAAGTGCCTGTTGTTTAACAAACAACAGATCGCGAGCTTGTTGGCACTGATGATGACTTCACCCGACAGAATCGGCTGAGTCAGCGCCCCGGCCCAACCAGCGGCCGCGACGCTCCTCCCCCAGCAATTAATTTGGTTGCGCCTGAACTCTGGCGTTTGGCCTCAAACAATAACTGCCAACGCTGCTGGTCTCCAACTCCCTGTCCCCGTTATCGCTATCTCCGCTACCTCAACTCCGTCGTCTGGCTGTTAAGATACCAGCGTCCCCCCGGGCCTTGCTGCTGGGTTCTCCTTGTTCCAAACAATCCGTTACTTTTGGGCTGATTTGGCCTGTGAAACGACCCCCCAACCTCTGTGCCCTCTTCCCACTTAGCGAATACCTCCATACCCTAGACTCACGATGTCTATCCTTCTCGACCCTCCGGAGCTTGGGTTCAAACGTACGTCTAGGATATCAACATTAGTGTGAATTTCCGTCCGAACTAACCCCTCCCCCGATCCAGGCCCCTTCAACCGTGAAATATGCCAGGTTTTACACCTCACGAACAACAACCCCGATGCTGTTGTCTTTAAGGTATGGGATCTTGTTGTACCCCCGAAGTCATCCGTTACGCTCTAACACTTCATCGCATATAACAGGTCAAAACCACCGCCCCTAAACAGTACGTGACCGTTCCTACCTGCCGCACAATTGAATACATACTAAACTGCGCTTAGCTACTGCGTTCGACCAAACTCAGGGCGGATAGAGCCGGGAAAGCATGTGGAAGTCCAGGGTATGTCAACCTAATTCAAACGTCGTTATTGAGCGTATTTGCTGATAGTGTGGGATAGTGCTATTGCAGGCTATGAAGGACGAACCAGCCCCTGATGCCAAGTGCAAGGACAAGTTCCTTGTCCAAACCGTCTCAGTCACAAAAGATATGGAATTCGCCAATGTCAGCTCTATTGTACGTTCCTTTGGTGTCCGTTCCCCGGGATCCTGTCTAACCGACATGTAGTTCGAGAAAGCCACCAAATCAGCTGTCCAGGAGCGCAAGATACGAGTAACTTGGCTCGCTCCGGAAGAACTATCAACTGAAGATCAAGCGGATACCAATGGCACGGTGAGTACCCGCTTAAAGGGATCTTTGAGTTTACCTCATACTTATGCCTGTCGCACATAGAACGCCCAAGACGATGACCTCCCCGCCTACTCTTCCCCGAAAGGAGATTTTGAGACACCCGCCGCTGGACTTGCCAAAAGCCCCAACGCCTCGTCCCCCATTCCCGCTCCAGATTTCAACGAGGGTGCCAAACGTGAATATTCAACTCCACAAGTCAACGACAACAAAGCGGCGTTCGCGACATCCCCCACGGCGAGCGGGGGAAAACTGAATTCCGAGTATGAGGCTCGACTGTCGGATGCCAACGCTCAAATTCAACGCTTGAAAGATAAGCTCGCAGACCAAGGCCTGAGACAACGGAAGATTGGCGGCGAGACCGAGAAGTCGCCCATCGCCCTTGCGCAGCAGACCCAGTCCGTTGAGGCAGGAGTGCCGGTTAAGATAGTGGCAGGTCTATGCCTGCTAAGCTTCTTGATCGCCTATTTCTTCTTCTAGCCGTTTGTTGTCTTTTCATCGTTGTCCAATACCTATTTCCCACGTCTACAAACCCCTTGTGTTCATTCTGAGCTGCCTGTCTTTCAATTTCCTTGTTTGTCACCAACTTCCGTCCAAGCTTCGTTTCCTTTTGTTATGCTGCGCAGCTGTTTGTTTCGAACACCGTGGCCTCGCGTCGTTATTACGATGACCCTCGACCTCATGACACCATAAAAACAGCAACGGTAGGGGTACGAGAACGAAAATAAGCTCAACACGCTCAGCGAAAGCGGGGGGTTTATGTGGCGGAAATCCCAAGCAACCCTCCGTCTTGAGAACCTCGCTCGTCAATATTAATGGCGCATATGGCTAATCCGTCGCCTTTTCCGCTTTCTTCTCTGTCTGATTGTTGAAACCTGATGTGAATATCATTTTACAAGCGAGTATCGGTTTTAGACGAAACGTACGCGTTGATAGCCTGGCAGTTTAAGTAATAACGATAATGTTACTGAATGTTTATATCTCCTAAAACATGTTTCTTTTGTAACAACTAGGTTGCAGATCAAACATTATCTCATTTCGTATTGGTATATACACCTAAGAAAAATCACATCTAGACGACAAGGATATCATCTCGTCTATAATATATGAAGACATTCATCAGATAGGGTACATAGTAGAGAGCGCGCAGAGGACCCCAATTAATCCCAAATTAGCTCAGCGCGAAGAGAGAAGGTTAAAACAACAGACATATTAGAGAGCGAATAAGACGGAAGGCTAACTTCAACTTTGAATCTCGCTTTCCTTCCACCCATCGCCGGCCTCGTCAGGTCCAGCGTAGGCACTCTCGCCCGCTCGGCCGTTGGATCCGCCGCCGCCGCCTACGATACGGCCGCCTTGCGCTCGCTTAACACGGCACCAGGGGCCGACATTCTTGTCCAGGATGAAGGTCCAGATGACCCAGACCCAGCTTCGGTGGCAGGGTAAAGGCTCATAGAACTCGCTGGCAATACGGTGGAGGGCGTGGAGTTTTGTCCAGGGGATAGCGGGGAAGTCGTGGTGTTCGTTGTGGAGGCCGACATTGTAGGTAAGAATGTTGAGGGGCCCGTAGTAGGAGTATGTCTCTGGTGGAGGGAGAGATTCTAGGGGGTGTTCCTTTTGCTGTCCTTCGTCTGCTGTGGCTTGTTTGTTTAGTTCCTGAAGCGACTCTGTGCCGTGGTCCAGCTTTGAGAAGAAGTAGTGTTCTGCGATGAAGTGGCCGGCGCAGGGGTGGAGGGAGCCGGCGAGGAAGGAGCTGAGAAGGAGGTAGAGGACAGGTAGGAGGGAGCCGTTGCAGAACTTCGTTAGGGCAAAGTCAAAGGAGAGTTGGATGACTAGGTTTATGCTGTGGATCATGGTGAAGGGCGGGCTGTAGATGAACATGGGACGGACGGCGTAGAAGAAGATCTGGAAGGTACAAAAGAAGGCCTTCCCGAGGAGAGAGTCGAGAACAAAGGCCTCGAAGGCTGTGGGAAGATCGGTGTCTAGGCCGGCAACGCCTAGTGATTTGTGGTGGGTAAGATGATAGGGCTATAACAATTTGGTCAGCTTTTTTTTCGTCTTGACACAAGCTGGTGTATGGACGTACCCTGAAAGCGGCACTATAGGGCACTCCGATTGGGAGATTGGCAACTATAGCCAGGAATCGGTTGGCCATGGGCGACCGGAAAGCCAGATTATGGGATATTTCATGGATGGCGAGGAAGAGGTTCTGGTTCGAGGTTGCACCGATCACATATGCGGTTAACCAGAACCGCCAGGAAAAGAAAGAAGTTTCGCGGAGAAGATATGCGCAGCAGATCTGGAGGGAAACAACACCGAGAACCACATATTTGGTCAATGGTTCTGGTCCGCAGAGCTTGGTCACCTAGACGAAGATAAAAGCGTAAGTTGTTTGAAGGGTGAGCACTCGGGGAGAAAGGCGGAGGTACCTCTGGATGTGCTTTGATGATTGCTTGCCGTCTTGAGCGGTGCGGCTCCTCTGTGTAGGCCCAGAAGAAGTGGTCCTCAACTGAAGACGTCTTCGGGGGCGGGGCTTGCATCGAAGGCTCCTCATCATGTGGTTTTGAAGCTTTGCGCGGGTTCTTGGAGGCTGACACGCGGAGCTGCGGTGTAGCGGAGGTTGCGACTGTTGAGGTCATGGTGGGAGGAGGGAGGGAAATTTGCGGAAAGGGAGAAGTTGAGGGCGAGTTTTAGGCCATGGAACGAGCTCAGGAACGGGAGGATGGTCTATGGCTATAAAACAGCGAGGGAGAAGAGGTGGTTCGATTGAAACATGGGAGTCGCTCAGTCGAGTCTCGGAACGTTCGCCTTCCACGTGGGGCGCTCATCCACTGCCACTCAACGGCCTCTCTTCGACTCTCAGTAGTCCACACCGTACTCACACCTCTTGATCGTCCTCTCATTACAAATCCTGGCTCTGAGAGGGACTGGAACCGTGCGAGTTGGCTTTATACCCAGCTGTTATGCACTTCGAATCCCAACACGATGCTTATTGTTACCGAGATGATATACAAGAGGAAGTGTCACAAAACGTGTTAAAATGGATGGTCATACAACATTAATACCCTGAACCCGGAAATGCCAATCCCTTTCCTGATGGTGCCTTGACCGGTCTGTTGGAAAGCGCCACAAAAACTACTGAAGCTGGGCAGGAATGTACGATGCAGCTCCAATTGTTTCTCTAGTATTTTCTCACGGCCACGGGGATGGCAATTATGGGTATTCGGCATCTTAAAGTCATATCTATCGGTCTCTTCCTGGCTGAACCCTTTGGATTCAATCATGAGCTTCACGATATCGATATTCCATCGAGACGAGCGCCCCTACAGGAGCAATATGCAGTTCTAGCATGTAAAAATTCGTTTATTTGTTTGTCTTCACTTCGTATTCGGCCATTCAAAGCCTTGTATCACTCGATGCATCCAAATTGTTTTTAGTAGTCCTCTCCACGGCTGATGACCTCCTTTACGTTAGGCCGAAGCACGATGGTCTGCAAGTATAGTTAGCTTAGCTTCCAAACCTACGGTTGAACTGAATATAGGACTTACATGTTCGTACTGGGCTGTGTAGGAGCCCTTGACATCACAAAGAGGCGGGTAATCTTGGACAATTCCAGACGAAACCAGGTTGTTCAGCTAGAAAACGCGACACGATTAGCAAATATTTCAAACATTGGATATAACAAAATACTTACACCAAGAAGATACTTCTCCTGACCCAGTCTATCGAGATAACGACGGCACCAGGGCAAAGTGCCGAAGTTCTTGTTGATGACGTTCAGCAAGTTCTTAGCAGATGATAACCGTAGAGGAACCTGAGGTGCGTTCGGGACCAGCGCATAGTGAGAGGTTTCCATCTAAAACATTGTAAGTCCCTGAGTATGCGGCTGCGCTACAGAAAATTTAACTTACGTCTTCTCTCACGTAGCCCTTTCCGGTACTACCGAAGGTTTCAATAGCGAAAACTTCACCTTCTTCCATCTTGGTTTGGTCTGCACCTTTCACAATGGGGACGCTCTTGCCGCCATGGATAACGTGCTGGTCGATGTTATGGCCGTTAAGGTTACGGATAGGTTTTATAGGGTACGTGGTCCCGTTTAGTTCGACTTCGTAACTCTCCATAGTCTCCTGGATAGCAGCACCGATGTCGCTCATGCGGACATCAATTCCAGCCTCCTGCAATGGACCGTCAGTAGATCGTACCTAAAGGTTCGAGAGTGAAAACCACATACGCGAATACCAGTGTTGGTAGCATCCTTGACAGCCTCAAGCAGAGGATCATACACAGGGTCAAAGGACATGGTAAACGCACTGTCAACAATACGTCCGTTGAGTTGCGCTCCGAAATCGACCTTCATCACATCACCCTGCTGCAAGACCATCTTGTTGCCCGCATTCGGGGTGTAGTGAGCGGCACAGTGGTTGATGCTCAAACCACAGGGGAACCCCATGCCACCTTTGAGGTTGTCTCCCTCCTCAAGACCCTGGTGACCGGTCAAAGCGCGGACGGAGTCCTCAATACCCTCCGCGATCTCTGTCAAGGTCTGGCCGGGCTTGATGTTCTTCTGCGCATACTGGCGGACCTGGCGGTGAACCTCGGCACCCTGGCGATACTCCTGTAGGAAGTCATTGTTCATGCGGTCGAGGTAGCGCTTTTCCTCGTTGGTCGTACGATACGAGTTCTCGTTCTTGTATTCGACGATCTCGCCTTCGGGGTACTGGCCGTTCGGGAATAGATTCGACACCGGGACCCGGGGGGGAGAGCTCTGCACCTTGGCACCGCCCTTCTTCTTCTTCTTTGGCTTGCGCTTCTTCTTCTTCTTGGCTGCTACAATCCGATGTCTCCGGTCAGCGGGGTTGCGCCGAGGCAGACTAGGAAATGCGGGAGCCGGGTTAATGCATACCTCCGTCGGTCGCACCAGTAGCAGCAGCATTAGCATCGTCTGCATCATCATCATCCGAATCGTCCTCCGCCTCGCCGGCTTCCGTTTGGCCCGCTTTCGCTGGGGCCGCGGCGGAGTCGCCGTTCTGACCGTTCACTGCAGAAGAGGGTATATTTTAGCCTGATGCAGATCGATAAGAAAAGGTGGGACAGGAGGGGACCTACGGTCAAGCTTCTCTAGCTTCTCACTTGTCTGTGCGGCCATGGTGAGAAGATAAAGCTCGTTGCTGAAAAGGCAAAATCTAGACGGATAGCGGTCTGAACAAGAGAAAAAACAGAGCGGGGAATTTCATCGGATGAGATAATGAAGCGCCAAGCCTGAGGCCCCGATAGTCAACGACCGTGGGGTAGTTTTGGATGATCTAGGAATGGCTTCAGAGATATAATACAAGAAATTATAACTGAACACTTTCAGTAGTAAATATAGGCCTTTAACTGATAGTTATTGCTTTTATGTTGTCCTAGTAAAGCGGACGGAATAGCAACAGGGCCTCTCTGGCCTTTTCTACAACAATATCCGATACTCCGTAGAAGGCGCGGAGTATCAGTGTTTAAAACTAACATTGAATATCTGAAGACTAAACTTAGTTATTTACTAGCATGGTTGTAGGTAGACTGAGTAAACCGCACTTTGCGTGGCCAGAGCGTCGTGGACTCCAGTCTCGTGCACTACAACCCCGTTTAAGCTATAGTATAGTTAGAGTCCGATGCACGGATATGGTATCTAACATTAACAGGATGACACTTGAACTATAGTCAGAGATACCGCTGGGTGCTTTCTTTGGGCATTCTCATAGAGATAATTCCAATGTAGGGCAGAGCTAACGCGGACCGTATTCCACCATAAAACTCCAGCTCGCGCAGCGATGACGCACTGCGCCTCCGAAAAGCGGCCGACGCCATCACTCACGAAATGGACTTCCACTTGATCTTCCACTCGCTATCTCTCACCACCGAATACCCCCTTTCCAACACATACAAATGAAGGCATGCCTTTCCCCCGCCATTTGAGGACGCCAATTTCTCAGTTTCTCCTCGACAATTCTCACGGGCCGCAAGGCTTCGTGCAGCACGACCACATCTCTCCTACTTCCAACGCCCGCAACCATGGACGCGGCCGCACACGCAAAGCCCCCTTCTCAACGAGCTCCCGGTCTCTCGCCTCATCGCACGAACCAAATCACTACGAGATTCTCGATGTTCCGGTAACCGCCACACCCGCCGAAATCAAGAAGTGCGTCTCCAACCCATCGCATCAAACCTCCCTACCTCGCACCCAAGCTACAGCTACAGCTACAGCTACATAGCTCCCCATATCTGTCTACCTCTACCTGCAACCATAATCAAGCTCCAGCTAACCCCCAAACCCCCTCCAACAGGAAATTCTACTCTCTCTCCCTCCGCCACCACCCAGACCGCAACCCCGATGACCCTGCGGCTTCCTCCCGCTTCGCCAAAATCAATTCCGCCTACCAAGTCCTCAGCAACAACACAAAGCGCTCAACCTACGACCGCGACCATGGAATCCACGCCCACGCCTCCCAATCAACCCACTCCACCGCAACGCCCGGCCAACACCCCATGGGCAGCCACAGCAGCCACAGTAGCCACGCCTCGTATTTCGGCTCGCGACCTGCAAGTGGCCTAAGCAAACGTCGGGGTGTATTCCGGGGTCCGCCGCCGAGTTTCTACGCGCACGGCGGATACGGAAATAGAAGAGCACCTCCTGGGGCCGCGGGCGCTGCGGGCGGGGGTTCATATTCAGGTTCTGCGGCCGGTGCTGCGGGCAGCGCCGGGAAAGAAGACGACCCGACATCATTTATAGATCGGAATCGGGTTTCGCACTTTAATGCGCGGGGCCATTACCGGACGCAGACGGCCGAGGATGCGCGACGGCAGCAGCGGCGATCTAGGACGGAGGCCGATATCAATGAGCAGTATATAGGCAGTCAGGGGGATTTTGTAGTGCGGTTCATTGCAGTCTCGAGCATTCTTGTGGGTGCGGGTGCGTTATCGGGGTTCATCCGATGGCCGAGTAGTTCTGGGGTCGAGAAGTCGGAAAAGACGAAATCTGCAAAAGTGAAGACTGGCTGAGACGTGCTTCCGTGTTTTTGGAATGTCTTGTTTTCGCGCTGCATTTGCCGGGGTTGCATTGTACATATTTACGCTATTCTACTGGGATTGGCGCTGGCTGGATACATTGTTTTAGATGAATGTGCTTAGCAAAGCGATATAGAATTTTGTTTACAAGCAGCTCATCAAAATACACGGCGTATGCGCTGTAAATAGGTCTCAAACAAAAGAAATTTAAATCTTATTGATATACAGATTTCGCCAATAATGACTACGGTACATGATTATTACCCTGATATCTAGATATCAAAGTCCACCTAATCCTATCTTCCTGCTCCGTATATACAAAATCTCGCCCTATCTATGCGCCACCAAAAGGATGGAACAGACAGTTGACCAATTAGAAAGCAATGAAGGAGACCCCAATTGCTTTGAAATTGCCGGGCTTACGCATATTGGAACAAGGTAAAAAGGCTTAGGCGAGCCCCAATAGCGTAAGTATGGGAATTAGGTCGCTTAAGCCTCGAAAGTGAAGCTGGCGCCGACCTTGTGAGCAGCCTGGTTAAGGTTCTGGGTATCGAAGGAAGCACCAAGGCCGAGGGTGACACCAGGGCGGAGGAGAACGTTGTAGGCCAGAGCGGCAATACCACGGTCGTTGATCTTGACCTAAATTGAGAGAAATCGCATATTAGTTCTGAATCAAGCCTGGGCTTTTTTTTTTTTTTTCTTTTCTTTTTTTGCTTCTGAATACTCACCTTGGCGAAGGAAGAGGGGTCAAGGCGGTACTTGCTGGCAACCTCGAGGCCGACGGAGTTGCCGGTCTTGGAGTCCCAGGTGGCCTTGGCACCAGCCTCAACCTGAGCGTTGACGCGGTGGTAGTAGCTGGCGGAGAAGACAGTCAGGTTGTTGGCAGCGGTGATGGCAGCAGAGTACTGGGAAACGCTGTAGCCGACGGCAGCGGAGTACTTGGTGATGGCGGCCTTCTGGACATCGTAGCCACCCTCAGCACCGACAAGGAAACCCTCGTGGCCGAGAACAGCATCGAAGTTGGCGGAGGGGCCGTTAAGGAGATCGAAGAAAGCACGGGTGTGCACGTTGGGCTGCTTGAAGTGGAGGTTGAGCTTAGCACCCTTGGACTGCTTAGCAGGGAGATATTGGGTGAGGATCTCAGCCTTGAGACCCTTGGTGATGTTGTTGTCAAGCTCGAGCTTGGTGTCGAGGGCGTTGGCGGTAGTCCAGGCCTGGGTGAGGGTAAGGCCTGAGCAAGGAGAGACAATTAGCATCAATCTATGTTCGGCAACCCTTGACCCCAGAATGATTTTGGTGGATCGTGACAAGCGATGAGAGCGTGCGATATTAATCACAAGCGCTTTGTCAGGCTTTCTAGGAGACTTGGGGTCGGGTGGTTTTTGTTTGCGATGATGGGGGCCTTTACCAGTAGGAGCATCGACATATTTGGCCTCGAGCTATCTCAGCAAGAACTGTTAGTACTTGTTCTAGCCCAAGAATCTTATAGAAGACAATGATTGGAACTTACGTTACCAGCGATGGGACCCTCGTGGGCAGACTTGCCCTTCACGTTGAAGGTGACGCCATTGGGAGCCTTGGACTTGACCTCAAGGCTGGCTGAAAGTCGGGGAGTCAGCTAACGAGCGAGGTGATGCAACAGCATTGAAATTACATACCAGCAGAGCCGTGGTAAAAGTCCTTGTTGAGGAGCTATCGGACATTGAGTTAGCATTGGAAATGCGCAAGTCTCTTGTCCATCCTCCTGACCCCCCTTGCGAAAAGAGGTGAGAGGATGAACAGAACGACACGTACATCGTTGGCCGCCTTGGCGATATCGGAGAAAGCAGCAGGAGCAGCCATTGTGTAAAGTGTTAGGATTGATTAGACGTTAACGTCAAGTGTATTGGAGTAGAGAGGTGGTGGGAAAGGTGCGATGGAATGACGACGAGGGGAGGAAGAGAAGAATCGGATGGGGAGGTTGAGTTCCCAGTTAGCAACCCAAACAAATGATGGGGGAGCCACGGGAAACATCCGGCGTTGTGATTGGCTGCCGTTCGGTTCCCGGTAAAAGCCGCTACGAAATCCCGTGACGATGCCGATCGGTGCCTGAGTCGCCTGAACCGCCTGGGGCATCCGCTTTTCCTGACCGAGATCTACTCCCCAGCCTGGAGGCTGGGGACTGTCGGTAAACTACGTACTAGTACTGAAGGTTTGCCGGTGATACTCCTTATTCCTTCACGTTCACCGCTCCTGGTCGTTGTACACACTCTGAGGGACCCCGTTCGTTACTCTTCATCGGATAGAACCCATGGCTCAAATTGGAAGACAATGAAACAAGTTGAGACACATGATTAGGAGCTAACCTGAAACCCTAACAGTAGGCCACGGGCCAAAAATAGACCGCGGTGGACTTTGGAGAAGACGCGACGCCAATTTTACCATGTCTTCTTGTCTTGAAGTGGACGCAGTGGTCGAACAAAACGCAAACCAGACGCTGGCGACGCCGAGGAACCCGCTCGCATGAGTCGGACGAAAACTCACTTTGCGCCCAAAAACAAACATCTCGGGGATAAGTCATCTATGCATGCTTCTATATCTCAAAAAAATAATAACAATACCAACACGAGATTTTGGAAACCCTTGCTATAAAACATCTATTCGGTGCTGTCGTATTTGGCGTTGTGGGTGGAAATGGCTCTGGGGAGACACACGATAGTCAGCGGCTAAACGAGTTACTATCACTTTCACATCAACATACCTTCCACTAGGATCACTCTGCTTCGACCAAGTAGGGACCCAGCGCTCGACTGTGCCTGCGCAGGACGGCGGGAAGTGCTCGTCGAACATCATACGGTACCAGTAACTGTTTCAAGGTTAGCTTTCCCTTTGAACGTTGCGTGGGGACAAAACACATACGCCTCCTTGGTATCTGGAACATCGTTACCCCACTCGGGCTTGGGGTTCTTCATCATCTCATCAGTGACGTGAAGCTCAGCGTTGTCCTTAAGACCATCGATCCAGCTGTAGCCAACACCATCACTGAACTGTTCCTTCTGGCGCCAAAGGATCTTGTCGGGGAGGTAGGGCTCGACATCGGGTTCATCGGAGGTGTCGAACGCCTTGCGCAGAATGTATTTCTCGATACGGTCCTTTGTGATCATCTTCTCCTTAGGGTCAACCGACATCGATGTCTCGACGAAGCCCTTGTCGAGGAAAGGAACACGCGCTTCCAAGCCCCAAGCGGATGTTGACTTGTTGGCTCTGAGACAGTCTGCAAGATGCAAGTTCTTCACGCGTCGAACGGTCTCCTTGTGGAACTCCTCCTTGTTGGGGGCGGCATGGAAGTAAAGATATCCGCCGAAAATCTCGTCACTTCCCTCACCACTCAAAACCATCTTGACTCCCAGACCCTTGATCTTGCGGCTGAGCAGGTACATGGGGGTAGAAGCTCGGATAGTGGTCACATCATACGTCTCCAAGTGGTAGATAACGTCGGAAAGAGCGTTAAGACCGTCTTCGATGGTGAAAGTAAGGGCGTGGTGCTTGGTTCCCAAGAACTTAGCCACCTCCATAGCAGCCTCGGTGTCGGGAGCACCAGGAAGACCAATGGAGAATGATTGCAGTTGCTGGAAGGAGTTAACTGTTGAGAGCTCGTTCTCGTCATCAATGCCGACCAACTGGCCGTTGGCCTCGCTCTTGGCGCCGTTGCTAGCGGACTGCATGCGCTTGGTCTCGCGCTGGGCGATCGAGGCAACCAAACTTGAGTCAAGACCACCAGATAGCAGAACACCGTACGGAACCTCCGCCATCAGACGCTTGCGGACAGATTTCGTGAGAGACTCGCGAATGGCCAAGTAGTCGATTGGGGTGTTGGGGACGTTGGTGGGGTCCCACCATGAGGGCTGGAAATACCGGGAGAATTCACCGGTCTTAGAGTCAAAGACATGGCCAGGGGGGAAAGTCTCGACCTTGTCGCAAACTGGGTGCAAACTCTTCAATTCAGAGGCGAAGTAAACGGCACCGGGAGTCTGAGACGACCAGCCGATATAGAAGCTGCAGATACCGATGGGATCACGTGCTGCAATAACCCTATCCTGCTCCTTGTCGAACAAAACCCACGCGAACATACCATCAAGGTACTTGGGCGCATCGAGACCATATTTCATATACTAAGTTCCGTCAGTATTCCTATACCATAACCTTTTTCGGATGTCGCTGCGCAACTGATCCTTTCACAGTCCACACATACCAGAGGGAGGATGACTTCGCAGTCCGAATGTGTCTTGTAGTTGTAGTCCGCGTCCAGAGTCTTTCTCAGGATACGGTGGTTGTAGATCTCACCATTGACGGCCAAGGCGAGGGATCCATTTTCGTTGACGAGGGGTTGCGCGCCGGAGTCTTGAAGCAGTAGCAGTCTTAGCGAAGAACCGAGAGACACGGCACAGATGGCGAGGGACAAGAACAGCAGCAACAACAGGAGGAGGAGGAGGAGGAGGAGGAGGAAGAGGTAGGGCTTTCTTTGACCGAACTTGGGTACATACCGACACCGACAATGCAGAGACGCTCGTGGCAAAGAACTAAAGGTCTGGTCAGCTTCTCAAAACTGGACAAACTTCCATTGTTGGCAGGCATTGGGTCACTAACCAGTCTTTTCAGCGATGAAGCTTCCACCTGTTGGTATGATATATTAGGGGTTTGCTGCATCCGAAGAGGATCTATGATCGCATGACTCACTCCAATCCGGTCCGCGATGGCGCACACTGCGTACGGTCAGCCGCTATTCCACTGGGTTTATTGAGCATGATATAAGAGAGGGAACTTACGCCTTTGACATGCGCAACGCTGTAGGCTTAAAGCCCTGAACATCAGGGTGACTGTCGCGATATTGTTAGCGTTGACAAGCGCGGGGAAGTGTGTGCCGGGTAAAAAAAAAATCATAGCGACATACTGATGACACGCGAAGATACCACACATGCTGGCGGGGAGCAATTGGACAGCAGTTTCAAAGAAATCGACAGTCCGGAGGGGAGGTTTTCCACGGGAGAAAAGGGTGAGCGTGAATTGACCAAGTTGTAGAGAGTTCAAACGGAGGGGAGCCAGGGAATTTTTAAATGTCAAGGGAATACCTCAGCAGCGTCCCCGGCGGGGCGGAAATCGAGGGGCGATTTCGGCCTCCAAAAAATCTGGGAGGGCACCCAGACTGTGACGGGCCTGACTCATCCACGATAAGATAACTTGTCTGGGCCGTCATTGGCTGGCTGGTGGCCGGACTAAGGACTTCCGCTAAGGAAACTCAATCAGGTCCATTTCGTCAGGAACACTTACGATCTAGTTTTACGGTGTAGTTTCGCTACGGAGCTGAAGTCTAGAGCTGACAAGCTGAGGCGCATGTTTTCTTTATTTGTCCTGTCGCAGATCGATCCAGATCCACGAGGGCTGACGACCGCCTTGCACAGGCTTTTGACGTTGGTCAATGCGACACCGGTAGCGAACCTCGGTAGCCGCCGAAGAATCCACCAGACAATACTTCCTAGTTAAGGATCGGGTACTACTCCGTACTTGCTACTTAGTACTCGATAGTATAGGTAAGAAAGATGATAAAGGCGTGATCATAGCCAGGACTCCCGTACATGACAATTCTCCTGCCGGTATTTCCCCTCACCGAATCCGGAAGAGTAAAGGATTTCCATGCATTGCAACAATTGTAGAATCTACGCGGTATATGCGGTTGTCTCGATGAGCGCGAAAATAAAAACCCCTCATATGTAGGTAGGAAAAAGCAGAAACGCCATCCATAACCTCACTGTTTCGTCGGTTCTAGACGCAATGCTCGCTAAGAAAATAAAGAACAAATTGGAGACTGAGGAACACCATGCCTGTGCGAAATAGCCAATCATCATAAAATGCGGAGTCAGGTCGCTCGTGACCAACTACGCCCAACCCATCTCGTATCAGAGGGTAGAGATTGGCGCAGAGTTAGAGATCGGTGACCACATTCATTCTTCAAATTGCACACCCCACGTAGAATATGTTTTCCAAACACGCTATATCCGCCATAACTCCGGCGAAGTGAAACTGGGAGCGGAGGTAGCTGAATGGTCATGAGACAGTCGTAAAAGTTTTTGCCAGAATCTCATAAAGATGGGTTCTCCCGCACAACTTGTCTAACACGTCTCTCGTAGGCTGGCTTGTCCTTCTTAAACAGATTGTATGCCTCCGCCTGAGCAGGGGACTCGGGGTTCGGGTCATTCAGTAAATCCTGAATACCCAAAAGGATCTGTTTGATTGTAATGGCGGGTTTCCATGCTTCATCCTCGTTCAATATGGAAAGGCAGACAGTCCCAGACGGATAAACATTCGGATGGAAGAGCGGCGGAACGAACTTGCCTATATAACACAGCACTATGTCAGCTGATACCATTATCATAAACCGTGGAAATTAGGAGGGGGTATAAGCTGTATAATGTGACACAAGGGTGAATGGCGCACAGTTCCAGCTCGAATGAAACGCCGCCAAACAACGGCACGGCGCAGAGGGTTAACACGTACACTTTGGCGGTTTGGTCGGATACTCTAAACACAGAGAGATACCGGTCAGTATATTTGCGCTGGATCATAGGGAAAGCAGAGTGGGTGAAGATTGCCACTCACCATCAGGGAATATGACATCGAGTTTGAAAAGACCGCCCTCCCAGAGTGTTTGCGACTTGCCAGGAACGCCGCACTCCCAGCGTTTCAAGTCAAGCACACCTTGCGCGGTTCTGTGAGGCTTTGCGTAAAAGCCAAAGGGGTGATCCTTGCGCCATTGCTTCCTGCGCGCAAAGGACTCTAGTTAGCTCGGTGCGGGGCAAAGGCCAGGTCAAGGTGAAGAAGAAAGGTGCCAGGTAAGGCAAGATATTCGAAGCATACCTTTCTTCTGTCAAACGGTTCAGGCACAGCGACATATTTGTAATATATAGGTGGGACGGAAAAGCTCGTGAGTGTATCGTTGTAAGGCTTCGCGCAGAGGGTAAAGAGGCCTTGCGATTGCGGAGCTAGAGTGGGAACAAGTTCGGTTGGAGGTGTACCTGATAAGAAGGGCAAGCGTATAAGTTCGAGGAAGGTGTTAGATTAAACAAAATGTGGGCGAAAGGAAGAAAGGTGGTTAGGTAGTCGCTGTATTATCGGAGGTCGGACAAGGCTTGGTAAAGGCGAAGGCTGAAGTGAATTGCCTGAGGCGAAAATCTGCAGGATCTGGAACCATCAATTCCATGATCTTCCCAGCCAATCAATCTCCCTCCCTCTTTGTATGGTCACGTGATGTCGTTATAGATCGCTCATGTACTGCCGACTTATTCATGATCTTTGTTATTTCTATGGATTCAGATATTATCCAAGTGAATATAATCACTGGGTGAATATTCTCAAAGACTTATACTTTGTTAATTTATATATGAATGATTTTCCATGCACACTTTTAAAGCTAGTAACAAAGAACCACACGGTAACAGGACAGTGGTCCTTATAGTAGATTCTCACATTCCAGTGCCACACCCGATAAGAATGCTTTCAGAGTGGATGGCAACCACACATTACTGTTACCTCTCTCCACAATTATTTATTGTTTACCTTTATAAAACCCCCTTAACTACCTAGTAGAAAGCGGAGACCTCAAATTCTGTGTCCACCTCTCAGCTTCCCACCTTCTGCCTCTCCATCTCTATTCATTGCCAATACTAATTCCTTTTGGAATTTTAGAATCTGGATATCCGCGAAGCAGCTGAGACACTCCTACCCCGAAAGGCATATAACTTATCAATATGTGCCACTGCATAATCTGGTACCACGCCCTTTGCTTCCATGAGGATCCCGCCTCCACTCTCAACATCTACTGCAAAGACGCCCTCCAATGCAACTACGATTGCGGCTCCCAAGAAACAATGTCGCTTCCCTTATTCGGTGCCTGTCCTTCCTGCACGATAAAGGCAACCTTCGCAAAAAATATGCCGCGAAATACGCAATCATATGGCATTACCCCAATCATGGAATCGTTTGAAGATGAGACTTTAGTGGAGAGTGACGAGTGCTGCCTCTCTGGCACTCATAGCGAGAGCTCGGTCAATGAAATAGAACTGTTCGATAGAGTCACCTTCTGATGGACCGGGTTATTGATAGGTTGCTGCGGCCCTACTAGGGAAATATCCCCAGGATCTCCTCTGATCGTCTTGGGTGGTAACCTGCAGTATTATATCGAAACCCCACAGGCATACAACGTCACGATAGCATCGCCACTTGGTGATAACCGACGGTCACACCACACTTTGAGAAATTAATTCTCATAAATGCCCTGTTCGAAGTCCTGGGCGTCAAAAAAGCGCACGGTGATCGGATTTCCGTTGAATATCCGTCCTTCAAGGGCGTTCACGGCCTATAAAATCGGTATTGTTAATATACGTTTGTAATATTCGTGCAGCTCGCAAAGGCACTTACCCGAAGAGCAGACAATTGGTTGGTGAACTTGACAAATACTGGGACCGGTGGACCGGAATCACGAGCAACATAGACACGCTCCACGCGCCCGTACTGTTTAAAAGTTAGATATCAGAGACATGGGTGAAAAAATCGAACTAATTACCTTTTCAGAACATTCTTCCCCTATTTCTTGCATTAAGCCACCTCCTTCGGCACCTGCCAGTTCTGCATCCACATCCATGCCATCCAGCATTCCCTTCAGGATGATAACTTCACTCATCGCACCAAATTTGCCCTCATCCTCTTGCTTTCTTTGGCCGCCAATAATCTTGCCTCGACCAGCCGGTGTGATAAAACCGCCACCCTCTGAATCAGGCCGTTTCTTTCGCTTTTCGACTTGAACTTGTAGAGGCTTTGCAATTCCGGATCCGGTGGCACCCAATCCAGATCCCTTAGTCCATCCATACTTGGCCAACATCCGCTCAGCGAACCCTTTCTGGCCAGGCCGGAGTGAGCGTTTCCCGCTCTCTCCTGTTTCATCTTCTGTTGGTTGTTCTTGGGCAAGGACTTCCTCAAGCTCCGCTTCCGAAGCAGGGATATCGTCAGGGGCCGGGGGGAGAGTATATCGAACCGGTGCACGTGATATTGTTGCGGAAGGTGCCTGAATGTTTTGTAATGGATTCGATGGAGCTTGCGGGGGCTGGGTCTGTCCTGACATTTGAAGACGCCGTAAATAAGCGTCATCTCCAGTAGACGCCTCCTGAACTTGAGCAGCTGATTCATCTGGCGGAGGTGGAGGCGGGGAGTAATACGCCGGTGGTGCATAGGCTGTACTTGCGGCCATCTGAGCTCGTCGTGCAAAAGCATCCTGTCCAGAGGCAACGCCGTCATCGCCGCCAGAGGGCGCTGGGGGTATATCATTAAGGTTAGGGGGTGGTGCAAAACTGCTTGGTGGCGCAAATTTTCCTGATCTAAACTTAGTTTTCTACCCACTGGGAATCTGAGATAACGCCCCAACTCACGGTTCACTGAATGCCCATAATCTTCGTCACTATATGAATCTCGACTCGGTGACCTTGCCATACGGTGTGCATATAAGCGGTCCTTCCATTCTCGAACTTCCGATATTTGCTCATCGCTCTGTTTATATTCTTCGTATATATTCGGTCTCGATGGGTCGTAGATATCATCCCAGTTCTGCACAAATTCTTGCGCTTCTCGATTCTTCTTGCGCTTTTTGCGACCTCCGCGCTGCCTCTTGGGGGCCCCGTAGAACCCGTTGACGTCGTCTTCCTCCGTGCCCGCCCAATCGGCAAGTGTGGATTTAACAGGCGCGGCTACCGGGGCTACGGGAGCCGCTTTGGGTAGAGCTGGTTTCGGCTTGGGTTTTTGAGTCGCTAGTTGGGGGCGTTTCGTCGGTTGAAATCGAAGAGCTGTCAAAATGGGCAATCAGAATCCAACATACATGTACCCCAGCCGAAAAAGCATGACATACCATTATTGGCCTGCTTTTTTGCGGCTTCTTCCGGTTGACCTTCTCCTTCTGCTTGCTTAAACACAACCGGCGCACGAGAAATCGTCCCAGGCGAGTTGTCAGTGGATGGATCGAGCAGGTTGGCGTATAGGGACAGCATGCCGCCCGGTTTAGGGGGTGAGGATCCCGACGCCATGCTGCAATAAGATATGTGCAAGGCGCTTTAGTGGACTAATGAAAATACGAGTATGACCATAAACTCCTCATATCGAGGGGAGCTCTTGATGGATGCTGCAAAGGAAGCTGCTGGGACAGAATAGGCATGTTTGCTCTGTTTGCTTGAATTGCATCTTTTTGCACTCATGTTATGTAATTGTCGGAGAAGATACGGGGAACTTCGGCAAATCGGCCGCTCACGATGAGATGATGTTCATGACGAGTGGAGCATTGGCCCTTTGCGACATGGATGTTGCCTTGGGCTGGGTCCAAGGACTCCGGTCCTGTTCGCATTCAATCCTCCTTCAATCTATCCTTCATCAATCAGCTGCGATCTCAAATACCCAGCTCCATACAAAATGGCTACATTGGCTCGATCCTTCTCTTCTGACGGCGCTGGCGTTGCCGTCATCGTTCCCCAGAATCCACTTTTATCGATAACTTACCAACAGCTGCATTCGCACATCTCCGATTTCCAGGCTAAGCTGGCTAAACTTGGGGTTGGGCATGGAGCAGCAGTGAATCTGGCCCTTGTGAATTCATATGAATTTATCGTCGGATTTCTGGCAGCATCCTGGCAACGGGCAATCGCTGCACCCCTAAATCCTGCCTACAAGCAGGATGAGTTTGAGTTCTATATAGATGATCTCAGCTCGACCTTGGTCCTTATTCCCAGGGGAGCATATGCCCAAGATGGCCCCGCAGTTCGAGCAGGCCGAAAGTATCAAGCCGCTATTGCAGAGTGCTACTGGAACGGAACTGAGGTTGTCCTTGACGTAAAGGAGGAGGGCAAACTGGCAGGTAAAGGGAACGCTGGAGTTCAAAACGCCCAGCCCGACGATGTTGCACTTGTTTTGCATACGAGTGGAACCACTGGCAGGCCCAAAGCTGTATGAAGTATTCTCCGCCAGACTATCCTGAGCAGGAAACTAACAATCAAGTAGGTTCCGCTCACCCACAAGAATCTAACAACAACCATGAGTGAATCACCCTGATCCGTATCTGCCTAAGACAAGACTAACTAGGCTCTAGGGAACATTCAGGCAACGTACAATCTCACTCCGGCAGATAGAACATATCTAGTCATGCCCCTATTCCATGTCCACGGCCTCTTAGCAGCCTTCTTGGCTCCTCTTGCGTCCGGAGGCTCTGTAATTGTACCGCCCAAGTTCTCGGCCCATGAATTCTGGTCCGATTTCACCAAATACAAGGCGAACTGGTACTCCGCTGTGCCCACTATCCACCAAATCCTGCTCAAATCGCCGCTGCCAACCCCTATTCCTCAAATACGCTTCATCCGCTCCTGCTCTTCTCCTCTTTCGCCGAAAACGTTCCAGGATCTCGAAAATACATTCAACGCCCCGGTGCTTGAGGCATACGCCATGACAGAGGCAGCCCACCAGATGACAAGCAACCCTCTGCCCCCGGCAAAGCGGCAGCCCGGTAGCGTTGGAATCGGCCAGGGCGTCGAAATCAGGATTCTCGACCAGGCCGGAAAAGAAGTCCCACAGGGTTCCGAGGCGGAAATCTGCGTTCGAGGAGAGAATGTCACAAAGGGATACCTCAATAACCCAGCCGCCAATGAATCCTCATTCACTAAGGACGGGTTTTTCCGCACAGGTGACCAGGGAAAGAAAGACGCCGATGGCTATGTGATCATCACCGGTCGTATCAAGGAACTCATCAATAAGGGCGGAGAAAAGATCAGTCCTATCGAACTAGACAATACTCTGCTGAGTAACCCTAAAGTTGGCGAAGCGGTTTGTTTTGCCATCCCCGACGAGGGTCACTACGGCGAAGACATCGGGGCGGCGGTAGTCCTGAAGAGTGGCCAGAGTGCCACGGAGGATGAATTGAAGTCATGGGTCCAGACCAAGCTGGCAAAATTTAAGACCCCCAAACAGGCAGGCCTCACCACCCCTTCACCATATCATTGCATTTCATACTAACTCTCCCCCGCCTAAACAGGTTTGGATTGTACCTCAGATTCCCAAGACGGCAACGGGCAAGATCCAGCGACGCAAAGTCGCGGAGACGATGCTGAAGCCCAAGGCGAAGTTGTAAAAGCCTCGGTTCAAGCAGTGTACTGTTACTACGTTACCATGTACATGTGTATACTACGTAGCCATGATGCATATGCATATATAGTCATCTCGTTTATATGAGGTGCGACTGAACATACTTATAGCACGGAATTCATCCTACACCCATTGCTCGTAGTCACCAATCCAGTCACAATCCAATCCACTTGGCTACGCCGCAAGCCTAACCGCAGACTTGAACTACACGTAACCATCCCCGTCAGCAACCAAGTAAACAGAGTAACACAGTATCATAGCGTGGGGAAATAAAGGGCATACCGGGATAACTTGCGCAGCATCCACATCCCAAACGCCGGACTTCACATAGATATCATTCCGGATGAGCTCCCATGCTTCTTCCTCCTTCTCAACGGTGTAGATGAGCATGCTTCCCTTGAACGAGGGCGTTTCGCCTTCAGATGGGTGGGCATTGAGCATTGCGCCTGTAGATGCAGACGACGCACGACATTAGTACATAGAGGTATGTTTTAATGTTTGCACGTAGGCGAAGTCCTAGGATTAGGCAGGCAGATAGGGAATCTGTAGGAACAGGGAATAGGAAGAATGGGTAGGCTGTGTAGACGTACCACCAACAGCGACCTTCCCCGCATCAACGAGGGGCTTAATGTTCTCCAGGTGTTGTCTACATTCGTGTCGAGTCAGCACTCATATCCCCGCGATATCGACGTACCAATTCCTCTCCAATGGCAATGGATATTAATTTTCCAAAGACAGAGAGGGAGGTTTCGAAGAGAGAGAGCCACATACGACCTAACCTCCATCCTCTTCGCGTGCACTCCAGGCTTATCGGGCAGAATGCAGAGGAACTCCTTGGCCATTGTCGCGGTCTTGCTGAAGAGGAAATTACGGGAAGAATGAAACGAAGCTCTTGGCTGTATTTGAGATTGGACGAGAGAAAACCCGAGTCTCCGTATTGTTGTTGATTTTATGAGGCGCGACGACTGAGTGAGCATGGTGGGGAAGACGTAGTGGAATGGGGAAAGTTTTCGGGGAGGCCCAGCTTATGAGAGCGGAGTTCTGTCCGAGATGCGAGAAGCTCCAGTAAGCTAGGGACAACCTGGCCGCGAAAAAATCAACAAATGATAACCCTCATTTACACCGCACAAACCAGATGCCTTGGGGAAAGTTTGTAAATGTGGACTCGTGGTTTCAGGTTTGCAGCTTTTGTTAATTCACCAATCCCAGTTGATCGTCAATTTGACTACACATAGCCTATATATGTATGTACAGGAAGAAAAGCACCAAATTTCCTTTCGCTCATCACTCTGCTTCGAACCCAACCGACCAGTGCTCCTTTGGTATGCTGAATAACTCCGATTTGTGGAAACGAGCTACTTATTTGTATACCCTGAAATAGGTCGAGAGCATCAATGCAACTTGAACATCGGAGGGCCGCAAAGCAGAAAAGCGTTCAGAGCCGATATCCCAGGCAGCTGGGCCTGGTCATTGAGATGGTGCCCTTCACTGACGGACAAGTGAAGCTCAGTCTGAGCTCAATCACGTTCAACCCTGAGCCTCCAAGGCCGCTGAACACATTCTCCCAGCGCCAACAGAAAAAAGCAGACGTATCCCTAGAACACAACGTAAAGGAAGGCTAATTATCGGAGCCGAACTAGCTGTACGCGACATCCAAAGAAAATGATTAATAAGAACTGCGTGAGGGCGGCGGACCCGTGTGCGATGAAACCAGCCGCAATGCATTAGATATACATTGGACAGACAAGAGGCAACCAAGGTCAAAAATCGTAGAGCCTTGTCGATAATAAATTAATTCAAACGTGCGAACTAGTATGCCTTGCGGTCTCCGAGGTTGCCCGGCTTCTCATCGGTATCAATGTGCCAGACAACGTAATTTGGCAGGCCGATGACCTGGTATCCAGCACGCTTGGCCATCTTCGCAAATCCTTCGGTTTCGGCCTGGTTCTCGAAAGCGTACGCGGGGAAATTGATCCCTAGAAGTAATGTTAGAGCGCTAGGGTAAAATTAGTGTTTGGAGGAGGTTCAAATTCATACCTGAGCGATGAACATCGGCCTTGACGACAATATTAACTCCACCAATACCATCGAGCTCAACTTCTTCATCCTTGTTGTTTCTCCAGTCACCCATTCCAACGAGATATTGACGGCCAGTGTCGTATTCCTTGTATCCTTCTGCCAAAACCGTGTCAGGGTCCAACGTCGTGCGAAGTCTACGTGCCTTGTCGGAGTCAATCCAAGAATTGTAGTCAACTAAAACAAAGTGAGTAAAAGCCCCATAACTCTCTAAAAATCATGGACACATACAGCGACCCTCGATATCAACGCCATCTCTGTAGCGATGGAACCAGATGTCTGAAAGGCAGTTAGCAAACCCTCGCTTGAGAAACGTAAGTTAGTGTAGCATACTAGGAACGAGAATATCCTTATCGTGGGCAATGAAGTCCTCCAGAATGCTCTCCGGGCTGTCCACAATATCAACGTCCCGCCAGTAGACCCAAGAGTGGTCTGGTTTTAGGGCGGAGTAAAGTAGGTAATTGCGAGCTCGGCCAATAGCCTTGCGCCGAGGCCCCTGTGCGGCGAACGAGTGTCGATCCTCAACGGACATCTCAAAGGCAGTGCCAAAGTCCTTCTCGATAATTGTGGCGCTGCGGAAAGCGACCTTCTCCTGGGACTGAATGCGCTGCAGTTCGGATGTGAGCACTGCCAGCGTCTCGTCCTTGGAATCGCCAACGAGGAAGGCCAGGTCAATCAGCTCGTGTGGGTATGTCAATTTATAGATGAGGTCAAAATATCTGTTGAGATGAAACGCAGCATCTCTCAGCGGTGTAAGGATCAGGATACGCTCGGAATTTTGAACGGCATGCGTCGTAGACTTGATTGGGTTGAGGTCAACAGTGTTGATCGAGCTGGAATTCACTTCATAAGGTTCATGGTAGTTGAAGAGGACGGGAGTCTGGGCGTGGGAGGTCCATTCGGTAATCTCATTAAGGCTCATATCCATTGGCGATTTTGGAGGTCCGTAGCAATAAAAACTGGCAGCCGCGCGCGGTCAGTATGATTGAGAGGTTGCTAACGGTTTTGACGCTATCAAGACAGATTGCGTTTCAACTTACTTTTGCATTTCAGAGGCGGAACTGCTAATTCCGCGCCATAGTAAGACGATCAAACCAGTGATCGCCAGGGATATTAAAAATCGCGTCCTCGTCACTAGAACTAGGACAGCCCGCCATGGAGGCAGCCTAGCTCTGGCCGACTTCCACGTTACACCACCCTTTGGAAGTAGCATCCTTGCGGGTGGAATATTATGAAGTCACGGACTCCAAACAAATTAAAGGTATCGATTCCAAGGACGGAGTGCTATATGCCCGCGGTACGCGACAATTCCCAGCACAATACTGTCACGACCGTCGGGGGGGCGCGGCAGGAGATAGGGGTTGCGGCAGGGGCTGGTTCGACGATAGGAACTTCTAAAGAAGGCGGATACTCGGCGTCGACGTTTCTAGACTGTCAATATTGGCGGAATTGAGGGTTAAGATAGCCAACGTATTGGCACAACAATGCGATCGGCTGGAGACGGTTGATGGTTGAAGAAGGGGATAAAAAAAGATTCGGCAGAGTAGCACCGATCGAGAGAAAGCAACGGACCAAACGAGTGAAAGGAACCGGTTTGAGGCTCAATAGGATACCGGGCGGCCAGATGAAGATGCTTAGCTCGTCAGGACAGGCGTGGTCGCGGAGAGTTGGTGGAGGCGATGGAAGAGAAGGGGGTCGACAGTTGAACGTTTGACACCTTTGAGAGTTGAGATAAAATCCACCAGCCGCAGTCCAGCCAATCTAGCCTCTGATCGGAGACTCGGGAACGGTCCATCGTTGCTTTTTATAGCCTCCTAAAGAATGAATAATAAACGGCCAGACTGCTTTCTGTAATAGAGCTGAAATGTTCACATAATTCCTACATACTGATAGGAAATAATAAATACTATTCGTACGCCATCTTCAAGCAAAACCCATTAGCTCGAGGGTACTATCTCGATTGAAACTGTAAAATTTCAATGTAAATTACACGATTCTCGCCAAAATCTCACCGATGATCATGTATTATTTCGTAATCCCCGAGTTCCAGATTCAGGGTCTTTAACGAAACCGGCCCTGAATCTGCAAGTCGCCAAATGAGAAAACAACAAAATTGACTTCTTACGTATCTCATTGAACAGCGTCCGGTCTCTATCTGAGGAAATTTTAATTATTAATGTACGAAAACATGGCCTTGGAGACATTCCTAATACGTACGTAGGTAATCGGCAATTGGAGGTAGGTAGACAATGATTGTAAGTTGGCATCATCACGTTCATCAATTCTATGTCTATGGTGCCCTGATACGTGTATAATCAGCATGGCATCTTTATATAAAATAAATACATTGTTCCAGAGACCCAAAATTCACAAAGGAAAGTAAAAAAAGAAACCGAAGCTATAACACCGAAATATGCCTTAGTATGTATGTATATTGTGGGCATCAAGGAAGGGAAGCTCCCGAGCTTCAAACACCGGCCCAATACGCCGTATTGAATAACCGAATATATTATACAACATGAAGGAGAAACTCAGAAGGTTGGTACTCCCAAGTAACTTTTTTTTGGCGTGCGTTCCGAAAATTCGAAACATCAACACCGTAAAATAAACACGCGGGCCCCAAAATCCAAGGCCTTCACAGATAGCCGCCCACCCGCTATGATATTAACCACAAGAAAAGTCATCAGCAGCCTCTCAGGTTATGGTGATTGTATGAGAGATAGAGGTCGTGAATTGGCCACTGAGTAGGTGGCGTGATGAAAGACAGGAGTAGACGGGCCTGTCGTTGGCGGTGTTTGGCTAAGGTAGGTGTGACCAAAAGACTGGGATGTTCCAGTGGACATGGCATCAAACCGAGAAGATTCCGGGCTGTTCGTAGCAATCTCATCACAGACCACGCGCAGGCCCGGGAGCATGGTTTTCGGTTTGCTGTCCGGCAGCAAAGCAACTTGCTGGGGGCTCGGTTGCTCGATCTTTGGGGAGCGGTAGATGTGCTCGCGGGCCCTGAGTTGATACTCAAGGGCTCGGTTGTGCTCTTCCAAGGTCCTGTTTCGCTCTTCTAGAGCCTGGGTTTCCTGCTTCAATGCATCGGCTTGCTGTTGTGCCGCGTGGTTCTGCTGCTGAAGGCCAGAGACCAAGCGCTGGAGTTGCATGCACCGAAGTTGAGGCTGAATCTTTTCTTGTAGATGCTCCGGCACCTTTTTCTCCTGACAAATTAACTGGACGATGACGATCTGCATGAAGTCGATGAGGTCAATCGCGCCAGAGACAATGTGCTCCTTAGACTCAGCTGTGCCCTTTGACGGGTTCCACCCAGCTCTTTGGAGAAAGAAGTCGTGGAGCCTGTTGTCTAACCGCTTGTGTAAGTTGCTTAGGTTCTTCCGTCGGTTTCCTTCAGCAACACGATGCTTTTCCCTCTGATCATCCAGGTCCGCAGACATCACACTTGCCTTGCGCTTTCTGCCGCAGGGCTGCTGCAGTGGCCGCTTGCGAGTAATGTGTTCTGGGTCTGGAGCTATTAGTTTGATGAGATCGGCCGCAGAAAGATGCGAAATATCTTGAGCTGATCTAAACGAATTCTGTGGTGGTACCATTTCCCCCCAAGAGTCAGCAGTGCTCGCTGGAGATGGAGGTGCCACGATATGCTCTGTCGGTGCCCATTGCGATTTAACAGGGAAAGTATCATGTGTCCCCGGTGGGCTGGGCATGAGGTTCCTTTGAGTAAATGGATTGAACAGGTCTCGTTGTAAAGGTTCAATACGGGGTAGTGGAGGTAGACGCCGGTCTTCAGTCATATCTGCCGGGCTTGAAGTAGAGGAAATCGTCCGCACGCCACTATATTTCAAGTCAGTCGTGTCGGAGGACTGGAAGGTGTCGATATACTTACGGGAGATGGCAGCGTTGGGAAACGTCGTCTGTCATTGAAGCCATTCCTTCAACTGGCGAGCAGTTTACAGTATGGGTTTGTTGGTGGTGGACGTTGAATATGCAGTGTCGTCGAGGCTGTTGCAAGTATGTATATGTGCAGCACTGATGTAGACAATGGGTAGGTATTTGTAGACCTTGATGTGAGGTATAACAGCAACAATAAAGTACAGTGCTTATAAAATAGACCCAAATAGATGTAGATCAAGGGGTGGTGATTGCAAGGGACAGTGACTGAGGTAGAATAAACGAAGGCGTTCGAGAAATTCCACGAGGCCTGGGATGCTCGAAGAAACGAAAGCCGGATGCCGCAGCATGTTTTATATGTGAGATGCACACGGCGAACGAGGCGAGGGACCAGAGGGCATAGGCGAAAATAGCAGAATGGGGAGGGGTGGGAACCGCAGACGACGCCATCCGTGAGGATCTGGATGTATCACCAGCAACAAATGTACTGAACTCTCAACTCGGAAACTCCAACTCCAGTTCTGCCTCCAGACAGTGACTTACCGATCGATCGTTATCCCTCTTTTCTTTTTCCCACAGCGTATTTCTTTTTTGCGTTTATTTTATTTTAATCTATTTTTTTCCTGGGGCCGTCTTTTTTCTTTTTCTAATATCACAGACTCCAAGTCCATACCTAGGTAAGTAGTCTTAAAGCTCCCTCCAGCTCCCCGGTCAGTAACACCCGCACGCTACTGCTTCAGTCAACGCCATGTTCGCCCCCCCCATTTGCCTCCATCGATCGCCCTTTCATCACCATCCTCCTTCCATTTTTGCTCAATAATGAGGTAGAGGCCCCTTTTCCCCCAGGAGGCGATCCACGCGGAAACGCCACCAAGATTACGGCAGAGTTCGACGCTCAAAGTTAATTCATTTCAGCGGACGCCTGGGGCTCAAGTCTCTATCATAAAGTGCACAGACGCAAAACAGAATACGACTCGCCAATCAGCGGGTTTGACCCCAGTGTATGGAGAGTGAAATGGGCGCTGGAGACCCTTGATTTGTCACCGGCACAGCGGACTCTTGATCTTCACGGGGCAAAAAATATCGATCCTCCTTGCATCGAAGCCCTCAATAGAAAGTCGAACCAATGGATGTAATCCATCGAAATTATGTCCATCGTTTCAAGGCCTCGGGCCCGAGACAATGTCACCCACCATACTAGATTGACGAGCGTTCTGATCGCGAGGTTAAGCGCCACCTGGTGGACGCCGCGGAACTCGGGATCATGAGTCCAGTGCCTATCCATTTCATTGACTCGCTAACGTTTCGAATGTCCAGCCGAAGCTGCAAGGCAAGGAACCGAAATTCATGCCGGGCAGGGACAGACACGGATGTATTGGTCTGTCCATGAGAACAGATCCTCAAGTATAAACCCCGAGTCACTTCAGGTAACCACATATAACGAGAAAGTAACAACAATGAACCATGTCCCATGATGATCCGAACTACTAGACCCAACCAGACACCTGTTCCACTACTATGTATAGAATATGCCGTGCAGAGACTCCTCTCAACTAAATCGATAATCTCACCCTATCGAGTACAAAAGTACGCCCCGAAGGTTTTGTGTGAAGACGATATTGGGGATTCTGCACAAACTTCCCGTGCACGGGCATTTGCAGGATCTCCAAGCAGATCACCCTTTCGACAGGAGGTGATCCAGAGCCTAATAGCACGAAGCAAGGACTTTCATTCTCCAACCTGACGAGCGCAAGCAACATAATTCTTCCCCAGGTGCCAGAAGTACGCTAGATGTGCCTTGCAATGGATATTTGGGTTTCCGCGCGTGGTTGACAGCTTTGTTGATGCTTGGTTCTGTCTCCCGCATTCAAGGTACATATTATCGACTTACTACACCGGGGAGTACTGTGCTACGATCAACTTCGGCATTCAACTCGACGTAGGGGACGCCGCCAGGATAATCCGTATTCAGATTGAGCCAGGCAAGCCGCGGAGCAGAGCCGAGAGCCATCGAGTAGCCTGCAGCCATGAGTCGAGATCGCCACAGTTCCGAAAGTCCATTCCATCCATCGAGATTGTCGTCTGGAGATCCCAGAGACCGGGTCCCTGCCAATCGTGCATTTGATCAGTTCTGGACGTTTCCATCCCTTGGCTTAAACCCCCCTCCGAGATGGTATGTTATAATGGCATGGATTGCCACTAAGACCTCAAGTAGTATTTGGAATACGCGTTGGACATCTCCAACGGACAAGGCAACACTGCTATCCGTGCTCGGTCACTACCCGGAGCATGGGACAGGAGCCATGTGGCGTGGGCACAATCATCAACCGTTCCTAGCCCAGGAAGGCCTAGAAGGTGCACTCATGGTGGGCGAGCTTCATGAGGCCTCGATCGGTGGCGGCCGATGCTCGAGGATACGTAAAGTACGACGTACGTGTTCGCTTACCGGGCTGTTATCCCGATGATTTACACAATAATTTGTTATGCATGCCACTGTGGTGGAGGTAGGCGGGTCGTACGGCAGAGAGGATAAGATCTGTCAACTGCCCGTCCCCGGATCTAACTTGAATGAGGAGAAAAACCAGGGCCTCAATGGCCCTGATGCCTGTCTGATGATCTGATCCCTCCTCGAGCGCCACGTTTTCCGCCTACGTACTTTCATATGAAATAATTACCATGTTGAGAACTATTACTCGAGTTCCTGGTTCGGTACTTCCTGGCTTTCCTTCTAACAGACCAATGTATGCTAGGCGACGGTAGCTGCAGATGGAGGTTGTCGAACGCTTGGAGGTTGTTGAGAACCATGAGATTGAGGCACATTGATGAAACAAGCCACGATATTTGCGATCAAATGCGTATTCCGATTCCGAGATTGCCCGCAGCAAGATCAGGCACAAACTTCATTGACAAAATACCGCGAACTCTACGGAGTACAATGGCGATGAACGACAGATACAGGCGCGGGGACTGAGGCATTGTGAAATCGCTCGAAGACACCATGGACTACTGAGGCAATCCACGTCTCAGGTGGGGAGGCGCGCTTCAGAAAATATCCGAATGCTGTCTAACTCGCCTGGTTTCGCTTATTCTCCGGGATGCTGCATTGTGGTGCCCCAGAACGCTCAGAACGTCAATGATCCATTGGACTAGGTCGAAAGGCACAGCTACTGTGGGGAGGCCCCGATAGAAGCAAAAATCGAACAGATAACAGTGAGCCTTCACTTCAGCCTTGCAAAACCGCCTGAGGCACGTCATTCACTTCGATAAACTCCAATAAACCCAAAGTCAACGAATGATCTGTATCTGTCAGACGGCCCAGAAAATAACAATTTACTTCGCGGTCGAAGCTGGGCCCGTTCTCGAACTAGGACGACCTAAGAATAGCTCCAGAAGTGAGGAAGCCGAAGAGTGATGTATCAGAATTCAGAAAGCGAAAAAAAAGCACTGATCCCTTCTGGATTTTACGAGCCCTATGTGCTGTCCATATTTTCTCCATACGTGGAGTTCCCAGCGGCTCTTCGTTACCTGTCGACAAACGGCCCCGTTTCACTGTTCAACTTGCTCCCAATCCGCCAACTTGCAGACTGCGAACCAGGGATCCCTGCGTGCAAAGCGCACACTTGATGCAAGATCATATCTATCTGGCCTTTATTGGTCTTTATTTGCCCCCTTCTTTCATGCTGCTGCGCTCCAGCACTCTCAATGGGGTTCTCCGGCGTTTCAGCATTCGCTGGGGTTTGCCGCGTCTCCCACCTAGTATGGTTAAAGACCTGGAACGAAGGAGTTTTATTGATTATTCTCTTATGCGCATGTCCAAGCGCCACCAATTCTGGCTGGCTCGTGCTCGGTTTTGAATCCTGGACTCCAATATGCTTAGTGCTAACCTTCGTCATTCGTGGGTTACCGGGCCGGGTCTGGCATACCCCTCTGAGAGGTACACCACGCCGATCTTCGGCCTGGCATAACAGTGACAGTGCGTATACATTCAAGCTCAGGGCTCCAAGGCCAGTTTTGCATCTAAAGTCACAGCTTCAGTAAGCACTATCTACCCCTGTACATTGCTATTCGACTCGGCTTTACTCAAGGAGTGCCGAGAACGATGCCATACATTGTCGTCGTTTCGGCCTCTGCAGAGTGCAGACCCAGTTCAAGCTTGCTCGTTTCTTCAGCCAGTCATCCTGACAGCTCAGGTCCTATCTGTTAATCTATCATTTCGCACCATTCATCTTTAACCCACGTTCTGGCGAACTGAACACTCGAGAGAGGCCTTGCAGTGGCCAATGCAAGCTTCGAACTCCTCTAATCCAGCGATCTATGATCAACTGACCATTGTTCTTCGGACCCCGCACCCCCCGGTGTGTACTTTGAGTTCCTTCATCCTCGAGAGTCCAGACCGAACTAAGGTTTATTCCGTCTCCCTTGCGGTCGATCCATCCCTATCTTAGCATTTTCCCACCAAGACAGGGTTTAAATCTCAATACACTCGTGCGGGGTTCATCCCCTCGATTTGGGAAAGAATATTCGACCCAGGTGTTCGGTCCATGGAAAAAAAAAAAAAAAAAAAAAAAGGAAAGACATTTGTACCTCTTGTCGGTTCCTCGGTCCTCCTCCGGTAGACCCAAGAATACGTGCTCGGAGCTTCAAGCGCACGCTCTCGTTGCGCAAACGAGAGCATTGATCGAGGCGGAAAGCAGAGCAGGCTTCAGCTTGTGTATGAAAATGTTGGTGCTTCTGCGTACTTCACATCAGCCTACCTGACTTGAGTATTCCACTCAACCTCGCAGGCTCGCAATATGTCTCCAGATCCATCCAACTGCATTCAACCACTAAAACACTTTCAAAACTCCATCGAAATCCTAAATATCGTCAAGCAAGAGGGAAAATAACAGAAAAGTCCTTTTCCCAGAGTCCTAGGACTCGCAGTTCCCGGGCACGCCGATGCACCTCCACCAGCGGCTCCATTCCCCCACCCAGCCCTGAATACATATCCGCACCGTGTTATCACTTCCTACATAGGCAGGCCCGAACCCAACTCACAGATTCGGGATAATCCGTGCATCAGGAGACAGTTTATAGAAAATAGTGGGTCCCCACTTTCCAGTATAGGGCGTTGAAAAACGACCTGTCCATGATCTACCAAGCCCAGCTGGGACTTCATCCATTTGCAGTCAGCATCCTGTCCTTCCTTGGGTGTCCTCCCCGAAGGCAAAATCAATGAAACCACGGTTCGAAGCAAGGCACACACCTTACTAACTGCCCAGAACTTGGTGCGGGCCATACTTCGAAGTCCGTCCAGGATGTTTGACAAATTGAAACAATGTGCTGTCGAGCATCCATACCTTGCTCCTGCGGGCTACGGAACTCATCGAGACCGTAGTCGATGCACTGTTTTTTCTTAGCTGCATCGAGTGGCAACCTGAAGATACTCCATCACTGCATGTCAATCTGATGAAAGAGTAGGAGGGGAGCAAGTTACTGTGGCAACTACAGTAGTCGCCCGCGCGTCCCGGCCCGAGGAATGCAAGCAAGATACACAGCCAACGCGACTCAGACTTTCAAATTCCAATTCAATTGCAACTGTATGCAAGGACTTTGGCTCTTCAGGCGAGAGCTCGAACAACAAACTGAACCAGTGATCGAGATTAGGTCCAGTCCGCGAGGAGGCTGCACAGATTACGTGGTTATACGTACCTGGTCGTCATAATGGTTCGTTCAAGAGGTGCACATCGGCTACATCCAGCCGGATAGAACATTGCCTTGTAGAGGGCTCGAGGCCCAATTTCTTGGTATCTTGGTATGGACAAATCGATGAGCAAGGCAGGAGTTCCCCCGGGGATTCATCGATGTACATACTTAGTAGGTAGTTTCAAGGTGCATGGCTGCGAACCCCTCCCACCTCTATGACCACGTCACACCCAAGCCCAAACCCAAGGTTCAAGGGGTGGAAGGATTGATGAATCTTTCTGGTGAAGGTCCTGCGTGCCTGGCTATGGCCACGGTCTCTGCGTAGTTCATGAACTTGGCCTAGATCCTGGATCCATGCTCGAGGGCAGTTTGGACTCGTACCGTAGGACTCCTGGGTGCCGGGAAAAAAAAAAAAAAAAAAAAAAAAAAAAAAAAAAAAAAAAAAAAAAAAAAAAAAAAAAAAGCTTAGCTTGTAAAGTAACATATACCATATACCAATATCTCATGCGCCCGCGCTAGACGATGCCACAGTACAGTGNGCTTCCTCTTCTGGATCCTTTCTTGAAATGGGCAAAAAAAAAAAAAAGTACCAGACCATATGAGTGACCTGGTAGATGGCCCAAATCGGGTTCGCGGCCACGCGAGAGAACAGTGCCGCAGCGCAGCTATGGCCTCGTTCTCGACTTCTCAGTCCCCCAAGTTGGAAGGTTTCCCCCGAAGGCTACCTTGGGTCTGTGCCTCACTGAATTCGAATTGGAAATGGTTCCCGCTGTCCAGCGGGCCAATAAGTTGGACTGTGGTTGGTCTGGAATGATAAGCCGTTGCCTACAGCGCCCACGATCTAGGAGGGTGCTTGTAGGGGATATAGAGATTGGGGCTCTCGTTGAACAGGTAGCTGTCCTCGAGTATGGGTCTCGGGTCGTCAGATTTCATACGTATAGTCTTGTAGTTAAGGGACCTGGTCAGGTTAATGGACCTTGCAACGTCCACCGGCTGTATAGCGGCCAAGGAGTATACTACAGGCCCATGATCAATTGTTTACAATCTTGTACTCATAGGATATTATTGTGAAGTGTGTTTAATGTCACTCGTGGAGGATCATTATGGCAGGGTTCGACCGGGCTGGGGTATCAGTTGATAAAAGGCTATGATATACCCTCGTGGGTCGCAATCACCGTGAAAACAAGCAACACTGAGGGACGAAAAATAATGCAAAACGAGTACAATATTTAGGCATCTATCATTCAGTGATACGAGCAAGTTAATTTATGAGTCAATATTTGAAGAACAAGTGGTGTCTGTGTTTTGATTATGCCTCAAATGCCAAATATATATATCTGAAATATCTACCCTTACAATTACCAAACGCTACAACCAAAAAATGAAACATTGCTTCCCATGATACGACCAGACAATCATCAAACTGTAAAAGCGAGTATTGCGAATAACTATCTTGTTTGATGGAGTAGTTATTGTAGTGGAAGATATAAAACGCTAGCTTTTCAAGATACAAACGGAAATAGTTTCCCACATGAGATGGCAGACGGCAGTGAAGAACGAATCTTGAAGTTAAGCTCATCGAAATCCGCGTCGTGCAAAATTTACTTAGCGATTGATGTGCGCCAATCGGTGGAAACGCAAAATCGATATAATACTGGATTAGAGGAAGGGTGCTAAGTATGGATATTATAGCAGTACTGTAGTAGAGGGTCATCAAACGGATAAGCATGGACTGCGGAAAGAACGTCTATAAAACAGGTAAAAACAAGATTTCGAGCACCACTGCTCAGAACTTCCACAATACTCGGCAAATTCCACCACGGCCACTAGACCAAGGGCGCTTTCCAACGATCACTGACGGAAGATATTGACGGTGCTCAAAACTTCAATTATTATCATAAGAACCACACGGTACAGATATAAAAAACCCGGTGCTTATTATGTCACTTTACACAACCACGATTGGCGAAGGAAAAGACGGAACTAGAAGACAAAGCTGCATACACGACTAACAGGTATCCATTGGGCAGCTTAGAGAGCATACTGGGCGAGAACACCGAAGACGGCGGCAGCACCCATGATGGGGAGGTTAGCAGCGGTGAGGACAGCGGCACCATCCTGGTCATCGTCGCTGCTGCCACTTCCAGAAGTGCTGGAACCAGAAGAACCGTCGGCAGTGGCGGGGTCCTTGGCCTCGGACTCACACTTGTACTCTCCGTGGATGGTGTTGTCTTTCCAGGAGTTGAACTTCTCACAGCTGAAGTTACCGCTGCTCTGCATGTTGAAACCACCCCTGACGCTCTTGAGGGAAGGAAGAGTAGCCCTGTAAAAGGAAATGTTAGCTCTGAATTTAGCGTCGCTAAACGGTACCGAAAACTTACTTGTCGAAAGCACCGGAGAAGTCGATGGCACCGGTGACGGTTTCGAGCTTAGGGAAGTTGATCGAGCTGAGCTTGTCGTTGCGAGTGATCAAGAAACCACCGTTGACAGTCTCCAGAACGGGAAGGCTGAGGTTGTTGAGGTTGGAGTTGTCCTCGAAAACAAGGTCACCAGTCTCGGTAAGGTTGGGAGCAGCAAGAGAAGAGAACTTGTTACCCCAGAAACCCAGCTGACCCTCAAGCTTCTTGAGAGAGGGAAGAGAGACGGAGCTGACGTTACGGATGGTCAAGTTCGAACCAGAGGCCAAGTTGGGAAGCAAGATTTCGAGATCCTTGTAGTTACCAGCGAAGTTGATCAGGTTGGTGGCGTTCTTGAGGTTGTTCACGTCAACCTTCTCGAGGTCGGTGTTGTCGGTGACGACGAGCTTGCTGACAGAGTTGAGCGAGATTCCGTCCAGGGAAGTCAGGCCAGTGTTGACAATCTGAACGTCATTTGCCTTGGTGACACCCTTGTCGAAGCCGAGGTTCTGGAGCACGGGAAGAGCCTGGAAGTTGATAGAACCGACCTCTGTGAGCTCAGGGAACTTGAGGCTGGTGAGTCTCACAACACCCTCGAGGTGGAAGGTGTCATCGATGGTGGCAAGTTCAGGAGCAGACAGCTCAGTAATGTTTTCGCCGCCGTTGCTGGTCAGAGCACCCTTGATTCTCTGGACACCGTTGATGGTGATGGTGCCACCGAAGCTGGGGTCCAGCTCGACGTCACCGTCGAGAGTCTTGCAGCTGCCGTAACCATCGAGGTCGCTCTGACTCTTGATGGTGATGGTCTTGCCGGAACCACAGTCTGTACCCCCAGTTAGAAACAGCGACCAAGCACAGGAAGCAGGTATTCACTCACCATCGGCGAGAACGGCATGGGCCGCAGCGAGGGCGGGAAGAGCGTACTTGAGGAAAACCATTGCTAATGTCTCTTCGCGAGGGAACAAAGGTTAGTTTTTGGTTTGGTGTTGTGGGAAGTTTAAGGTAGAATCTTCACTCACCGGAAGGTAGATTAAATAGATATGTCGACGGGCAATGCCAGGCCCTATGTGCAGGGAAGTCGAAGCAGAGGCGATGAAGCCGAAGATGGGAAAGAAGGGTAGATAAACGAGTGAAAGAAGGAGAGCTTCAACGAGGGGGAAGCTTTAGGCAGACGTTTCTCGGGGGATGAGAAGACGGATTCGGAAGGCACGGTTTCAATTGGAGAGGAATGAAGGGAAAGAAACAGAAGAAAGAAAGCGAGGGAAAAAAAGGAAGGACTGGATGGTGACTCGCTAGAGGAGGAAAGCAGGCTTTCAGGGAGGACAAGGAACTTGGAAAGGAGTCGTCGTGGCCCAGGAGTGGTTGGTGGACCGCTCTCCTTGCTACAATACCGGGCCACTGTGCATTGTTGTAATTACGGCGGCATTACGCTGATCGTGCTGTGCCTGTCCCAATATCAGTCGCACACAACATTACAAGATCCTCAAACTCCAATTTGTTATTTGTATAACCTTCAGAATTCAGACCGCCATAGATCGCCCTTTCTTGTCCATCCTCATGTTCAGTTAGTTGCTTTATTTGTTGACTGTTGCGGTCGCTGCTCAGACATGATTACACTTCCAGTATTTAGTTAGTGGTACCCACTTCGCCGACTACTTGTTTCAACTTCGCCTGAACGCAGAGAGATTCCCTGACTGATACTACCTCGAAAGTACCTATAAGCGCAGTCAGGTAATATTTATGGAAGCAATAGCTAGTATTATGAGTATTCAGATAATTCGTTCTCAGATTATAACCAAAAACTCCAAAACCTGGCATATATTATTGGACGGAGCCAAAACAACTCGAAGCTCAAATATCAAGCCGTTTCCGTTGCGGTGTTTTAATTGGCTGGTTAGTTGAGATCTCGACACCGACGCCAAGTGATGTACAATTCGAGGACCCGTTCGGTTCATGGCATAGCTAGTACATGAACTTCCAATAATGTCAACATCGAATTTTCTATTCCCGTGCATTCCTCCTCCTGAGCCTCCAGAATATGCCAATACGGTGTCAAATTGTCAGACATTATTGAGGAATGTTGCTATGTATACAAACGGAAAAAATCAAAGGCCGACCGGGGTGGACGCGTCGCCCGGTAAATTTGGGCCAGTGTGGCGGCCCCGCTTTCGACTCTCCTCTTCGTTCGACCATCTGTTGGTATGCTATGCCAACCGGACCCTGGAATTTAGAAACTCAATGCACTATGCAGAGAAACCTTTCGTCTTTGAGGGAAAGTGTATACTCGGTGTAAACAGGTGTTCATCGCCTGCAGCATAATGCGAGGAGGGAGTGTGTTGTTTTCTGCCACGACTCGATCTCGCACTGTTGTTCTCTCATGAGGTCATGGGTCGGCCATTGAACAACAATTGGCCAAATTTATCAAATCATCAACAAATTTCAGGCACAGGTGGGTCGCCATGGCAGCAATTAGCCAATGAAAGCTATTTTGCGGTGAACGCTAAGAATAAAGTGGCAAATCTATGGGGTTGAATCACGTGTCAGCGTCCGGCTGTTGATTGTAATTTGTAACCTCCCGTAACATACATACAATACAGGGACGATACCGCGAAAAACAAAGTCTGTGATCGAGGGAGAGAAAAAAACTTTTGCACGGGGGGCCCAGGACTGGCCGTTCCCAGGAGCTGATTATCGAAAAGTGGCGAAGCAAAAGCTTGGTTGCCAAATGGACCCTATTCAATTGACTCCTTTGATTGTCGACCCATCGATCGCTGTCACCATCGAATCTCTTTTCCGGTACCGTCGACGGCGACGAATCTCGGATGCCGACCATCAACAAGAATGCGCCTCAGCAATGTTCGACATGAATCCGTCAGAAGCTCATTCCATTCTGTTATCAGTGTTCATGAGATGCATGAGCACTGATCGCGACGAGACGGACTCGTCACTCGGCCACTAGTACACAAAAGACCCCACTGATATGTTGCAATCGCAAATCGCAATCTTTGCTGTCAACTTCCAAGTTGTGGTTTTCCGGAAGCAGTGATCGGCCTGCGTCACCCTTATTAAACGAAGTCCCTTTATTGTTTGAAGATCTTGCAGGAAGGTTTCGTCTCGTCTTCCTCATTTCATTTCGCCTCCGATCAACCCGAATTCTCGCTTCCTGACGGCGCCAGTTGTCGATAAACGAAGAAGCTTTCGCAGATACACGCTTGGCACCATTGGCTGTTTGGTGCCTTGTACACGTCGCAAGTCTGTGAATTGGTGATGCGATTGACCGACACACATGTATCACGTATCTTTCCTTCGCTTCGACACGTTCTTGAGCGCCACTTGCGTCGACTTGAGTGGCGGCCGATGGGGCTAGAACTTTGTCCGTTTTATGCACTATTCGCGGCGCTCATCATAAAAACACAGGCTGCAGCTAGCTAACAACTGCCGACTTACCATGCAAACAAGCCCAAACTCTTCGAGTTGTTTCTTCGAAGATTGTTGCTGAACTGACCACAGGCTCGGGGCTTTATTATACTCCGCAAATCCAAAATCCGAGGGCAATCAATACTAATGCTGGTATACTTCGCACACTGCGCGACTACAAGCTGTCTGACTCCCAAATTGCTACCAGATTCAGGGTTCAGCTTCCCGCGCTGGCCTGACGTTTCGGTGCCCGCCAGAGAATGATTGGTCACAACAGGACGAAGCTTTTTTGAATGAAACGTCACAGCAGTGTTTCGTGTTTCACCAGACACCGCACAACCGCGCGATTCGTCCCTCAGAAGACGGACGGCGTCTTGAAGCCAGCAACTGCCGTTGGCCAACGGCGCAAAGATTTCAGCGGTGTGCCAAAGGCGCTGAGATCCGAGTTTGCTGGCAGGGACATAATATACGTGAATAGTGAACACCATCGTTCGTTCATGGCTGATTGATTTTAACCTTGGTCGGCATTCCCGAGGCATCTGACTGCGCAGCGCATATCATCATTGTCGGAGCCCTGGATCTTTGATTACCTCAATATACTTTCAATAACCGCTCTTATCTCGTTGCTCGTAAATCGTACCCGAGGAATCTGATTTGGATCTTTGATTCCTTAAGACAAGGCTCCAACCTGGTGGTGGTCCCAGCCAATTTGCATTGGAATTTATTTTCCGCCCCCCTCCTGGCCCTTTCAGTCAGTACTACGCAGTGCCAGACACACGAGGCGATGCCCGGTGGGCGGTGATACAATACCCCGGCCATAGATATCATAGCGCCAGAGCTGTCGAAGGCTTCGGCCGCTGCAAGGAGGCATTGCAACTGTACACTAACACTTCGTACTTTGTTACAAGGTGCGGGTTATAGTATGTTTGCAAGCACACAGGGCTGCATCGGGGTACTTACAGCCTACTGGCCCAACATGATGCTTGTAGACAGCCTGGGGGAGATCAACACACGGCCCCTTCACTTAGCCCTGTCCGGTGATGTTAGAAATGATAAAGAGCGGACGGGCAATCGAGGCGGGTATGTATAGCCAAGATGGAGATGCTTACGGGAGCAACCCTAGCTCCGGATAGTTATGCGTTATGGACACTCATCCGATGTCGATTCTCAATGTCAACTAAGTCCGAATATCTACTCTGTATCTGTATGTCTGGAGGAGTCCTCGGCTGGCTTAGAGAGCGGGAACGATTATTGATGCAAAGACAGCTATAGTGCCTTGACCTAAATACCAACGTACAACGCCAAATCAAGATCTATTGCCAGCAATGACCTCTGTGCATTAACGTTGTGAGCTGAACAAACTGCGGTTTCAGTTGGTTCTTTGGGTGGCACAAATACGAGATTCTCGTGACTTTCATAAGGATGACCACTGTGGGCCGCTAACTCCGAACCCCAGATTCTGAGAACCAAGCTCTCTCCTCAGAACACTCAAGCAAGCTAAAATAAATATATTCGAACAACTAAACAGCGTTATATATTTCCAAGCCATAGATCTCGAAGGTCGAAATGGCCCTCCGCCGTTCCTCCAGACTGAGCGCAGTGCTCCCCCTCAAACCAACCATTCAAGCACCGCAACCCAGCAACGGAATCACAAAAGCTCGGAAACCATCAACGAAGGAAAAGAAAAAGAAGACACAAACCGTCAAGAGTATAACCTCACATCCCCAATCCGTCCCAGTATCAGACGATGCCTCCGGCAAACCCAACCCAACAACCACCGCACCTCCGCTCAACCCCCTCGTCAGCAACGACAACAATAGCACCACCCCCAGCACAAGTACAAACTACTGGGACAGTCCAGCAACAACAGCAACAACATCGAACACAACACCAATCCCAAACACCCGCCCTCAGACCCCTCCCCCACTCAACCGCCCCGTCGAACCGCACCGAACAAATGCAACCCTTCTAACCCCCCACGGTTCCTCCCTCGTCACCTACCCACCCGGAGCAGCAGACATCTCACCCTCGAAATCCGGCCTGCCACGGCCCACCGCAACAACCGGCACGCTTCTCGAGCAGGCAATCGCACACCTAATAGCCACAGACGCCCGCCTTGAACCGCTCATAAAAGCCCACCACTGCGCACTATTCTCACCCGAGGGCCTAGCCGAGAAAATCGACCCGTTCCGCAGCCTCGTCGGCACGATAATCGGGCAGCAAGTTTCTGGTGCGGCGGCGCGGTCGATCCGTGACAAGTTTGTGGCGTTGCTGTTCGGGCTGAACCACGCTGGGGAGACCCGGGCGGAGGATTACTTTCCTACGCCGGAGGAGATTGTCAAGTGTGATATTGCTACGTTACGGACTGCGGGGCTGTCGCAGCGCAAGGCGGAGTATATCCAGGGGCTTTCGGAGAAATTTGCGAGTGGGGAGCTGAGTGCGCGGATGCTGCTGAATGCTAGTGATGAGGAGCTGTTGGAGAAACTGACTGCGGTGAGGGGGTTGGGGAGGTGGTCTGTGGAGATGTTTGCTTGTTTTACACTTAAGCGGACGGATGTGTTTTCGACGGGAGATTTGGGTGTTCAGTAAGTCTCTCGACTTCTCTGGGGCTCTAGTTAAGGTTCCTTAGGGAGAGCTAACAGTGATATAGGAGAGGATGTGCTGCCTTCTTGGGCAAAGATGTGAGTAAACTCAAGGCAAAGGGAGGTAAGTTCAAGTACATGTCGGAGAATGACATGTTGGAGCTGGCGGCCAAGTTCTCACCGTATAGGTATGTTGATAACCCGAGTCTTGAACCTAGTGACGTGGCGCATGGTGTTTCTCACATTGTTCAGAACCATCTTTATGTGGTATATGTGGCGTGTAGAGGAAGTTGACATAAGTGTCATGACTGGTTGAACGGCGAGCAAGCTGGTAGGTATGTCATGACCTGTGAATATTAGGTAAAGTATGACAGACCCAGGTTTATACTATATCAGTATAGATATAGAGATTATTTAGTTTATATCCGCGATTGGCTTTGGACAGCAGGAAGCGGTCCTCGCACGATATAATCGAACTGGACAAAGTAGGTGAAGAAGGAGAATAAATTTGTACAGTATCAGTACAGGTGGTTTGCACGACGTAAATCCAAAGGCTCAAGCAACATTTGGCAAATGCTCTCTCCGACAGAGCATAAAGCCGAAAGGAACAAATCTTGTATCATCCTATCCCACACGTCTATATCCTAGGGCAGATTTTATATTTTCCACGGTAACATCACACGTAGCCATTTACCGCTTGACGGCAAGGTTGTCGAGGTCCTCACGCTCCTTGTTCTCCTTCTCGATCTGGCGGATAAGGGGGCCCAGGTACTCGACATCCTAGCGACGCAATCAGTATTCACTGCCATTTACAATTAGACAGCATTCCAGGACTCCATTGTATCCATATGAGTGAATTATATGGGGCGTATTGAGGGATTGACAAATCCCGCTCACGGGATTGGTCGATCGCTTATGCGGAGTCCTGGAAAAGCTGTTGGAAGTCGGGTATGCTCAAATCGACTCACCTCGCTAGGCTTGGTGTGCTCCTCGACGGGAAGAAGGGTGTGCGAAACAGAGCACTGTGTAAAAAGGGAGTCTTAGCCAATTGCTTCTCCCACCAATGTCATATAATGAAACCAACCTGGAAAGCTCTGCGGATACGGAAGACACGGTCGTAGGCCTCCTTAGGGGGAAGACGCTTGAGAGCAGTCTGAACGGTCATGTTCTCCTCGGGGATAAGGTCATCGAATCTATTATTCCAGTCAGTTTGATATTGCACTCGACCTGCATTTTGGCGGCCGCGGACAAGCGGAAGCGACAAGGATCGCAATCGACACAGGACCACATTCAACAGTGATGATTGCAGCCATATTCATATTGTCGCCAGGGCCTGTCCTGAGTCCACCAAGGAGAGGAGTTGTGTACCTGAGACCGAGTTTCCTGTAACCAGCAGCGTCGACATACCAGTTGGCAATGGGCTGCATCCAGCGCCTCAGGAATGGGCGCTTGGCAATGTAGTTGGCGATAGAAGGGGCCGACATGGTGAATAAACCGACGAGCAGCGACGGGCGATTCCAATTGACGGTGTGGAGGTGGAGTGGAGGGGGGTTCGCAGGGTCAGTCAAGCTGAACAGAGATGGCCCGACGTTGGTGTGCAAAACGGGAGGTTCGCGGGTGAACTTTCCCAAAAACATCCGATATTGATGCCTTAAATCCAGCCTGAGGCATAAAGACCACCGCCCGTTCCGGTCCATGCACGTGATCCGGTTCTTTTTGGGACTATGCCTCAGGCGGCAATCCGAGCGGCTCCCGCCCGGTGAGGAGAAACCAACTGAAGGCGCTGCAAGTGAAGAACCGAGCGGAGGTGCAGCTAAGGCCTTCGCACATGACTTGGCTGCTCGCTAGCTCTTACGCAACGTTGGAGTCGCGCAACGTCCGAAGAGGACTTTCGCCACATCTCCGACTCCGATTCGACCCTTGGGTTCTCGATCCATTCTCGTCTCTCGTCATTCGACACCTGAGGCTTTGAATTCCCAATCCACCACCCACGATATCCGGCTTCCGAAGTGGGCTTGGGGTATCGGTCGTTGTAATATCACTTGCTCTCGTTCCCTTTCTTTTTTTTTCATCTGCTGTCACAGCTCCGACAAATTCACCAACCCCACGTACTGATCTGTGCATCAGCTATTGCAACCCTAAAATAAAAGGCGGCTCGGCACCACCAGCTTGGTCGATAAATCCTTGGAAGTTGGACCTCTGCGCTTGGCCACCCATTTCCTCCCCCCGAGATTTCCGAACTGCACCTTACCTTCACACCACCTCACCGCGGGTTTTCAGGGCATTTTGGGTTCCGGAGCGGGCACCGATATGCTCGGTTCCGGGATCCCTAATCGGTGAAAAGCATCAAAACGGACTGCTGTGGAACTGCTTGAGCGCTGGCTGCAAGGATGTTTTCAGGAGAACACAACACATCAGAGGCATCCAGCAGCTCTAACGAGCAGAAGGTAGCAGTTCCCGACAGTTCTCCGTCCCAGACCGTTCATATGCCCCCCGCGGTTACGTCAAATCCGAATTTGACCCTCGTCGCCCGCATCGAGCGCTTTGCTGCCCGTGTGCCAGACTGGTACGTCGCTCCATTTTGCGGGGCAAGTGCAGGTGTAGCTTCAGGGATTGTGACATGTCCGCTCGATGTGATCAAGACGAAGCTCCAGGCCCAGGGGGGTTTTGTGCGGCGAGGGAAGATGGTGGAGGCGAGCACATTATACCGAGGCATGCTGGGTACTGGGAGAGTAATATGGAGAGAAGATGGTATTCGAGGCCTTTACCAGGGCTTAGGTCCAATGCTTCTAGGTTACCTGCCTACGTGGGCGGTATATCTAGCAGTTTATGACCGATCACGAGAATACTTTTATGAGACTACTGGTGAGCGCTAAATGTCTTACCTGGCTTTCTGGATCTTACTGACTGTTTTATCTCCAGATAATTGGTGGTTATCGAGAGGATACGCCTCTATAACAGCGGGAGCATGTTCTACCATTGCTACCAACCCCATTTGGGTAATCAAGACACGGCTCATGTCCCAGAGCCTGAGGACCACTACAGAGGGATTTCGAGCTCCTTGGCAGTACAGCGGCACGTGGGATGCAGCCCGCAAGATGTACATGACCGAGGGGTTTCTTTCGTTTTATTCTGGATTGACGCCGGCTTTGCTGGGACTGGCGCACGTTGCTATCCAATTCCCTCTTTATGAATACCTGAAAATGGCATTTACTGGCTACAGTATTGGAGAGCATCCTGATACCGGAAGTTCCCACTGGGTTGGAATCGGTTGTGCAACATTTCTGAGTAAGATATGTGCTAGCACTGTGACATACCCGCATGAAGTACTGCGTACGAGACTCCAAACGCAGCAAAGGACCCAACCGTCTCCTTCACCCGAGGAGATTGCATTCCGGGGAGGGTTGGGGGCCATGGATCCCGCACGAGGTGCAGGGGCATCTTCATCCGACGGCATGCCCAACAAACCTCGTTATTCCGGGATTATCCGTACATGCCAAACGATTTTACAGGAGGAGGGGTGGCGGGCGTTCTACTCGGGGATCGGAACCAATTTGTTTCGAGCTGTTCCCGCCGCCATGACAACGATGCTCACATATGAGTATCTTCGAAAGCTCATCGGACACATGAAACATGAGGGAGCGGCGAAGCTCCGGCTGGAAGAGGAGCAAAACTCCCCAGGAGCGATCTAGATGATTTGATTTATGATATCCTCACCGCCCTTTGATTGACGAATTGCTGCAGCAGGCCTACATTACATAAAGTGGCCGTTGCTTGCCTTTCCTTTACCTTTAGAGCTTATATCCCCCATCTTTGCTAATCGCAGTTGATACCTGAATGGGGTTTGTGCTTCAAATCGGTCCATTTCCTATGTCTGCGGTGTTTTTATAGAGTGATGGGGTTCTTATTCCTCAGCATTAAACACCAAGATTTGTGTTTTATGAGCGCCGTTTTATTACCCCAGAGTCCAGAGATTACGTGCCTCGACGTGTACATATTATACGAGCTATTATTACACCTATTCCCATCTCTCAAATTTATTTATGGTTTTTAAAAGACCGGCCTTGTGCAACTGCATAGTGCGTATAACTAGAGGGTAAGCTAATACATCTCCGTAGTGGATATGGTCAGGTGACTCTTAGTTCCACACAAATCTGTCTGCAGAACAAAAAGCCGAAACTTTTATTGGCAAGCTCAACTTCAGCAAAAACAACCAAACACGCATCACCAGGCTCATACCCATAATTATAGGCAAGGCTTTGTCGATAAAATGGACTGAGTCATTTTACTTGCTAAAACAATAAGCGCCAGCATCAATTGCAAAAGGCGGCTTATTTCCTTTTGCAATTGACGCGACGCCATTGCGCAATTCAACCAACTGTGTGCATGCAATTCGTCTGCCCAAAATACTTCCCACGAGAGGACCTTGACCTGGAATGGCCTCCGCTCTTCAGCAAGATTCTCAATTATCCAAAGGGTAGAGCGATGAACCGCGTCGCTACCGTTGAACAGTCAATCGATTGCCGACTCATTCGAACAGACTTTCCATATCGTGTCACTCTTATGAGAGAGAAGCTCCAGATAACTGAGGGGCTTTAGTTCCTGGGGCGTTGGGTCTAGGATATCATTACTATATACCGTGCACCCGTTATCTCCGCTGTTATTTTCAGCTGTCGACGTACCGACCTTTTAGGTCGTTCTTTCCTCTTCGGCATTTGCAATGCCAATCGGTCTGAGGGTCTGTTGCTCTGCTTTCCGATACATGAAATCACACTCGAAGGCGCTGCAGAACGGTCTCTAGTGCAACATGCGAATTTCTGCTTCGTTTTTGTGCGAGCAGCGTCGGTTTCGCGTGTCGTTACGCGCTTCCCGTTACTCTTACAACACCCGCTCTCTTTGTTGCCTGAGAATGCGGTGGGGAAACTCACCAGGGTGTCTTTATCTGGTGTTTCATTAAAAGCCAGAATGTTGTTGGTATGATGGCTCCTGTGGCCGAGCGGGTTTGCGCACCCGCTGGGCCACCGGAGCGGCGCAAGGAAAGGTGCGGTGTTCTCGGATTCGATCTCTAGCACAGGGTTCGAATCCGAGAACCGCATCTTTTGTTGTTCTTTTTAGCACCACCTCACTGGAAACATTGGGCAGGACGTTTTCGCCCAGGGATATGGGGCGAACACAAAGATTATATTTCGGCCATGGAACCTGGACTACGTCCCTCCGGCCACTAATACTCGATGGAGACTGCGACGTGCTATTTCTGTTGAGCAATAAATGTCCAGAGTTAAAAGGCTGTAATAGAAGCCGTCGCATGGTATGAGAACACTAACATTTGGAACTAGTGCTTTGAACCCTCCTCAATCTGGTGTTTCTTGAGAACGAAGGCTCAATATATGTTCGCACATATAAATGTCCTGATGGTGAGAATGAGAGCGTGATGCTGCTTTCGCCGACGCTCTAGATTCATCCTGCGACTACAGTATTTTTCTGAGCCTTTTCTTACAGTACACATCAGCTCGAGACCCTTCTCTGGGATCTCGTTTTTTATAAAACAGGTAAGAGCCACGTTGGGGAATGATTCTCTTTAAAAATTCCGTCTCTATTCCATCCTTGCACATACCTCTTCAATGCCTCGCGAATCCACCATGATGAATCTTTACATAAATGGAGATCCTGTTCGTCCAAGACGGCTGGAGATGACCATTCATACACTGAAAATTCTGATACGATCTCGAGCTTCCATTATTGCCTTCTTGATATCCTCGCTATTCCCTCGCTGACTTGTTCAAAGATTCTCCTAGGTAAGAACGGCTGTAGCATTAGGCAGTAATACCCGTAGCCCAGCACTATAAATACAATAAAAAACATTACGCACAGAGGATCATTCATACAAGTAATCAATTATAAATCAAATGAATAATATCACAACCCAAACTCCATCAACTCCAAAAAAAAAGTAAGAAAAAAGAAAAATAAGTATGCAGTCCTAAAAGGGAAACAGAAATTCACCTCTCCCTTCCCTTCCCCTCCTCCAAAACCCTTTTCACCCATTCATCCTGCCTCTGCTTCTTCTGCACCGAAGTCGACGACGAAACTGGAGACCCAGACTCGCTGCCGGAATGGGCTCCTCTCCGCGCAGAATTGATCGAGTAAGCGCAGTAAGAGCACAGCACGACGGCCATTGTGAATGCCGCGATGGGCGCGTTGAGGGCCTTTTATTGGAGTTAGTTAATCTAGCCTTGTTCTAGCTCTAGGAATACGGGAGTTGAAAACCGTTGGCCTGCTCGGGAGGAAGAAACAAGGTAAGGCAAGGCAAGGCAGGGCGAAGGTTAGGAGGTTAGGTTTGGTGCGTGGGGGCTTTGTTCAAGGTATACTTACGCCTGTGGAACGGCCGAGGGGTTTCTTTGTCATTGTATTTAGACTATCTCATATGTTGTGGTGGTTATTGTGGGTTTGGCATGGATTGCGTGTTTGTCTGGAGTGCAGGAGGTCGTGGTTTGATGTTGTTGGTGTCCTTGCCGCGGTGGAGATTTAAGCTGAAGGAGCTAACGGTGGGCTGGAACCAAGAAGCCATCTACAACAAAGACTAGGTTTATTATTGATATCGCATGTGCTTCGTCACTTTAACAGGTTCAAATTAAAGCAAATCTATATACATTCTACTAGTCCAAATCTAATACCCAACATGTACGGGGATTTTCAGATAGCCAGAAACACATCGTCTAAAGAATCCAGACAAAAAAGAAAGGCAGGGGAAGGGTGAAAGTAAACGCCACGCCATAATGCACAGCTATAGAGAAAAATTAAAATAGTACAGAGGTGCGATGTAGGTACTCAACATATTCGTGATCAACATGGGACTACAATAGTCCTAAGCGGCTCTTCAGCGACAGTACGGTTTCATACACGGAAAGCTTCAGCTCAACGCGAAGAAACTTCGTCCAGGCACAGAGAAAGCGCCAGAAGTTTGATGGTCGCAGCAACCCACCCCTCTCATGGACGATGTCCATCTGTTCCTCGAAAACAGTGCGGGTCGCGTAGCGGGCAAGAATGAGGAAGGTTCGCACAGGGCCTTGTCGGGTATGGAGATTCTCGTCGAGACTGCGGGCTATAAGGAGTGTCAGTGAGTTGGATCTTCAGGATACTCAGATATAGTCGTCATGGGGAACTTACTGAGATCATTCGTTTTAAGAATTAGGAGCATGATCCGGGGCACCTGGCCCAATAGCTCCACTAGCTGCTGCAGCATGCCATCACCGAGGGCGCCAGAGATATGTTCCTTCTCCGATTCAGTGCGAGTTGAAGTGATACTTTGTTGTGTCAAAACAGCGTAGTCTCTGCCAGTGATTGCGCTTGCAAAGAGAGGAAACTGCTCATCTGTAACACCAGCTACCTTGCGCGAGTATTCCCGCATACGAGGTTCATCCGCTTCAATAACAGAGAGCCAAAGTTTAGCATAGTTGCGGCGCGTTTCACGAGCAATGTCACGATACAGGCCATGGTCATAGAGGATAATGTCGAAGTTGTGATGCTTTCGGTTGGAGTTCTTGCGGATGGCAATATTCCCGCCATGGGGATCGCAGTGCAAGGGCGCATCGTCGCCGAAGATCATCTCGTTGAAAATATGAGCAAGTGCTGCCGAAACCTCGTCCCGGTCAATATGGTTGGCATCCAGGAATTCCAGGTCGTCAGGTCGCGCACCCGTCAAGAACTCCATGACGAGGATACGTTTCTGGGCCGAAACAACTAGAAGATGTCAGAATATTGGCGCAAACTTATAGTAGATGGGTAGAAATACCTCCTGGGATCACCAAAGGAGCATCCGAGTGTTTCTTGAAGTATTCGCTCGCTCTGTTGGCATTTTCCGCTTCCATGCGGAAGTCCAATTCCTGCGGCAACGAGAAATCCATTTCTTTTGAAAGCCATTCCAAATCGTACTCCGGGAAGAACTTCTTCAACATCGAGAACGTCATTCTCGTTAGAGCCAGGTCGAGTGGCGCCCATTCCGCCAATGCTGGATGTTGCACCTTAACTGCAACTTTCTGGCCAGTTCCTTTCAAAGTTCCAATATGTACCTGCGCCAGCGACGCAGCACCAATCGGGGTAGGTTCAAACGTTTCAAAGAGCTCGTCGATCCGTTTCCCAGTATCCGCAACAAACACTTGCTCGATCGACTCAATTGACGAAACGGGGCACTTGTCCTGAAGTGGGACGAATGTCGTCGTCCACTCCAGCGGAAGTAGGTAGCCCATGCTACTCAAATGTTGTCCCAGTTTTATGAAGATCGATCCGTTCTTTTCCAGCACACGCAGTGTCCGCTCAGCACAACGTTTGTGGCAGGCGCGAATCACCTCGCTCCGTTCTTCGGGAGTGGCGGTCTCTTGTTTGAGGGTTACTCGGTAGCTAAGGCACAGTAAAACGCGTCAGAATACTTTTCACGTATCATATGAACTAGAACAACCAACTTACTCATTGATACAGACTGCCAACGTGCCAACGACTCTCCCCGAGCGCTCTGCAGCGCGGTAAATGTGTCGAGCATCATCGGAAAATGTAACAGCCCCAACGGCAATGACTCCTCCGATTATTCCATACGTAATCCATTTCTTTCCAGACTTGCCAGTATTAGACTGCTTCTTCCCCCCCTGGGCGCTCGTTCTCTCTTGCGATTCCGATAAACGGAATGTCTTAGTAGAAAAGGGCGCTCGGGAGTCGCGCGGCGAGAAATTCGGAGCATTCGATGGGGACAACCTAGATGTCCATACACTGGGGAATGCGCGTGTATCCTGGCACGCAAGCCCCTTGGGAGCAGAACCTGAGGTATATCCAACGACGGACGTCGGGTTAAAACCGAGAGCCCGTAGTGGGGTGCGGAGTGCCACCCTCATACCGGGCACGAACAATGCCGTGTAGAGCGCGACCACAAATCAAATATAGAAGAGAGCCAGACGATGTCTTTCATCCGTGCCACCCTAGGGCCATTGAGCGATTGAAGGGGAGGAGAGAAGGGAGTTGCAAGGCCGATGGCGGAAGAGACAAAAAATTGTCGCGTGGCCGTTGCGGCGCAGATCGTGGCATTTTCGTCTTGCAGCCCCGGAACTCGCCGCGCCCGAATCGCGCGCCACTGTTCTTCACATGCGGGATCTACGTTGTTCTGTGGACTGGCTACCAAGGTAAGTAGTTGAGTGTGGACGCAATATTCGTTGATATGTGATGTGACAGCGTCCCCTGCAAGTGATATGAAAACTGCTACTATCTACATACACCTATAGGTGCCCATATCTCTCGCCCAACCAGTCAGCGAACCGACCAACTGCCGTATTGCAAACCCAAGGAAAACATGGACAGAGAAAGGAAGAGACAAAAAAGAAAAAAGAAAACGCCTCCAAATGCACCTGTAGGATGCAAAGACTCGTAGCAGCCCAACATAACGGAACACTACAACGAGTCTCTTTCAACAAAGGGAAATATAATAATGAATAGACAAGTTAGTTTTAGACCACCATATTTATGCTATGGTGCTCGCTCCGTATCTTGCTGTGTCAACCGCCGCCGCCGTGGGAGAATCGAGGGCCGACGAGATATGGAGCTCGACGGTCGATTATCGTCGTCAGCTAACAGTTCAACATGCGACAGTCTATTGGCCACTCCGCGAGGTATCCTGTTTCTTGAAGCGCCAGAACCTCCGTTGACACCCCCTGCAATACCCGGGGATGGCCCATCTCTGCTCCCAGGGCGGAGTGCCAGTGCAGAGCCACTGAGTGCAGTGCGCGGGCGCCGTTGTGTTTCTCGACTATCGAAATATCCCTTGGGCTGGTTCTGTCTGCTCATTTGGGGAGTGACAGGAGCAGACTGGTTGGCAAGAAGGCCAGGGGGAGTTGCAGCGGTGCTTCCCCTTCTAACATTTGGTTTGAGCTTACCTAGGCCATACGAGTCGCTCTTCTCGTTGGACTGGATAAGCTTGCCTGCCATATCGCGGACAAGAATTGCAGGATCATGCTCGAGTTCTCGAATCGCATCCAAGAGTCCGTATCCTTCAAGTAATCCACTCTGTTCCTCGCTCGAGTCGCAAATGCTGGATATGATGCGCAGAAGATTCAAACGAACTGCAGCCTTGTGATGGTGCAGCTTCTGTCCTATCCTGCTAAAAAGATCTGGGCGCGCCAGAGTCGACGCGATCGGAGGGCTGAGTCTGAGAAGCTTTTGAAGAGGCTCAAGGATGTTCTCAAACGCGTTTGCTTTCGACAATGTCAGGCACCTTATAATTGCATCGGTAAACGAGGGCTGGTCATAGCGATGCTCCAATAGGTGCTCTTCAACCTTGGCCGTCTCTTCTTGAAGCCTGTTGCAATCCAATTAGTTTACGACGCTTTACGCGGTCGAAAGACACCACATACCATATAAAGATAGCATCTAATGCGGTCACCTGCCAATACGGATCCGAAAGTAAGGAGATGTAAAACGCAAGACCCTTGTTCCGCCATAGCTCCCGGCGACCGACTTTCCCAGAATGAGCCATATCGCACAGGATAGGCAACGCGAATTCCTTGAGTGGTCGTTCGGTTTTCACGATTTTCTGGAGTAAAGGCACGATGCCATTCAAAGCGGCATCTTCTTGTCGTGACTTATTGAGGCGACACATGTTATAAATCGTATTTAGAATCTGGTTGGAAACCTCCCGGAAATGTGGGCGTTTCATAGTTGAGCGTAAGAGGTCGCTCAACACGTCAATCGCGTTCGAGTTCTGAAGGGAGTCGAGTACCGTTGATAACATAGATAGGTTTTTGATGAACTTAAGCATAGTTATTTGGTGGGCAGGCGTCATGCGCTTCAACTCCTTCAATACCCCTAGTGTCATGGTCAGCGAAAGAAGGCAAGACCAAGCTTCTGAAAAGACTTACTATGTAGAACTGTGCGCTCAGATACCATCTCCTTGACGTGGTTTTCGGCCTGCGAGAAAATAAAGAAGATATTTGCGATACGTCCCTCAACGATTTCGGCGAAATCGCCCTCTTCGTCTAGTACTCGGCTCAAAACGAGAGATAAAGGATCCAAAACAGCACTGCGAGACAAAATCCTACAAAAGTCGTTCTTCGGAGTAGAACCCTGCTTATTGTCAACCACGAGCTTAATTAGAGGGGAAGGTCATCGGGATAACGCACCTGCAACTCAAAGACACTCCAGATACCGTTTACCCCGACCAGAACGAGGTCCCGTTCATCCTCATAGTCGTCCTCCAAGAACTCAACCAAGACGTTCAAACCTCCTGCACTGACAAACATCTGGAGAGTTAGAGTTGATGTTTGATACATCTGCTGGACAAACGCTGCCGCTTCAAGCCGTATTTCTGTAGGATACTTTTTCGCGGCAAACTCGTTGATAATGGGAATGCCTCCTACAAAACAGAGGTTCTCCTGTATCTCGTAGTCATCATAGATAATCGCATTCACGATTTTCAGTAGACATAAGGTGATATCGCGTCGACGGCATAAGTCAAGGATTTCTAATATCGGCAGCATACCATGTGCGCTAATGATGATATTTTTCGTTTCTGGGAAATCGCAGAAAACAGCCAGGAGTTGCTCGGATATTTCTCCCAGTACTTCTTCATCCTGTGACGTTTTCAAAGACCCAACCAACCCTTCTACTTGGTTTCGTAGTCGAGCATGTTTGTCACGTGCGATATTGGCCTCGAGATCCGTTTCGTCGAGCCCTTCTTCGAGCTGTGCAAAAGGGTCGTCCTCGTCATCTTGGTCACCTAGCCAAGAGTTGTTGTTTGATAGTTTCGAGTTTAGCATCAGAGTACTCTTATTTGAGCTGTCATTGCTCTCAGTTCTGCCCAGCGTGACCCCATCCACGCCTAGAATATCAGAGAAGTCCTCGTCGTTCTCATTCTCGGCAAACTGCTGGATTTCGACGGCACCACGGTATCGCTTTACGGATATCTGTCTTCCAAGTTGAGGTTGATCTTCTTGGTCTGATGAGCCTTGATACCGGACAACTTCTCTGGACCTTGCTGGCTCTGGCGAGTCTGTATTATCATCGCTCTCCTGGAGGGTGTTAGTTGTTTGATCGCATGCCCTATATGTGACTGCGGTGTACTCACTTGAAACGCACTTATCTTGCGGTCAAGAACGTCTTCGTTATCTATAATGATATCCGAATAATCTTCAACCGAATTCTCCTTGTAAAACCCCGGCGGACGTTGTTGCCGAATAGGAGATGACGAATTCTGAATCATTTGCCCACCATGACTTGGGTTTATGGAGGTATTCAAAGGTGGACCGCGCCTCATCTGTGGTCCGTAATGTGCGCTCTGAGTCTGTGGCGTTCCCGTGCCTGTCTGCTGAGAGGGTGAAGGTCGAATTGTCTTGAGGGGATCTGGTTCTCCGGCCTGCAGAGATCTCCCAAAGGGGTCGTCAAGCTCCTCAAAGCTGTCGTCGGACTTTAAAACCGTGCCATCGAGTGATGCGAATGCTTTTAGTTTCTCGGAGGAAAGCATTCCTCCGAAGTTGTCATGTGGTCGGAGGTGAGGTAGCTGTAAGGCACTTGGAGAAATAGCAGTGGCAAAATCATCATCCCAGTTGTCTTCTTCCGTAGAATTAGGTGACCTGAATCTATCTGCGACATGTCTGGATACTGGGCTTGGAAGCGTGTCTTTGGTTGGGGTGTACCGAGTATCGAGCCGTAAAGATGGTGGGTTTTGGCTGTCACTTCTCCCTCTCCTCGAAGCAGCTGGCTCAGGCGACCGCAGGGCTTCGTTCCATTCTTGGACACTTTTCACAGCTTCCTCATACTCAGTTGACTTTTTAGGAACTACCGAATCGGATCTTCGGGCATTGACGATCCATGGGTGTTTGAGAAGCTTTCGCGCGGACACACGAAGGTTGGGATCTTTCTGAAAACACTGCATCAAGAAGTCTTTTACAGCCTATAATAACATTAGTAAACGAGTATCACCGGCCGTAGAAAGTAGCAAACTCACTGGAGAGGCGCCTTGCGGGAGAGGAGGATGGTCGTCATTAACGATGCGGAAAAGAGCTGGCATAGGTTGAAGGTTATAATACGGAGGTTTTCCTTCAAGCAACTCAATGACGGTACACCCAAGACTCCATATGTCTGACGCAGTCGTGGCGCCTGATAGTTCAATTACCTCGGGGGCCATCCAATACGGAGTGCCGACAACGCTGGATTCGCTTAGTCCGGTCGTTCGACTAGCCACGCCAAAATCCGCGAGCTTGACAAGACCCTCCTTTGTTGTGAGAATATTTGCCCCTTTGATGTCTCTGTGGATAACACCCTGGTCATGGAGATAAAGAAGGCCGTGTAGGACCTGGGACATATACACTCCGACCAGGGTCTCTGGGAAACGTCCGAAATTTTTGGCAATGGAATGTAGAGAGCCATTTTCGCAGTATCTGATCCGTTAGTAGCTGGGTCTTTCTCTTTCTCGAGAGGGTCCGAACGTACTCAAGAATGATGTTGAGAGTCTCGATCGATTTTACAAAGCCATGATATTTCACAATGTTTGGGTGCTGTTGTCTATCGAGTTAGTGGATGTTGCAAGCATAGATGATCCCACCGCAGGATATATTGACTCATACGTCCAAATTCTTCAGGAGATCGATCTCCAACTATATCACATATCGTTAGCAGGTAACGTGCGTAACCACAAAAGACATCGTACCATGATAACCCGCAGTTCACTCTTGGGCAAATCCACGAGCTTGATTTGTTTCACAGCAACGGTTTCCCCTGTATTCCAGTTAAGTGCCCTGTATACCGACCCGAACGCACCACGACCCAAGCAGTCACCCAGTTGCTGCGGAAATCACCGTCAGTTTCGATGCCCAGGGCCACAGACTCAGGGGGCTGAACATACATAGTCCTTGAGTTCTGCGACATCTTTCGCCGAAGTCTTTCCCATCCTGTCATCCTTTGGTTTCTCATCTCTTTTCGAAGGGCTGGAGCCGAGTCTCGTGAGGCGTCCTTTAGCGGGCGTGCCGGACATTCTGGAGGCCGGGGCGTGCCCCTCGGCCCCCTCGTTGGACCGCGACACCATGACCGGTCAAGGTCAAAATGAATATTCCTCCACGGAGCTCGGTTCAATCAAAAATATCGCCTTGGGTTGTACAATCTCGAGCACGGAGCAAAGGAAGGAGGAAAAGGCAGGCGCCGGGGAATCGATCGGATCGCTCATATCAGCACGCTCGCTGCGTAGCGGGGCCGGGATTGTTAGTGATACTCAAGGACTGGAAGGCAAGTGGAAAGAATGCAGAACAAGAATACACATATATAATGTAGGCGACTCAATAAATTAAATTTCTGGGGAGGGGGTTAAAAAGGACATACCGGAGGGATCCTTGATCTTGCAATCACGAAGCCGCGCTGAAAAAACGCGACAGGCCACATGGGAACCTGACCCTTTTTTTTTTTATCTCAGCCAGAGCCACGGATTGTCGGCAGATCCTCAGGGACAGGGATGGAAATTAAACAGATAGTCGTACTCCCTAGTGTTGTCCCTCTGGAGCTGAACCTTGGGAACAATGAACTAGCGGATGTTTTGAACTCTCCCTTCTCCAGTCTCCACAGGCCGCGACTGTTTGAAGCATGACGCACTGGCCGGCTGCTTGTGTATCTACGATCAGCCTTATCGGTTTCACAATATTTTAGGGAGTTAAATTGCGGACTAAAATAGTCTGAAACATGGATTGGAAGATTTACTCGGCCATATACTGATGAGTGGTTGGTGCGACGGCGCTCCCGTCTAAAAACATATACAATTCGTCTATAGTTGAATATAATATTAAAAATACATTTAGACAAAGTGGTGGAATTTCGTGCAATGGGTCTCTGCTTTCCTGAAGCACTTGAGATCAAAATGTTGAGGAGCATTGTTGTAATCATGATTTTTTCGCCTCCCTGAGAAGACGCAAAACGTCAGATGCGAGATAAAGGCTCCCTGCAATAACTAGGGGACCGCCATCCGCCCTGCTACACGCCCATTCGAGTGCGCCAAGGGTGTCTTGATTGAACGACTGTACCTCCCCGATACCTTGGAGATCCCGAACACATAAAGACAGCTCCTCAGGGTTGGCAGCCTTGACCCAAGGCATCCCATCAACGGGTCCAAATGTTGTCGCCGCAACATCATCGCCGGGCTTGATAATTGAATGGAATAATGGGCGAATATCCTTCCCATGTGAGGCTGCAATAACCCAGGTGACGTTCTTTCCCAGGGAGCGCAGTTTGTGCTCGACGTATTCTCCAAGAACTTCAGCTGATTGCGCGTTGTGTGCACCATCCAGCAGAACAGGTTCTTTGCGTGCAGTTAACGGCTGTAGTGCAAGTTTCTGTAAGCGACCTGGCCATTCGACAGAAGTGAGTTGCGGGATTAGGGTGTCGGCGTTAAGCTCCGGGCGGATCTGTGGTAGAAGGGCTTTCAGCGAAGCGGCTGCACACGACATGTTCGCCTTTTGGTGAGTCTGGAGGTCATGCTGCTGAAACAATTTACCAAGGGAAGGTAACTGGTCATCTGGGGCATCCGGATGAACGACAACAGCATTCAGACCAAGCTCTCCAATGCGGTCTTTGATGGCCCCTATTGCCTCCGAACAGTTGGTGCCATCGACCACACAACTGACACCGGGCTTCAGTATTCCAGCTTTCTCCCGCGCAATCTGTTCAATGGTGTTTCCGAGAAAAGCCTGGTGGTCGAGTCCAATCTTGGCAATAACCGACACCAAGACGTTGTTCAGAATATTTGTGGAATCTAAGCGGCCGCCCATGCCAACCTCGACAACTCCGACCTCGACCTGCTCATGGTTGAAAATCTCGAACGCCGTTGCCGTCAATAGCTCGAACTCGCTTGCGCCGATACCTAGCGTTTGGTCCCGTAGCTTTACTCTAGCCTCGATCTGACGGAAGAGAGACTCCTGAACAACCCGTTCGTTGATGGTGATGCAGTCCCAGCGATCAATCAAGTGTGGGGAGGTAAATCGGCCACATCGAACACCCCCAGACTTTAAGAGATGCGATAGGTATGCGCTGATCGAGCCTTTGCCATTCGTGCCCGCAATGTGAATGGCCTTCCATGACAGCGGAGTCTGTTGAAGGAGGCTGGATATCCGGCTGAGACCGAGCTCAATCATTCCTCCGGATGTGCAATTTTCAATGAGAACTCAAAATCAAACTTCATGATCGAGCTCATATGAAGAGTAGGTTGGAGTTGCCGGGCCGCTGGTCGGTTCCCTCATTATTTTCCCGCGGAAAGCCCAAGTTCGACTCGGAATGCTTATCGATGGAAGCGATAAGAGATACTGCCTGAGGTGTCGGCTTGGGAGGTTTGAGCGATACGAGAAAGGTGGGGCGTGTACAAACGTATGAGAGTGAACCCAAATCAAATGGTGACATTTACCATGCAGTGTGCCTCGAGCACCTTCCTTGACTGTTAAAGGGTTCCGAGAACTGGAGGACTGGTAAGAGTGCAGTTTTCTTGGCGGCATCGGAAGCGCCGAAATGCCGCTGAAGTCGACTCTGCCCGCATCGGCTGGTTGCGCCACACCCCAGCCTCGTCCGAGCGCGACCACAGAGTCTCGCGCTCTCCCGTCAGCCTCTTCGCCTCCGCTTTTTACCTTTAGCAGCAAAATCGAATCTTGCCGTTTCTCCATCAACACCGGCTTGTCGCTATCCCGTACCCCATCGTCGCGTCACCTTTTCGGCGATCACGCTCTTTTTTATATGGTCCTGGGAGGGGCGCTTCTTTTGTGAATTAATTTTACGAAGCTTGAGGAAAGCATTTTTGTAAATATGGGCATCCCGTGAGTTTGTCGCCAAGTTCCCTCCCCTATGTGCTGTCCGTTAGGACTCAGCGCGCCTCGGAGCGCCTTGCGGTGCGCATAGAACACGCGACCTGACTGATTGCCACCAGTATGTACCGCGAGCCATCGTCAACTGAGGCCACTAAAAACAACGCTGCCAAAGACCCTTGTGCTGCCGCTCGCTCTGCAATTCGTCGCCAGGCCACTGTTCGCCGCCCCTCGCGTTATGGCAGTTCTGCTTGGCGCAGTGCGAGCCTACGCTCGCCGTTTCCTCGTCCATTAGCAGATGAGTTAGAGCGCGAGGCAAGCGGATTGCCGCGTCATCCGCGTTCCCCCGCTTCGATCCCCGCTCCCCCAAGCGACCCGTTTGATCTCAACAGCAGCCTGGCTGACAATAGTCGGCGCGAAGCTGGGCTGCGAATCCTTGGTGATGCTATCCGTCATAACCGACCAGGTCAGCGGCTGCGAATACCTCGAACCTCCAATCTGGCCGACTTGAACGCGCGCCTTGCTAGTGATGCGAATGCCCGGCAGGAAGCTCAGGATCATAACCCTTTTACGCCCCGTTTTGCTCCAGCTATTGCATACCATAGGTCTTCAACACCTTCGGCCGGACCAGATTATCTTCGCTTGTCACCTATGCCGCGACATGATGGCCCTGGGGAAGATCTTCACGCCGGGTCTTTTTTACCATTATTGCGTCGTTTTGGACACCGCTCGATCAATGATGCGAATTTAACAAACCGGGGACCATCCATTGATGGCTTGGGCGATCGGCAAAGAAGCGTGGACCTGGAAGACGATCATGCAAATGATGCCTGGGAGACTCTCCTGACCACAATAGCACCCGATACCAACCTCCCTAGTGCCGATTCGTCCTTTACTTCTGCGTCTGCCTCAGGGACTAATGGATCGCATAATGCAACCTCGAGTTCTGCGACATCACTCGAGTCTCTCCAGAGCTCTTTTACCGGTGCCGTTCCAACAGTTCATATGACACTCGACCCCTACCAAGAATATTCGAATCCGTGTGACTACTCTAGCGATTCGGATACCGAATCGGACGGCGAGATTACCCAAGAATCACTATTTCGACGCTATCGTCGCCGTATGCGCCAGGTCGATTCGATGAGACGCGCACATAATCTCCAAACCATGGGCAACCTACCTTCTATGCCTTCTATGCCTTCTATCGCCTCCTCTAATCCACCTCCTATTCCCACAATATCCTTTTCATTTTCGGATTCTTCGGGAGACCAGGACCTGCACCACATGCAGGCTATCCTGGATCGTCTTGCTCGTCGCGAGGATGTTCCTGATGACTGGTGGGCAGCAGCTGGACTGTCTCGTCCCCTTGGTCAAAGAGGAGGTGCAGGTGACGATTCAAACGATGGTCCTGGTCTGGATGGCCCTGTTTAGACAAAGATGAGAGATATCGCTTTTTTTTTTCTCCTTTTCTCTTCTCTTATCATGTGTTCATCATATAGTTTATTTTTGTACTTCCTGCGGCAGATTTTTGCTATCCGCAGATTTTAGCGAGAGGGATATCATAGTGGCGTTTGGAGGAGTTTGATGTTGCACAGTATCTTCACCTATTTTGAATACTTATGGTGGCGTCGGGCCGGGGATTGTTTCATTGTATGTATATATTCAAGTATGACTTCAGTCTGTTGGTTTGAAACCGCCACAAAAGCAGATTGAGAGCGTCAATGGCATGGATTAAAAAGTACATTTATTGAGGATACCTAGTTAACGATTCAGATAACCTGGATTGCTTTGTGATTTCCCGATCTTAATCTCTCCATAATCTTCTATGCGATACCGTACAAATCATTTTTTTTTCTGCCCATACTTAGAATAGCAGGGAAGCGATTGGTTGGAAAGCGTAGTGAACGAGCTTAGGCTTTAATCTTGGTTTACTTTGGTGCCTGCCGATGTCGGGATGGAACCGAAATCAAGAGAACGGCCGAGGTCAGGTTATACTCCGCTGAAATCGGTAGGATTGGCGCTCGCTCTTCTCGATATAGATCATCGGGCTACTGAAGAGCCTGGGCAATTCTGCCTCTGTCCAAATCCCAACTTGAGCTAACTGTTCCAATTGACGCTGGAGAAGTGCACTCCGACGGAGGTCATCGCTCCAGTCCCCATCATACCCCACTCTGACGACAGTCCCCGCTCCGCGATGATTTATCAGGACTGCTTTTATCGCCAACAGCTCGGACGATGTGCGATCCTATAGACAGAATACCACCTTACCCCTCGGTTTTCCTTTGTGATGGAAATTGCGGGTTAATAAGAAGCCCAACTCGTCAATTGAACGCCGAATTTGCTTTTATCAGCTTCCATACTGTCACTGGTTCCTGCATGACTATCTAGGTAGTCGCAAACGTCCTCTCCCCCGACTTAGACCTTGGATATCCTTCGCTTCTCTTACCTCATTTTCTCGCCCACCCTCTATCATACCCACAATGGATTCCCAAGTATCTCGGCTAGTCGATAAGATCTGGAGTAAGTCTTAGATCGCACTCATGGCCCGCAGGTAATGTCTATAGCGCCCACCACTAACATTGACTCACCACACAGATAAGTTCCAGAACACGCCCGAAAATGCCCGCCTCCTAATCGCTGTCAGCGGTATCCCCGGCTCCGGAAAGACGGAACTGGCCATCACAATGGCCAAACGAATCAACGAAATATACGGCGGTCAACATGAGGGGTTAATCGCCGCCACAATCCCGATGGATGGATACCACCTGACACGGGCACAGCTTGCCCAGATGCCCGATCCAGAATATGCTGCTGCACGCCGAGGTGCGGCTTTTACATTTGATGGGGAGAAATTTCTTGCCCTAGTGCGTGCCTTGCGCGAGCCATTAACGGCGCAGACACAGACGTTGCATGCGCCTAGCTTCGACCACGCCGTTAAGGATCCCGTGGATGATGATATACCGATAGCAGCCGGGCGACGGGTGATTTTCTTTGAGGGGAACTATCTGAGCCTGAATAAGGAGCCGTGGAGCTCGGCAGCAAAATTGATGGACGAGCTGTGGTTTGTGGATGTTGATTTTGACACTGCGCGCCAACGCTTGATTAAACGACATGTTAAGGCCGGAATTGCGGAGGATGAGGCAGCGGCTGAGAAGCGGGCGAACGAGAATGATCTTGTTAATGGACAGGAGATTGTGGACTGTAGGCTGGATGTGCAAGAGATAATTCGGAGCTCTTATGATCCAGGGTGGGTGTGCTGATTTTGTATGAGGCATGGATGACGAACTTGATGATTGCAAGACTCTTTTGGGGGTATATACTCCATCGGATTAGCTATTCTAGCATTTACTAGATTTTCGGGCCACATAAATGAACATTTTCATGTTTGGCTGCTTAGCCTGTGTGCCAGCCTATATTTAGCTGCTCATTTTATATATTCAGGTGCTAGCGGGATTGGCACACCGACGGTGTATACGCCTCAATGCAAAACAGGGACTAAAATGAAGACCACAAGGTTCTAGACCTCACTACCAAGTTCAACACATCATTGAGGGACTGGATCTACTCTGCGCAATAAGATTGTGACCGGATGACGTGGTCCTTACTCTGTAGGTGCATCTGCATTACTTGTGGAGCCTCCTAACTCCTGTTTTTCAGTATTCGACACGCGTGTGAGTCCCCTAACATTGAAGTTTGCAGATACGCTGGTAGTAGGGGGTTTAACCTTTCCAAGAGTGTAAAACAATTGGCTTAAGATAACACTGCGCTGTCTATCTACATGTTTGTTGCCTGAGGCCTGACTGGGAAATTGATGTTCCGCGGGCACGCCCGAGAAATTGGACGAGGTCAGCCAGGGACTCAGGGACGTAAGATCGGCAGGGAAGATTCCATATTGGGTGAAACATCCTTCTGCTGGGGCCGACCCTTCAATTCCTTGTTATTTCTCCAACAGGCCGTTCATTGCTGTTGCTTCGAGATCTCATCTTCAACTCTTTTCGTTTTGCTGTCTGTCGCTCTTTTAACAGACTCCTTTCGTTCATTTTTCAAGTAATACAGTCGTTACTACCACCACACCAGTCACTCCTTAACAAATCACTACCTCGGCGAATACCGTACCATTTCCCCTGAACCGACTTGATACCAATTCACCCCCGATTCCTTCGTCTGCACCGTCATAATGCTCTTCGCAAAGTCCACTGTGCTTGTCACCCTTTTCGCTCTTGGCAAGGTTATTGCTGCTGCCGGCACCAGCACACCTGCCTGCCTTCTTACCGTCGTGGGGTAAGCCCAAGAATAATACCCGTTTTGTGCAAGTGATATATGCGGTTCGTTTACTAAGAATACCTATCCAACAGCCCTGAGAACCCCGGCAACCTGAAGGCGATCTGCAAGACCAATGGCAAAGAAATCCAGTCTTCGATCAAGGACGAGTGTGGTGATGATGCGAAGGATGCCCTGAAGTACTACGCTGGCGTCTGCAAGGATGCCGGCTTTGAAGTTGGTTCGTCGCCCTTTATGGATACGGGTGGCATTAGTACATCGCTAACTATATATCCATAGATACTAGCTCTTCGTCGGACTCGTCTTCATCCACAAGCACTTCGGATTCCTCGTCCAGCACCTCCGGCAGCTCAACCTCAACTGGTGGAACTAGCTCGACCGGCGGCTCGGATTCCAGCTCTGGCTCTGGCTCCAACTCCGACTCCAGCTCCGACTCTGCTTCTGCTACTGACAGCGCAGACGAGACTACGCCAACCAACGGCGCTTCCACCGATAAGCAAGTATCTGGTACCGCTCTTGCTGCCGTTGTTTTCCTTGGATTCGCTGCTACGCTTTAAGCACGCTTCGCAGACTTTGTATTATATTCGGAACCTGGACAATCTTGATCGGAAATATCTTACATGTGACGCTTTTTTACAACATAAATCGTTAGTTATTTTCAGTAGAATAACAATCATCCCACTATTGAGCAATCGCCATAAACGCTTTTAGGCGCGCATACGCGTTGCATTCAAGGTGCATATGGTGAATTTCAGTAAATCAATGACATTCAAAGCGGATAATGGTGTTGGCAACTTCCCTCGTGGGCGAGGGTGTTTCACCACCTGTTTGTGATTGTATGTAGGGCGACACGTAAACCACGTGATGGCGTTCCAGAAACAAAGGGTTTGCGGGAGACCATGAAGTCCAAACACGAAAATTCGCGTTGATATCCACCTGGAACGCGTGAGCTCGGAATCAATATCTCCTTCCATCGGCCCCTCCACTCTCTTTTTCTTTCTTTTCCTCTTCAGCCCTTGAAACCTCATCTCTCTCCTCCACCAACATCTTCTCCTCTCATCGCCTTAAGGAAGCTTCAGCCTGATTGAATATTGCAACTATTATACCCTCTTGTCTTTTCTAGTTTCAGCTTCACGTACTTACCGGGCCCCTCCCCGTTGTCCTGCAAGATGTTTGTCTACAAGAGAGGTACGTTTGAAGTAGATTAGCATTTCCAAGTACTTGCCTATCTTCAGCATTGATATGGACGCGTGGTGCTCGATTTTTACACGAGATTTGAGCGTGTTGCCACTCGTGTTGCGGACTCTGCTAACACATTATTAATCACAGATGGACGCAAAGAACGCGTACAATTCGACAAGATCACGGCTCGTGTCTCAAGATTGTGTTATGGCCTTGACCCCGAGCACGTTGATGCTGCTGCTATCACCCAGAAGGTCATCTCTGGTGTCTACCAGGGTGTGAACACGGTTGAGCTTGACAACCTGGTATGGCTGCTGAAGCCCCTCCCCCACGCCCTGTCTTGTGCTAATAGCATTCCTGAAAGGCTGCTGAGACTGCGGCGTACATGACCGTTACTCACCCCGACTATGCCATCCTCGCTGCCCGTATTGCCGTTTCCAACCTCCACAAGCAAACCAAGAAACAATTCTCCCTCGTCATCTCAGATCTCTATCACTATGTGAACCCGAAAAATAAAGTATCAGCGCCTATGATCTCAAAAGAAACGTACGAAACTATAATGAAACATGCCGACGAGCTCAACTCGGCCATTGTATACGACCGTGATTTTAACTACAACTTCTTCGGTTTCAAGACCCTTGAACGGTCATATCTGCTGCGGCTCGATGGAAAGGTTGCCGAACGTCCTCAGCACTTGCTGATGCGTGTTGCTGTTGGAATCCACGGCAACGATATTGAGAGAGCGATTGAGACCTACAACCTGATGTCCCAGAAGTACTTCACACATGCTTCCCCGACTCTGTTCAACGCTGGTACTCCTCAGCCCCAGCTGGCTTCTTGCTTCTTGGTTGACATGAAGGAGGACAGCATTGATGGTATTTATGACACTCTAAAGACATGTGCCATGATCTCTAAGACTGCTGGTGGTATTGGTCTGAACGTTCACCGCATTCGAGCCACGGGCTCGTACATTGGTGGTACCAATGGATCGTCGAACGGCATCGTTCCCATGCTTCGTGTGTTCAATAACACAGCTAGATACGTTGACCAGGGTGGAAACAAGCGCCCTGGTGCTTTCGCTATCTACCTTGAGCCGTGGCACGCCGATGTTTTTGAGTTCTTGGACCTTCGCAAGAACCACGGAAAGGAGGAAGTGAGAGCTCGTGATCTGTTCTACGCTCTCTGGACCCCCGATCTGTTCATGAAGCGCGTTGAGGAAAACGGTGATTGGACCCTTTTCTGCCCCAACGAGGCTCCTGGCCTCGCAGATGTGTACGGAGAGGAGTTTGAAGCTCTCTACGAGAAGTATGAAAAGGAGGGCCGTGGTCGCCGAACTATCAAGGCCCAGAAGCTCTGGTACGCTGTATTGGAGTCGCAGACCGAGACTGGCAACCCCTTCATGCTCTACAAGGATGCCTGCAACAAGAAGAGCAACCAGAAGAACCTTGGAACCATCCGCAGCTCCAACCTTTGCACTGAGATCATTGAGTACAGTGCTCCCGATGAGGTTGCTGTTTGTAACTTGGCTTCTCTTGCCCTCCCGACCTTTGTCGATGCTGCCCGTGGCGAATATGACTTTGGCAAGCTGCACGAGGTCGTGCAGGTCTTGGTTCGTAACCTGAACAAGATCATCGACATTAACTACTACCCAGTCCCCGAGGCTAAGAAGAGTAACTTCCGTCACCGCCCGATTGCCCTTGGTGTCAACGGTCTGGCTGATGCATTCCTTGCCCTGCGTTTGCCCTTTGACTCGGCTGAAGCCAAGCAACTGAACATCCAGATCTTCGAGACCATCTACCACGCTGCTCTCTCGGCCTCTTCTGATCTGGCCAAGGAGAATGGAACATACGAGACTTACGAAGGCTCGCCTGTCTCCCAGGGTATCCTGCAGTATGACATGTGGGACCGTACTCCTACTGATCTTTGGGACTGGGATTCCCTCAAGGGAAAGATTGCGCAGACTGGTGTTCGCAACAGTCTTTTGGTTGCGCCGATGCCCACTGCAAGTACCAGTCAGATCCTGGGTTTCAACGAGTGCTTCGAGCCTTACACCTCGAACATTTACTCTCGCCGTGTTCTTGCGGGTGAGTTCCAGGTTGTCAATCCTTGGTTGCTCAAGGATCTTGTCGACCTTGGTCTCTGGTCCGACAACATGAAGAACCGTATCATTGCCGATGGCGGTTCCGTACAGAACGTCCCAAACATTCCCGATGACATTAAGTCTCTCTACAAGACGGTGTGGGAGATTTCCCAGCGCCGAATTCTGGAGATGGCTGCTGACCGTGGTGCGTACATTGATCAGTCCCAGTCTCTCAACATCCATTTGAAGGAGCCCACCATGGGCAAAATCACTAGCATGCACTTTGCTGGCTGGAAGATGGGTCTGAAGACTGGCATGTACTACCTCCGTACGATGGCTGCCTCCGCTCCTATCCAGTTTACTGTCGACCAGGAGCAGCTGAAGGTTGAGGACAAGAATGTCGCTCGCGCCAGCAAGAAGAGAGTCGGTGGCGCTGCGGCAGCGACTACCTACTCAGCGGTGCCCCGTGACCCCGCTGCGCAGGTGAATGGACACAGCGAGGAACCCACCAACGGCGTGCCTCGAGAGGCCGAGACCAACGGTGAGGCAGAAAATTCTGAAGAGGAAAAGAAGGAAGGTGATGGTGAGCCCACCGAGGCAGACATCTACTCGCAACAGGTTCTTCAATGCAGCATTGAAAACAAGGAGGCTTGCATTATGTGCCAGGGCTGATTTATTATTGATTACGAATTGGTGGTGTTTTCCTTTTACTTTTTAATATTGGGTTTCCTTTGTACTTATATCACGAGTTGATGGATATTGTCTTTTTTTTTGAGTTTCTTTTCCTGTGCTATGACATTGATGCAAAGTGGTATTGTTTCCGCGCCAGGCATATTTTATCTTTGTCTAAAGCCTCGCTGGCCGGTCTATGTTTATGATCATTTTAAATAAATATTCGAGGTAGATTGGTTTGCAATCGAAAACGTACATTTTAGATTTCGATCTGGACTGTCAGTAGTCTCCTGTGGTATCGGGGATTGAAGAGCGAAGCGTAAGGCTTAACGACGAGCCTAGACTCGGGACAGAAAAGAATGGGGCTCAGAATCTTCAAAGTCTTCATGAACAGCAATGTCTTATTGGCGTGATGATTAAATGAGGGTGGGGTGAATCTGATGAGCGGAGATTCGTGTTCTGATTCCATTGATTTTGTAGTACTGCAGAAAGACACAGTTCATGCACGAGGGTCTGACAGATGACGTCCACGGTGGTCGGTGATGCATCCAAAATGCAAACCGTCTTCAAAGCAACGAGTTCTAAGCTGGCAGCCTGACGGTGCATATTTCCTCGATGAAGCTCGAATCCCATTGTCATGAAGTGGCTGTCTTTTCCGCTTTTCTCGGCAAAAATGCAGCGTGCCCACTCCTGGGCCTGGCACAGCTGACAACGAGTAAGACAGCAGTAAGACATCCCAAAAAGGAGGCCCAGGGCCAGCCCTTGGCTTGGAAAATACGAGTCCACCGACCATCCACGCCTGAAACCTCATTGCACGAGAGACCCAAGTGGCGCAAATTCGGCCAGACCAGGCCAGCGCAGAAGGCGAAGGTGGGCAAGGAACAGCAAGAAAACAACACCAGACCACGTCAGACTTGGGGCGACGATGGTGCCGAGGCCAAGACTGTGGCTTCTCACAGTGTTCAGGCACCGAATTTGGACTCTGGTTCCTTGGGCCAGTTGGAGTTGAGGACGCGCTGATCCCCCTGGCCTTTAGTTACCAAATTTACCAGTCAAGGAGCGCTAACAAACCTTGACCGGCGGAGATGCTTCCAGGCAGGCCGCTGCAGAACCAGTCAGATCTCTTCCGAGCGCTGTCCTTGTTGAGTCGACCTCGAGCGACTAGGTGTGTTGGACAGGTCACAGATGCGATGGCACTGTCTGATTCCCCCGTCTGCATACAAATTGCTGAAACAACACAAATATTTGAGGGGAAGGGCGAACCATGGGCGCGGAATGTGTGGAAGAAGTAATCAAACGGCGGTTGAGGCGTGGGTCTGGGGCAGTTCGTATTTGAGGGTCTTTGTGCAAACCGGCGTATTACCGCTAGCCTCGATTCCAGCTCGCACATGGGCCAGCATTAAATACCGCTTCCAGGCCCTGCTGCGCCTTTTTGTGCCTTCTCTTTCATTCTATCCTCATCCTCCGTCCTTCATTGACAAGCCTCCCTGCCGCTCCCTTCCTGCGTTTATTGCAGCTTTCGCTCCTTCAGTCACTCAGACTCCACGTTGTTTACGACCTGCTGTGCAGCCGTCCGCCAACACTTCGCTCCTTGATACCCTGAGCGCTTGTCTCTGTCGCAATCCGCTGAATCTTATCTCCAACAACACAAGCAGACATCATGGCTCCCCTCGCTAAGTCCCTTGCTGTCGCCGCCACGGCCTTCGCCGCTCTAGGCGCTGCCGCTCCTGGCCATGCCCACATGCACAACCACAAGCGCGACGAGGTCACTGTCTGGAACACTGTCACCCAGGTCGTTTGGAAGACCGTTGATGTCACTACTACCGTCACCAATGGCCAGAGCGTTCCTACCACGCGCATTGAGGAGACTGTCAACGAGGCTACTGCCCCTGCTGCCCAGCCCAAGGAGGCCACTTCCACCAGCACCAGCACCTCTACCGTTCAGCTTACTTCCTCTACCACTGAAGCTGCGGCACCGTCCGTCGAGACCAACGTGCAGGTCCCCACTGTTTCCATCCCTACCCAAGAGCCGGCCCCCGAGCCTACTCAGGAGCCCGAGCCCGAGCCCACCACTACCACCCAGCAGCCTCCTCCTGTTGAGACCTCTACTGTCGAACCCCAGCCTGAGCCTACCCAGAGCTCTGGTGGTGGTGGCAGCAGCTCTGGAGGCCCCTGCTCTTCCGGCTCCCCCTGCACTGGTCAGGTTACCTTCTATGATGTCGCTACCTCCCGAAGTGCCCCCAGCAGCTGTGGTAACGTGAACGACGGTAGCACCGACAAGGTCCTTGCTCTTCCCGTCGGAATCATGCAAGACGACGACTGTGGAAAGACCGTTACCATCAAGTACAAGGGCAAGACTTCCACCGCTAAGGTTGTCGACAAGTGCATGGGCTGCGATGACTCCTCAATTGACCTGTCGCGTGCTGCCTTCCAAGACCTCGCCAGCGAGTCTGAGGGCAGACTCTACGGCGTCGAATGGTTCATGCAGTAAACCCGACGTTTTCTTTTTTTTCTGCGTGGTCGTCGTGCCGCCGTTCTTACCTTCGTTATATCATACTTTCTACCCTTTTTATGTCGTGAATGACTCCATGAGACATTCGCGCCATGATTTATCATTCTTTGTGTATAGAGATTAATCTGGTTGTTGCAAAGTTACTCAACCAAGCCATTTGTTATTTTTTTTCATGCAACAAAGCAAACGCAGAACGGAGGGACAGGATCTGGAATCCCGCTGGTTACGACGCTACGAATGAAGTGTTTTCGGCAATCTGTCTCCGTAATCAGTAATTGTGGTAGATCAGCTTTGCAAGTTTCCCTGAGGTTTGCAGCGGCTGTAGAGTTCACTAGTAGATCGTTTAATAAACTAAAGCTTGTCGCTTGTCACTGTTTCAGACTGACTCGCAGTGATCGGCATTTGCAGCTGCGTACCTGTCTCAGATAGTCTGTTATATTGCTGTATACACCGGAGATGGCTGGCTGGGTTTATAAACTCAAGCTTAAAGCGTCGAAAACAACCGAGTCAAGGGATTAGTCAATCGGAATGCGGCATGGCAGCCATTTCTTCACAGATCCATGGCCCGGTCGATTGGAACCAGATGTCCGGGGTAGAACTTCAGCGACGAGGAGGGCAGCAAGTCGTGTGAATCAGCTCGACGAGAGATCTGGATTCTGCAGAGAGGTTGGAGAAGCCGCATTCAATGCTCCATGTTGCCGGCCAGGTTGCGCAGAGCCGGGGAATCGATAATTGACGATTTAATAACTTTGATCCCTTGACCCACCGCAGCACAGGCCCTTGTTTTCGACTTTTTCCCCTCGCTTCGTTTTCGTTTTTCCCTCGCCTCTTCCTCTCTTTCTCTTAGTCTCTGCTGCTTCCCCAGATTTTCTCTTCTTTTTCTCTCGTCCAGTCCTGGCTCTCCAGTTCCACCCTTCCTCTCCTCCTCCTCTCGCCAGTCCGCTCCATGCCCTCCCCGGCCATGGACTTCTCGCACTTCCCCAAGTGACCGCGTTTCATCATGGAGGACCGCAGACCCGAGGTCCTCGTCGTCTCCATCGTCTTCTTCGTCCTCGCCAGCATCTTTGTCGCTCTCCGCTTCGTCTCGCGAATATGGATTGTCCGGAAGGTCACACTGCACGACTACTTGATGCTTCTGGCCTGGGTATACTGGCACCAGATTACCTCGGCTATACTACTGCGTTGCTAACGGCTATACCAGGCCATTGATTTTGGGTTCTCTTTCGCTTTATTTTATGCCACCGGGAAAGGCCTTGGTCTCCATGATTCCGATATCCCTCCCGACCAGCGGGCTAGCCTCAGCCGCGCCAACTATGCCTTTACCGTCCTTTATGTGAGTCCTCCGCGGCCGCGGGTGGTATCGCGCTAATTTCCGTGTCTCTATAGAATCCGGCTCTGATGGCCGTCAAGTCCTCTATCCTCGTCTTCTACCTCACCCTCACCCAAGGCGAAAAGATCTTCCGCTACGCAAACTATGCTACTCTGCTCGTTGTCAATGTCGCCGGTCTAGCCCTGACCTTCGTCAATATCTTCCAATGTCGACCCGTTTCAGCCGGATTCGCCCCCGAGCTTCCCGTCGACGCGCATTGCACCGATATCCTGACCCTATACCTCTCCTCGTCCCCGGTTAATATTATCACCGATCTGGCGATCCTGGTCCTTCCGAACCCCATCCTGACGCATATGCGGCTTCCGCTGAAGCAGAAGATTATTCTGGTTATTACATTCAGTTTTGGTTTCTTCGTCGCTGTGGTGGATGTTATTCGCATTGCATACTTGCAAGAAGCTACTACCTCCCGGGAGCTTGCGCTTCGCCAGATTCACCTCCAAAACTATGGAGGGGGCGACTTTTCTTGTATGTAACTATGTATTGGCCTCTTCTGACACAAGCAACTAACTTTCCCAGGGTATGCGTCGCTTTCCTTCATGTGGTCTGTCGTGGAGGTCAATGTCTCGGTTATGTGCGCCTGCGTCCCTAGCCTCAAACCATTGGTCTCTAGGGTGGTTCCAAAATTGATCCGTGACTCGGAAGGAAGCACACAAACGAGCCCGTCCGACCCTCAGGTGCAGGCGCCTCCGCCGATGCTAACAGCAGAAGCTGTTCTTAATGACTCGGTGAACATTATGACTCTTCCGGAAATGTCCACTGTCCCTACTGCGCTTACCGATGCGGAAGCCAACACGACTACTCTTACGAGCACTTCCGATCCGCGCAGCATGACGTTCTTCGACTTCGTCAATATGAGAAAACCTGCGAATATGCTAGCATTGAGCACCAAGGAGTCGATAGCGCCTATTGCCATCACGACCGTTCTGTTTTTCCTCTGGGGGTTTTCGTACGGTCTCCTGGATATTCTCAATGAGCAGTTTCAGGAGATTGTGCGTTTGGATGCCTGGCGGTCTCTCGGGCTTCACTGCACTTATTTTGGGGGATATCTGGTCGCTCCAGCGCTGATTGGGCGCATAGTACTAAAACGTTGGGGTTTCAAGTCGACCTTCATTACGGGCCTGTGTTTTTATGCCTGTGGGTCGCTGATATTTTGGCCGTCCGCCGTGTTGACATCGTATTCGGCGTTCCTTGTGTCCAATTTCATTACCGGGTGCGGCCTTGCCATCCTCGAGACAGCGGCAAATCCGTTCATTGCACTTTGTGGTCCGCTGGAGAACTCGGAAATTCGATTGAATATATCCCAGGGAGTTCAGGCTATTGGAAGTGTGCTATCCCCACTGCTCGCCAAAAGAGTCCTATTTCGCAGTGTGACCGATGTTTCTTCGTTGGTCGACGTGCAGTGGACGTACCTTGGAATCGCCTTGTTTGATGTACTTTTAGCTCTCGCCTTTTACTATCTACCGATCCCCGAGGCGTCGGACGAGGACTTGGAGGAGCTGGCCAACCGCCGACGAGAGGACAACCGCGCCGCCCCGTTCGGAGTTCCAGTCGTTTGGATGACGCTTGGTTTAGGCGTGTGGTCCCAGTTCTGTTACACGGCCGGCCAAGAGGTCTTCTCTACGAGCTTCGAAGCTCTGGTTGAAAAAGCCTATCCCGAGCGGCGCCTCAGCGATTTCACATACCTAACAATTGGCCGCTCCATCTTTGCCGTCGGCCGCTTCCTCGCCGCCTTCCTCCAATACTTCCTCAAACCGCGCTGGATCCTTCTCCTTTCCTACGTCGGCTTGATCGTCTTCGCTGCGCTCAGCATGACAATGACCGGTCCCGCCGCCATCGCCATGGGCATGATGATCTTCCTCTTTGAAAGCGGCACATTCAGCATCATATTCGCCATCGCTCTCCGCGGCACAGGCCGCCACACCAAAACCGCCGCATCTCTCCTCACAATCGCCATCAGCGGCGGCGCCTTCCTCCCCTTCGCACGGTACGCCGCCGAACTCGCAAAAAACGGCGTCCCAGAATCATATAGTGTCCTGGTTGCCCTTTTCGCAGCCGGCGCCATATTCCCTATATACCTGAACCTCGTCCCCGCGGCAAAGAAACAGGTCGATCCTGTCCCAAACGAACATCTGCGCCATACCCGCCGCCGCCGGCGGCGGAGACGCGACGCAAATTCAAACACAAACACAAACACAAACGCGCTCCCCCGCGAAAAGGCCAACCCCTCCCGGGGCGGCGTGTATTCGCGACGACGAAGCGTCCTCGATGGCCCGGATCCGTTTCCAAGCGTCGACTTGTCGGGTCCGAACTCCGTGTCCTCGGTCTCGAGATTGGACTCGGTTGCGGAACGGGATGTGCCTGCGGATGTGGATTTGAATGCACATGCGGACACAGATATAGATGTGCACCGCTCGCAGGCGAAGGGTATATCATCCAGTAGCGAGAATTCGCCTATATAAAGCTACCTTTCCGTTTCCTTTCATTTTCTTTTGCGATTTGATCTCATCTACGATGCATGAATGATACCCAGCGGGATATTTTGGCGTGTATAATCAATCTGCTTTGGAGTTTGGGTTGGGGAATTGCTTGCATCATCGGCATCATTTTTTTTTTATCTCTCTATATATAATATCCCGGATTTACTATACTATACTAATTTGCATCGCGTGGGATTGGATCTGTGGTATTTGGAGGTCGCCACCGTCTGGATCATATCACTGAATCATACAGGAAAGTTATGCTAGTAATGAAGAATCAGTGCGAACGTCAAACAGATTCTAGTAATGACATAAAGACAAAAAAGGGTGAACGTATTGATAGGGCAGTTTAGAAATAAGCCAACATTAGGTGCCTATCTAGTTAACTCCATTGGAGTCATTATACTATATTAATATCCAATCCAGTCCGGTCAACACCATACATACCAAGTACCTAGGTATACATACAACAAAACCGAACCTGATGCTTGGAAGACAAACTTCCTAGAACATCCCCTCCATATCCAAATCCAAAAACTCAGGATTCATCTCGGCCGCATTCAGCACGTCATCAATACTCTGATCCCCCTCGCCAACACCAAGTCCCAGCCCCTCCATTCCGTCTCCACCGCTCCCAATATTCACATCCACGTTCATATTATTCATGTTATTCATATCCATGTTCATTCCCACAGCTGCGGCAGCATCGCCCATGATCTGATTGAGGTTTGCGTGTTCGGGGTCTGTAACGTTCTGGCCTTGGCCTTGGCCCTGTTCGTTCAGGTTCATGTCCATGTTCATATTCTGGCCGGTGTTGTCGGTGTCGACGTTTACGTCGCCGACGTCTAGGTTCATGTTATCGATTATGTTGTTCATGTTCATGTTGACGCCCATGTTCATGTCGAGGTTTGGATCGTGGTGGGCGGGCAGAGCGAGGAGAGTGTTGACGCGTCGGTATAGCCGTACGGCGACTTCAGCGCGGAGGGGATCCTTCTCGGATAATTTGGGGATATTTTCGTGAACGAGGTTGAGGGCATCGCGGAGGGTGAGGGGGGCGCAGCGCGGGGTTGGTTCTTTAGAGGAGGCCGAGGGCGGGTGATGGGTTGATTGGTCGACTGTGTAGGATTCTGCGAGCGGGGCGGAGATGAGGGTTGCTGCGATGTCGAGAGCGAGGTCTGAGGTGTTGGCGTTAGTGTTTGTTGATTCGGTTTGGAGTTTGAGGAGTTCGTCGAGGAGGGCTGTTAGGACGCGGGTTGCGCCGAGGGTGCGGATGGCGGTTGTGATTTGGCGATGGGTGTAGGAGGGTGGTGCCATTGAGACGCCTGGGCTAGTGCTCCAGAGGACGAGAGACTGGAAAGTGTTGCGGATGCTGCCGAGGAGGCCGCCGGGGGTGTGCGTGGTCCAGGGATCGAGCTCGGATTTGTGGCAGCTGCCGGTGCGTTGGAAGGAGAGGCATGGTTCGAGGGCGTCGAGGATGGGTTTGATGTCTGTGCGATTTGAGTGGCGGGTTCGGACATCCTTGAGTTTTTCTTCGAGCGAGCGCGCCGTGATGTTGAGGACTGTGAGGTGGATTTCGCGCGCCTCGCCTGAGATGGAGCTCGGAGTAACTAGTGACTGAAGGGTTTTGAGTGGGATAGTTGGGTCCTGCTCGCTTTCCCAGATGTGGTTGCCCAGCCAGATCAGTGCGACGACAAGTGAGGGGAGTAGGAACGGTTCAAGCAGGTCTATGCGAGTTAACTAGGATCGTCTACTGGTGTAGGCGTATAGACTTACATTCAAACCCCCCTTTCAGTGTATCAAACTCGAGCTTTCCGGCTTCGCAAGCCCCCAGACTCTGGCGGAATAGAGTAGAGACAAGCATGTAGAATTCCTGCGGGCTGCAAGCAGACATGGTCTCCTCACTGATCCCCTCGGCAATAAAAAGCGCCGCTATCCATTCGCCCAGATTCTTGTTCTGCTTCTCATTCAGCTCATCGAGCTTCAGGCTCGACGAGCCCCGCTCGATCAGCTTGAGAATGAACGAATTATTGCTCGTAATGCCCAGATCGAACGGCCGCAGATCGTACCGGTACTTGAACGTCAATACTAACAGCAGAATGCTTCCGAATTCGTCGTATACCGGTTGGCTCTCGCCCTGGTCCTCGTCCCAGTGCCAGGCATCGAGAAGAGCGCAGAGCGGCTGCAGGATCTGCTTCGGGCTGCGGAAGAGGAGCATGATGTCGAGGGACTGTGGCCGGCGAGATAGAGAGTTGCAGATATTCTTCAGCGTCATCGTTTCTTTTTGAATGCAGAGATTGTGCATAACCTGTATACATTAGTACAACTCACTCAACATATAGCTTCTAGGCAGAACACACATCTGTTATAGCACCGACAATAGCGCCCGCATTACCCTCCGTCGACTCGATATCACCGATCAGCTGCTCCGCACGCTCATGGTTGGCGTTGATCTGCGCCACGAGCTCATCCTTGACAAACGAGCCTCCCACGGGAAGAGTCTGCATCGGGTTTTCGCCTAGTAACCGCTCAATGCTGGCCTCTGGAATCAATTTGTGCGAGGCACACGAGAATAAGAACTCCTGCCGCACGTCGGAAAGCGGTGTATTCCCCTGCATTGAAAACATCTGCGAAAATGACGGAAACGTGTTCGGGTCTATTCGGCCCAGGGCATGGCTAATGCAGACTTCCATTGGCAGAGTTACCATCGAAACGGACAGCATGGCCGAGAAAAAAGGGGGGAGCTTGTCGACTAGGAATGAACGAAGCAAAAGCATTGTCCGACTGGATTCGGTGCGGTACATTGCGTTTGACAGAACGTCGAATGATGCGGTTATGATTTCCTCGATGAGGGTCTCGTAGTGACCCTAGGCGACGTTAGGCGCTGCCGATATTAAGCTCAGGAAGACTTACTGCATAGCGATTAAGAAGATAATTGAGTAAGATAGCATCATCAACCAAAGGACGTCCAACAAGCTAAAAAGGTCAGCTTGCGCAGTATCACATCAGAAGGGAATGTAGACATACCATCGCGTTAATATACACGTAGAGGCCAGCTCTAGAGTTTATAGTCGGCCCGTCCATCACCGACGCCTCAAAGTTGAGCGCATTGACATTGACGTTATCCATCATCGATACATCCAACTTGGACGGCGGCTGTCCATACAGATTAAATTCCTTCTGCAGAGCATCCAGCCGGTTACGCAAGGGCGGCGACACATCCTCACAAAGGGGAAGGCACGCCGAAAGCGCCTGCCCAAGCCGTACTTTAAGTGCTATTACAGCCTGTCAGATAAAACTCCACGAATAACAACAATAACAGCAATAGATGGATGGTACAAACCTTCATGAGAATCCGCCGAAAGAACCTCCAGTCCCTTCGCCGTCCCCGCCAAAGCAGCAAAAAGGATACCCACAGACTCAAACAATAAAACCCCATCCGGCGTCCCCATCATCCCAACGGGCTGCCCAGCACCAAGCAGCCCATTATGCCAACCCACAATGGCCAGGACCCAATCGGCAACCGCCGAAAATGCATGAATCACCTCCAGCAGCGGCATCTTCGCCGTTGCGCCCGTTGAAATCGCCAGCATCACATCCTGCACGACCCGGTTGTCAGTCATGAGCGTGTAGCACTTCTCCTTGGACGCTGAATCTTCCTTCTGTTTAGCAGATGCAGACGTGGCATCCGCATCCCCGTCCGATGCCGCTTCAGCACCAGACACCGACTTGTCACGCACAGAAGAGCACTTCAACAGGCATGTCAAAACAGTCGAGATCTTCACATAGCCCATCTTACACAGACTGTCGATATAAAGCGGGAGCAAGGGGTCCCATTTGACAGCCGATGCGACGGCGCGCGTGGCCAGCAATGCATCCATCAGCGGTGCGTCATTAATCGGATACCGCTGGAACAGCAGTTTGCTCAGCTCTCTAAACTCAGCAGCGTCGATGTGATGTAGCAGACACCGGTGGAAGAAGGTCTTCCATTGCGCCTGCGCCTGCGCTTGCTTGGACTTTGTCGTGCGTATGGCCATGTTGGTGGGTTGCACTTGTCCAAGATGCATAGTCTAGTTTTGCCTAGAGCGTAATATATCGAGATTTATATATATATAAATTCGGTATTAACGAATTATCCGGATCTTTTTTTGGGGTGTTTTTGCCCGGGGTGTGGGCATTTTGCCTGTGGTGCTTTGGATATTCACTTGTTGCGGACTTGAGTCCAGATGCCGACAACAATGATGGTCACGTGACATAACTACATCATGTGATTCCGCCGCCCCTGGCCAATCATGTAAGGCCGTTTTACCTGGTAAAGACCATCTTCATGAAGTTGTATTCGTTAACATCTAAGGTCTCTATATAGGGTGGCATTTGAAAAAAAAAAAATTAACTAATGGAACATCCAAGCCAGTCTCACAGCAGCCAAACATCCCAGTGCAGCCAGAACCACGAAAACAGTCTCTAGACCCGAAAACCCAGCGAGGCCCTCCATCATTGCAAGAAGGAGAGGCACAACAGCAGCACTAACACTCATCAGGCTGGTCATGATCCCTAGACCAAGTGTCCTTATCACCTCGGCACGAGCCTCGGCAGCACTTCCCGCCTTGCCCTCTTCCGACTCGAGGTCTAGGTCCGAGTCCGCGCTTGATAGGATCGGTTCGCAGCCGAGCTTATCGGGGTCGTTCTCGACTCTGTTAATGCCATCTTTCTGTATTGAAGGCGTTTGTGCATGCACAGTTGTCTCAGCCCCCGTCTCAACTTGGAGAAGACACCGTACGACACTAGCCCAGAAGGACACACACAGCAACGCATCCCCAATACCGAGGAGACACAATGGCAAAACCGGAGTCGCGGTCGCACGTATCAGGAAAATCCCATGCGCCAATACCAAGAACATATTGCTGGAAATCAAGGCTCGCGGATACCTCTTGGAACTGAGTCTATCCAAGACGAATCCGAATAGTGGAACGAGGAAACCGGAGAGGATATATGGGATGCTAAGCGGCAAGCAAAAAGGGTGAGATGGTGAGCCGAGGCATTCCAATAGAAGTATCATTTACTTGTGGGATAGGGTAGGGGAACAACAAACGTACCTCATCGCCGACCCCGCAGCCCGCTGATCGCCCGCATAGAACCGGCTAGCTATAAAGCGCTGCGCGGAATTCGCAAACGTGTTGAGACACCCGTAGCTCAGGATGCACATTAGTGCCAGTTGCCAGAATACCGGCGGCAGCAACGTGATGGTAGAGCTGGTTCCCTTGCTGCTGCTACCGCCCTTGCTGCTGCTGCTGCTACTATCATCTGTAGCTGCATGCAGCAGCGGCCGCTCAGATTCATCAATCACTGCTACTTTCTTTGGCCTGGAGACACTCAACAGAAAGGCGGTGCTTAGGGGCACGACACTCAGCGACAGTGCCGTGGCTATCCATGTCGCCGAGACGATTCCGTACAGACCTATCAAGCGCGGGATAACGGTCGTGTTCGCGACGCTGCCCAGTCTACCAGCGCAGAGATTGATCGCAAGCGCGAGGGAGAAGCTTTTGCCCCTGCAGACGGTACGAAAGAAAAGAAAGTATCAGCGCCGCACGAAGAAACGAAAAGACTCAAGGAATGCGGGATGGGTGGTAATTACTGGAACCAACGTGTGACGATCGCGCATCCGATGACACCCACCATCTCCCCACCGAGCCCGGTGAAGGCGCGGCCTGCGATCATGCCGGGTTGGAACTTGGTTGCGACGGAGAGCGCGAAGAGTAGCTGTCCTGTTACGATGCTGGAGATGGTACTGAGGAGGACGGATCTCTCGCCGAACCGCTGGACCGCGGGGCCCGCGAAGAACGGGAGGACAGTGTTGGGGACTGCATAGACGGCGTAGAGGAGAGAGACTAGGTAGGCGTACTGATGGTCCGGGAGAGAAAGGTGCTCTGATAGAGGGGTTGAAAGGGAGGCGGGGAAGTCATGGACTGGGTGAGCGAGTTGTATCAGCAGGGTTATAATTAATTAATATCCCACCACGAAGAAGACTGAAGTCAGGAAAGACATACCGAAGTAAGTGCTCCAGTTTATGGCTGCGGAAGCTGCGAGAACGTGCCAGTGAGTCTGTGACATGGTCTAGTTGGCGACCGATTAAGTTTCGATCTGGATCTTTGCTAGTTCATCTCGATGTGATCAGATCCATGACAGGCAGCGAATATAAAGGCCTGCTAACGACCATCCCGTGGCTCCGTCACACGAAGCATGCTGTGGGAGGGCCAAATAGCAAAAGCAAAGAGCAAGGCAGCTGCACCATGAGTAAAGTCGCATCGTGCTTCAGATCCAATATATACCCACTGCAGCGACAGCAGACATCTGAAATATCGGTCAGCAGAGAGAACGCGATCATGCCGTTGAAACAGTGAGAGGGACAAACGGTCATGTCTGGGATTGGTTGCCTTTTGAGTGGGAGAAATTCCCCGACCCTGGTATCGTGGTCCCTGCAATGCAAAGGTGGTGTCTGTCTCAGGTAGTGTGATAGGGTAGGAAACGAGGTACATGCATCTCTATGCAAGCTCTGGGCGAATGGGCTTGTCCATATGGGACACCGCAGCTGACCACTCTCGAAGCTGCTGACAAGCTGCGTATTCTTGCTTTTTTTTTAACCACCGACTTCGACCGACTTGATTCACCGTCTGGAAACCTTGCAATGATGTGCATGAAATCGGTATATCCAGCTGGCCACTGCACCTGCACGAGCAGGCAAACAAGCACATGCGAGTTTACGCTTTTTGTCTGAGACACCGATGCATAACCAAAAATCGCATAGAAAGGCAACCCCAACGGTCACCGCTATACAGTACCACAAATCCCACAGTAAGGAACATAATCCCGGTTGATCCACCCCACTTCACCCAGAGATGCTCGGTACTAACAGTAACGAGCAAGGGCCGCGCGCGAAAGTCGCAAAAGCCCCAGCCGGGGTCGCACCATAAACGTAATGAACCCGAACATTATGAAGAGCCCAGCACATGCCGATTACCGAAGCCCTAGCACATCTTCCTTGGTCGGGTATCGTGGAGAGTGTGCGTATACAGACAGAATTGGATGGGGAAAGCTTGGCAATCCAACCGAGACTCCTTCCGGATTAGACTTTAATACCAGATTGTGTACCGGTATGTATTGGTATTATATGTTACGGATCTGCCAGCCTGGCCACTGCCCGGTATGCTTGCTGGGTTGGTCGATCGAGCATCAACCCCGGGGCTTGAGTGAAGATGGCCTGGAACAGACTAGTGCAGGGGCCATGGTCACTGATGAGGCTTCAATGCCAAAGTAAGATGCGGTTGGTGCCCGATTCTGCTGGGTATAGATCGAAGGCTTAAGCCGATCGAGGTCAGCCTGACCGGGCCCAGAGTATAATTACGGAGGGTTCTCCGTGCTACGTACTATATTTAATGCCTCTGATCTGGTTCCAGTAGATCTCTGCACAACAGCGCCGGGCGGACGGAATTTGGGACCAACGGACCGCGGCTCGCGAAAGGTCGAATGCCGGAACTTGAATCATTCTCGACGACGTCGTTACTGTGAAGGAAGCCAAGTCCCGACAGGGGTGACAGGTCATCCGCCATGACTCGTCGCTCGCGAGGATTGCCCTGATTTACTTGAAGCCGGAGGGGAAAAGGGGTAAACCAACGACTCAGCCAGGTCCGGAGTAGGGAGTCCGAGTACAATTCGATTGAAGCGCTAAAGCACTTGTCGAACTCGATTCATCTTGCCATGTGGGGCGGCTAAGTTTGTTTCAGATCTTCATAGTTCGTCCTATCTGCGACAAGAAGCTCTTGGTTTGCGTTGCATAAGCGTATAGCCGTCTTTCCGGTCCATTCGCTGCTCTATTGATCCATGGGTGACTGTCGACTGACGACCGGCATGCCTCGGGCTGAGATGGGTGAGTGGAAGCACAGAGTCCCTCGTATACTTTTGAGTTTAGGGAGATCGTGCTCCGTGCTTGTGGGTTGCCTGCAAAGCCCGTTGTCTCGATTGAGTAGGACTCAAAGAAGGGTATAACCGCCTATCCATGATTTCATGCGCACCAAATATGAGTGCGATACGGAGACTATTTGGTTCTTGACTCTGTCGAGGCGCAAGGAGCTCTCACTGGTCGATCCACGAAATTACGGGGGTCCGTCGTTCAGCAGCGCCACGATCGAATTCGTCCAGAAAGGGTTAACACGGAGGTTACGTGAAGATCGAGAATTGAGGGACAGCATTACTCTGACAGCGCTGATTCGCGGCCCATTTCAATGAGACAGGCCGATCACAGTGTCGTGAAGGGGAAAATTTCACAAAGTGGACTGCCACCAGTGTCTGTCAGGTTGTCAGGATTCAGGATTCAGTTAAATCTCCGAGCCCAACGACGCCAACGGACGGTTCTGCTCCACCCACACAGTCCACCAACACTCGACAAACTAGTGGGGTCAGCTCTACTGGCACATAAAAGGAGTATTTTTTGCCGTGCTTCCTCTCTGTCATCCATGTCGTCATGTTTTCATGGGTCAGCGCAGTCTGGAAGTCGCTCGTTGCATGGCCATTGGCTCGTTTCCTCACACAGGACTGCCTTCCAAGCGAAAAGCGGACATGCTAATTTGTGGTCAGGGGCACTCGGATATTGAACCCGACAAGATCTACGAGTAGCTTATGACATAGTTTGGCCCCAGACTCAGAGAAAGGGGGGAGGCACATCGAATTTTTCCTCTTCGAGTAAAAGGAGTCGCATGACCGCAGGAGTAATACCCTGTAGTCTGTATCTCGGATTCGGATTGTCCGTTCACGTAGTAGTCAAAGGGGTTAGTTGTGCGCCCAGGTTTTCATCACGGTCAATCTTGTGATCTTGTGTTGCGGGAGCTGAAGAAGAAACCAGGGATTCGTAGAGAGTCGTTATTGATGAGACCATTGAACACCGTAGTATTGCTCCCATGAAATGCATATCAAGGGCTAAAAATGGAAAAAAAAAATATAAAAAAAGAAAGGGTCAACGAAGCCGAGCCACATAATGATGAGTATTCCTCCCATGCATGATATTAATATGTCTTTTTTCTTCCCTTCACCCCCGCGTGCTCTGCGGTTGTGAAGACTGGGATGATGAGTCCTGTAAGGTGTCTGGCGCTCGAGGTCCAACCATCCAGTCTTCCATAGCAAGCCAATCACTCCAGCTTCTTTCAGCTGCTTCAATCTCTGAATCCAATGGCCCTTGCAGAGGCCGTAAGAAAGGTATCGTCTCGAGTGGGGGGATATCGTAGTCCTTTTTCACAGAAGCCCATCCTCCACTCTTTGCGGCGAATAGATAGTTACAACGCTCCTTTTCGTGCAGTGGGCCTACCCCGGACTGCCAGTCGTCGCCGAAGAATCCATGGAGCACGCCTGGGTAGTCCATCCCTGTTGCGACGAGGCGGCGAATGTACGGGACTAGGGAAATCGGTGGGGGTGTATGTGACGGCGAAGAAGAACCCCCCGAAGGCGTCGCATCACCGCTGCTGCTCTGGGAATCTGGGTTCGCCGTAGAGGCGTCGGGGACTGAATGTGGTTGTCGCTGGAACGGAAGTTGAATGTTCAAGTAGGCTGACAGCGCCTGGACGGGGCTACTGTGTTGTGCATTGTCCAGGAAATAGCGCTGGCAGTTCTGGTAATGGGGGTACCACTCAAAGATGTCAAAGTTGTCGTCTTTGGAACCTTGCGAGGCTTCGGAGAGTCCTAACATCGCAGTCGCCGTCGGATCTGGATCGGGATCGGAGGCGGCACTTGGGGGCCGGACAGTTTGGTGTTTGGGGCTGGGGTGTTTGGTTCTGTTTCAGATGCATTGTTTCAGCAGTGCTCATCGACATCCACTCTAGGTTCCTCAGTTATTTCCCTCGCTCCTTGCGGCGTTTCGGGTGAATACCGGTAGGACAATGAGGCATTGGGTGCGTGGGTAGTGGGCAGAGGAGGGAATCGGGCAAAAGCGCGGCGCAGCCTTTGACTTCTGGAGCACAAGTCAACGCAATTGGGGACCGACTGGGAAATCGAGGGCAGGGAGGCGGGAGAGAAGTACTTGCTGGAAAACACCGTCCGACTGCGTCGCAGCAGCACTGCGACTCGACGGCGGGGAGGCGAGGAAGCTGACAAGGAGGAGCGGAATAGATTTCGGAGTGCGGAACCTAGTCCTCTACCCGGATGAGACTCGTTCATGGACATGTGCTGGTGACGCCCATCTATCACGCGTACGATAACAATCACTGCGCATGACAGGGCAAGGGGAGATGAGGGAGAGAAGGAGAGAGATGCGAGAGGGAGGAAAACAACAGCAGCAGCGACAACGGCGACGGGAGGTCCATCTGAGGATATGAAACGGGGCGCATGGGACGTACACTCTCGGATATGAAGGAGTGGAGGATGAGGGTATTGCGAGGCAGAACGGGACAGCAGCAGGTAGGTGCTTTCAGGTTGACGACATGCAAATTTCAGGTCGCGACAAGGCCAGACGAGATCGATCAGGTTCAGGCTTCGGTACCCAATGATGTGGTGGGAGTCGGTATAAATACTCAGCCGGCCTGGTTGGCGATTCGCTCCCTTGATCCTTTTTATGTTTTATTTTTTTTTATTTTTTATTTTTATTTTATTTTTAGTTTTACTTTTTTCCATGGATTCAATAATCTGGTCATGTCTGCTGTCCATCAGCTCTTTTACTCCGGACAGAGAGTCCGGAGTACACACCCAAAGGCGTAAATGCTGCAATCCACAATCATAAACGCACTGTGAATCAGTGATCGAGGACCCTAGAACCAGGAACGATTTGGGTTCCCAGAGCCTCCAGCCTCCCGCCTCAGGCTCGATGCAGACAGTCCGCGGCAGAAAAAAAAAAAAAAAAAAAAAAAAAAAAAAAAAAAAAAAAAAAAGAAACATGCCCATCGCGTGTCCCTCTGTCGAGCTGTGGATCCGCGAAACGTTGATAGGGCCATCGAGCAGATCCAGATGCCTTGCAGGCGCAACTAGTCGGCTCTGGCTTACAATGGAGTTGCGATTCTCGACCGGTGGGAGGCAGATGAGCGGCCATCATTGGTGATCCCGAAGCGCTGGACTAAACATCTTGGGTAGGTCGCAGGATTTTCAGCAGTTGGAGATGAATTCCTCGATCGCAAGATTCCGATGAGGCCCTTTGCTAGCCCTGGTTAGGATGGGCGCCCTGGTTTCGACCCAAAGAACCAGCCAGGTGGAAACATGGAACTAGGATGCATTGTCTGCGGCTGGCTCGTTCCTTTGCAACGGAAACCTTATTATTGACGATTATTCTTGGTGCTGTTGATGGCTCGATGATGTCGTGAAAAAGGAGGATACGGTGTAAGTGGCGTCCATAGACTGCCAGCAGGTTGTACATGTCGGTTAGAGGCCCCTTTGCTCAGTATACGAGAGCGACTGGGAGTGGGCAGTAAGGGCATGCTTCGGGTCCCCTTACTATCCAATAATATTCGTACCCAATATGCGGGCTGCCCAATTGTTCCAGGAACAATGGAAGATTCGATAGATCGTGGCAGAGTCGCTGTGTTTCGATGAATGGTGGAACTTTATCTCAGCTGCATTCTACATCGGCTCAGTGTATGCTTAGTCCAACGACCGATCGCAGCGTGATCCATCGAGTTTCCCGTTGGTGTGAGTCCCAGCCCACTCTGCCTCCCAATTGGGGAATGGATGCGGGTATCGGTAACTTTCGTTCGTGACCAGTAAATACCGTACGGGGCAGTTTTCCCTCGCAGATTCCATTGGCACGACGAGCTCCTTCCTTCATTTGGTTGATGAATCTTCATCTTAGTAAACTCTTCAACCATGGTTTTCTCTCTCATGTCTTCTGTCATATACTGCAGTGACTGAATGACTCCTTCTAAACTCGGTAAGACCCCGAAGCCGAATAGTTGGAGTCTCCGATTTGCCACCGGTGACTGGTCTTGCAGCAGGGAGTTTCATCTTCCGCAAAAACAAACCTCAAGAGCTCTCGAAATGGTGAGTCCAAGCGAGGAGCTGAGTGATCAGCATCATTGTAGCCTAGATGGTACAGCGTCGTTTCCATTGAACTTTGAAATCGAATACTCCGGCCATATGGCGCCCCTCTTATCCAGTTGACCTTGCGTTAGCCACAGTGCTGGGTTGGTGTCTTGGAGTTGAAGTCAGAAGCTGGGGAACTGTCCTTTGACATGATTCGTGAGCCTTTGGCCATGGCAGAATCGACAGATGGGCGCTAGGTGTGTGAAGGACTGAAGGGATTGTCAGACTAATAAATGGATGCAGCTCCCCCATGTCCTGCAGCGCTAGTCCTTCAGTCGGACAATCTCGCACTCCCTGGATTCTGCTTCAATAACATTCGGAAGGAAGTGCGACTTTACATTCGTTTACGGATACATTCGGTCGCCTTTCACTTTACAAGTCCACTCTCACTATTACCAGGAATCCAAGTTACAACCAAGTTTCCCCTTTAAGTGACGGCAGATTGCCAAGGCGTCCAACCTCTGGATACGAGCCAAATCTGGGGAGTTGACGACGGAATTGCTCTGTTACATTATGAGGTCGACCAGTAATAGCATACTCAACTGGCAGTTAATTAGGTGTGCGACTTCGCAGACTCATCATCAGTCCCGCAGATCCTGTTCCCTTGCAGCAGTACCCGAGGACCAGGACACCAAATTCTGACCTCACAACTTGAACTCAATGATGCGCCCTTGCGCGTGCTCCTTTTCCTCGAGAGAGCAGAATGACTCTGATCCCGAAAACCTGGTAATTGACACCAGTATCCATATTTCTTTGCAAGTATGGAGTCCCACATTCCAATGTTTCTTCCTCGGGGGCAACAGGACTCCGAGGAGGGATACTCAACTGGGAGTTCCCAGCTGGGAATACTGTCAATAATCAGTAGCTTTGAGCCTGCTCATGTTCATCTCTACAATTGTCAATGCCACAAGTCGACTCGGCGAACAGACAGGCCAATACCATGCATGATTATTCCTCGTGGCGCAGTCCCTGATTCGACCCTTGATCCTCAAATCGGCGCTAACCCAAATCAGGATCAATACTGTGGCGCATATATTCTCCAGCCATGTCTACACCGCCACAATAGACGCAAGCAGGGCATCAGACTACTTTCACCTTGAATCCTGCTCGTGTTTGAAATTGTCAAGCAGGGATAATCAGAGGATCACAATCATGAAAGCCCTTGCGTTGCTTTCAACAAAGTGGCTGCCTGACGAGTGGCGCCTGTTAACCACAGTACGGAGTACGGACTAGTGCGGAATTAAGATTCAATCTCAAGAATGAGACCCAACGACAAGACCAAAATAGGGCAAAGTTGAGCTCAGACCAGCTTTAATAAAGGGCCCAACCTTGGTCCATAACCCCATATCGATGGATGCCTATCGCCGTGCGACGGTACGACCCCGACCTCTACCGATCTCTCCACATCATCAATGCAACAGTACATTCGATTGAATAGGAAGTCGGATGTGGAGGGGCGGTGCCTCTTCCATATGCAGGGCGTTGGGTACTGAACCGCCCCATATAGCGTGGTTTATTCTGGGGGTCTTCCGTGTTGTCCCTGGAGGCCTAATCCTCTGGGGTCTGCAGCAAGCGTGAACCTTTCCCTGTTCCACAAAGTACGTTCCGCCTCCGTACCTGCAAGCGGACTACCACTTTATAAGCGATATGCAACGGTAGCATTCCTGTAAACGGCAGATGGACTATGGAACATGGATGCTATCCGAGTACCCAACACCTTCCAAGGTAGGCTTCTGTGCCCACATCGGCTATATACTCTGGCCAAATTTCTCACCCAAGTCGGTGTACATCGAATTAAGATTTTAAGGTAAAATGTTTCTCCCTGACTGGGGCCCTTGTCGCTTGGCGCTGTGCGTCCGGCATAAACTCGGTAGCTATGAACTTACACTTTCCGTCGAGATCTGGAGCTGGCTTGGATATATCAAGGTGATTACAGGAACTTGGCTTTGGTAGATACTCATGAGAAAATCAAAGAAAGACTTCCGGAATAGCTTCTTCATGAATGATAATAGGATAAGATCTTTTCTAATGATGCTTGCTTGACAACGGATGGTTGTTAATAAGTAGGTAAACCCTTGCACAACAATACTCCAGGCCTCGGAAGTGACGGTTTCCGCGGTCGCCTACACGTCTCCGTTTATCACTATACTTTTAAACCTATAAAAACTCATAAATCCGACCTCACAAATTATTCATCCGTTTGAACGAGCCGGCGTCAAGCACGAGAAGCCATTCGAGTCACGAGGCAAGTTCTAGTAAAAAAAGCACAAGAATAAGTAGCGGACTTGGCGTGGGACACCTCGAGGAACGTCTGGGCGAGCGTCGTGTCACCTCAAGTCAAGCCTTGGTGTGAGAGGAGATCTAGGAGGGGCAGTCTGAAGTATGAACACAAGAGCAAAGCTTAGCTCAATCGATTACATTATTTCAGAATTTATCTCGGAGAAGTGGAGCACGATAATACAAGCTGAGAGCAAGCATGCAAAGCCTCATCCGATCGTTACTGTTCATGAAGAAGAACTGAAGATCTCCCCCTCGAGCCGAGATAAAGTTCAAAGCACCGGTAATGTCTTCTTGTCATGGCTTCCAAGGTTCTTATCAGCCCCGGACAGCACGCACCAATGACAGGGTCTAGGTTGCATTAGCTGGTGCTTGGCAGGCGATCGCAGCATGCTTAACTGTGAAACTGGCGTAAATCGGCGGATTCCCGGTGAGGCAGAGTGGATTAACTTCCAATTCTTGGGAAATGGGCTTTGGTCGGGGTCAGGGCAGCTGCCGACTGCCGTGGGAGTGGCCACTGCCCGTGGGAGGTCACTGGCCACTGGTCACTGGTCACCGGTGAGTGCTGTGACTGAATACGTCGCATGTTGATCCCTGTGTGATTTGGTTTGTGATGGGATTATTCACCGGCGCAGATAAGGCCACTCCCAACTTTGCGGGGGAGGTGAGGGGGAGGGTATATGCGGTGTTCTATTGATTCTATGAGAATACAGTACTGTCAATAGAATCTTAAACTCTGAATCTGTGTGGAGAAAGCATCAGATAACTTTTTTCTCGAAGGGCTATCTCCCGCCATACAGAGTCAGGCTGTTATACAAGAGTGGGCCAGGCACCGAGCTTGGCACTGTCCGACGGCAGTTAACGCAGTTTAAGCGGGAGCTCCTTGAAGCCAGTCCGATCGGAAGAGGACGGAGTGTCAGAGACGGAGCACTCTTCTCCTGCTGCAACATCGCCTCCAGAGAAGGGCAGTTAGGTAATGCACGAGAAAGAGCCGGATTCCGCAAGCGGGCGGGCGTCCGCCGAGAGATAAGGAGCAGATTCTGTGACCTTAAACGATCGACTAACACCCCGAAGTTCGGCCTCGCAGCCTTAGCTCCGGCTTAGCCCTGTGCTTCCACCGCGCTGGTTCCTGCGGCCGACCACTCATCCGCCCGCTAATCGTCAGGCATTTCCTGCCTTTCCTCCCCCAGCCGACTTTTCCGCCACGCTCTCTCGTCCGACTCCGGCTGTATACTCATTCGCCCACCTCCGCCAGCTCTCCTCCCCCCTCTCTCCCCACCACGTCCTCGTTGCCATACTTAAACTCGGTCGTGTGCCCTCCTTCCAGCGTTTCTTTCTTTCATCCATCCATCGCCGGACTCCCAGGGACTTGACTCTTCAATTGCTAGCGGCGCTGTCATTCTTACATCACTACTATCTCTTATCTGCGATAAGCTAGAAAAAAAAAAAAGTCCCCGCCACAATGTCCAACCTTCCCGTTGAGCCCGAGTTCGAGCAGGCCTACAAGGGTGCGACTCCAGTTTTTTTTCCCTATTTCTCGTTTCTATGCTAACTTGCGCAGAGCTCGCTTCAACTCTTGAGAACTCCACTCTCTTCCAGAGCCACCCCGAATACCGCAAGGCCCTCCAGGTTGTCTCCGTCCCTGAGCGCGTTGTCCAGTTCCGCGTCGTCTGGGAGAACGACAAGGGCGAGGTCGAGATCAACCGTGGCTTCCGTGTGCAGTTCAACTCGGCCCTAGGCCCCTACAAGGGTGGTCTCCGCTTCCACCCCTCCGTCAACCTTTCCATCCTCAAGTTCCTCGGTTTCGAGCAGATCTTCAAGAATGCCTTGACCGGACTGAACATGGGCGGTGCCAAGGGTGGCTCCGACTTTGACCCCAAGGGCAAGTCTGACCAGGAAATCCGCCGCTTCTGTGTCTCTTTCATGACCGAGCTGTGCAAGCACATTGGCGCCGACACTGATGTCCCCGCTGGTGACATTGGTGTGACCGGCCGCGAGATCGGTTTTCTCTTCGGCCAGTACCGCAAGATCCGCAACCAATGGGAGGGTGTCCTGACTGGCAAGGGTGGCAGCTGGGGAGGCAGTCTGATTCGCCCCGAGGCCACCGGCTATGGTGTTGTCTACTACGTCGAGCACATGATCAAGCACGTCACTGGCGGAAAGGAATCCTTCGCTGGCAAGCGCGTCGCGCTCTCGGGATCCGGCAACGTTGCCCAGTACGCCGCCTACAAGATCATCGACCTCGGCGGTGCCATCGTGTCTCTCTCCGACAGCCAGGGCTCTCTCATCGTCAAGGACGAGTCTGCCTCTTTCACCCCTGAAGAAATCACCCTCATTGCCGACCTCAAGGTTGCCCGCAAGCAGCTCTCCGAGCTCGCCGAGTCCTCTGCCTTCTCCTCCAAGTTCACCTACATCCCCGGCGCCCGCCCCTGGACTCACATCCCCGGCAAGTTCGAGGTTGCTCTGCCTTCTGCCACCCAGAACGAGGTCTCCGGCGACGAGGCCAAGTCCCTCATCAACTCTGGCGTGCGCTACATCGCCGAGGGCTCCAACATGGGCTGCACCCAGGACGCCATCGACATCTTCGAGGCCCACCGTCTCGCCAACCCCGGCGATGCCATCTGGTACGCCCCCGGTAAGGCCGCCAACGCTGGTGGTGTCGCCGTCTCCGGTCTCGAGATGGCCCAGAACTCCGTCCGCCTCTCGTGGACTGCCGAGGAGGTCGACTCCCGCCTCAAGGACATCATGGACTCTTGCTTCCAGAACGGTCTCCAGACTGCCCAGAAGTTCGCCACTCCCCCCGCGGGCGTCCTGCCTTCGCTGGTCACTGGCTCCAACATTGCTGGTTTCACCAAGGTCGTCGAGGCCATGAAGGACCACGGCGACTGGTGGTAAACAGTCAGTCGACCCTTTTGGACGATTGATTCACGATGATGATTCCTTTCACGTTTGTTAAGCCTTATTTTTTTTCTCGGGAGTTCCTATCTGTTATGTTCGCGGTTTTGGCATATTCTATTCTATTCTTACTCTTAGCGTGGATAGAGGCGCCGGATTCGTTTCTATTTTTTTGTGCCCCGGTTTGGTTTGGTTGGATTGGATTGGTTCAGGTTTTGATTCCCTCTTCTTTTCCTGTAGATATGATCCCTTTGCGTGCATATACCATAGACATTCAATATTCATTTATCATTATCTTTATTATTACCAATTCCGTTTCCTAATATTTCTTTACTGCAATCCACGCTAACCACTATCGACACGGGCATCATACACAGTACGGAGTAAGTGCTGGAAGAATATCGGGAGACCATCGACTCCGCTGCCGGAGTAAACCCCTCCGCCCCCTCCCGGTAAAACATTCAGTACGAAGTACGAAGTACGAAGAGTTTACCAGGTGTAGGTCATCGGATATATTTCCAGTCTATGCATGCAATTCGGACCCGGCCGTTCGCTCCGTCGCTCCGTCGCTCCACCCCGTAGCGCCCCGTAGGCCCGTACCCGTTTATGTCCGGTGGGACTGCGGTGCTGATCAGCGGAGTTGCATCATAAAGTAAATTTAGCCTTTAACTTGGTATGTATGTATGTGTCTGTGCTTGCCGCGGTGGACGCCGTTTGCCGATTGTGGATGTTAACTGGGAGGCTCCGCTGGAGGAGTTTATTAATAGTTGGAGATAGGTAAGGTATGCTGTGCTGATGGCTCTGCAAGACGTTGTAACTGGTAAATCGATAATAGATAAGAATAGAAAGGATACAGGTATTAAATTGTTTGTATACTTCTGGTATACGTTCTGTCTTGAAAGTAATGTACAGATTCGGTATGCGTCGGTCAGTAATTGGTATCCAGGGTTCAGGTTCCATTATTATTTCCATCCAACTACCCTCAGACAAAAGTTCTGTTAAACCATACAACACCACAAAGTCACTCACTCACAACTACACGTAAACACCCGAAGAATTCTCGGCCTGAGCTCCCTCTTCCCACTCCCGTCCGGCAAGCCAACACAATACCTCCGAAACGTGCTATGCACAGCCCAAACCCCAGGCCTCCCCCCCCTCCCCCTCCTCCTCCTACTACCTCTTTCCCAGGCCTCGGCCCTAGGCCCAGCCTTGGAGATATACTCATCATCGGTGGAAGAATGGCGCGGCAGGGTGTTGAAATACGGGTGCCACGCATCCATGCTCTCCCACTCGGGCGCCGGGCGGCCAAGTCGTGCCCGGTTGGTCTCTAGGTGCGCGATACACCGGTGGTACGCGTTTGTGGTTTCCTCTTCCCTGAAGTCTGGGCTCAGGGGTGGGAGTCCGAGGGCTACCATGTGTCCCCAGGGGCGGGGCTTGCGAGGAAGATCGCACTGGGCAGCGCGCAGGTATGTTAGATTGGGGAAGTTGGTGCGGAGGAGTTTGAATATTTTGGCCCAGGGGGGGTCGTCGTTGTAGTCTGTGGTGGTGGTGGAGCGTTGTTTTTCAAGCCATGCGTTGTGCAGGTAGAGGTCTTGGAGGGTGTCTTTGAAGGCGAGCAGGAGGGTTGGAAAGGCTGGTGCTGGAATGGCGACGCGGTCGAGCTTGAGGCGGCGGAGAGGAGGTATGTTGGGTCCGGTGGTGAATTGGTCGATTGCATCTTTGCTGAGCTGTGTGACGGAGGAGAGGCTGAATTCTTCTAGATTGGGAGCGTTTCGAAGGGCGAGGAGGATCTCGTCGCCAGATATATCTCTGGCTTCGGCGCCGGTGGCCTTGAATGTAAAGGACTGCAGGGACGAGAGTATACAGGGCGATGAGTCCGTGGATTGAGTCAGGATGCCGACCAGGCTGGTGTCTAGATTGTGGAGGGATAGCTTCTGGAGGCCTTTCGGCAGTCCTTCACAGATAGATGCAGCCAGAGTGCGGCTGGTGTCTGGATCCTGATTATCTTCAGGAAATATACCCTGGTGGAACCATATAGACACCCTTTTCAGCGCCGGGAACTGGGCAAGTGTCGTCGCTATCTCCTGAGTCCTGGAGTGCAGATCCGCTGGCTTATAGGGCTCGTCAGGAATAATCGATGAGTCGCAGATACACACCTTGTGCACAAAACGCGCCTTGTCGCTTTTTGAGAAGCTGCTGAATCCCAAAGGGACGCAAGGCCAGCTGCGCTGGAGAGTGAATCCAGCGCTCTTGAATATCAGGCGCGCAGCACTCCAGTAGAAGGCTCTGTTGACTAGCTGGATGGACTGGAGCTCCTTTTTGTTATATGGGTTCACGTTGTTATCGACGACATGCTCTGCGATCTGATTACAGTTAGCAGTGCACAGTGGGTAGGGTACATGCACTTACCTTATCATATAGCTCCTGGGGGAGGTCAGAAATCGGGACTCGCCTGGCCTGGGCCATGATCGACGACATTATTTTGCGATATTACAATCAGAGGTGCAGCCTTGCTTGGTGAGGCAGGTTTTTCTTGAGGGATAGAAAAGAAAGAGAAGCTCAGGTTGGGATGGCTGCAGTCATATACCGGTGACATAGTTCAAGGTTGAGGTTATTTGCCCTCTGAACCAAGGAAGAGTAATGATGAGAGTAATAAGGTGCTATTATCATTTCTGGGTCAGGGGATTAACGAAGCTTCGGTCGTTGTCCATGATAGTAAAGTGAACCTTGAGCACAAGTATCCAGTGACCGTCTGGCAAGGTCTACCGTTTCAGTTCGAGACCCAAAATACAATAAAAAGCCAGGCAAGTAGCTTTATATGAAATTACACCTGACCCAGTTCCAGACATAACCATAAACCTTGGGTGGGACTGTTCCCTACCCTGACGAAGTAACTCCTCATGCCACCATAACGCAACGTAGTCCTCTGGCCGTTTAAGCTCGCAGAGCTGCAGAGGAAACTACAGATACCCAGTCCCGTCATATTCTACTTGCAGGGAGAGATTGCAGAAACTTAAATTAGGGGTAACTGTCGAGTTACCTAGTATGCATGAATGAGATACAAGGACAGTTCCGGTGTTTGGGATGGCAGGTAGGGCTAGTAGTGCAACAGTCTAGGGCTGAGATGGGGATCTGCTCCATGGTTTTGGACGCAGCATGCTTTCGACACAAGTCCGGCGGACGTCATGAGAGATGTACCTTGTACGGTGTATGTATAACTCTATTTATTTGGTTTCATGGTTCATAAGCTACAAAACGAAACTCCAATGCCAAATTATCCTCCAGTGAGTCATCCTCACTCAGTGGTATCCGAATCACCCCAGGCACACCAAAGCTTAGTTAGTACATACTTCGTACTCCTGGTTGGAAGATCCAGCCGAGGATGCTCGGTTTAGACTCCGCTGACAGGAGGGACTGGCGTAAAGTTTCGTTTGGTTGGGCTGCTGGAGTACTTTGCCCAGAAGGAACTATATTGTAGAAGAAAAAAATGATGGGGTCACCCGGGATTGAACCGGGGACCTTTCGATTAAGGATGAAAGAAGTTGAACTTCAGTCGAACGCTACTCCCGCTGAGCTATAACCCCATTTGCTGGATGATCCACAAATAATTGACATTCTGAGCCAGCGCTCTGCCTACTGATGGCCAAGCCGGTAATTACTGACTAACCAACTGCTGATCCCCCAGCGTCTCCGACAACCGCCACCAAGGAATGGATATATCACAATCCTGTGGCGGCCTGACTGCCCGACCCGAAGGATTCAGCTGAGGCAGGTGTCCGGACCGCCATCTGTCGACCCAAGACTCGTTGGCGACAGAAGAACTTACAAGGAGCCACCTGGGAAACCATGAAAGAGTTTCTGAAGCAGTTGCTTGACTCCGAGGCAGTCCGGGGCCCACGAGCGTTCTATCGCCTCCTGCACGAGCAGCAAGGAAATCGGACAGGGTCCCAATGGATCACCAGGTACGAAGAGACCTGGAGATGATCGGTGACCTTGATCTAAAAACGCATATCTTTATCGAATCCTTGCGACCCGAGATCCGCAGTTATATTGCACGCATGCCAAACCCGCCGAAAACAAGGGAGGAGGCGCGCCAGGTGCTACTCCGGATCGAATTTATCATAGAGCGAGAAAGGGGAGAGAAGAACCCTCGAAACAATCAAGCCCGCCGAAGGAGAATCGCCGACGACGAGAACAGTATGACAAGAAAGATAGAGAGCGCAAGAAGAGACAGGCGCAAGAAGAGAAACAGACAACGAAAGGGTTGAAAATGCAGGAATGGCACCGCCGGTAGGATATGCCAACGGCGGGAAGGCCCCCTGCTATGGAACAATCACGACAAGGGCTGAAGTGTTTGACTCGCACGGAAAACTATAACCAGACTCTACAGTCTGGTCTGCCCGGATCGCATCTATATAGTCTATATAGGTAGTGACATTTATATACTACCAGACCGGTCAGCCCAATGTCCCGGAAATTATAAACTGGCCCTTTACAAGCACCCATCGAAGCCCTATCCGAGTATGGGCTCATCTATACTGGCTCAAGTAGTCCAAGTGTTTGGTGTCTTGCCTGGCTCCAGTGGGACTACACCCAACATCCAGCCCTATTTCGGCACTGCCCTGTGTCATGTAGATAGGAATATTCGGCTTTTGTTGCTAACCGATTATTCTTTGGTACATTGGGCGGGTTGAACAAAGTATGTTCGCTGATGGTTGAATTTATGTCCATGTGATGCAAATATATATTGATCACCTTCGCTCCGTCGTGATGCATTGATAGAATATCTATTCTGGTATCCAAAAAACACCAATAAACACAGTCGAAACCATAGATCTTACCCAACGAAAACAAATGTCCAATGTAAAAACCCGTAGAACTGAGGTATAACAACCATACACAAAGGAGACCCTACACTTGACACTTTGCCAAAAGCGGAAAAAGTCTAGCTAGATGTAAACCGTAATTCGGAAATTTCAGTTTAAATCGAGGCACTATGGCGGAGTGGCCTAACGCGGCGCCCTGCTATGTCACTGCCATTAGCGATGGCTCTGCGATAGCTTAGGCGTTCCCTTCGGGGGCGTGAGTTCGAATCTCACTGGTGTCGCCTTTTTTTTCTTTTCTTTTTGCAGTCGAAGTGGAACATAAACCGAGGGAATGTATGTAATTAATAGTAAAAGATGAATATATTATGCATGCACAGTAATAGACCATCCAATCCATAGTTCAGACAATATTGAGCAGAAAAAACAAAAAAGACGACACCTGTGAGATTCGAACTCACGCTCCCGAAGGAAATGCCTAGGCTTACATGTCATGTATAGCAGGGCACCGCGTTAGGCCACTCCGCCAAAGTGCCAATGTGCTGACATAACATGAACCCTTTCCTACCTATGTATGGCGATGAACTCGGCCGTCTTCGCGGCAAGCGAAAATACCAAAGAAGGAATAGATTGGCTGGTGTTGTTTTCGATGTATCATACCACCGCACCAAGACAATAAATTCCAGGCTGTCTCCTGACAGCAGATGGTCGTGTTTTACCACATTTGATCGCGTTAATCCAGAAGTCCAGGGTCGTAATTTCACAATCTGAACTAACTTGTTGTGGAGTTTTGGATTGCATTCCGTCCCAAGGAACAAGCTAGCGCCATGCAGACTTTGAATTTTTAATGCAGATTCTTTCCGTCCATTTTTGGACAGCGCTGAAAGATCTTACAATGCGCAGGCCTCAACAAATCCAGGCATTGACATTTATATGCTGCAAAACGACACCAGAACGCTAGATTTTGGCTGCAATGTTCTCACAAACAATTGGTGGTTGTGGTATGGAAGGCGACCAGCTACCCTAATAAATCAATCGACTGCTAAAATTCAATGAACAAGGCACTTTGGCGGAGTGGCCTAACGCGGTGCCCTGCTATACCCACTACGTGTGTAAGCCTAGGCATTTCCTTCGGGAGCGTGAGTTCGAATCTCACAGGTGTCGTTTTTTTTTTTTTTTTTTGGCTTTTTTTCTTTTGTTGCTGTTAACTTAGCTATTCAATATCTTGTCTAATTAATAATGTGTGCTATGCTAAAATTTACAATCCGCCCTGTCGATAGCTGATAGACACAGATCACTCAGTCCAACTTTACAAGAGTTTTGACAATTGTGGCCATTGCCTCAGTGTCATATAAAGCAGTATGCTATTCTCCGCCGGACCTCCCACTTCCGCCGACAAATTCGTGAACCGACTCAAGCGTCGTTGAGAGAAGACCGGGGAATAGCCTTCCACAAAGGCCCCCGATGTTGATTGACTGGAAATTCTTATGTCCTTTATGGGAGACCTTGTCCTGGATTAATTCTTCGCCCCCAGCCAAGATCCTGAGGAAACACTGCATGTCTTGTGCGGCGTACCAAGATAATATCTTGATATCATCTGAGTTATAACCACAGACTTTGATGATCTGGTCCCTTACCTGGAGTGGCGTCTCTCCGTTTGTATTAAGACCCCCATAGCACCTAACGAAAACAGTCCCCATCATACCGTGCTTCTGTGATACATAAGAGGATGTCGCATCCATAAATTCCTGCATGGACATATCGTAATGGATATTCCCTTGATATAGCAGCTTCCCGTCCAGTTGTCTGATCGCAAGCTACGCGCTGGCAATCGAAATGTTACGCTCTTCCCTTGAGAATATTTTCAATGTGCGCTTATGGAGACGACTCGCCAGTTGTTTGTTGCCAATGCTGTCAATAACTGCCTGCTGCTCTTTTGTGAGAGTTTCACTTTGACTAGAGCCGGTGGTGTAAATATTGCCTTCCACTAGAGTTGGGCTCGAAGATCGACATTTGCTGGCTTCCATGGTAGTAAGCTGGCGTTGAATTAAGAAAAAAAAAGTGAACCCTCGTTTATTGACCTACCTGGGCCGCTTGTTTCCTCATTGCTAGGCTAGCGTGCTGGCTGTATTCACCCGAAAGCTCGAACACAAGTGTGCTCAAACTTCAAGGAAGCGAAGACAACGAGACACCACGATGGACTGAGAACGGGCCTGCCGCAGGCGAGATGCAGTCGGTCAAGGAAGAGAGTCGAAACAGTGATGGAGGGGAGTTTGCTGTGTACGAAAAGGATATCGTGTTCACGGGAACAATCGTGAGCATGGGACGGAAGCCCGTCCCACAAAGGACAAATCTCATCAAAAACAAGCACAGCAATGATGCCCAAATGGGAATAACCACGCATGAGATACAGCAACTCCTGCATCGCCGGCCCGTGGTAACTGTTAGGGTTCTGCTGGACTGGATGAGCTCTGCGAGTCGGGCAGATATTGAACGAGCTCTACCACTATGCGGGTACATGTTCAAAGATGGGCCCTGGAAGAAAGCACTGATAAAATTTGGTGTTGACCCAAGGTCTAGCCCCGAGTTCCGGCATTATCAAACGATCATGATGGAGATGGATTTCGACCCCGTTGTCGAATGTGGAAAATATGACGGGGCGAAGAACAGAGAGCTCATCTTCCCGCAATTTCTGAAAGGGGAGGACAATATTCCTCATGTCTTCAGTGGAACGAAGTTCGTGCCGGACAATAACATCTGGCAGATCTGTGACATTACGGATGCCCTTTTACGGCGTATCGTGTCGACAAGCAATGTTTGCTCCGAAGTAGACCACATCGACGGATTCTTCTGGAACGGAACAATGGCGAAATTAGAAGTCATTATGCGCGACAAACTTGTATGTATTCGGGACGGTGGCACCCCTAATGACGAGGACTACGAGTGCCTTTTGTCTTTCATATACACCACCAACAGGGCGTGATTATGACAGATATGGCTTGGATTTTGGAGAGAAGTATACCCAGAAACAGGTTTATCTGAGAGGCAAGATAATGGGAAGAGCGAGAAGAAGTGCTCCCTGAGGAGAAGCCAGGACGGTTTTACTAGGTTATTCCTTTTTAAAGTAGAAAAAGGTTGCCTGGGGTAAAGAATCAATTTACACATTCGGACTCAACACTGGGTACGGTGAAGCCATGAATCTCCCTCTCGCGCCGTACAAACTGCTTGTCTGCATCAGCGAAGAGGAGCATTGATTATTACGCTTGCAATTCAGCAGCAGACATGGTTGAATAAGGCAGACATGCAGCATATTTCTGCTTTCTGACATGGCCTGCAGATGGTCATAGCACTCGTCTGTGATACTTAATTGACCCAGTTTCAAGACGAGAACTCCCAGAAACCACAAGCCAACAACCTAGCCCATAAGCTATATAACGAGAAGAAACATGCCTTCAACCCAACTAGGCCCCGTCCCGTCCCTCTTCCCCCACATCAAAGACGAATGGTGGAAAGACGCCTACAACGAGGTCTTCCTCTGGGCCGACGGCGACTGCGTTGAGAACCCAGCCCTAACCACCGCAGAATGCACCGCCCTCCTCCAGATCCCCAAAGTCCACGCCCTTTTCACCAAATCTTCCAATATAAAAGTCCTCGACCTCTGCTGCGGCCAGGGAAGACACTCAAACACCCTCGCCGCGCAGTTTCAATCAGCCAGCTTCCACGGTCTCGACCAAAGCATCTACCTGCTCGGTCTCGCACGGCAGCGCGCAAAGGAAGAGAATGTTGAACGCAACGCGCTGTATATCGCCGGCGACTCACGCGCCATCCCCGCGCCCAACGAGACCTATGATCTCGTCCTTCTCTTGGGGAATTCATTCGGTCATGGATCCCGCGCTGATGACTTGCTGCTTCTCCGTGAGACGGTGCGCGTGCTTAAACCCGGCGGGATCTTTGTGATTGATTTCGTTGATGGTGGCTGGATGCGTGAGAATGTACCCGACGCTGGATGGGAGTGGTTAGGTGAAGACCATTTTATATATGATAAGAACGAGGAGAAGAAGAAGAAGAAGCTGATTGCGCTGCGCGAGCGCGAGCTCTCACCGGATAAGAATCGGCTTGCGAGTCGGGAGATTGTGCTTGATCTTGCGGCGCCGCGTGTATACCAGGATCTGTTCTATGCGGTGCAGCTTTATGATGTGGCTCAGATGGAGGGGCTTTTTGGGGAGGTTGGATTGCGGTTTTTGGCGGGGGAGACTACGTCTGCTTCTGGCTCGTCTGGCGATGGTAACGGTGCTGCAGGAGACCAGGGGATGATGGGGCATAGACAGCTTCTTGTTGCGTCGAAACCGGACTTGTCTGCGTCTACGGGTCCTGGGTGTGTTGACCCCCAGGATGTGGATACGTATGTCCATCCGCATATCACCCTCGACTACGAAAAGGGCAAAGGACGGCTGCTCCGTGCGACGGCGGCAATTGAGGCCGGTACGGTAGTGATTGCTGATGCGCCGTATGCGATTGTTCCCACTGTCCCGCCGGAGAGCAACGAAGCCCTAATCTGCAGTAACCTGCTGTGTCGACGACGGGTGCAGGATGCAGAGGGACTGCGCTGCGCGAATAACTGCATTAAGGACGTTATCTGGTGCAACAGACACTGCCAGGAGACAGACCAGGCACGGCATGACTTTGAATGCGCCTGGCTGAAGAAGCATGGCACTCGACTCCGCCAGGAACAAGGGGAGGATGATTTCGCTATGCTCTGGATTATAGTCCGGATGCTCGCTGGCAGAGACCTCGAGCTGAACATCAAATCTACTAACCCTGACTCGCAGCAAGATACGCTTGACCTCCCATGGAGCCACCGGTTCAAGCGAGGCTGGGATGCCGGAATCGACGGCTTGCTGGGAAACCGTGAGCGTTGGCCACGGGAAAGACTACAGCACTGGGCGGATCTAGTCGAACGGTATCTCAGCGATGAAGACCAACCAGGCCTGCTGAGCGCAGACGACCTCTTAACCCTCATCTGCAAAGAAGAGACAAATACCTTCGGCCTGTACGCCATTGACACCGGCCCCCTAGAGACCCAGCAAGAACGGGGCCCTTCGTACGGCCTTGCTTGCTATCCGCGGGCTACGAACTGCAACCACTCTTGTCTTCCGAATGTAAGTCCCTGTTCCAATACACTAGACGAAGCTAAGAACGGCCAAGCTCAAGCACGGGCCCGACAACCGCGGGCGGATGGTCATGACCACGACGCGCGATATCGCAGCCGGGGAGGAATGCTTCATTTCGTACATTGACCTGTCGGTGCATGCGAGTATCGAGGCGCGCCAGAAGCGGATTATGCATTATTTTACCTTCTCTTGCCTCTGCGACCGGTGTTTACAAGAGCAGAGCTGAAGTTGGTAGTCTGGACTACCCGGAAGGGAGAGTATCTAGATTGGCATGTCTATCTCGGAAAGACTGGGAGTTTATTTACATCCGGCTCTGAATTACCGTTTTCAGTCCTGTAATCCTGTTTATAAAGTTTCCTCGAACCGGATAGGAAAAAAGGGCGTGGTGATCCCCCTGCATTCCAGCGCGAACAATCCGGACAACAGGAGGTGGCAATCCAGCTAGCTCATTCCGGTCGTCGGGACGATTGAGTTCAGATCCGAAAATTGTTTGTGTACTGTAGTGTATACTGTTTGGTGCATCAGAGTTATGATATTGTCTTTGATGGTTCTGATGTTCTGGAAGTGTTGAAATGTTCTCTTGGCCTGTACTAGTAGAAGCTGCAAGTATACCAGCTAAAAATAGCCGGCATACCCTTGCTTAATTATCTATGCAATTATCCATTCATTTATACCACTAGTCGCCAATAAGTAATTATCTAATTTAATCTCTGAATAATAGTTCTTAATAGTTCTGGTATCAGTAATTGCAGATCATAATTCATTCACGATTTATATACATATTATCATAATCTACACCTCCAGCTCCAGCTCCTTCTCTCGATACTCCGGCGCCGGCATCTCCATGTCAATCGCAGGAGGCCTCAGCGCAGATTCCCCAAGCGAGACAACTTGAACAGGAAACTGGAACTCCACTATCCGGATCTGCAGGATATTAGTTTAGCTATGTAGCAAGATAGAAGGGAAGAAAACTCACGTTATTCCCCCCAAATCTAATCCCAAGCCGAATCTCCAGTCTATAGCGACGACGGATATTACTCGTCTCGAACGAAGGAGACAGCGCTGGCGGAACAATATACCGGCTCCATAGACTTTTGTCCAGACTAAAGACCAGTTCTTCTTCCCCGTCCGTCCCGTCGATATCTCGAATCTCAGGCACAAACGGTTGCTGCAGATTAGCCATTGTCTGCACGACCCACGACCGGGTGTGCGATTCTGAGTGTCCCTTGGCGCGAACGTCGGTTGTTTCGAAGAGCATGGTCTGGAAGTCGTGCAGGTAGATGCTGTCGGTGCTGATGTTGGCGATTTCCACGGAGAGTGGGATGGGGTTGTTGAGGACGAGGAAGGGCCCGTTGAGCTTTGCGCGGGCCTCGCATGTTGACGGCTCGGTACCTGCGGTGGAGGTGATTCTCCTCGTTTGGGCTTGGATTTGTGGTTGTGAGGGGAGTGTTGTGTTGGGTTGGGAGGGGATATTTATGCTCCGGGTCTGTTCGTGTTAGCTTAACCCCGTTAACTAACACTTGAGTACGTACAGCTTTGCGGCCGCGGAGGAGACCACGGCCAAAGCCATTTTGGCGGACTGTCGCTTCGAGGACGTACTTGATCTCCTCTGGGGATGATTTGTCGCCCGTGGATGGTGGCAGTTGCGACCTTTTGCTCGTCTTGTGTTGTGTTGTCTGGGGGAGCTAGTTTAGTCTAATTAGGGCACATCCATATTAACTATAGATAAATAGATCGACGCACCTTGATTGAGAATGCAAAGACATGTTCCCCTGGCGGCAGAGTGACATTCTTGCAGCTAAAAGAGTTGGCGAATTTACTCGGCGGGAACAGCTGCTCGGATATATTGAAGAGCTGTCCGAATTAACATCGATTTCTCACTTTTCAGCCAGCAGAAAAAAAACAGACATACCTGATGCGACTCGCTAAGTCGTCCAGAGTGCACTCTCGACGTCGCGGACCCCGAGAGCCTGATTGCGACCGTGGCGATGTCCAGCTGTGTGTCGGAGGCGAGAACGACCTGGCCCGCGACGGCGTCTGCAGAAGACTCCTTGCAGAGGTGGATGCGGACGTCCATGCAGGGCGAAGCCCCCAGCAAGCGGTCCACTTGCGACAGCATGGAATTGGGGCGACGGGCTTTTAGCCAGGCTGAGGCGTGGGAGAGCAGGCTAAGGAACAGCATCCTGGCGTGTGTATTTGTAGTGAGGCCATGGCCGGCTGTGCGCATATCCTGAAGTCTCTGGAGCTGGCAAAGCTAGTTAGTCGGGATAGATCGTCGGGATAGAAATAACCAGAAAACGGACGATGGCAAGAGCCATGGCTGCTGAATTAAAGGTGATATATCTGACGCTGGATGTGGTCGGCATAGCAAGTAACGATTGTGCTCCACCGGATGCGATCGTCGAGTCGAGACTGACGCACACATCAGATCCGGCCCTGTTGCTAAGAATAAGCTGGCGTCATCAAGTCAATCACTGACTGTTCCGTTGCAATGTCACGAAATGTCTGACCCTTTGTCTCATCCTCTGATTATTGGGTCCACGTGGAGTGCTTTTGTTGTCCCCGACCCTCCTGCGTCTCTCGCTCTTCCACCTCGTCACTTTTCGTCTCTCTCTCCTCTCACCACCACCCCCCCCCCTCCATCACCATGGATCGAGGCTCCGATGAATCCCATCCTCTGCGCTCCTACGAGCCTCTGGCCAACGAGGATGCCCGTTATGGCCACCCTCAGCAGTACTCTCCTCAGGAATACCCCCCGCAAGAATACGCCCACCCAGAAGACCCTGTGAGCTCCCCGCCCGTCTCGATTTCGTCCACCACAAACTGATATTTTTAAGTCCATGTTTCACAGCAGCAATGACCCTCCCTACCACCTCGCTCCATCGCCGTCGCAGTCTCCTTTTCCTGATCCCCTTCGCCCGCCCTCAACCGCCTCCTGGCAGTCCGGATTCAACGCTCAAAACCCCCAGGAAATGACCTACCTGCATCCCGCGCCCACACCCGGCTCCGAGAGGAGTAGCATTACTTCCTGGCAGCGTCGCCAGACAGGAGGTCTGCGCCGTTATCCAACCCGTAGAGTTAAACTGGTCAAGGGCACCGTCTTGAGTGTTGACCATCCCGTTCCCAGCGCCGTCCTCAACTCGGTTGAGCCGCAGTATCGAGAGACCGGGGCTTCAAGTCCGGAGGAATTCACCCACTTGCGATGTATGTAAAACAAAACAAAAACCAAAGCTCTTCTGACCGTTTAGATACCGCGGCAACTTGCGACCCCGACGACTTCACACTGCGGAATGGCTACAACCTCCGTGCCTCCATGTACAACCGGTACACCGAACTTCTCATCGCCATTACATACTACAACGAGGACCGGATCCTCACAGCCCGCACCCTCCACGGTGTCATGCAAAATGTCCGCGACATCGTCAACTTGAAAAGAACCCAGTTCTGGAACAAGGGAGGCCCCGCGTGGCAAAAGATCGTCGTGTGCCTGGTCTTTGACGGAATCAGCCCCTGCGACAAAGAGACCCTCGATTTGCTGGCAACTATAGGGATCTACCAGGACGGAATCATGAAGCATGACATCGACGGGAAAGACACGGAAGCGCATATTGTTCGTGACGTCGTCATTCCAACTACTTGAGAAGACTAACCTAACTCTGGCCTAGTTCGAATACACCACCCAATTGTCGATCACGCCCTCCTTGCAACTGGTGCGGCCACAAAGCGGCGATCCATCAAATCTTCCGCCGGTGCAGATGATCTTCTGCCTGAAGCAGAAAAACAGCAAGAAAATCAACTCCCATCGCTGGCTGTTCAACGCCTTTGGTCGGATCCTGAACCCAGAGGTATGTATTTTGATCGATGCGGGAACGAAACCGGGCCATAAATCGCTTCTTGCTCTCTGGGAGGCCTTCTATAACAACAAGAACCTTGGTGGAGCATGCGGTGAGATTCACGCCCTGCTCGGTCCGCGCTGGAACAAGCTCGCGAATCCGCTTGTCGCTGCGCAGAACTTTGAATATAAAATCTCGAATATCCTCGACAAACCGCTGGAGAGTTCGTTTGGCTATGTCAGTGTCTTGCCCGGTGCGTTTTCTGCTTACCGCTACCGGGCTATCATGGGCCGACCGTTGGAGCAGTACTTCCACGGTGACCACACGCTGTCGAAGCGACTGGGGAAGAAGGGTATTGAGGGAATGAATATCTTCAAGAAGAACATGTTCTTGGCCGAGGATCGTATTCTTTGCTTTGAGCTTGTCGCCAAGGCAGGCCAGAAATGGACCTTGACTTATGTCAAAGCCTCGAAGGGAGAGACTGACGTTCCAGAAGGTACGCTCCCACCTACTTTTGTTTACTTCTTATACTAATGAAACAGCACCCCCCGAGTTCCTTAGTCAAAGACGACGATGGCTCAATGGTTCGTTTGCTGCCAGTCTGTACGCGGTTATGCACTTTTCGCGCATCTACAGGAGTGGCCATAATTTGATCCGGTTGTTCTTTTTGCATGTGCAATTGACCTATAACATCTGCCAGCTCATCATGACGTGGTTTTCTTTGGGTATGTCTTCCGTCTTCGTTTGCTGATCGGTTGCTAATGGTTTGAAGCATCGTACTGGCTCACCACCTCGGTCATCTTGGATATTGTCGGGACACCGAGTCCAACGAACCACGAAAAAGGCTGGCCGTTCGGAAATGACGCGACGCCCATCGTCAACAACGTTGTTAAGATCTTGTACCTGGTGTTCCTCATGCACCAATTCTTCCTCGCCCTTGGAAACAGACCTAAGGGGTAAGACTTGTGGATATCATCTTCTGGATTAAGCTAACAACAACAGTGCGCAAGTGCCGTACATCCTCTCCTTTGGTTACTTCGCCGTGGTGCAGCTGTACATTCTCGTCGACTCATTCTACCTCGTCGCGCAGGCCTTTAGCGGCGGCAACATCGACCTCGACTTCGACAATGGTGCCGGCGGCTTCATCAAGTCGTTCTTCACCTCCACCACCGGCCTTGTCCTCCTCGCCCTCGCCTCCACCTACGGAACCTACTTTGTCGGTAGTTTCCTCTACCTCGACCCCTGGCACCTTGCCACCTCCTCGTGGGCCTACTTCCTCGGCATGCCGTCCACCATCAACGTCCTCAACGTCTACGCCTTTTGCAACTGGCACGACGTCTCGTGGGGAACAAAGGGTTCCGACAACGCCGCGTCCTCACTGCCCTCGGCCCAAACCAAGGCCACCGATGGCACAAAGGGCAACTTCGTCGAAGAACTCGACAAGCCGCAGGCCGATATCGACACCGAGTTCGAGCAGACCGTCCGCCGCGCGCTCTCGGAGTACAAGGAGCCACCGCCCGATAAGAACGTTTCTCTGGATGACTCGTACAAGACATTCCGTACGAACTTGATTCTTATCTGGACGCTGAGCAATTCGTTGCTTGTGCTGCTGGTTACGAACGCCGGTATCAAGACATTGTGTTTGACTGTAAGTTTTACCTAGCCCCTTTATTTAGCGCCTTTTATTTCACTGCTAACTGATTCAGTCTGAATCCACAAACCGCACGGCGTGGTACTTCAAGGTCCTGCTGTTGGCCACATCCGCACTGTCCATCTTCCGTTTCTTGGGTGCCTTGTGGTTCCTCGGGAAGACCGGGCTGTTGTGTTGTTTCCGCCGGCGCTGATTCGACCCGCGCCTCTTCCTGCGTACTGCATTGCGTCGGTTCCTACCTAGGGTTATGTATCGGTATTCTGATTTTATTGAATTTTTTTTTTTTTTTTTTTTTTTTTTGCTTTCTTTCCTGTTTTAATATCTAATCACTTGCTTGGATTGGATCGGATCGGATGGACATGGATGCATAATGCACATTGCACTTCCATAATGAAAATGGAATGGATTTCTTGCTTGTTTTATAGTTACTGAGCACTACGCTGGTAGAATGTACATTACTTGAACATAAGTCCATGGAAGTATCGGAACCCACGGAGCCCGAACAACTCAAAATATTCCACGTTAAATCTGAAACAGGGTTTCTAAAAATGGATCCTCAGCTCCCGATCCAGCAGAGTCCACAACGTGATTGGCTAATGGGATCTCCAGAGTGATGGCGCAGTTTGCACCGGCGGACTTGGCAGGGCTGCGACTTTTTTTGGTCCTTTTTTTTCTTTTTCCATATATACTAGAGACCGTTGAATGGCACTGTAGGGAGTGGTGTGAGTTGAGCATTATTACCGGGTTCTGATTCCGCTTTTTCCCTTTTCTCTTTCTCTCTCTCTGGTGTTGGTTTTGGTTGTATGGTGTGCGGATTGTTCTTAGCCCCCGCTGCTCCAGTTACTCCATACTATTTAAAATTACCCGGAGATAGCCGAGGGTGGTTTATTCCCTCGTGCTGACTACCGAACAGCGGCAGGATCTGTAGAGTAAACTATGTCAGTACGGCGCGTGGTATGCATTCCTTCTATAAGATAATATTGTCTAATATCAGCTAACAATGAACAGTGCGACGCATGCCATTCACGCAAGGTACGATATACCATCTGATTTACTTACTTTTTAGCTAATTGAGACAGGTACGGTGCGACAGAAACGACCCGTGCGGGAACTGTCTCGACCAGAGCTCCGTCTGCACGAGGAGCAGGGGGATGAGGAGGCTTCCGAAGAGAGATCTCCAGAGCCAAAGACAGAGACAGAGGCAGAGGCAGGGGTATGGCAATGCCCTTGCTCTCGCTCCAAGGAGTTCATCTACCCCGACTATCGAGCCGAGTCTGCAACTGCAGCCTGGGTCTGAATTCGATATTGGGCTCGAGCAGCCAGAAGTTGAAGAGGGCCGGTTTCTGCTGGATATGTTTGATGAACAGCAGCTTATGCTCTTGAATCAGTTTGACTTGGATGTTAATATGAATATGAGCACGGGATATAGCTGGATGGAGATTGTCCCGCTGACGGAGGACCAGATGATTCGGCGGCGGGTCAATACAGCGCAGGATATGACCTGGAGCATTGAGAGACGACAGGCTTTAGAGTCTGCATTGTCCGTTGCTGGGAGAGTTCTGGGGAGTATGGAGCAGAGCCAGGGGGCAGAGATGGAGAGGGGGGTTGAGGAGCGCCATATCCCCTCGTTCGAGCTTTTGTACTGGATGTTGAATGGTGAATATCTCTCTGCCTGCTTATGAAAAATAGGCGATGCTAATTTACAGACATCGGGAGTCCTAAATTCGGCTCCTTCATCTCCGACTACTTCAGACATGTCGGCAAGGACTCGCTCAAGCACATGGGTCTAGCCCTGATATCAAATACCGCGACACCCCCAGACTCGACACTCTACACCGTCTGCGTCAACTCGCTCGCTTTCAAATTCCTAAACGCTACACTTGGGACTGTCCAAGACAACGAAGACGAACTAACCCAGAACCTCCGCCACAACGCCCTCCTCTACCGCGAGACCGCAAAGGCCGCATTGAAGGAGATACCGCTCATTACCAAGCCCTCTCTCTCCTTGCTGCAGGCCCTGCTTTGTGGGATATTCCTCCACCAGGGTTCCGGCGACACGAATACCTGCCGCGAGCTAACAAAGACTGCATGCCGCGTATGCATGGATATCGGACTCTACCCCGGTGCCACTGACCTTCAATCCGTCACCGAGGCAGAGTACTACTGCTTCATGTGGTGCTACAAGCTTGACCGCAACTACGCGTGGAAATTTGGGAGCGCGAGGATTCTCACTCTAGATACGGACCCTGAGATTGTTCTCAGTCCCTCGACAGCGCTGAATGTCTCCGCCTCGGAAATGGTCCTTATCAACCTGGACCTAGCGAAAGTCCAAGACGCGATGATACCGTTCTTGAACGATCCAGCTAGAGCGGCAAGGGAGGATATATTCAACCTGGAATACGGCATCGGGACAGGCCTTTTGAGGAGGATGGAAGGGATTCGTCGGGATATTGACCAGGTATGCCGCAGCCAAATATATCTCTATCTCACGCTGACACTTATACTATCTAGATAAGAGAGCCGTCGCCGAAGTGGACAGGCCTCGATTCAGCTAGCGAAATCGCCACCCTCGACTTTGCCTACCACTGCATCCTCACCAACCTGCTGCACCTGCGTCAGCTTGCTCTCAGCAATACCGCCCACTTGACGCCGGTAGAGACGTATCTTGATTCCGCGCGCCGAGGACTCCATGCCCTGATTTCCCTCTGCGCTTCTGATGACCGACGGCAGACGGTTGCTTATTTGCACTGGTAGCCCTCCCTTTCTCCCACTTATTTAACTCGAGAATCGCTAATAAGAGTAGGACGTTGCTATACTACCCCATAACAGCATACATCGCGCTCTTCTACAACGCCGTCGCAACCTCACACAGCGGCGACTTTGCCATATTGACGACCGTCGCGAGATGCCTGGCGAAGACGGGGTCTCTGAGCCCGCGTGTTGCGGCCATGCAGGGCCTTTTCCAGGAGTTTGTCGTGATTTGTCGGGGGGTGTTTTTTGATGGTGGGGATGTTGGTTTGGATTTGGGGGGTGATATGGGGCTGGTTTCGGTGCCGTTTGAGGGGGGAAGAGGGGTTAATGATTGGGGTGTTTTGACATAATAGATCTCTAACTGTAAGATATTGTGCTATAGAACTTGCTGGTCAAGATGCATGAAGTGGGCGCTAGGTTTCTTCAGCTTTAATCTATCGTTTAGCCCTAATCCCATACCCCTGTCCGTACTATCTACCGCCAATACCAGCCAATATAATAACCGTATTACTCTTGAGAAAGACTATCCCTAAATAGCAATCCATTCATCACACTAGTAAATCTTCACATGCAAGTCAGCCCCGAGTAAACCCTAACTACCACCCAATCCCGCACAGACCCAGCACAGCCAACACGCCAACAACCAGGTGCATTAGCGTCTTTGCAAGCATCACCGCTAAACAAAAACCTGTGCTTTAAATGGCCGCTGGATCCTGCACTGGCCAAGTCGCCCGTACGCGAAAGGCTGGCTTGGTGACTGCCAAAGACGCTGTAGACAGGCAAGTAGGCCCGGAGTATTTGAAATGCTGATCCATTGCATTCACGGCAAATATAAGTAGTGTGTCGTTTCCTGTTTTGCGTTTGTTCTGCTGACTGCTGTAATCTTATCTTTTACTACTGATGGTTTATTTCTACAATGGAGTCTCGACCAGATAACTACCCCCGCCTGGCTCTTCCCATCTCAGAGCTAAAACCCGCCTACGATGTCGTCGTTATAGGGTCCGGCTATGGCGCTGGTGTTGCCGCGAGCCGTATGGCTAGGGCTGGGAAGAGCGTTGCTGTTTTGGAGCTCGGGGCGGAATGGAGAGGTACTTACCCACCTATATACTCGATGCCCTAGTCGTTATCATAACAGGAGTCGTATGGTATAGCAGGTTCATTCCCCCGTACACTTCCCCAGTGTCTCCGCCAACTTGGTATTTCGGGTTCGAGACGGAGATGGATCGAGGATAAGACGAGGTTATTCCAGTTGAAACTCGGAGAGGGGCAGCATGCTTTTTGTGCCCATGGTATTCCTACATCTACATCTTCAGGTTTTTTGGACGCTGATGGTCAATGCAGGACTCGGCGGCGGCTCTCTCATCAACGCCGGTGTCTTCCTAAAAGCAACGCCAGAGGTAATAGGGATGAGCGCGTGGCCGGAGGAAATCAGAGAAGATCCTCTGGATGAATGTATCTATACCTAACCCTTCTTAGATGTGAACGGACTACATCTAACAGCAGGCAGACTACGCCCGCGCATCATCTATGCTCCAACCCTCAAAATACCCAGAAACACACTCGCTAAACAAAACGCGCCATCTGGAGGAATGCTCTCAGATTCTAGCCCGTGAATATAACAGCCGCAGCCACGGCAAAGTGAAGAGTAACTTCTCCCATACACCACTAACGACTACCTTCCAAGCCAGCCGGAACAGCACAGGAGTCATGATGCAAGCAAATCAAGGATCCGGACACGAGTCCACGGGGCTGAATGACGGGTCGAAGAACTCGGTTCCTGTGACTTATCTAGCTGATGCGTGGAACTGGGGCGCGGAGATTTTCTGTGGGTGTGAGGTGCGGTATGTTGAGAAAAATGTCAAGCAAGGGTATACCGTCTATTTCTCGTGGAAGGGGAAGGGGAGAGATTGTTTTAGAGAAGATACAGAGGCGCATTTGGTTTGGGTGACGGCGGTATGTTTTCTCATTTCTTAGGAATATGAGTGGCATGTATGGTGTTGATAACCTCTAGAAAGAGTTCTGCTTCCTTGGAGCTGGTGCGCTGGGGACAACGGAGATTCTGCTCCGTTCGAGGGATCATGGACTAGGGCTGTCTCCTATGTTAGGGAGGAATATGTCCGGAAATGGTGATTTGCTTGTTTTCGGTACGTTTCCTAAAGTTGTGCACCTTGATATACTAACAGGCTAGGATACAACGGCCGCAAAGACATCAACGGGATTGCAGGACCCTCAAGTAAGCCAGGACCAACGATTACCAGCATGATCGATAACCGCCAGGTGAAGCCCTCTGGATCTGAATCTGGACCTTTGGCAGGCTATATAATCGAAGACGGGTGCATCCCTGAGCCATTTGCACCGGTTATCCAGGCCCTTCTGATCGCGCAGACTCTACGACATGAACTATTCTCCGTCCTTTACAGTCCACGAACCCAATTCTGCAGAACAATATCGGCACTCAAATCTCTACTTCGAGGGCCGTACGTGTCCGGTGGAGCAATTCAGCGGACGTCGACATACCTGATCATGTCCCACGACAGCAACGAGATAACCCTAACGCTGAAAAACGACGGACCGTATCTCCAGGGAATCGGCGAGGGGAGATCCAAGAATATCCTGCGCATCAAAGATTCCTTGGAGAGGGTGATTAAACATGCTGGAGGCAGTATGGGGTTCTCGTATTTCTATGGTTAGTACCCCCTGACCAGCAGAAACATATCAGCACTGCTTACATAGACCCAGGTCTTAGTCAAGAAGAAGTCTCCGTCCACGTCCTCGGCGGCGCAAACATGAGCCGCGATGGAACCGGTCGTGAAGGGGCGACGAACCACCGGGGACAGGTTTATACAGGACAAGGCAGCGAAGTCTACCCCGGTTTAGTCTGCTGCGATGCGTCTGTGATTCCAACTTCTTTGGGTAAGTCTGCTTAGCATTTAAGAAAGCTTACATATTAACATGCTAGGCGTGAATCCACTTGCCACGATTACTGCGCTTGCGGAGCGCTCGGTGGCGCTTGTTGCGGAGGAGTCGGGGCTGGAGATTGACCTTGAGACGCCTAATGGGGTTCTGAATGTTGATAGTAGACCTCGCGTATCTCACTTTAAGGATAATTTAGACGATGAGCTTGTCTCGACGGGGTGGCAGTTTACAGAGGCTCTGGAGGGATATATCAGTGTGCCATCAGGGCCCAACTTTGAAGTGTCTGAAAGAGAAGGGAAAGGCTCTTCATCGGCTATACGCATGCTTCTTACAGTGGAAATACAGCGGAAGATGCAAGGTACGTAATTGATGCTTGATATGTGCAGCTGCTTATATTTACAGGCGGGTTGAGATACCACGGAGTCTGCACCGGGACTGTATCCTGTCGCGCTTTATCACGACGAGCAATGAGGGTCATGAGAGGAGAGGTGGACTTCTTTGTGCCGGGTGATGGTATTGATTCAACGGCCTTGAGATATAGACTACCACTCCAGACGGTAGAGGGCGAAGAGCTGATGCTGGTGGGAACCAAGACCATCGACCCATCCAGCGCATTTTCTGTATCTCGGCTGTGGAAAGCTACAACTGTGGTGAATGTTCATGTCTCTTCCAAGGGAGAGAGCGTAGGAGCTGGTGTCCTGCGCATTCCATTGTCGTCATTCCAGCGGCAGATACGCTCATTCCGATCAACAGGCTCAACCGCTGCTGCGTTGCCAGCACTGTTGATGTTTCTTCTATACTTCATCTTCCAGATCAGTCTGTTCTTCTTCCACCCTCTTATACCGCGCTGGTTTACCCCTGCCAAAAGCCACAGTCGAGTTTTCGAAGCTAAGCAACCTCTATCAACTCGTGAGATCTCAGCTTCAGACGGAGTCACAGTCAAACTCGAGCTATACAGCCAAAAGCCGGACGAGAACAAACCACCTATCTTATTCCTCCCGGGAGTCACAGGCTTAAACCCACAGCACTCCATCTACACCCTCCCCTTCCAACGCACCAACATGGTCGAGTACTTTACCTCCCACGGCTACAGCTGCTACGTCCTCACCCCCCGCTGGAGCATCAACGAGAACACTGCAAAAGATTGCACCGTCTTCGACAGCCGTCTCGACATAGCCGCCGCCCTGCAGCACATCAGCCAGAAACCGTATATAATCGCACACTGCCAGGGCTCCGTTGCGCTCGCAATGGGCCTCCTAGACGGATCAATCAAGTCTTCCCAGATCCTGGGAATAACCGCAAACTCCGTCTTCATAACGCAGATATTCCCGTTCTGGAATGCCGTCAAGGCATCTAGCACGCTTCTCATCCGCCTTTACGAGTTTCTGGACGGGCCGTATTTCCCTGTTAGTTTTCTCCCAGCATCAAAAGACAGGAATGGAAAGAAGAAGCAGAAGAAGAAAGATATACTCCAGCACGCACTCGATATTATTCTATCATTCTACCCAGTCCCCCACGCCAGAGAATTCTGCACCTCGTCAACCTGCCACCGCACCTCCTTCGCCTTCGGTCTCCTCTGGAACCACCGGAATCTCTCCCCAGAGCTGCACAATAACATCGGCCGCTTCTTCACGGGGACGTATACCAAGCTCCTCTCGCACGTCGTCCGCACGGGCTCACGCGGCGGCTGTTTAGAGTATAAACAAGCCCTCCCAGGGACAAAACTAGATCTTGAGCATCTCCGCGGTGTGCCGATCTTGTTCATGTCTGGCTCCGAGAATCAGGTGTTTAGCCCTGAGTCTACGCTGCGGGATTATGAGATGTTGCGAAGGGAGTTTGGGGAGGGAATGTATCGCCGGTTTTTGGTGGAGGGGTATGGACATCTGGATACGATTGTTGGAGATAGGGCTGGGGAGGATGTCTTTTGGAGGGTGAGGGGACATTTGGAGGGTTTAATATCTAAATAGATCTAGATACTTGATAGTTGATACCTGGAATAGTCTATTCCACGACTCAGAGGGCAACCCTTGCAATGCTCAAGTGCTCATGCCAAATGCATACTTGTATATATCTATATATGAAAAGCAGTTAGGAGAGTCCGAGGCGAGCCGGACGGAGGAACAATGTATATCTTCTATTCTCCTATTATGCTCTGTGAGGAGTAATGTCTATTAGAACATTGATATAATTTCCTCATGCCTATTTATGTTGCGGTTCGTTGAGTTTGATGTGATGTGGTGGGTGGTTGGAAATATATCGTTGTAAGCCGCCGATGTTGCACCAGATTAACTTTACTACGATCATGCTGGTTAATAAGCTGATTCGAATGTATATTTATTAGAAAGTTGATTCTTACTTAGGCCTCTATACTACGATTCACTCACCAGACAAAGCGAAGATTTCGGGTACACCTCTTGACTGGATGGCATTCCTATCTCAAAGCGGACAGTGGCTACGAACCAATTACGCGACTCTACATAGATACTGAGCATACTGTGACGTGAGAAGAGGATGATGCGAGGACTTGTTCTTCGAGGCCCTGGTTGAGCGCCTTGCCTGACGAGTGGCTGGCAGCTGCCAGACTTTCAGCTGTGCGCGAGGTTGCCGCCAACCCGAACCCCGCAATAGCAAACAATATAATCCTTGTCGCTGCGCGATGACGATGCATGCTGACGATGTGTGAAGAATGCAATTGATCTCGTCGCACGGTCACAAGACCAACCGTCGGTGATTACTCTGTTAAACTGCCCATTGAGCGAGGACCATCCATCAACGTCAACAAGACAATATCGCTGACTGTGAACAATGTCGGGGAATATGCCTCGCGGGGATGTGATTGCGGCCGCTGCAGGTCCAATCACATGGCACGTGCGTCCAATCGCTGGACTGGCTGTCAGTGTCAACAAGAACGTGCAGCTTGCATTTGTGATTGGCTGCGGAGGAGGAAACGCGGTGAAGTTCGACATCGAGTCCACGAGTCATAAACGGGAGTCTGCAGCGGAAGCGCAGAAAAATAAGAGGAACTTTGCAAAAAGCAAACCTGGCACAATTCTGCAAGATTGGGTTCGGATTTTCGCTCGCTGCACATGCCACCCTTGGCAGCAGACAGGGGACCTTTCCTCTGCAAGAAAAACCTGCAGGTCCTGTACGAACTGGGATACTGGCCAATGGTGTGTATCTCGAGCTGACTGTCTCGCCGACTTGCAGAAAAGGAATCATCACACACACACATCTCCGACTTCGGATGCTTACGCTTTCTTTTGTCGCATTGTGGGCTGGGTTCGCCTTGACGGGTTATCGGGGAAGTCTTGCTAGTTGAGTCGCCGTAGTCGGCGAACCTTCAGGTTGCTTCGAGCTCACGGAGTGCGGAGGACTTTCTTGAAGTGCAGGTGCCAAACGCGTGTCTCTGCATCTGCACACGCTATGCAGCATGCTACATCACACAAGTCAATTGTTTGCGAAATTTGAATTAGGCAGGAACGCAGCATTGCTTCAAGGCGTTGATGCCTGGTACCAGGCAGAGATCGCACTGGCATATTTCATTCCCTTACTGATATGTGCAGTGGAATGAACCCCCTGCCTGTCACATCAATAACCATCTGCTGTAGCGAGAATAATGCACACTAGATACAGAAACAGCTGGGGGGACGTGGCAAGGCGCTTAAGTTTAACAACGCCTAGAACTCTTTCTGTACCTCTCCCGTCCTCGTGCGAGGGAGGGGCTGCAAATTCAACTATTGGCCGAGAGTATTTGATATGACAGTTTTGGTTGACGGTTGCTGTTCAATCATGGTCGCATGTTGGCCAAAGCACCATGGTTCGGGAGAGGAACTCATATTTCTGACTGGTCTCATAACGGAACCCGCCTGGACTTTGCACAAGGTCTTCGGAACAAGCAACGCATAACAATTGGTCGCGATGCGTTCTCAAATCGCCAACGACTCGATCGGCGATACGTATAAGTAGCCAGGAACATGAGCCTACCGACTATATTTCTGGCTCGTAATGTCGGACCCAGAACCCTTTCAGCATGCAGTAGAACATAGTCAGCCAGACGGGCCTGGATTTTCGTAGCCGGAGTACTTTCGCGTTGGATTGGTTGGTGGGCGCCGTTCTTTCATTGGAGAATATACAACCAATAGGAAGAAAGCCGCCGGATGCTTGTTGGTGATGCCTCTGGTAATCACAGCTTTTCGCCACGCTTGGCTGCCTGAGTGGTGATTCTTGACTTCCTGAGCCTGACAATCTCAAGCGGAGATGCATCCAAGGCACAGCTCGACGCTCAGCAACTCTCTGGTTCCGTGGTTCCTGAGCACTGATCCGCGTAACTCCCGCGCGATGGATAACATTTGAGCATCACGGGTGCGCTCCTGGCTCGTGCCTAGGGAGCTGCAGAAGGTCCACAGGAATCCACACCTTGTCAAACAGCAATGAAGAGTCGACAGGTCAACTCGACGAAAACATACCATACCAAGAACCTGCATGCTTGCTAGACTCGGCAGATATGTGCATGGACTGATGCGTGCATGTTTGCTGGTAAGGGGTCAGGTGCGGATAGTGCTCTGCCCATGCTCTGAAAGGGCATCGTACTGGTGTTATGGGCCTGGGGTTTCAGATAGATGCGCAGGCCCGCTGGGCGGAGAGGCGAGTTGGTGAGGCATTGCCACGGCGGAGGAAGAGGCATTCGCCCCCGAAGGCTCGACGATCAAGGGTTTCTCGATCGCCGATTCAGATTCACATGGGCACATCGAGAAAAACACCGAAGGAAATTGACGAATCGGATGCCTGAAATCCACACTTCATCCAATTGAGGGATATCTGATAAGAAAGCCATCCAAAGGCTGGATCCCGGGCCAATAATCCTCACGCGATGCCCCCTTTTTCTTTTGTGGACCTTGTGGAGGGAGAATGAAACACACCGTCAGTGGACTTGGATCTCATCCACCAGGTTGGAAATGGATGATCACGATGAGCGTGGGTATTCGACTATCAGTCGTCTGATCGAGTCTGGACTCTGGAGGTCGCTGGACCCGGGTTGCACTTGTGATGGCGCTTGACGGAGTCATGGAGGAGACGGGGATGAAGTTCAGGCTGCTGAAGAAAGCAACCTTCCCAATCGGGCAGCCACAACACGTGTGGTCACGCGTGGCTCACGCCTGGGTGCCTGGGTGCCTGGCTGCCCCTGACAAGCTCAACCGTTGGAAGTTTGGAACTCGGACCGCCAACTGCCAGCCTGGATGCACGCACGGTTTGTCAGACTTATGTCACTGAATTAATCAATTTAGATTATTCCAACGCGTCCGTGGAGCAAACACGGCACAGCTGCCACAGCACACCCGGCCTCTCCATCACAGCACGCTGCGCCGCAGACGCCGTAGACGTTGAGCAATTCGCCCCGTCCCGTTCTCCCCCCAGTTCTCCCGTCCCGTGTCGAGGACCTCCTAGGAGGCCTGGTCGCGCCGCCAGTGCTGTGATTTGTCCAAGCCGTGTGATATGATATCTCCTCATCTCGGCCCATCGTCCCTTGTCGAGGGGCCACGAACTTTGGTACCGATAGTATAAGAGTGGCCGGTGGGGGTGGATTTCGGGCTTTCACGGTGATGGCCACTGGCAGTGGGTCGACCTGGATCCACCATCGTGTCCGTCGTGTTCGTCACGCACTTGCGATGATGCCAGTGAGATGATCTCTATGCCCTAATCCTTTTAGGGAAAAATATGTCCTTCCCTAAACTCGCCTTGGATCCCGTGTTAGGATCCAGGCCTCGACATCACAACCTGTCTCAGCAGCGCCATGGAACTAGACATATTATTGTGAATTGCGAACAGAGTGTCTGTGAAGACTGAAGACAGAAGTTGGATGTCGAAAGTACCCCACGAAATGTCAGCCGTCAGCTGTCTGTCAGCCAACACTGGCCATCGCTTGGCCCTGGCCCGTCTCTCCGTCGGCAAGCACTATTTCTGCAGCCTGTCAGACAAAGCTGTTCCCTGCCGTCAGCCCGCATACAACCCCAGGCACGTGCTTTTGCCTGTCATGACGGGCCAGGGTCACTGGCCAGAGACCTGTTCTCTTGGGAAAACCAATCGATCCATCGATTTGGACGTCATTGGTTTCTTTGTTCTGGCATCCCCGGCACTCAGTTACTTTCCCGAGTACGGCTTACGGAGAACGAAGCCGTCGTAACTTACGATGGCTTATTATTATTCTTTTGCCGACAAGGTTAACTGATTGTCGCGTTCTACGCGTCTCCCGGAACCTTCTCAACGACAGAGTTTCTCCCTCGCTGCATCCGCGACAAAGACAGTGAGAGCACTATTGGTCGGGATATTCTTCTCCAAACATATGCTTCAATAGATTCGTGAGTGCGGCAGAGATTCGACGATCAGTCATATCTCATTCTTTGTCGAGGCTTGACAGCTCTCGGCCCAAGCATCTTGACTGGCTGTGAGCCGTTGGCGTTCCGCCTTTGACGCCACATAGCAAGCCGTAGCGCGAGCGCGATTCGACGCCTTTTGGGGGGCGGTAATAAACTAATAATGCTGGAAAGAAACTTTGAAAAGACACTCGACATTCGACAAGCAATCCATCGCCAGTCAGGGATCCTGAGTCAATATGGTCGAGACTTGAGGGTCGAGTCGACTTCTTTGTTCTCGCCGGTCGCATCTTGTTCCAACGCGATTTGGAAGGTCAGTGGGGATGAATTTGGGGCTTCCACTCTGGACCTTCCTTGGAAAAGAAATGGGTTGACCTATATTGTGGAGCCTAAACCCAATCCTTTGGCCTTCACGGCCCCATCCACCTGCTCAAAGTGGCATTACGCACAACACTCAAACTGAAGAACAATCAACGGCGCTGGGCCACATCTCCCCTTTTCGTCTCTTTGAATGTGCCTTTGTGCACTTTGGAGAGTGGTACGAGTCGACTACATGCCCATCAAATTCAATCCGCGCCAATTCCCACCATTTGCCACCAAGGTGAGCTGTGAATGCAAGGGCGATCCGATCTAAGAACCAAAGGACTGGAACTCGATCTGACCGCTCCTGCGTTGACGCCATTACGCCGTCAGTCAACGAATCTTCATGACAGTTTGTCAGAGATGGGAAAATTATTGATGCGGGGATGACAGCTGGTCAACGAAACGCACTCTGGGGTGATTTCATTGTCCCCGACGGTTTGCGTGCTCTGGATGGCGGGATTTTCAGCACACCATTGATCTCGACACATTCGAGCCTAACGATTTACTATTGAAGGCGGACGAGCGACGGGGCTTCCGGGCATTGGAGGCCGATGATGGAGCGCCAAAGACTCAAAGAGACCGCTTGCTCGGGTGCTCCCTCGGCCCCTTACTGTTTAGAAGTTCAGAGTTCTACTCCTGAACTTCAATGCTCCACTGGATAGATGTATTCGTTGAGAAATCGTTGCTCCAAATGCGTATGAAGATACGGCGGTGACTTGTGATGTCGGCTGGGCCAAGCGGCAAGTCCCAGTGAGCTGGATAACGACCCGACGGGGGCCAGTCTCCACCGAACGGCTCCATCGAGTCCATCGCCATTAGCCAGACGAAATGATCAGGAGGCAGAAATGGGGCAATGGATGAGCTTCAACAATCAACAGCGATGAAGTAACTGGGACGTGCTTCAACTGCGTGCATTGGCCGACCCATTCCTTGCGTCGTGGATTGTGATCTTCCAGATTATGAACTATGGAACCAAGCCGATATAGTAAAGTCATTCTGGGTCCAGCTTGTGAGATGGAAGCATCTGAGAACAGATGCTGCCAGCCTGGCAAGTGCTAAATCTCACAGTCTAACTGTGGCAATGCGTATAATAATAATAGCAACCGGCCCGGAGATGAACGCAATCTCGAGATCTAAGTATAGCCAGGATGAGCTCTGTAGTCGCAGCTAAATTCCAATACGTCGTAGCATGCTGGGGCGAAAACACCAGGATGCTTCCGTATCTTTCGTATATTCCGAATATCCGACATGTATCGACTGCTTCCCGCTCACGTTCTCCCCGGACGGCAGGAGCAAGGAGCATCCAGCGTCCAGTCCAGTCTCCAGCGGACCAGACTTTGGAGGACAGATGGCCGAGGCCGACACCGAGAGCGACTCGACCTCAAATTTGGGCTCCATCTCCAGCTTCCCAGTTACCAGAGAGACGGACTTTTGGATCCTGGGGACGGCCTCCGACTGGCCTGACAGCTCATTCGTGGAGCACTAGGACCCAACAGGCAACTGATGGTGCAGCTCCTGAAGGAATTACGACAAAAAGGCAGACCGGAGGGCGTCACCAAGGTTCAGGCGTCTGTCAACCGTGGATGCGACGTCGATCGCCCATATTTTGGAGCGCGTACCATGCTACCATCATGTTGTGATCTCAAGGCACCGGAGGATTTACCTGAGTCGAATCGCTGAGTAGAAGACTAGAAGCCGACTTCAGTTTCCCCTATTTGGTGTTTTTATTTCAAGCAACAGGGGGGACAAGGCTGCAGCGAGGGGTGCAAGGGTATGATTGCCACCAGCGGCGATAGTGTCTTAAAAAAAAAAAAAAAAGAAAAAAAAAGAAAAACAATTAAATAAATTAATCTCGAGAAGCGTTGGAGCGACGGCAGTGTGGCACTAATCAGACTAATCAGCGGATGGATTCCCCGTCTCCGTCGCGCTAAACGCACTACGAATTTAGCACACAAGAATGGAGCCCGCTCCGATGCGCTTCTAGACTAACAAGTAACAACTCGAACCCCTGTTGCCGACAGTTGATTCACCCCGTCTGGATGCTGTTTGTCTGCGATTGCTGGTTCGACGAGTCTGGAACCGCAGGAGTAAATAAAACAACCAGTCAGAAATCCATAAATAAACAATAAAAATAAATAAATAGAAAAACTCCGGACAGGCCGACCAACAGGGAAATGATGGATGTGATGGCAGATCATCGACGGTTCGGGGCCGCGCTAAGGACGAGCAGCCTGCCTGCTTTTTCGAAAAAGCTCGTCAGGATAGCTGAGTGAGAGCAAAAGAAAGAAGATCGCAGTGCCGACCCAAGTGGGTCCGCCGGTTCTTTACTTTGATCGTTCGGTCCCTGCTCCCCTCCTCCATATTATCGCCCGCTCCCCGTCCTCGACGAACCTCACTCCTTCTCTCCTCCTCCGACCCTTCCCTCGTCCTTCGCTTCTCCAGCAGTCACTCTGGTGTCGGCACTCGAGCTGTTCCTTCTTTGCTGCTGCTGCTGGCTGTTGTTGTTGAACTGTTTGGTGCCTTGGCCCGTCCGTGGCCCTTGCTTTCTCTTCTGCGACATCCATACATTAGCGTTTACTCCTCGATCGAGAACACACCCTTTGCTCCCTATCTGCGCCTTGGTCGATCGGGTTCGGAAAAAGGGCAGGAGAGCTGCTTTGCTGCGAATTGCGATCACTGCTATATCCAGGCTTCGAACCGGGTCTAGCTTTGATCCTTGCGTTACAACCCGGCATCTCTCGAGCAGGCGGAGCCATTGTACTGCGTCATTGGGAACTATTCGCCATCTGACGCTGAGCTGGGATCCTTGTTTGGTTCCCTTTTCTCCTCCCGTCGTCAATTCCCCGTTTCCTCGTGCCCGTCGACGACTTGACTGCCTCGTTCGACCCCCGGCTTCTAGGAACGAACGTGCTTATTCTTACTTCGAGTACTTCGCGTACAGCACGGCACAACTGTAGTTTATAATCTATTTCAACTGTGCAACTGGTTTATTTTGGTTTTGCTCACTAGGTACGTCCGCAGCTTAGCAACCGGTTGCCAGACGCCTGCATTCCTCCCATTCCTCACTCCCTAGAATCCATCCCAGCATTCTTGAACCCCCCAGTGATCCGCGCCACAGCCAGACCAAAACATTGTCATCCCCTCCAAGCACCTTCCCCAGCCGCTCGAAAGAAGGAACGGACTCCAGTTACTGACGAAATGTGCTTCAGTGTCGGACGGTAATTGCTCTGCAACTATCTCCAACCACTCGTTTTCCACAACATTACCATACCTCTATCATTTCTCGGCTCTTTTTGCTTTTTCGCCACAACAATCACGCTCTCGACGCGGGTTATTCGAATGTGTGAGGATGCTCATTGATTTTACCGTCTGTTGAATACCGGTCGTTGGTGGCCTCGACCTATCTCGAACTATTCTATTTCTGTTATATGCTGGAACATACGAAAGCAATGGAACAAACGAAGCCTCACATCGCGCCATTGAAGATCGATAAAGGAAACTCGAACTTTCGGCCAGCGGGAAACCGCTTCTATTCACACGACCGCCAGATTACTCCTCCAACAACCCCTCATACGACCACCCAGGACAGCGCCATGGATCGCTCAGAACCGTCCCGGGCGGTCTTTCACAACTACCTTCGCGCATTCTACCCATTTCATCCTGCTGGGGATGTCTCTCCAGCAACAGTTACTCTACCTCTGGATCAAGGTGATATTATTCTAGTACACTCTGTGCACACTAATGGCTGGGCCGACGGCACGCTTTTGGATACAGGCGCTCGGGGCTGGCTACCCACAAACTACTGCGAGGCATACGACTATGTTCCGATGCGACCACTCCTCAAGGCCTTGACGGACTTCTGGGACATCATTCGAGGAGGCTGCGGATCGCCTTTGGTCGACTTTGGCAACCAGGACCTCGTCCGAGGCCTGATTGCCGGTGTCCGCTTTTTACTTGAGAAGTCTGAATGTCTTACTCGCGACTCATCATTGGTGAGGGCCCAGGATGGCCTCCGAAAGAACCGCAAGGCGCTACTGGCAGACCTGTCATCACTGGTGCGAACGACGAAAAAGTTCCAGCAAATCTCCGGCGGCCAGCCAATGGAAGACGAGGTCGAGTACATGGTTGACGAGATGCTCCTGAAAGCTTTCCGGATTGTGACTCGTGGTGTTCGATTCGTCGACGTGTGGAACGAGGAAGTTGGCCTCGGCAGGGCAATTGCAGAGCTGGAACAACAGCAGCTATCAGCCTATGATGTTCCTCCAACGCCGACGTCTGAGACCTTTTCGCCAACGGAGAGTACCCCGTCCGAGGTCGACACCGAGCGAAACGAATCCAGACTATTGAACCACAGCCGACTGGAGAGCCGACTGGAGAGCCGAATGGAGAGCCGGATGGAAAGCAGAATGGAAAGCAGACTCGAAAGTCGATTGGATATGAGTCGGGCTTCAACTCGGATGGATGCGTTTGACTCGCAACCACCCCGCCCGATGTCCGTCACTACCAAACGCATTTCTGTCTCACACCGAGTGTCTTACAACGGCCCAGCTGCTGCCACTGCCCGAAACCCAAACCTTGCTTCCGAGCGACTCACAGCCACCTACGATGCCTTCCTCGGTGTCTTGGGCTCTTTTATTGGCCTGCATTTGCAGTCTCGCTCGTCAACCGAGCTGGTCATCACCACTGAACAGGCCGTCCGCTCGTGCCGTGAACTGCTAACGGTTATCGAGGCCGTTTGCGAGCATGACGCTCAGGGTAGCACTCCCCTCGAACAGGCTAGAGATAGCATGTATGAGCGCTTGTCGGAATTAGTGTTCGCAGCCCGCGATGCCTTCCGACCCGCGCAGTGCCCTGACGATGACCTCGTATTCATGCCAGACGAAGGAAAGCGCCTTGTTGATGCGGCAACCGAATGCGTGCGAGCTGCAGGCAACTGCATGGCCAAAGCTCGTCTGGTGCTGGAGCAGGGTGGTGACTTTGAGCTAGTCGCCGACGCCGCCAGCCAAGACGGCGAGAAGGAAGTAATTATCCCTCGCGCGGTACCCGAAGAGAGCTCAAACTCGACGCCACAGCCTCCGCGCACGGTCGGTGTTGCCGTCCCCGAGGAACGTTCTCAGGAGATGGCACGACTTCCCCCGCCTCCCTTGCAGATCCCCCAATCTCACCATGCTGCTTCTCCGTCCACTCCTGGTCTCACGGACGACGCAACGCCTTGCTCCTTCCAGTCACGTGCAGGCCCTATAACACCGGCCACAACCGAACCATCATCCTCCTTCCAATCCTCTGTCCTCTCTCCTAGCCTTGACAAGCTTTCCTTTTCCTCCTCTCCCAAAGATCCTACTTCTGCAGACTCTTTCCGCCGTGACAGTCATGCAAAGTCTGAGATCAGCGACTCGTACAGCCGTGGCGTGACTAGCAATGCTAGCAGCTTCACCTATAGCAACCTTCGTGATTCGGAGATGAGTGGGGTGTCTCAGACATCGACCCGGGCGACCTCGCCTGACATTGGCATGGTCCCGTCGCTCAAGGGCAGTGTCAGCTACTCGACTCTTGCCGAAGAGAACGAGGAGGCTGAGGCGAATGTCTTGGAAAAGACCTACGCCCATGAATTGATCTTCAAGGACGGGCATGTGATGGGTGGCAGCCTCCGTGCTTTGGTTGAGAAATTGACTGCCCACCAATCTACACCTGATGCGATGTTCGTGTCAACATTCTACCTTACCTTCCGCCTTTTCGCCTCGCCAATGGAGTTTGCCGAGACCCTTGTGGACCGGTTCAACTACATCGGGGACACCCCGCATGCCGCTTCCCCTGTTCGCCTGCGCGTTTACAACGTGTTCAAAGGCTGGCTGGAGTCGCACTGGCGCCATGACTGTGACAATGTCGCCTTGGAATACATTACGGAATTCTCGAGCGGCCTTCTGATGCAAACCTTACCGAGTGCCGCCAGGCGCATGTTGGAATTGACTGACAAGGTTTCCCAACTCCAAGGGCCAGTGGTTCCTCGCCTTGTCTCTTCGATGGGCAAGACCAACACTGCTACCGCGCAGTACATCCACCCGGATACTCCTGTTCCTTCACCATTAATTGGAAAGAAGGAGCATGGCCTGCTCACACGGTGGAAGAATGGCGAGGGTCAGATCACGATCCTCGACTTTGACCCACTGGAGTTGGCGCGCCAATTCACCATCAAGGAGTCGCGCATCTTCTGCGCGATCCTCCCGGAGGAATTGCTCGCGACTGAGTGGATGAAGAAGACGGGATCGCTTGCGGTCAACGTCCGCGCGATGTCTACCCTCTCGACGGATCTTGCGCACCTTGTTGCGGATTCCATTCTGCAGCTCGAGGAGCCGAAGAAGCGTGCTGCGATCATCAAGCACTGGGTCAAGATCGCCAACAAGTGCTTAGAGTTGAACAACTACGACTCGCTCATGGCGATCATTTGCTCGCTCAACTCGTCTATGATCTCGCGGCTGCGACGTACCTGGGAGATTGTCTCCCAGAAGACGAAGACCACCTTGGAGTACCTCCGTGGCATCGTCGATGTATCGCGCAACTACGCTGTTCTCCGCCAGCGCCTCCAGAACCACGTGCCCCCTTGCCTGCCGTTCGTCGGAACCTACTTGACGGATCTCACCTTTGTGGACCACGGTAACCAGGCACTGCGCAACCTCCCAACCGATGAAGGCGAGATGGCCGTAATCAACTTTGACAAGCACGTCAAGACGGCTCGCATTATCAGCGAGCTCCAGCGCTTCCAGATCCCTTACCGGCTGTCTGAGGTACCGGAGCTGCAGGCCTGGATGCAGAACGAGCTTGTGCGTGTCCGATCCAACGGCGAGAAGAGCCTGCAGACCTTCTACCGACGGTCTCTTGTCCTGGAGCCGCGCGAGACGCAGCAAGTCCGCAACGCGATGCAATCGGAGTCGAGCTCCTCGTCGCTCTTGGAGAACGCCAAAGACAAGTTTGATTTCTTGTCATGGACGAACAACTCCAAGGCGAAGTCGATTACCTCAAATGGTTGATCAACCACAACATTACCCACCCTCTAATGATTTACGACCTTGCCTTCTTCTCATGTGTTAACGGCGCTTTTTTTCTTGAATATTCTTACGTCAGTCATTGTGGATATTTCCTACCTACCTCTACCTCTAACTGAACTGGCTACCACCTGTCTTATTACTCTCACTGGAAGTGTCTCTTTTTGTTTTGATTCAACAGCGACGGCGGGGAAAAGGGTCTTGTTTAAAAGTACATACAGTACAGGTTTATACTAGAGCCTCGCGGCTCGCTTGGGCTTATAGAAGGCAAAGCAAACATTATGAGACGAAATGTTAGCCTGTCGATCACTGGTTGGATCCGCCTGCATGTATTGGATGCGTTCTTGATTTTGATTTATTTGATTTTTTTGCTTTGGATTTGCGGGTTTGGATTGGCATGGACTGGATACTGTTATTGGGATACCTTGGGAGGACCTTGGGGGGAGTTTGAATACTGATAGCTTATATTGTGTATATAGCAAATAACAATTAACAATAACCACCTGACTGTCAACCCATCAACTTGTCAACCTGTTAATACCGTAAGAGGCGTGAGATCGATAAGAGGTTAGCAGCCGGTATGGAACATTCTCTGCGGCATCCAAGCAATAAGCAATGGCGACTGGATTTGCAGCTGATTGGTTGGCTGTTTACAAACAATTTAACAATGTCGTGACGGCCAGATCGTGTTCAATTCGTGTTCAAAATCCATTTATTATATAAGGAAAGCTTGTTATTGATATTGTAAAAGATATAACTATGTTAATAAATTATACACTCTGCATATTAATTGTGCAACTCCACCGATTAGTAATTCTTCACAATAATTATGCAGTATGCTCGCATTATGCAGCACAATATCCGTATTCCAAGACTGAATTCCTCCGAATCTTTCCTCCGCCCAATCAAGAATAATGAACATAAGTGAACTAACTAAACGAGCTCAGGAAATCCAGCCAGACAGCAACCCACGTGACCGACCGCGCAAATCAGCAGCTGAAGGTTGGAAATCATCCCCGTCCGTCCATTCGGACCTCGGCGCGCCTCGTTTTTCTTTTCTCGCGTCCTGCTCTCTTCAAGGATTCTGCTTTCTCAGCTTCAACCGATAGACAAACACTCGTTTTGCTGGAATTGCAGACAGACACGAAACGAAACGAAGACTGGAGAATATCGACTCCAACTCAGCCACAGACCCTGAGTGGCAGTGGCAGTGGCAGTTCAGCCCTGCAGAGGAGAAAATGGGGCCAAAAATGCACAACATGGAATCCCTGTCTCCGCAGCGCAGAGAAACAGTCGCTGTGATCGGGTCTGGCATGGCGGGCCTTGTTACGGCGCATTTGCTTGTTTGTGATAAGGAGAAGGGGAGGGGGAGGTTTGAAGTTGAGGTTTTGGAGATGGTATGTGTTTTTATTTATTTTATTTTATTTTATGGTTGTAAATTCTAACTATCGCAGCAAGAGAAGCTCTCGCTCGACTCGGCGAGTTACACGCTTCCATCTTCATCTGCATCGGAGGCAAAAGACGAAAAGAGTGGCAGGGAAGGACAACGAGTCGACCTGCCCATGCGCGCATTCGCCGCGGGGTATTACGACAACCTCCGCAAGATGTACGAGTATCTGGGCGTGCGCTTTGCAGAGCCGAAGTTTGTTTATAGCTTGTCGACGCTGTCTGGCGATAGCAATGGCGACGACGATGGCGATAGTGATAGCGATAATATATCGACTTCGCTGTGCAAGAAACCGAACGACGGAATCTACTTCATCCACTCCTCAAACAACCACATCCTTCCCCCGATCCGACCCAGCGGGATCAGCGCCGCGAAGTGGGTGGTCGAGATTGCGTACCTCCTCTTTTGGTATATCTGGTTCACGGCCGCTTGCTTTCTAGTCGAGCCCAAGGCATCTAGATCAGGGTTGAAGAAGAGCGGCGAAACACTAGGCGCGTATCTGGCTCGCGTAAACATACCAACCTACTACACCTGGCGGTACCTCCTCCCTCTCATGTCCAGCATAACAACGTGCACGCACCACGAACTGTTGAACTTCCCCGCTAGTGATATCGTCGGCTACGCACGGCAGACGCACCGCAAGCCGCATTACACGGTCACAGGAGGCGTCCAGGCCGCAGAGGCGAAACTCTCCAGCGGTCTGAGCGTGAAGTTTAATACCAGAGTTACGAACGTGGAGAGCATTGACGGTGCAAAGGTGCGTGTTTCGTGGATTACGCAGGGGGAGGCAGCTTCGAAGATCTACGACCGCGCAATCATCGCCGTGACGCCGGACGTCGTAGGGAAGATCTTCGCCCCGCTCAGGGACGCAATGAGCGCTATTCCCACGACGACGGTACAGACAGTTGTGCATCGCGATTTCGCGCGCGTGGAGAGATACAGTGCGTATCTGCGTGATGACCCGCGACTCCAGAAACGGGAGTTTAAATCGGTTCTTGATTCGTCGTCGGTGGATTTGGCTAGGCCGCCTCTTACGGCGATGCATATGGTTACGGATCTTGACAGTTCCAGGACGGAGTCGATACATGAACACCCCGCGCGGGTCCTGGTGACGACGTATGCGCTGGAAGGCGGGATTGATGAGTCCAAGATCCTGCATCGGGTGGACTTTACGCGTGTGCTGCGGACGGCGCGGAGCCAGGCTGTTGTGAATTCGATATTCAGCACTGAACCTGCCGATCATTCACCAGTGGACGAGAAGAAGAAAGCGTGGAAGAGCGGCGACGGGAATGTATTTATCGTTGGAGGCTGGTGCTGGGATGGAATGGTGCTGTTGGAAGGGTGTATTGTCTCGGCGATGCGGGTTGCGGATGCCCTGGGAGTTGATGTTCCGTGGGATAGATAGATTTGAGAGTCTGTTTGGGTTGGACGATGCATTATGACTATATGACTGGCATGTTAGCGATAGATCTGAATATCTTGGTTCATGACAACTAATTCTGTTTATATTGTTGGCTAGCAAGCCCTATTGAGTTATATTTGTATACCCAGGGATAAACTAATAATTCACTGCTCGTATATGACCATCCGGAGATTTTCCATCGTGTAATTGTCAACTCAAAAGTCTTCATAAGCAGGCAATGTTTTGATTCCCTGCGTCGGTCACCAGTATTGGATGTGCATAGACTAAACGAGGGTCAATGAGCCCTCCGCGGGTTATTGAACGTGGGCTCCTTGTTATCAGCAACACTTGTGAGATCGATTTACGTATGCGGACTCTCATCAAATTGAGCCTGTTGGTGGTCGTGCTCTCTATCTGCAGTAAGTCGACGGTCTGACGAACAACTCGTTCTCATCGAGCTCGCTCCCTCCCAGGGCGTGCTTCTTCTGGTGTAATTCGCAACTGAGCAGGATGGCAGGATGGCATCTATTAGAATGCGAACAGTCTCTTTTAATTTTCAACAAAAGCAATAAAAACACCATAAAGATGAAGTATTGCCGTATTGATCAATGTTAAAAGATTCTCATTCTTCGATTTGACGAGTCGGAGGGATTGGAAAATCCACTTCAGCTCGAGCGGCCAGGATCGTTGCCATTGCCCCGTTGAGACGCCTATTGTGACCTCGCAGGAAATTATTCTCGGCTCGAAGTTGATCTCTTTCGTTTCGAAGATCCGTATTAGCCGCATACAACTCATTGGTAATTCTTTGGTCCTCTTCAGAAATGGTACGTGCTGGAGGCGCAAGCTCAGCTGGTTTTCGTGATCTTGCATGGTCTGCCCAGTATTGCGTCCGCGATATGCTTGAGAAACATGGAAATAGGCCATATTCTTAATAACCATTCTATTAAGAACCCTATTTCCCTGGCCCATTTGCATTTCGGCCAGACTACCTAGAACGTCAACAGTCGGAAGTTCGATATGGGCTCTCTGACTTCCAATGGCATTTCTAGTGCTGATATTAAGAATGCTAAGCCTGACCGCGGGTTGAGCCCATAGTGGAACGACTCATGAGACGACGATAAACCACTGGGTTTGTGTTTGAAGATTCATGGGCCTTGGTCTCTCCCACGAGCGTCCACTCAACATCTGCATATGAGGGCATCATTTCTGCATCTTTTGGGTTTCCATACCATACGGTAGTGTATTTGTCCGTTAGGGCAATAAGGTGCACAGGAGCAGAATCTCGGTGCGGGTGCACTTGTAGCAATTTTGCCAGCCTCATCATCCCGGTTAGGGCAACTCTTCAAAGGCTGAGGACTCGAGCAGCTGCCGTGGGAATACGCAGACAAAGGATAACAACAGACCATGGACTCCTTACGGAGTATTGCAGGTGGAGCATGGCCTGTAAAGCTGTCAAGCAAGCTCCAACTTGGGACTTCAAAACGTGGGAAAATCATGTTGATTATTTGACCAAGGTAGTCAGGATATAGCCATAACTAGCGAAGCTGTATGATGACAAGAGAGATCCAAGCAAAAACGTTGAGCCAGACAGCAGAAGTTGAGTACTCTCTGCTGTACGCCATCAGGAGCGGAGCTCCAATACGGCTAAGAACAGTGGCCAATTCTCTGGTATCAGAGGACACAAGCAGGTAGCTTACCCTGCTTCGTCGTGATTGGCGTGCTATATGTATATAGCCCAGTAGCAGCCCCTTTCTCAAGCTGGACAACATTGGAGCTGGTCAAGATTTCACGAATATTGTGTTCAAAGGTAGTCAACGAGGTTAAACCAATTGGGTGGCCGAGGCGCGGAGGGTCTTCGTCAAGGAGGTGGAAGCGCACCGCAGCAAGAAACATAGACTCGGGAGTGCTACCTGAAATAAGCAAAGACCTAGGAGAGTCTGGGAAACCCACCGGGCAGACATGGTGGCGGCCTGGTAAAAGCTGAAGTACTCAAGTTATCAAGGGAAGATAATGAATCAGTCAGATGGAGCTGATGTTCCGTCTGGTTAAGGATTTAAAAGTTTTGAGAGCCTGTTTTAAGCCCACAAGCTGCCAGTAGATGCTTGCGTAGTGGTGGAAAGGATAATATGAGCCACTTCAACAGACTGGCCTTCCCACCGAGTATTGCTGCCAAGCAGAACAAGACGGTGGCTGGAAAGTAGCTGAAGCGAGGGGATACCTTGCAGATAGATATCTTAATGCTCCCAGACCGCTTCTCCAAGAACATAACAGAATTCTGCGGATAGAACGATGTCCATCTGGACTGCGATATTGACTGGTATAAATAAAAACCCGATTACAGCCTCTAAACCTATAATATAATGTTAGCGAGTCCTGGTTATAGATATAATTTAGGGGACTTACAAGCAGTGATGGCGGGTAAACCCCTGGGGGTTATTTTTGCCCTTGGACATTGCGGATTTATATAGGTAGGTGAGGATTTCGTAGGTCAAGTGGATGGCTGCCGGGCATATTGATAGCTAGGCAGTGGCCATACTGGATAACAATTCAGTGTCTGTATGAAATGCTGAGAGAATGCCCGAGACAGCGTCTCTGCTCTATTGCGAGCGAAGCCGTATAATGGTAAGCCTGAAACCCCTGAACTATGCTGCAAATTAGGAGATACGCAGAATACTGTGCTAGAGACGATGACCTACAATGCCACAGAACCGGGCACCGTACTTTATGGCTGACTTCTGCATCATCGCCCCTCCATCTCTAGTATACGCCATCTCCTCCGCTTGCATGGCGGTTTGCAGGCGTTGGACTTCCTTCTTCTAGTGTTGCGCACGCTTGTCAGTGTTTGCTCGAACATGAATCCCATTCTCAACCATAATTACCAGCCCATCGAAGGACATCGTGTTGGTGTCCTTTTTGCCCCGCCGCCATCCTCTTTCTTGCCCTTCTTCTCCTCCTTGGCCGGTGTTGCCAGCGGAGTAGATTGGCGTCACTCGCTTTCCAACCTTGGGATCACGTTTGGTTTGGCTATCGATGTATCGATGTCTGGGATACCAGTTCTTTGGAGGCAGTGTGTTATGGAAGAAAGGAGATGAATTCGGGGCTAGGATTGGAGTAGATATCCAAGACTTCAATTGAGTCAATGGCAACAAGGATCAGTGACCGAACAAACCAAAGCAAATGCCTTGGTGTATTTTTCCTGTACTCATTTTCTGATATAAGGTTGGTAAGCAGAGTAGTAGACATGAAAGGCAACAGGCCAGTCTGGTTCATATAAAACTGTAGATGAATCCTCAGGAGGAACCTCACCACGTCAGGTCATGTCGACTACTGTAACGTACAGCTGCATATGATCTTGTGAGACCATAGCCCGGCTGATACTGTTAGCTTGCTGTCTGATGCTTGTGGGTAGAAACGTACAGATCTGGGGATTGAGGGAATTCCTTGATGGAATCCTAGGAGGTGAGCGTTGCCGCGTCAATAATGAAAACTCTAGATCCTGGCGGTCGATATACTTCGCGATTGAGTCCACCCATATTCTCGATTTTCAAAGTCCTTTCTACCGTGATGTGGCTGAGAGGGACATGTGCCGCTTCGTTTTTCCTTACATTCCGGTAGTCGGATAATCCATTCACAGGGACAGCCATCGTTGGGTAATGAGCGTGGTTTCTGAGGACATGTGTTGATCGTGATATTTGTTCTAGCAGCAACTGGGTAACGACACTAGATTACCTGTTTGGCTTGCTGTGCTAGTGCGTCTGATAGAAAGGAAATCAGAGATCACGGTTTCTTGCATAGATCATCCAGTCCACCGACATACAGAACTGAGGTCGAGGGTGCCAATAGGGTATAAGATGAGGTAGTGGAACCATTGTCAACACAACCGCCTCATGAATACCGGAACGTCTTTAAACGCCTTGTCAGTCGTTAAGACCATGTTGGTGGTGACGGTGGTGATGGTGGTGAGACGCCGCCGGATATGGTAGGGACCAGTTATACAGTAACCCTTGGATAATAGGAAGTCAGAGTGTTCCAAATCGAACGCTGTAAAAGGTTTTGCAGTTCATCCGGGAGCAAGACCAAATTTGCATTGACGATTCGCCTCAATTCGCGAGCGAAATGTGGATCTTCGATTCTGTTAGATTATGATCATATATAGGAATCGATGATGAATACTCACATATTGGATACGAGCAGCGTTTATCCACCTTATAGTGGACATCCACATCCCGGTCCATCTAGTATGTTCTTCTGAAACCGTTGGTAGCTAGATTGATAGAGTAGAACATTAGCGCTGTTTGGCCAGATCCTGGTATCTGGCTTGAATATATTGAATGTAGTTCGTCTGGGAAGAACCAGCAGTATCACTGTCGGCAAGGAGATGCCGAGAAGGGTATTGATATTAAGATAGTGGCACTCGGCCTCCAAACAAGACATATAATGCTCCGTTTCAGAAAAGACAGCCTGATACGTAGCACGAATCGTCAGACTTTTCTACGACATGGGCGGCTTGTTGGCCCCGGTGGCCGCACATAAAACACCGCTCATTCGTTCCCATTTTGATTTTAGTCGCCGGGGAAATGGCAAAGGAGCCGGACCGAGAAGATGATGGTATACCTCGATCTATGCGGCAGATGAAGCCCAAACCAAATGTCAAGGTCCTTGGCGACAAGGACACTCGTTGAGAGTGCCATTCTGAGAGGCTGAGGGTAATCTGGCGGTATTTAGAGTAGATTGTTCTGGTTTCTGATTTTCGACCCAGAATCGCACCGAAGTTTTCTGACCTGGACCCATCTCAGCTTCAAATATTCAGGCCCGGGGGCTGTATGTGGTATTTTCAACCATGAGGTCTGTCTTCTTGCTGTCTATTCCTGCTGGGATAATCTTCTTGTCTATTCATAAAGCCTGGTTGAAGAAGTCCGGTATTATATCCTTAATATACGTTCAGAGCAAGGCCAACAAGGTGCTGTTGCTACTCACAGAGCCAGTTCTAGCACGAAGCATAGCCCATTCGTCAAGGGTGCATTAACCAACCTTTGGAACATCACCGAGATGGCCAGATCAAATGCTCCCTTCCGCGAAGGGGGTCAGAACTTACTCTAATCGAGGGTTCCTCCCACCATGGGATACCTGGGGACAAGGCGTAATCAGTGGTAGTAAGAAAGTGATGCAGAACACTAGCACACGCAGTAGTGCAATAATTCGAGCAGGGAATAGACATGGGCAATAGCAATCGGACCGTTATCTTGTGCAGGAGGGAAATTTAGCCTTCGACCCTTCTTCCAACGATAGTCTGGTTAGTCTTCTGATCATTGCCATCAGGTGTCAGTAGACCTTCTCTGGAGACATCTAGAACCGTATTAGCCATGTCTGAATAAACCGTTCCCGAAGAATATCTGGTAGAAAGCAGCAGCGCAAGCAAAGATCACTTACGACGTAGCAGTTCAGGATGGGTTTCCACTCGCTAGGTGCTGGGAGCAGTGGCAGGAACAGTGGTTTGTGGTATAGTGGATGGTGGTCACTGTCTGTAAGACCGCGCTTCAGGAAGAAAAGAATGGCCTTTCGCTAACCATTGTCAGTGTCTGACAATCCATGACTTTCGTGGTGGCATAGTGACGAGACAGTTGAAGTTCACTGCAGGAACTCAGTTGAATCAGCCCAACTTGAAGGTGTGCCAAGTATGTAAAGGATATTTGGCAGCCTTCCACAAGCAGAAGTATGATAGACGGCTGATTCCGTCCAGCTTGACAGTTCTGGTGTGGTATTCTACTTAGCCCAGTCGCGAATAGACAACTTGATCGCAGGTATTGGGCCATGGCGAGTCGCATCAGGAGGAAGGATGTCATGTTCGGTCTGGAGTTTGCCATAATGATAATGTACCCGGTGGGTAATCTTGAGAAATTCGTTAGATGCTATAATGACTTCTAGCTATCTATTGAGAAGTCGTGGGTTGTGCCATTTTGTTTCATTTCATCGAGCTGACGTCCACTCAACATCCTCCCTTAGCTCGGACAGCCAGGACAGAATGTCTTGAAAGGACTCTGTGTGAGACATACATCGATCTGGTGCCATCAAACCAGTTGGTTGAGGGTTCTAAGACCCCGGAATAGGGCTGGAATGGACACCTGACCGGTACCATGAAAGTCTCATAAGTCTTGTAAAGAAGGGGCAGCGTGCTTCAGAGCCCACATGTGCGTCAAGTGCTAGCTGTTACTCGTGCATGGTACCCAGAACCGTGTAATGTCTTGCCTGTTTTTATCAAGAGTTATTGGACTCCGGTGCTTGGTATTGGATTATCCTCCTCGCCCTCTGGGTCCCATGATTTGACGATTGGCAGCCAGGCTAATAAGCCTTGTATGATGCCTTAGCATTGGTATTGAGGTTAAGGTCTTCTATTCCAGGCGCCCCGAGGCCAGGCTGCCATGAATCGTCGTCTTGTTGAGATTTTGATGGATTTGTGGTTGGGGGGTGAGGGTTGGAGGGAGGTGGAAGAGTGTCAGTTGCCATATACCTGTCGTATGTTGAGTCAACCTAGATATGTGAACTCAAAGGTATACATAGAGCCGCTGTGACGATCTCAGAACAGCACTCACTGCTGCTGCGCTGCTGCACAGCCTTTCAACAGACACAGCCATTAAAGCCCTGTTTCATTGCTTTCAGCGCGAAGATCCACCGTCGTTCACGGGTGGACAGGATCTGATCAACTATCCAAGGGCAGACTTGGGACTGCGACGGGGTGCCTTTGACTGCATGATTAAACAGGTTGGAAGATGAACCGGTGCTGGCCCAGTCTTGCACTGTCCAACGGTCAGTCGATGCAAAGGCTCAACCTTGTACGGCCTTCATGGCCTCAGTTTGCCTTAACAAACAGGCCCAGTGAGTCAAAGTGCTCGATGGTCTTGATGAATAATAAAGCATATGAACCGTGTCGTATTGGATGACATGCTTCCTGCATGTTAGAAGTAGATATACCCCTTATTTAGCTCCCGGATATCTGCAGCGGCATTCGGAGCGAATTTGCCATCGGATTCACGGTTTGTAGTAAGCAGTTTTTGGGTGCGTTGTCTGACATTAAATTGTTGTTAAACACATCAGGGCAACGGTAGAAGTTCTCTGTGAGCCACCATTTCGATCCTACCAAGGAAGCGAGTATTTGGTACCATCTACCCCTAGAGGCCTTCGCAGCCTGAGACATACCACAAGATTCTTGTCCAGAGCATGGGATGTGCAAGTGTGGTATCATGATGCTCGATGGAAGCACCACGCCATGGTACGCAGTCGCACCGACTGAACAGCACAGAGCCCAGTATCAAGACTTGAATTAATTCTGCGATTCATGTTCGAGTTTAGGCTCTGGTTTCCCATAATACAAGGCTTCCGCCAGACCATTCTGGGATATCCTAGATGGCATGCCTGGCCTGGTCTATGATGTTGTGCTGGCAACAAGTAGTT